TTTTTTTTTTTTTTTTTTTTTTTTTTTTTTTTTTTTTTTTTTTTTTTTTTTTTTTTTTTTTTTTTTTTTTTTTTTTTGATATTGTTTTTATCAAGCCAAGGCTGCAAAAATTACGTAATTGATGTGGTGTATCCACCACACACAGTATGCTGTAGCCAAAACATTGTCAGTGACTAGAACAAGTGATTTTGCAACAATGCAAAAGAGATGGAAAGACGATGACCAGTTACGACAAAACCATAAGTTCCATTACAAGCTCCCATGCCAGTAATCCCTGACAAGATGTTGTAATCTGAAAATCAAACCTTTTCCACAGGAGCTGGGTATAGTACGGATAACCCAAAAGATCTATCCCAATGTATGGAATTTCGATATTGACTTTCGGAGCTAAGCTGGTAGATCTACAAGACTAGTGCCAATCTAGTCACATATTCAATATTCTCTTAGTATCTAATATGTTAGGTAAGCACTACCATATGATGGAATTTGAAATATTCAAATCCTTTGCAATGTCAGGGTGTATAGTTCGTGCCGTTGGTTGGAAATACGGAGCCGAAGAACGATTTTTGGGTGCTTCGCCGACCGGGGAGACGGTATCACTCTATCAGACCAACAATAACAGCGAGGCGTCTGATGAGGAGATAACGAAGCTGTTCAGCAGAGGCGGTTTTGATAAGATTCAGTGTTTACAGTACTCCTCCGACAAACCAGGTGTCACTGGAGTCGGACAGCTGGACGGAAGTGGACATATTTTTGACATCACCGCTGCACAGACGCCTCCCCTGGTGTTGCGTCCAAAGCAGGCTCGTTCGTGCAACAGCATCTCTTTCAACGAGAGAGAGCTGGTCGCTTTGGGTTTTGATCGTGGCCGGCAGGATCATTCTATTCAAATTTGGGACCTGGCGAGCTGTTCACGTGCCGGCAAAAACGACAGCCCAATCCCGCCGCTGCTGTCATTTGTGCCAAACGAGAGCGTTTCTTCACTAAGTTTCTGCGAGGGTAGCAATATCATTGCAGGCAGCTATAAGCTTTTGCGTGAGTACGACGTGCGCACGAATCAGCCAGTGTACCAATTGAGCACCAGATGCACTTTGCACATCAATGTGGACCCATTTTACTCGCACTTCTTTGCATCAGCCAGTGAGGACGGCTCGTTGGCGATTTGGGATCGGCGTAAGCTGGGGGATAGTTCCAGCATGGTTCGGGTCCAGGGTTCTGGAATCGCATCTGACAGTCCGCTTTTGCTGTTCAGCAAGCTGCTGAGCGACCAGCGGCGCTCAGGTGGCTCCCCGTACCGCTACTCCACAGTGACCCACGGAGAGCTTGGTGCGCTGTTTGACGGCGATTTGGTGCGGAGGTGGAAGTTTGGCGTGGTGCCGCCGCTGGAATCGGAAGTGGCGAAGTTTGAGAGCATGGTGGGCCGTAGCAGGGCCGAGGGCACGCTGGTGGCCACCAATTTCCGTCCTACGGACTCGCTCTTCATTTCGCGCGTGAGCGATGCCAAGACCAAGTACGAGCGTGTGATATCGTTTGACTACTCGCCAAACTTCCACTCGCAGCAGGGCATTGACCTGGTGTGCATGAGACAGTCTGGAAGCATATACAAGATGCACGTGGTGGAGAGTCCAACAGGGATGGACTTCAACTCATTCAACGACCTCACATTTACGGGGCCGGAGGGAACGTGCTCGAAGATGGTGAAGGACGCTGTCGATGAGGAGCAGCCTAGCAGAAGGGCGTCACAGGACGACAGGAAGGGTGTGCTGGAAGAGGTTGCAGACGGCACTGACGGGACAAGCGAGAAGGACTTTGCGTCCGGCACCGAGGATTCTGAGGACTTGCCGTTTGAACCAACTCGCGACAACATGGGACTCAAATCGGAGGCGTTGCTGGGGAACGACATCTGCTCGACGATCAGACGCCGCGCATTACTGGGCTACGGAACCAATGCCGAAAACAACATGACGATCCTTGAAAGCATGAGCTGGATAGAAACAACGCTGCAACTGCGCAACGCGTGGAAATGGATATCCATCTCTCATGAGCTGGTCGCGTCAGGCAAGATGATTTCTGGCAGCTTCGACTTTGGGTATCTAGGCGTGCTGGGTATTTGGCACATGGAGGAAGGCTTTGCTGAGCAGAAGCGGTACAACGGCGAGGGCAGTTTTACGCCGAGAGAGCTTTTTTCCGCCGCCCGACATATAGTCGAGAAACGGGCGCTCGAAACCAAAGTTCTTGCTGCGCCGCTGATAGGTTTCGAGGGCGAAAGCCACAAGGAAGTACAGCGTAGATTCGCAATGCATGTGATTGGCTGGGATTTTGGTGTCAAGGAGCTCGAAGATAAGTACGAGAGTCTGATAGCCAGGGAGCACTACGAGCGAGCAGCCGGCTGGGCAGTTTTCCACGGAGATATTTCGCGTGCCATCGACATTCTGGCTAGCTCGAAGAACGAGACGTATCGCATCATGTCGACGGCTATTGCGGGCTACTTTGCATTCCGCGACTCGCAGATCAACACCACTTGGAAAGACCAGTGTCGCAAGCTGTCTTCCGACCTGGAAAATCCGTATTTACGCGTGATCTTCGGCTACATAGCGGATGGCAATTGGTGGGATGTGCTTGACGACTCCTTCCTCCCTCTGCGTGAAAAACTTGGCGTTGCGCTGCGTTTCCTCCCGGATAGCGAATTGGATGTTTATCTAACCAGGCTTGCTGAAAACGTCATTAAGAGAGGTGAAATTGAGGGTATTATCCTCACCGGAGTCACCGCTCTGGGCATGGACCTTCTGCAGTCGTTTGTCGACCGCACAAGTGACATTCAAAGCGCATGTCTGATTGCGTCCTTTGGCTGTCCAAAATATTTCAAAGACGACCGCGTCGAGGACTGGGTGGAAAACTACCGGTATCTGCTGAACAGCTGGAGTCTGTTCCACGTGAGAGCCAAGTTTGACGTGGCCAGAATGAGGCTGTCACGTCAGAACAATGGCGAGGCACAAACGATACCCGTTCCGCGCCAGGTTTTCCTGCAATGCACCAACTGTCACAAGAATATCTCCAAGAAAAAAAATACCGGTCCGCAGTTCAAAAATGGTATGTTGTTGCAAAAAGAGTTGCCGCTGCATACATGTCCGCATTGCGGTCATTCTCTCCCGCGCTGTGCCATCTGTCTAATCACCCAAGGCATTTCCCTGCCAAAAGAGATGTCGCGGGTGGATCACGATGCAGTGGACGATAACCTTACGCTGGAGACCCAGTTCAAAGAGTGGTTCAGCTTCTGTCTGTCCTGTAACCATGGAATGCATGCGGGACACGCGGAGGAGTGGTTTTCGAAGCACTACATCTGCCCCGTGCCCGACTGTGACTGCCGTTGCAACAATAGGTAGCAAGAGAGGTGTACGGTGGTGTATGGATGTGTAATCTATTTTTATAAAAAGTCAAAATTTCAGCCAGCCGGTGTTTATTGTTGGGAAGGGGTTGAAAGCGTTTTTTTATTTATCGTATTTTGAACAAAATCAGGGAGATTTCTCGCCCAGCTTTAAAACAAAATAGAGTTTTTAACTGTTTGATTCAAGCACTATCAACAGGGCTAATCACCATTCTCGCATAGGATTGAACGGAATCGAGCATCAACTTGTTTTATTAGTGCTGTTTATCCCCAGTGATCTGGATCAAGATTAGTTGGCGTTTCCGGATGTCTGAAGGAAAAGATCCAGTAATTACTGATATTCTGCGGAAGATCGAGCGTGAGCGCAACATTGCGCTGGGAGCTAGCAATCTGCGTAAAGAAACGTCTAATGCGCTCGTCATACAAAAATGCAACACTTCCATCAGAGAGGCCCAGAAAAACATCGAGTATCTGGAACAAACGTTAAAGAAATTGCGCTTACAGAAAGTGAACTCGAATGATCGCTCTTCGCCCGCTGATTCGACGCATTCGCAGTCGGCCGAAAGTGTTTCATCTGCAGATGGAAACACGCATCATAGCAAGAAACCGATCCATAAACCTACGTTCACTGTCCTCGACTTACTGAAGTACGAGTGTCCGTCGCTAGGACATAGGATACAGTACATGCTGCAACAGTTGGAATTTAAAATCCAAGTTGAGCAGCAATATAAAGAGGCCAACGAGAAGATATACAAGCTGTATCAACTGGAAGGTGACCGGCGGAGTATTGCAGCAGCTGCCGATGGCTGTGTCGAAGGCGAGCGAAAGATCCAGCTGATGCGCAAAGCACTGAAACAGTATCAATCGATGTACATTGACATCGATGAGGTCGCTCGAGAGAATGCTGTGATCAACACGTTCAGAAAAAATCCTTTGACAGGGACATTATCCATTACAATTTCCACCGTTCGCAATGTTGATCACATTGCATCTCCACTTTTCACCAGAAACCCGGACTCCATTGTTACCATCAAGATCGACGACGTTGAACGTGGCCGGACCAAAGGATCAAGGAACGATAGGTGGAACGAAACTTTTGAGATCGACGTCGAAAAAGGAAATGAGGTTGCACTTACCGTGTACGACAAGTCTGGTGATCAGCTGGTGCCCGTTGGTCTTGCATGGCTTCCCTTGTCAGATATCGCAGAAGAAATACGTAGAAAGAAGGTGACTCAGGAACGTGGGGGTGAGTGGATGATAGGTTCTGCTTTGCAACAAGGTCCCAGAAGCCAGCTCAGTTCTTCTGCATCCAATACGACAATGGAAAGCAGAAGTGACCTGCCAGGCCTTCCCTCTGCGTCGGCGAACGGATCCTCGACAGCATCAGGAAGCGACACAAACGCTGTGACCTCCACCTGCTGGTTTGAGTTGGAACCTACGGGCCAGATTTTAATCACCATTGGGTTTACCAAGGCAAACGAGCACCGCAAAGGAGAACGGTACGCTTTCGGAGGTGGTTTGGGACGTCATGGTGCCATCCGTCAAAGAAAAGAGGAAATATACGAGCACCATGGCCACAAGTTCGTCCAAAAGCAGTTCTACAACATCATGTGCTGTGCAGTTTGCGGCGATTTTCTCAGATACAGTGGATTCCAATGTGAAGACTGCAGGTTTTTGTGTCACAAGAAGTGCTACAAGAACGTCATTAATAAGTGCATTTCCAGAACCAGCACAGATTCTGCACCGGAAGAAACAAAGCTCAACCACAGAATTCCTCACAGGTTTGAGCAGGTCACAAACAGAGGCACAAAATGGTGTTGCCATTGTGGCTATATCCTTCCATGGGGTAGAAAGAATATTAGAAAGTGTTCCGAGTGTGGCATTTTCTGTCATGCTACTTGTTCGCACCTGGTTCCTGACTTCTGTGGTATGTCCATCGAAAAAGCAAGCCAGATTTTGTCTGCTATCAAGTCAACACAGGAAAGCAAAACCACGAAGCCTAAACCACCAGTTCCGACCCATTCTTCTGCTACCATAACAACAATAAGTAGCAAAGCTGCTCCATCCGTTGGGTCAGAGCAAACTAAGGTGGACCACATCACAACACCGCAACATGAGTATCCAAATACCGCTGTCACAAAGCAAGCGTATCAGAAACAACTGCAAACTGGTCCATATGAGGGTCGTCAGCTTCCAGAACTTCCATCACAGAATAAGCCTGTGCCTCCTACTCCTCAGCAGGGCGGCTCACAACCACAGCCCAAGCCAGCTATTAAACCAGCTCCACAACAAGCTCCACAACAAGCTGTCCCAACTGTCTCTCAGCAAGTCGCGAAACCTGTTGAGAAAAGGTCACCTACTAAGCAGAGTGGTCCAGCTGCTCACCGTTCCAAGCAACGCCGTCATCGTCACAGATACGGTTTGGATGACTTCAACTTTGTGGCTGTTCTTGGAAAGGGTAACTTTGGTAAGGTGATGCTGGCCGAAAGTGTACACACGCACAAACTTTGCGCTATTAAGGTGTTGAAAAAGGACTTCATTATACAGAACGACGAGGTAGAAAGCACCAAGTCGGAGAAAAGGGTGTTTATGATTGCCAACAGAGGGCGGCATCCATTCCTCTTGAATTTACACCAGTGTTTCCAAACTGAAAATCGTATCTACTTCGTTATGGAGTACATCACAGGAGGAGATCTGATGTGGCACGTTCAACAGAAACGCTTCTCTCTGAGAAGAGCACAGTTTTACGCGGCAGAGGTTCTTCTTGCCTTGAAGTTTTTGCACGAAAACGGCGTTATTTATCGAGACCTGAAGCTGGACAACATAATGTTGAGCGAGTCGGGTCATATCAAGCTGGGAGACTATGGTTTATGCAAGGAGAATATGTGGTATGGGAACAAAACGTCCACTTTTTGCGGAACACCTGAGTTGATGGCACCTGAGATCTTGAAAGAGCAAGGTTACGATAAAGCCGTTGACTGGTGGGCCTTTGGGGTTTTACTGTACCAGATGTTGCTCACCAAGTCTCCATTCAAGGGCGAAGACGAAGACGAGGTGTTCAATGCTATTTTGACCGATGAACCTTTGTACCCTATCAACATGGCCAAGGAAGCCGTCGACATCTTGCAACGTCTGCTGACACGAGACCCTGCGCAGCGTCTTGGTTCTGGCGAGGCGGATGCGCTCGAAATCATGGCGCACCCATATTTCGCAAACATCAATTTCGACGATGTTCTCAATCTGAGAGTGACTCCACCTTACATCCCAGAAATCCGTGACCCACGCAAACCGGAATGCTTCGATGAGGAATTCACCTCGCAGGCAGCAAAGCTGACGCCTGTCAACAGTGTTTTGTCGCCTTCTATGCAAGAGATGTTTAGAGGCTTTACTTACGTCAACGAAGAAAATGCCATTTAAAGTCGCGAATTTACGAAAAAATTTAAGAGTGCTGAGATTTTAACGTGGCACGCAATTCGATTGACCGATGGTAACAGTGAACACAATTCAAGAACTTTGTAGCTTGGATCTTGCCAGGTTGGTGAAGACCACTTTCCAAAAAGCTTTGCAGAATGGTCAACTGGTTTTTTCGCCAAGCAAACACGAACATTACACTGACCCTCAGACAGGGATGGAGTGCGAGCTGATGGTGGTCGAGGGACTTCGCAAACGCCCTATAAATAGACCTACGCAGCCCGGATCAGACGAGAGGATTTCCAACGACAAGATCGAGGAAGTGAAGGCGAAGAATCCGTTTATGAAGCCGGAACCAGAACTAACGCTGATCGATACATTGTTACACGACTACAGGCTCATCTTGAATAAGTTCCCCAACACGGAGGAGCACTTCTTGATGGTCACGAAGGAGTTCATGCAACAGGACACGCTACTGCAGCCGTTGGAATTGGAACTTATGCTCACCGTTTTGAGGAAGCTGAACGACTCGGATGACAAGTTCTTTGCGTTCTTCAACTCAGGACCTGAGTCGGGATACTCGCAGTTCCACAAACACATTCAATTCATGAAACTTCCGCCCGGGTTCCATGTCTATCAAAATTCACTGGTTGAAAATAGCGACTTCTATATCCCCACAGAGACGTCAAACTCCAAGAAGCCACTTGTGAACAAAAATCTGACGTTCAAGCACTTCGTGCTCAAATTGCCAAAGACGTTTGCATCGGAGGAGGATCAACAGTCCACACTTGCTCTAATGTATATGTATTTATTCAAGCGCGTTTTGAACGTTTTCAGAGAGTATGGGGTGGATTCAAGCAAGCTGAGCTATAACTTTCTGATGATGGAAAACTGGATGATGATCATACCTAGACGCAATGCCTTTTTTGACGGCATCTGGCAAAATAGTCTTGGCTTTATGGGTCTTTTTACCACAAAGGACGAAACGGTTAAGTCTAAGATTCTTCATCACGGCCCTGGAACCATCCTGCGCGAATGCGGGTTCGAACTGGATCCGACTGATGACAATCATAAATACGATGAGTACAGTTACTAGAAAATCACTAATGCTATCAACATGTAACATATATTTTGGGTCTATACAATCAAATCAAGCCTTGGCGATGTGGTTGAGTTCCTCCTTTTCGAACTCCTCAGCTTCAGCCTCCAAAATGTATGGAAGCATGTATGGGATGTCCTCCTCTGGCTTCAAAACCTTGGATGGAGGAAGGATCTTGGCGGACAGGACCAGCTGATGAGCGGTGATGATTCTGTAATTCCTGGCGTAAGACTCGTCGGCTGGCAATCTGGAAATGACTTTCTGCATAAGTGGGGTCTCTTCAATCATTAAATCGTCGAGTCTGGATGTTAGCAAAGTAAAGGTGTCGTTAAACTTACCTTAGCCCAATTTCTCTGTAGCCGGAAAGGTATGTGAAGGTCTTGGCGACTGGCAGCATGAACTGTCTTAACATTGGAGTCTTGAGAACATAGTCAGCGGCCTTCTTGATGCTGGTAACGGAAGCCATGGTTGGTTGTTGAGAGAGAAAATTATAAATTTTATTCTCGCGAATGGTGATTGGCGAAAAAAAGAGTACTTTACGTAAGCATTGAAGGTATACGTGATAGTGCTATAACGGCCACGACAATGCGACGACCATACCACTAACAGGCACACTGCTGCTCGTTAGTGGAAGGCCGCTGATTCAGATCTACTGTGCGTCTTCTGCGCTGGCCCTGCTGGCTCAGTTTTTCCTCCAATGGCAGTTTCAGGGCAATGTCTCTGAAGCAATCCTTGACGTTCTCCCCCGTTTTAGCACTAACCTCTGCATACATGAGTCCCAATTCGTTGGCGAAGGCCTGGGCCTCGTCTTTGCTGATTTTTCGCTCCTCTTCCAAATCAAGTTTATTTCCTACCAGGGCGATCACAATGTCTGAGTTTGCCTGTTTCTGAAGCTCCTTGATCCAGTATTTGGCCTTGTCGAGCGACAGTTCCTGCGTGATGTCAAAAACAACCAGCGCTGCCTGTGCGTTTCTGTAATACATGGAGGCGAGTGACCTATATCTTTCCTGGCCTGCGGTGTCCCATATCTCGAACTTGACAGTCGTATTAGTGTCAATCTGGATTGTCTGGGTAAGAAAAGCCGCGCCGATGGTAGACTCCCGCGAGTCTGTGAAAGAGTCCTTGACAAATCTGTGAACAATAGAGGATTTTCCCACCGCAGATTCGCCTAGCACGTTAGCAAAATCAGTCTTTTTTTACATACCTAGCAAGACAAGCTTAAACTGCGCAAACCGCATGGCGGAATGGCCGTGTTCCGTGGACGTGTTGGAGGACATGTCAACAATCTCGCGAAGATAAGGGAGATAAATAAAATATAGGAAACTGACAACTTGAAGCAAACACAGCCTTGATTTTTGGAAGGCAGCATACCGACAAAGTGTTCGACATGACGAAAGTGTTTACAGGTACGTATGAGATGGCCGTTTAGTCTATGTACATGCTACACCACCTACTCGTCGATCTTCGCAAGAATCTCCTTGTCGCTGAACAACAAGTACTCCTCTCCGTCAATCTTGACTGGGGATCCACCGAAGCTTGGCAGTAACACCTTATCACCTTTCTTCACGATGGTTGGCACAAGCTCACCCTTGTCGTTTTTGATGCCTGGTCCGTTTGCGACCACTGTACCGAATGCCAGCTTGTCCTGGTTCTTCTCAGGGATGTAGATCCCTGATGCCGTCTTGGAGGCAGCCTTGGCTCTCTGAACGAGCACACGGTCGAACAATGGCTTGATTGAGTTGAGCTTGAGCAGACTAGACATGACAATAATTTCAGGCAACCCCAGTACTGGCCAAATTTTTCTTTTATATCTGGCTCGGAAATTTCGAGAAGCTGGCAGTGTCCGGCTTGTCTCCGGCTTTCATGCCATACCGACTTTTTTCAGCATTTTTTCTCGTTTGCGTCTGCTATTGCCTTTTTTCGGCTTCACAATCACAGACGCGCGCGTCTCCACGCTGTTCCACAGCTCGTCGTTGATTGTGGATGGCAGTTTGCGCCCGTACAGACACTGGTCGACTAGCCACGTTCCCAGAATGAATTCTTCCTTCGTCAGCGTACCGTCGTCGAACTCCAGGTCGTCGTGCTGCTCGTCCTGGTCTTGCTGGCGTGCAAAGTACTCTTTCCTGCGGTGTTCAATCAGAAGGTCCCAAATCCGTTCCAAGGTCTCGTCGCTCAGTCTCGACCTGCGCCAAAGTTCTCGTACCACGAGTCCATGGATCCGTTTGCCGGCGTCTGCCACAATGCTTTCCTCTTTGTCGTCCACGTACGAGCCCTTGTTGGCTGCCCACACTCCTTCGTATCGTTTTTTTTCTTCCTCGGTCACGTAATTAGCATCATTGTGATGCTTCCACGGTTTTGCCTCGTTGAAGCTTTTCTTCGCAGGTTTCTCCTTTCGCAGCGTCGTCTTGAACTTTAGATGCTGGTCCTGCTCAGCAGGCACGGGGTGCGTCGACTGGCTCGAGTCGTGTCGTTGTAAACCCAGCATCCTCTGGAACTTCTTGCCGTGCGCCCCTCTCACCAATCCGTGGTGGTGGTGAGGCAGCCTGTACTCAGCGACCGGGGAAACAGGATACTGAGGCAGCACTTCGTCTCCACTGACAGGTATGTCGTCATCAATGGGCTCGACAGAGACCGGCTCTTTTAATATCGAGGTACTTTCATTTACCTCCACCGCTGGAGGTGGCTTTCTGGAGAGCGGGCGTTTTGTGTCGAATTTCTCGTTATCCGAAGGGTTTTGGTCATAAAAATCGGCTATGGTAGCCGGCTCGGGCAGCTGGTGAAAGCCGTGATCGGGAAACTCGTAGCTGAGGTCCAAGTTGCTGCAGCTGAACGACTGCTCTTCAGGGGCGTCTTCATAAAGATAATCCTCGTCCTCGGAGATCATGGGCAGTGAGAGCGACGAGTACGAGTTGGATGTACTGATGGATCCGTCATGAGAGACTTTTGGTGGCGGAGATAACAGTTTAGTGTCATCTTTTAGAGAGGAACTCAAGCTGTGCACTGACGACTTGGCAGAGCGGTTGGGAGAAGAGCTGTTGTGCGGACTTCTAGAAAGTGGATCATTATAGAAATCTGGATGCGGCGGAGTGGAGTCGTTGGCGCTCAATGGCTTGGCTGTGCCGAAATTGGGCGACTTAAGGTTGGGAATGGAATGCGACGATAGGCTCAAAGGGACGGTTCTAATGGATGGTGAAGAGAGATTTTCGGGCGCGGTCGACAGCTTTGGCTGGCTCGTTGACACCATTAGCGACGGCTTCGACTTGGCCACGAGCGAAGCGGCAGCTAGCGCTGCAGACGAGCTGTTGCTGTTCACGGAGTCCCAAGTCGTGCGCGAGGCATGCTTACCAGGAGTTGACGGTCTTCTCCCCCAGTCTGCAGAGGAAGGTGCCGGAACCTGTTTTGTTCGCACGGATGAGACGCTGCTGGCCGAGCCGTCGCTCTTGCGAGGATGCGAGTTTTTAGGGATTGGCTGCGGGTTGGCATTTTTGGTGCGGACCAAAGACGCCGTGTGCGGAATAACCTCGTTGGCGGACGCTGTCTGGCTAGATTGTCTCCTGATGGCAGCTTTAGCTGCCAAGGAAGAATCCATGTTCATGGTGCAAGAGCGCTGGAGGAACAGAAAGCACCCAACAAGGCTCAGAGTAGATTTTAAAAAAGCTCGATTATGTAATGTGTTACGGCAGAAAAGAGGGGCACACGCGACGCGCGCAACCTAGGCGCTCGTTCAGAGACACTGGTCTGTTGCAGTAAACTTGAAGAGCATCAACAGCTTCGGGCACAAAATCTTGCGAACTACGTTCCAAGTCCAGTTACAAACGATACGTCAACAGCCACGTCTTATCCCACACAGCCAAGCAAAATTTTTTTCAAAAAAAGTAATCCTCTTGATTCATGACGATTGGTAACTTTGCGACTGACAAGAGGGCGCTGCCGTTCTCCGAGCAGCACTACTTTTCTTCATACGACCACTTCGGCATCCATGAGGAGATGCTGAAGGATACTGTCCGCACGTTGTCGTACCGAAACGCGATTATGAAGAACAGGCACCTCTTTAAGGATAAGATTGTTCTGGATGTGGGATGCGGAACGGGAATTTTGTCTATGTTTGCCGCCAGAGCCGGAGCCAAGCACGTGATTGCCGTGGACATGTCGAACATCATTGAGATGGCTCAGCAGATCGTCGACATCAACGGTTTCTCGGACAAAATCACGCTTCTCAGAGGAAAACTGGAGGACGTCGAAATGCCTTTTGATAAGGTGGACATCATCATTTCCGAGTGGATGGGATACTTTCTGCTTTACGAATCCATGCTGGATACAGTGCTGGTGGCCAGAGACAGATACCTGAAGCCAGGCGGTCTGATCTTCCCCGATAAGGCCAATATCCAGGTTGCCCTGATTGAGGATGGCAGCTACAAAGACGAGAAGATTTTTTACTGGGAGGACGTTTATGGATTCGACTACTCGCCGTTTATTCCTCTGGTGATGACGCAACCGCTCATCGAGACCGTCGAGAACAAGGCGGTGGTGACCAATCATTTCAAACTGATCGAGTTCGACCTCAACACCGTCACGATTGACGAGCTCGCTTTCCACAAACAATTCAAGCTGACGGCCACCAGAGACGATCTAGCACACGCTCTGGTTGCGTGGTTTGATATCGAGTTCCCTTGCGACCAGCCACAGAACAAAGTTGTATTCTCGACCGGTCCGCACGTGAATTACACACACTGGCAGCAGACAATTTTTTATCTGGACCAGGTGCTGGACCTGAAAAGGGGCGAGACGATTGAGGGCTCGCTGGCCTCGAGACCCAACGAGCACAACAACAGAGAGCTTGACATTGAGCTGGAGTGGGATTTCAGAGCCTCGGGCGACTACGACTCGCGCCAGCGAAAAGGCAAGTTCAACTACTTCTTGCGGTAATGTAATTAGATGCGTCCCCCGTGCCGTAATTATGTCAGCCACATGGGGTTCCAGGATAGAATCTAAAATACATGGCCTTTAAAGGCATTGTCAATGGCATTGCCAATTGGTACCACGTGGGATTCGGGTCCAACGTCGTATGTTGGCTCAAGCAATATAAAAGGCAGAGAGTGAGCCCAAGAGTATATTCAATTTTCTTTCCGGATGTTTATTTTTGGTCTTCTTCTAGCCAGTATAGTGAGCTGCGCACCCATCGCGCAAATGCCGTTGGTTCGTCCGGCATTGACGACCGAACTGACCAAGGATGTGTTCGTTAAACAGATCCATTCTCACAACGACTACTGGAGAGAGTATCCGTGTCTCACTGCTTTGAGCCTCGGAGTCCAGTCGATCGAGGCTGACGTTTGGGTTTTCCCCGAGCTCAACGACTCCACTGTCTACGTGGGTCACAATCTCGCCTCGTTGACGCCGGACAGAACATTCGAGAGTCTGTATTTGAACCCTATCATGTCGCTCATCGAAGCCTTTAACCCGGTCACCGATGAAACCAAGGAAGCCGACACCCTGAACGGGGTTTTCGATACCGACTCCGGGGCAACCCTGTATCTATTTGTGGATATGAAGACCGATGGACTCGCTACATGGCCGTACGTTTACAACGCTCTAGAGCCGCTTAGAAAGAAAAACTACCTGAGCACCTACGACAGTGCCAACGGCACCTGGAAACAGGGTCCGGTTACCGTTATCGGTACCGGCAACACACCGTTCGAGCAGGTGGAGAAGCTTACTGCCAGAGACGTGTTTTTCGACGGCGTTCTGGGCGGTCTGAACGATTCGTTCACAGCCTACATATCGCCGATCGCGTCAAGCTCCCTCGAGGCGTTGGTGGGGAAGGTGGAGAGCGTTGACGGTCTCAACTCCAGCCAGACCCAGCAGCTCAGCCAGGCTATCAGCGACGCACACGCCAAGGGCATCTACACACGGATTTGGGAAACTCCGTGGTGGCCTGTCGAGAAGCAGACGAACGTCTGGCGCCAGATCCTGCAGGCTGGCTCGGACTTCCTAAATGCGGACGACCTTGAGTACGCGGTCCACTTTCAGTAGAGGTTATCGATCCAGCTATCAATTGGCTAGCTGGTCGGTGATTATTTTTAGTTCGTTACGTAAGCCTAGATTTAAATGTATTTGCTGTGCCACCAGAACTGTGCAACTAGAGTATCTTTTTGTGTTTCCTCAAATTAGCCAAACTTTGCCGATAGTCCACATAGGTACAGCTTTGTCAACAATCTGACTTGTTCACGCATTCTGATACTATAGTGCAGTCTCTAGGGATCTCCGGAACGCGCGGATCAAAACCATGTTACAAGCGTTGGGATTAAGATCTTCTCCTAAGATACCGGAAGACCAGAAGGTGTCGCGGATTATAACGCAGGCCCTTCAATACGAGAATGCGCTGAAGGCCATGGACTATTTTCTGGACGATAGGTCGAGCGAGGGGCTCAAGTTACTGAAGGACCACGACCAGTCCGCGATCACGCAGCTGGCGTACGCCGTGATTCAGTTTATTGAGGCCACACTGGGATTTGAGGCCGCCACCATGAAAAAGGCGAACGACGCGCTTGTGCTTGCGGAGAACATGTCGTGGAAAGAGAAGACGTTTGCGGAGAAGAACAAGATCCAGACGTCTGCTATTTATCCTCCCGGCACCGAATGGGCCGTTACTTACGCGGAGGCAAATTTGTTGAGCGCGCTGCTCATGCTCTTGAGCGAGAGCATGGTCGATAGTGCGAAAGCACTTTTGAAACTCAGGCGTGCGTACCATACTTTGGACGACATCAGCAAGAATATGGAGCGGAACTCTGTTGAGAACGGGATGAGCAGCTCGTCGGTTAACAGCGGCTCGTCAAGCACGAGTACCGCCTCGTCGCAGCGGTTTGCAGACGTTCCCGGACTTTCGAGCGAGCAGAGCGTGAAGGACGAGGATGTTATCCGGCGGCTCGAAAAACTGTACAGGGTCAGGAAAGCTCGGATCGACGGCGAGCACATTGGCAACCCGCCGGCTTCCGAGTCGCTCAGGCACAACTTGGGTTTTAAGGAGAGACAGAAGGGCGAACTGAGCGACACGATGGGTTTCACGGTAGAGTACGGCAATTCGGACGTGCCTACAATTGACGAGTTCATCCATTCGGGAGTGAACCTTTGTTTTGGAATTTTGCAGGTTGTTTTGTCTTTGATTCCACCAGCTATTGGAAGAGTTCTGTCCGTGGTTGGTTTCAAGGGATCCAGGGAGCACGGGCTGAAAATGGTTTGGAACGCGGCGAAAGAAAGAAATATCCACGGTGGACTGGGGCTTCTGGCGCTGCTCGTGTTTTATGACGGGCCTTTCCAATTCACAGACGTTGATTTTGATCTCCCGTCCACTATAGAGCTCAAAAAGATGCACTCGCAGTCAGGGCATGCGCTTGCCGCTACTGGGACTGTGGGTCGGAAAGCAAAGGCGGAGCGCAAGATGGAGCTAGAAAAAATGGCAAGCGTCGGGGACGGTGAGCCGACACTGCTGCATCCAGGGCCGAAGCTTGTTTCTGTGCTGTTGCATGCCCGTGCTCTGTTCCCGAACGGCAATTTGTGGCTGCTCCAAGAGTCCCGGATGCTGGCCAGCCGTGGTCGGCTGGAGGAGGCGGTGGAGCTAATGGATACTGCGCATAAGTCGGAGATGAAGCAGGTAGATGCGCTATTGGGCTATGACCGTGCCATGATACTGGCTTTCATGCACAAGTTTGACCGTGCCGGTAGAGAATTTTTGGAGCTGGTCAACATCAATTCTTACTCACACTGTCTCTACACCTATTTTGCGGGAGCATGCTACCTGGAATGCTACCGTATGTGCATCACAGGACTGAATATTGATTCCGATGTCCCAGATAAGGTGGATCTTACAAAAAAAGATTATTACAAAGAACAGGCTGAGAAACATCTCAGGGCAGCTCCGTCGCTGATCGGCAAGAAGAAATTCCAATCCAAGATTCCTCCGTTTGAAAAGTTTATCGCGAGAAAATTGAAGCAAATCGAGAAGACGCGGCAAGCCACGGGACTGCCGTTTCTGGATTGTATCGGAACATCGCTGATCCATGAGCTGGTGTATTTCTGGAACGGCTACAACCGAATGACGGAGGAGCAGCTCAGACTTTCTATCAAGCTTCTCGGCTACTCGGCCGACGCAATCAAGGACAAGGACTTGGACCTTGAAAATCCAGCCACGCACAAGCCGTATAGCAAGATCAGCGAGGCGCGCGAGGAGGCCATGATCAGACACACTTTGCAGGCAATTTCGCTGAGAAGATTAGGCAAAATTGACGAAGGGGGCAAACTGCTGGACTCTACCGTCATAAGCAACATGACAGAGACGGGAAAGACTGGCGTGAACCAGAAATTGCTCAAGTTGACGGAAAACCCGTGGCTTTATCCGACTGCGTTATACGAAAAGGCACTGTTCTGCTGGAAACAGCAAGGATTTGATGGCCTGGAAGAGTCCAAAAATTGGCTTAAAAAATCTCAAACATACGGGGGAGACGACTACGAGCTGAGCACCCGGGTGTCCATGAAAACGAAAGCCGCTCTTGATAGATTAGAAGACATTCGTATTTAAGGCTAGAAGTAAATAGGTAGTGCATTATGATAAAAATCCACAGTTTAAAAATCTACGAAGCTCTTAACTACTTCTTATATTTCGCTATGTCCCAAATCAAGGTCTCTGACAAATTGCCAACAGATATCAAGCTTTACTATGTTCCATACTCTCCGGAACACGAGAACATTTGCTCAATTGCTCTGCCAAAGGAACTGGACCTGGCTGAATTGGCTCCAGGCAAGACTCTGGTAATTGTGGCTGCTCCGGGAGCATTTACTCCAACCTGCACCGAAAGACACATTCCGGCCTTCGTCCAGCACGCCGAGGAACTGAAGAAGAAGGGTGCTGACGAGATCATAGTTCTTACCACAAACGATCCATTCGTCCAGTCGGCTTGGGGTAAGGCTCTGGGCAACACCAAGGGCGTTGTCAAATTCGCTACCGATCCGTCTGGGGAGTTCAGCAAGAAGCTGGGCCTAGCTATTGACGGTGCCCCATTTGTCGCCTACCGTACTGCAAGATATGCTTTGATTGTCAAAGACGGGGTGGTCACCTACGTTGGTGTCGAAAGCGGCAAGGACGTGGTTGTCAGCAACTACGAAGCCGTTTTAGAGCACCTGTAAATGTTGGACTTACTATATCGGTGTAAGGGTGTGTAGTTTTCCGCAGTAAGCTAAAAAATAACTGAACTCAAAACAAGCATCCGGCAAATCTGATGGACGCGAGTTTGGATGAACTTGAAAGCTGTTTGCGGCACATTGAACACGAATGGCCTGAGCTAATGCGCGAGGGCTGCAACCCCCTTGAGGTGGTGATGCCGCTATTAGACAGCTCGTCTGTGGGGATGGCTCACAAACAGCCTCAGTTTCTGGAACTCAAAAATACCTTCAACCAGGTCCTCAAGCATGCCGTTAACGAGCATTTTGAGGCCTTTAATGATAGTATTGGATCCTATGGTATCACAGTGGAAACTATTCTTGAATCGCAGTCGAATCTGGAACGGGTTCGTTCGGAGCTAGCTACCGCGTCTTCCCTGATGAATTCTCCGTCCGAGGTTCTCAAGGAATTAAATCATCGTCAGAAACAAAGCGGAGATATCATTGAAGTGCTTGAGAAGATCTCTGAGGTGAAAGAGAACTTGGATCAGATCGATAGTTACAATGCAGAGAAGAATTTCAAAAGCGCTCAAGAACTCATAAATGCTACATCGAAACTGGCAGAGCAATATGGCCTCTGGCAAATAGAGGCACTTTCTGGACTGGAACAGACTCTCTACTCACAATCACAGACATTATTCGATGCCCTTCTGGAGGAAATCAACGGGCTGATCTATTTCAAAATCGACGGGTCTCGCCGAACGGTATACGACGAGCACGTCAAAAGCCGACTTATGAAAATGAGCACATCCGATATTGATGATGTCTCGCGAGCGATCAATGACCCGTTGTACGAATTTATCCAAAGTTTAGCTGAGAATACGGACGAAGGAGTTGCGCCCGGCAAGGATGTGCACACATTCCAGCTAATCAGGGACTATCTTATGATTACACACGACCTTGGAAGGCTGGATGAGGCACTTACAATTTTGGCCGAGAGGGCATTAGACGAGGTGAGACTCATGATCAATAGATCCTCGGAAGAGGTGCGAATCAAATACCCTGAGCAAATGGAGCTATCAAAAACCACCGATTTCGATATTTTCGATTTTTCGCTGTTCAACAATATGAGTGGAACAATTCTTCAGGAGCTGTTTTCGCTCCTCTTCAAGAGATGTCTGTCGCTGTTGCAGAGCCATCGAGCGATTTGGGAGATTTCGAAGATCAGTGGCTTTTCTTACGACTTGCAGCAAGTCTGGAACGCGTTGGAAAAACAGCTAAGCTCCGTCCTTGTGTCTTATTTAGTTGACGAAAGTTTGCTGGACAATGTGGAGAATGCATCGAAATTGGACGACTCCGTTCCCTACGCTCGGCTGCCTAGGGACTACATCGCGAACCGCTCGCAGCCAATTATTCAGTTTGCGAAACTCTCTTTGGATGACAAGCTATTTTCAACGGGAAACGTTCAAGGGGTCCTAAATGACCTATTCTCGGGACAGCTGGATGCAGTGAAAGAAGAGAAGGGGTCGTTCTTCATAGAGAACGAACACACAGCGAAAAAAGACCTCTTGGTTGCGCCTAACATATTTAACATGAGTGTCATTATAGAGGACCTGCTGTTTTTTGTTGGCGGCGCCAGCCACGCATTTCCTCAAGAAGATGGCAAGAACCTGCTCAAGTTCTTCCACAATTTCATGGATGTCATTTTTATGACTCAGCTTGAGAATACGCTGACATACCAGTTTGAGCACACTTCGGAAACCGGACTCTCGTTCCAACGCTTCTTCAGTCATCTTTTTCAGGTTTTCAGCACCTCAATGTATTATAGAAGACCCTATGTTCATGTCATTTTGCGAATCATGTCGAAGATGGTGGCCAAATATCAGTCACTTTTTGAAGAGTGCGTGCCTCATGACTTGAATGGAGCGCGCTCGTCCTTGGTATCGTACTGGCTGAATGATTCTCATTTAAACAAAATCTCGCTAGCTGTTTTGGATGGCGAGCTGCAACTCATTCCGGAGGAGATATCTGTGCAACTGAGAGAAGGTGGTAAGCTGTTCAAGTTGGCTGTTCCGCAGCAAAATCCTCGGTACGAAGTTCTGGCAAGACTTCTGGAAAGTTTGGAAACCACGTTGAACTGGTTGCCTAGAGTCAAGCGCGAAGTTGAGCCTGTAAGCGACACAGGCTCCAGCATGACAGTATTGAAGGCAAACTGGCAATTCATGGACCGGAGTTCCATCTCGACCATTGAGAATACGTCTCAGACGTTATTCCTTGCTCTCAGTGGAGACGCCATCACCAAATTTGACGAGATTGTTGCCAGCCTTCGCGCAGTCACTTACAGAATCAAGTTATATATTAGATACACGGTGCAAAGCACAGCAGTTTGGCATGTGACTTCCATGCTGGACAAGACGAACTGGATGCCTGATTCGGAGACCGAGGAGATCAGCGTCGATCTGAATACCTTGACCAAGAAAATGGCGTTCGTTAGCAACATCCTGGACTCCATTGTGGGCTCCGACCAGAAACAACGGATGCTGTGCGGTATACCTTCTTTCATTGATCATCTGATAGTTTCTGAGTCCAATAGAATCATCAAGATGAACCAGTATGGCGTTCGTCAGCTATTTCTAAACGTGAGGGTTGCACAGCAGATGCTGAGAAATGTGATGGAAGATCCCGAGCTTGTGGATTTCAAGAAAACAAAGGCATATTTCGAGATGTTCAACAGCTCTGAACAGGGAATCTTGGACCGAATCCACCAAGATTCCACAAACATGTTCAATCTCGAGGACTACAAAAATCTGGTCCGGTTGGTGTTCAGTGAAAGTCTTGACAAGAGTATGTCGAGCAGGTCGACTGGCTCCTACAGTGCCAGCAAGCGCTACACTGACTGTATACACAAGCTTGAAGCGGAGTTCAAACAGTCATAATTAGATGCTATACATGGTCATGCTCAGATTACATTTTTCTTAGCAGCGTGGGTATCAAGCCGGCGTCTCTTCTGAGAGTCTTCTAAAACCATGGACTCATCAGATTCGCTGTGTTCTGCGTCTTCGGAGTCCTCATCGTTGTAATCATTCACAGCTTTTTTGAAGTTTTCTTTGAGTTTATTAAGCCTATTTGTCAGCTGCTGTGATGAACTGTGGTGGCTCACGTGTTTGACATTACAGTGCTGGATGGAAAGTGGTAATTTAGAGGGAGGAAAATGAGGCGACGGCGTATCTGAGGAGAAGTGAAATTTGTAGTCTGAAGGAATCTCTCCCGTGGTAGAAATTTCATTCTTGGCAGGTTCCTGTTGCTCTTGCGGGTTGTGCGGGTTGTCTTTCTTTCCTGTGAGTTCTGCTTTTTTGGTCTTTAAGGCCGATTTCAGTTGATCCAGTGTCGTGATCGACTGGTCATTGTCAATTAGATTGAGTATGTCGTCTATGCAGCTAAGATATCCCTTGGCCTTCAACAAGGAGTTTTTGGCGTTGGACAGCCGATAAAGCGCTGCAATGGACCGTGCTCCTAGTTTGAACTCATTTGAGAGCTCTCTATTAATCTGCTCAACAGAATCGTCATCTATTGGCTGAGAAAGAGGTAAATTAGAGGACAAGTTAGAAAGATCCATCTGTGCAAGATAACGCTTTAGCAGAGGAGAAAAACTGTGCCGCAATTTGTGTGGTGGCTAACGTGGTCGTGTACGGATGTTTTCAGAGGATGGACTGGAAGGATCAGAAAGAAGTATGGGAAAAAAAATAAACCTTGGAAATTTCTTGCACAAAACTGTGTGGCACACGATTAGCACCCTGGTATAAATTCAAGAAGAGTCTCGTGTGAAGGGAACCTGATCAGACGCAACGCGCGAAGGATTTTTTAATCTATCAAGAATTCAAAGTCTAGGCCAGGTACGATCCAATCATTGCAAGAAAAATACGACTCTGCACGCGTTATGATGTACCCGTCAATGCTGTCTCATTACACACTAAACTACGCCGACCATTCACAAAAATCCAGCCCTCAGGCAAGCTTTCGATCGTTCAGCGCATCTTCAACTCCAACGCGTCCAAAAAGAAGAAACTCGGATTATGAGGACAATTTCAAGAAGGTCAAGCAGAGTCCAACTACTGCTTCCAGCAAGATCCCGACTGAGAAATTGACTTTGGAAAACATCAACCTCAACGAATATCCGAAATTTCACCATCCCGATGGGGGCTTTATTCAGTTCACCCCAATAGGAAACGTGAGAACCTGGATGGGCGACAACAACATTGTGCACAAAATTATAGAGAAAAATTCATCTTTCGATTTAAACAAGCTTAATCAGGGAATAGATGGATATACCCTGTACCTTGGAGACAATAGAGATTCAGGAATACACATAGACAACTCTCCGTCAAACGAGGTCGAGAACTATATGCGAAACGGTTATACTGGAACAGATCCTTCTGGTAGCAGTGCATCCGAAAACGCCGCATATTACGATGATGGAGGATCCTCTGCCAGTAGGCTGCAGTACTTCTTTGATGACGACGAGTTTGACAGCGACGAGAACATGGAATAAAGATTTACTCCTGCCACCAGAATATATTAGATAATCGATTACTTCCCAGCCAAGTTTCCAAAATCCAAATTAGGCAGGCGGTCCGCGCGCATACACCGATGCCCTGTTTTCGGCAGAATGTATACTAGACAGCAGAATTTTTAGTTTCCAACGGCGTTCTATAACAATAAACATCAGATCTGTATTACTGCAATGCAACTGACTCGATGAAGAGTAGTCGTATCCGTGTAGTGCTGCTAAGTGGCATATGAGTGGGTGATGAACCGTGTATTCTTAGCAGGCGCTGGAGATCTTAATTTGAGCCGCACGTAAAAATAGCGTAAATTGCACGGCCCCATAAGAAGGCTCCACTGTATTCATTTTCTTTAAACAAATCATCCAAAAGATCTATGCAAATATCAGCAATCAGGCCGCACCGCCGTTATATAGTGCTTCTTCTTACTGTGGTTCTGTGTGTGTTGTTGTACTCCGCAGCTACTTATACACCCAGAGTGGACGAAAATGCAAGAATACGAAAGATTCTCAATGACGCCAACCCAGCATCAGAAGTTGACCCTGACACTATTTTACAGCGGCTTCAGAATGGCCCGCCCTCGGCAAGCGCGTCCCCATTATCAGTGACTTCCGCTCCCTCCACAAGGGAACACGTCAAGAATAAGCCCAAAAATAAGAAGCCCAAAGTTTCTCTTGAAGAATTTGAAGAAAGCCGGGCTCGGGTCATAAATGCCATATTCAAACTCATTGCCTCCGTCCGACCAGCAGTCTCCTACACAGACAGACGATCCAATAGGGGCGACGACTCTCCACTATCTCATAGCGTGCTCACTGAAGATCTTTTATCCCAGTTTTTGCAGTTTTCTCCCGAGTTTGTTGACGCTTTCAAATCAAGCCATGCAGATATAGTCGAGAAAATCTACGGCATCAAGTTCCCACAGGGTCTCTACAAGGGAAACGGTGTGGTGATGATCGGAGGCGACGACTACTCTTGGCTCACGTTAGTGTCAATCAAAGTCATGAGAGACTCTGGTGGAGATCTGCCCGTCGAGGTGATCATGCCCCGTCGTCTCGAGTCAGACTCTCTGTTTTGCAATAAGTACCTTCCCGAGTTGAATGCCAAATGCGTCTATTTGACCGACTTGCTCGGCGAAAACTATGAATCTGAGATCAACATCAATAAATACCAGTACAAGGGAGTTGCCTTACTGGCGTCGTCATTCGAGAACCTTTTGCTTCTGGACAGCGACAACATGCCAGTCGTCCCGATCACAGATCAGCTGTTCAACAGCACACCTTTCTCTGAGTACGGGATGGTGTTCTGGCCCGATTTTTGGAAAAGAACCACCAGTCCTGTCTTCTACGAGATAGCAGCAACAGAGGTCTTACCGGTGCGTGTCAGGGACTGTCAAGTAGACTACCCTAAGTCTCAATATTCAACTTTGCGTCCCAAGGATGCCAGAACACAAATTCCTTACCACGACAGATTGGGCGCCATTCCTGACAAGAGTACCGAATCGGGCCAGTTGCTTATCTCTAAACGAGAACATGCCGACGTGGTGCTGCTCTCGCTGTACTATAACGCTTATGGCCCAGATGGCTACTATGCTCTTCTTTCCCAGGGAGTGGCTGGTGAAGGAGATAAAGACACGTTCCCGGCAGCTGCTACCGTTCTGGAAAAGAACTTCTACCAACTCAAGAAGAATGTTGGTGTCAACGGATTCATGCGCAATGGAGAGTATCGTGGAGTTGGAATGCTTCAATATGACCCAATAAATGACTACGAGAATTACCGGGAGTTCGTGAGACTCCACGAGAGCTCGGACGAGATGTTTGAAGCCCAGAACATGGACGATTTTCTGGGTCCTGAGGAGAAAAACAAAGTCATGTTTGCACACTGCAACTTCCCAAAACTCTATCCTGATGAACTGTTGGAGGATTTCGTCATCAGAAATCACGAACATATCAAAATGCTGGAATCGAGCCAGATCCCTGGCAACTACGAGTACCACTTCTGGCAGATCATGTACGACCTTATTTGCGTCGATCGGGTAGATCTGACGTATACTCGCAACAAGAAGCAGATGAGTACTACAGAAGAGCGTGCCAAGTTCTGTGACGGTCCCTTTAAAGAGCACGTTGAGTGGCTCAAAACGCGTTGATCCATTCATGCATTGTACGCGACGCGTCGATCGTCTGCGGAGGCAAACGTAAAGTAAATTTTAATAAAAAAATGATAGTAATTAAATGATTCGACTTACGCTGGGTCGTTCGCTGTTCAGACCCACACATCGCCAGATTGGCACTGCGCGGTGCCTTGGGTGCTTCTCTCATGTATCTCGCTTGAATAAGAGAACAGTGTCTGTTCTCACGCCACAACATATTAGATATTTTTCTGTCTTTGGTTTAGGTAAGGCAGCCACGAAGATCATGCGTGTTCCTGCCTATCTTGGCGGGGGACTAGCGGCTGCAGGGTCTTATGTGGCCTACAAAGTGGACCAGGCTACCAGCTACACCCAATCGCATCTTGACTCTGCCAAAGAATTTGCTGGGAACGTGGCAAACGAGGTTGGGGGGTTTTTCAATGGCATATTCTCCGGTTCAAGTGACTCCTCAGGGGGAAAGGATGGAGGGGATGGAGGAGATACAGGAGTAGTTGCTGGATCTGGGGCAGCTGCAGCAATCGGTTTGGCTCAAGATAACGAGGACGACGAAGAGATGGATGTCCTCGACAACGAGGAAGAGGAGGAAGAGGACGCTCCGGACAATACTGACGACGCAATGTTAAATCTCACGCGCCAAATGATTGAGATCAGAAGCATTTTGCTTAGTATAGGGGGATCCAATGCTTTGCGACTTCCCTCGATCGTGGTGATAGGTTCACAGAGCAGTGGTAAATCATCCGTTCTTGAATCGATTGTGGGGCAAGAGTTTCTTCCCAAAGGGTCTAACATGGTCACTAGACGCCCAATAGAGCTGACATTGGTTAATGACAGCACACTTGCAGCCGAGACTGCAGAATTTCCTGCGCTAAAGATGTACAATATGACAGACTTCCAACAAGTGCAAAAAGTGCTGTATGAGCTGAACATGAGCATTCCTGAGACCGAAGCCGTGTCCAGCGATCCTATCCAGCTTGTGATAAAGTCCCCAAAGGTTCCCGATTTGTCATTAGTGGACTTACCGGGTTACATTCAAGTCGAGGCTGCAGACCAGCCTGTCACCCTAAAATCCAAAATTCGCGAGCTCTGCGATCGTTATCTGGAGGAGCCTAATATTATACTGGCCATAAGTGCAGCAGATGTTGATCTGGCCAATTCCTCCGCGTTGAGAGCTGCCAAGAAGGCTGACCCAAAAGGAGAGAGAACGATTGGAGTGATTACAAAGATTGATTTAGTCGACTCCGAGACTGCTCGCAAGATGCTCACGAACAAAAAATACCCTCTGAAGATGGGATATGTAGGTGTTATCACGCGACCTCCTCCATCTACATCCCTGTTTCGACGTCATAGTGGTGCACAGGCATTTGTTGCTCAGCAGAATTTCGAGAGAGCCTATTTCAAAGAACACAAAGATTCATTTGTAGGCACTACAGTCTCTACAAAGGCGCTGAAGAAAAAGCTGATGAAGGTGCTTGAACGATCAATGGCCAATTGTCTCAAGCCAATGCATGTTGTCGTCTCGAACGAGCTTGAGGAGGCCAGTTACAAGTACAAGGTGGAGTTCAATGACAGAGACCTAACGAGTGAGAAGTACATGGCACAGACGATAGACAATTTGAAACTCGCCATTAAAGAGTTTAGCGAGCGTTTTGGAAGACCCGAATTGCGTGCGCTACTGAGAAGCGAGCTTGATCAGAAAGTTCTTGACCTCATTGCTCTGAGGTACTGGAACAAGCCTCCAGTGGCAAATAAAAGCAAGGAAAGCGAGAATGAGCCATCGCTCGATGAGCTTGCAACTGCACCTCCCAATGACAACTTCTGGCATCGCAAGCTGGATATAGCGACAGCAAGTTTAACCAAGCTGGGGGTTGGCCGTCTTGCTACGACTTTAATCTCCGACGCCATTTTGACTGAAATTGACGTTCTTTTGGACAACACGGAGTTGCGGTCGCACCCGATGATCAAAAATGCTATTAAGGATGCTGCTGTATCTGTACTAACCACCAGATACAACTCAACTGCTGAGCAAGTGGAGAATTGTATCAAGCCTTATAAATATGAGATTGAGGTCGATGACAGAGAATGGGCTTTGAGCAGGCAGCATGCGACGATGCTCCTGAAAGAAGAGCTTAAACAATGTACTTCAGCTTACAATCAGTTGAAAAAGACGCTAGGGGGTAACAAATTGAAGCAGATCACAACGTACTTAGAAAACGAAAACAATCTTGTTGGCCAGACGATTGCGAATGAAAACCTTGGATTCAGCCCAGGCCTTCTTTCACGTGGACGAGAGGCGTTGTTTTTGAAGGAGCGTTCCAGACTGCTGGCCATGCGACTCAAGTTTTTGCAGTCAGACTGCAAATCGAAAGATAACAAGTATAAGTGCCCAGAAGTGTTCATGGACTTGGTGGCCGAAAAGCTGACACAAACGGCTGTTCTCTTTTTAAACGTCGAATTATTGAGCGACTTTTACTATACTTTCCCTCGGGAACTGGAAAAGAAGCTTGGACAGAGCTTGACACCAGAACAGATTGAGCAGTTTGCGAAGGAAGATCCTAAAGTGAAGAAACATATCGAGCTGCAAGAACGCAAAGAGCTTTTGGATTTGGCTTTGTCGAAAATTGAGGATGTCATGGCACTTCAGAAACGAATTGTATAAAGTATATATAACGGAGTAACGATTACAATGTGCCATAACTATAGAGCGTAGGAGCCTGGATCATTCGTGGAGACATGTACTGGAATGTAAGCCCTAATTATTTATTGTAGATATTTAACTCTGGCTATCGAATGATGTCATGCGGTAACCTCGGCCTCTATTTTGACTAGAATTGACATACACTGAGGTGGTTCCCACTTCTTATGAATCTCTTATCTATTACATACAATGGCTCGTAATAAATGGGCGCGTATCACATACAATCTTCGTGCTGCCACCACCTATGTCAATCCTCTCTACAAGGCGTAGGTAATGACCTCGTGGTACATTCTGACGGTTCTAGGTTCCTTGGCCCAGTTGGTTAAGGCATCGTGCTAATAACGCGGGGATCAGCAGTTCGATCCTGCTAGGAACCAACCTTTAATTTTTACCGGCCATTGAAAGAAAAAAAGCACTCACTATACATCAAATGTCATATTAAAGTCGTCAATAGAGTCCAAAAATTGGCCCCATCCGTGATCGCCTAGAATATCCAAGATCGCCGTATGCAGCTCAGGAACTTGTCCCGGCACCTCGGGAAATGGATTTTCCTTTTGTTCCGTGCTGATCGAAGCGTCGGATGCACGCGGCATTGCACCTCCTTCCACCTCGTAAAACTTAGATTGAGGCGTGGCCAAGCTCTCGTTTTCTGTCCGGGCATAGCGGCTGGTAGGATTCGAATCCGAAGAGTAATTGATAAACTTAAGCTGCTTTCTTAACTTGCTTTGAGCTTTGGAACGGATATTTGCATGAATCTGAGCCATATTCGGGTCCTTCGTATTGCTAGCTTGTCGCATCTTCGTAATTGATTCTATCGACTGAAGGCCTCCCCTTCGATCACCCGCGACCATGAGATTAATTAATTTATGAAGCACATACAAGCCCCGCACAGCGGGACGAACTATGAGCTTATGTGAGCCCAACACAGGTATAATTTTCTTGACAAGAGAGACGACTGATTTTTGACGGCTGGCAGTCTGCTTGTTCAACATTGCGTCGACAAGCAAAAAGACCGCGGCAGAGACAGCTAATTCGCACACAAACCATGGCTTTTTGAACAAGTGTGGGACCTTAGGATCGGCGTACTGTTTGAGGATGGTCTCTGCGCAATTGCAGCACAGTTCGTAGCAGTCTGCAGTCCAGTGGTCATACGTCATAAATCTAGACATTTTGCTGTTGATATCAAGTCGCTCCTGAAGAATGATATAGTCGGTCAAAAACTTAATGAATTCCACTGTGGTGGAAAAGTGAACGTCGGCATGGAGACGTGCGTGGTCCATGTAACTTTCAAAATCCTTTCTGACAGTGATTTCAAGCACGCGGAGCTCAAGATCTGCCTTTTCAAGCGACTGGAGAGTCAGCTCGCTTTTTAGCACTGTGTCGTCAAAATAGTAATTTCTCTTGATGGTTGCAATTTCGGCAACAAATCTCTGATAGTAGTTATCCCAGTCTAGCACTTTATCCGGGATTTTCCACTTCCTCGGCTTGGGCGTACAGAAAGTCCCAGGTGCGATCAGAGAATAGCGGAACTGGTCCTCGTACCAGTCAACATTCACCAGCGACCACCAGCATCTGAGCTTCATGTCGGTTTCAGGGTCGACTGAGTCGCCGGCAACGCTGTCCAGTTTCAGCTTCCGCGCGCAGTAGCACATAATCCCAACAAGACTATTTTGCAGATGAACTCCTCCCAGGGGATGCGCACATAGCTTGAGGAGCGAGAAGAATTGGATGGCTCTAATGTTAGGGAAGGTCATGTATCTGCCGCGGAACAGGCATTCGAGGCCGCAGGCGAAAAAAGAGCGAGCGTGAAGGTCCAATTCCTCGTCAGAAAAACCTAGCTTCTGTTGCAGAGTGTCGTCTGAATAGTATACTCCAATGCATAGTAGCATGTAATATTGAGCCAGAAAAAGATACTCCTTGCTAGACTTCGAATAGTACGGGGTAATGTGCTTCTCAGTGATGGATGGATCGTTCCAATACGATTCGTACTCCTGTAAAAATCTGTCGTTATCCAAAACATTGTGAAGAAAAGATAGGCGCAGTGCACTCTCCAGGATCAGATCCGAGTGGGTCTTGTCAAGGTTAGCTATAAGCCTCAATTGGTAGTTCCAGACATCCGATTTTTCGTCCCCGCATCGAATCGACCTCATTAGTTCCTTGTTGGGAATTCGGGACCATTCCTCGGTATTCGCATCGAAATTCTGGTCATCGTCGTCCTGTAGGCCCTCGGCTAGGCCTTTGTTGAGAAGGCTGATAACCACGCTGTAACTGTCCCATTTGGTGGACAACTCCAGGCACACCCCACCATGGGGTCCAGAGAGCTCGAGGGAAGATGCCTTTCGTCCTGAGGCCCGCGGCACATCAGCCGAATTGGAACTGTGGAGAAACGAAAACTCCGATCGGAGTTTGAAAACCGTTCTTTCCAGGTCCTTGATTTTCCGTTTGAGTACCTCGTTTTCCTGGGCGAATTTCATCTCGATAAACTTTTCGTCCCCTGCATTGATCACCACCCCGTCCACAATGACAGGCTCACGACTGCAAAGATGGCCTTTGTTGCGGGCGATGCATTTGTCGCAAGGCACCTCAAAGTTGCACTTGACTTTGCGCTTCTTACAGCTGAGGCAAGTCTTGGAAATACGAGTAGTACGCCGTAGCTTGGTAACGTCCAGCCTAGTAAACTCCGCAGCAGAATTCCTCTTCTCCGAAGGTAGTCTCTCCGCAGAAGCCATAGATTTTTGAAATCAGAAATGTGTGCTGGATATTAACACCCCTGCACGGGGCTGCACCCCAATTTTTTCCGGGCGATCGTATGATGCTACCATAAGCCCGCAGATAACATCTGACTTTACATACAGGCAAAATATTGGTGCAGGGTGTCCGCAGGCCGATCAATGCTGTCACGCACGCACCTTAATCGTCCGTCGTGGTGTGCTGTTTCATAGCTGATTTTCTCAGCTTAATTGACATCAGATGGTGTTGCTACAAAGAACAAATCTAATTCGTCGTAAAAGCTCGGCGTAGACCATTCCCCCCTGTAGTGTGAACTAAGCTGTTGAGGCGTCCGGTGTATCCAATTGGACACACCCCGTCATGGGGTGTAGTTTACCCCGCCACGGCCATCCGGCAGCCCCACTCACCGCTTTGGGCTGAGTATGGTCCAATTGTTACGTGCAATTTTTCGGACATTGAAATCCACCCACTCGGAGTAAAGCAACTCGTACTGACTGAAAAGTAAGACGTCATTATTAATTAGGCTGCACAAAAATATAAATACGAGACACTTTTCCCTCTTCTTACCCATCCATCCATCAATCAATCAATCAATAAAAAATGACTTCCATTCCAAAGACTCAAAAGGCTATTGTTTTCGAGAGCAACGGCGGTCCTCTCCTCTACAAGGACATTCCAGTTCCACAACCAAAGCCAAATGAAATTCTGGTCAACGTCAAGTACTCCGGTGTTTGCCACACCGATCTCCACGCTTGGAAGGGTGACTGGCCATTGCCTACCAAGCTTCCACTGGTTGGTGGCCACGAGGGTGCTGGTGTTGTTGTTGCTAAGGGTGCCAACGTTACCAACTTTGAGATCGGCGACTACGCTGGTATCAAGTGGTTGAATGGCTCGTGTATGGGTTGTGAGTTCTGTCAACAGGGTGCCGAGCCAAACTGTCCTGAGGCCGACCTATCCGGTTACACTCACGACGGCTCTTTCCAACAGTACGCCACTGCCGATGCCGTCCAGGCTGCCAAGATTCCAAAAGGAACTAACTTGGCTGACGTCGCTCCAATTCTTTGTGCCGGTGTCACCGTGTACAAGGCATTGAAGACCGCCGAGCTGAGCCCAGGCCAATGGGTTGCTATCTCTGGTGCTGGTGGAGGACTGGGTTCTCTTGCCGTGCAATATGCTGTCGCCATGGGCCTGAGAGTCCTGGGTATCGATGGTGGTGACGAAAAAGCTCAGCTCTTCGAGAGCTTGGGCGGAGAAGTCTTCATCGACTTCACCAAAGAAAAGGATATTGTCGGAGCTATCCAGAAGGCCACCAACGGTGGTCCACACGGTGTCATCAACGTTTCCGTGTCTCCAGCTGCCACCTCTCAATCTTGCCAATACGTGAGAACCCTCGGTAAGGTTGTGCTTGTTGGTTTGCCAGCCGGTGCTGTTTGCGAGTCTCCAGTTTTCCAGCACGTTGTCAAGTCTATCCAGATCAGAGGTTCCTACGTTGGTAACAGACAGGACACTGCCGAGGCGATTGACTTCTTCGTCAGAGGCAAGGTTAAGGCTCCAATCAAGGTTGTTGGCCTTTCTGAGCTGCCAAAGGTGTTCGAGTTGATGGAACAAGGAAAAGTTGCTGGAAGATACGTTCTTGACACCTCCAAATAGTTTATGATGAGTAAAATGATGTTTTCGTTATGTGAATAGGTGAATGAATATGATGTGAAGATATATTTATATTTCGTCAGGCTTTATTTTGCCAGTACTAACAATGTCGAGTAAACGGTTTACTTTTGCCTGCAAAAGCTTATCATCCTGCTGCCACTCCACCGGTTTCGGCACCTGTCCCAGTATCCATGCCTCTTTGAGCTGTCGTGTAATAGCGAGCAACTCCTCCGTGAGCCGCACTATAGTGGCCGCGTTCGACTCAATTTGTAACGCCTCGATGGCGTGCGTCTCTTGCGACTTTTCCTGAACGGACGAAAGCTCGACAATGTCATGGAACTTCTGCAGTATGAGTTCGACGTTGTTGTCCACGCGAGATAATATCGAGGTAAATTTTTGGGACATGGAAGAAGAACTGATTATATATTTGGCGAGTCACTATTTTTATTTTGGCGGTGAAGTAGAACCTAAAATTAAAGGCCGCAGCAGAAAGCACGGGAGCGAATCGTAACAATGAGCCGGCCACTCTGTTTCACCATCGTGACTATGCAGCAGCATCAGTACATGTTTATGCCGCTTTCTCGGACAGGAATGCCTTTTTATAAATAACTCATCTTCACAAGCTACCATTTTCAATGACTGGCCCCCACAACATCCCGCACTGGGATTACGGTACATGTGCCAAGGGCAACCGTGCTCCTTCAAGCTCATCATCGGGGCTCATGCTCAGGGGTAAGTGAGTTTCCGAGAGGTCTAACAATGAAGAACACGGCATTGTAGCCGTTGCCCAGCCCGAGGTGGTACAAAATTACCTTTTCCCGATCAGCGACATGCTCGCAAACAAGATTCTGACATACAGAGAGTCGGTGAATAAACTCATGGATGCAGATACCACTGCAGAAAAACACAAGCTGCTGATCATTGCCGGTCCCTCAACCATGACGAGTCCGATCCAGTCCAAATTCTGCGCCCAGTGGATCTCGAAACTATGCGGAAAACGGTTATATAATGCTGTGGTCCCGTCAGGCGATCAGATCCCAACTAAACTGGCAGACACACTACAAGACATATATTCAGAGGAGCTGGACTGCTCTGGTTCTGTGATGCTGGCCATGAGGGCCAACTTCACCGACTATGATCAAGGTCCCGCTCTCGTCAGACAATCCAAGGAAGTGATGTACGGACTGCCGCTCTACCGAACCTTAATGCACGAATTGGCCAAATTCTGTCCACTGACAGTGAGCCTGTCAAATACGATTTCCCCACAGTATTTTTCGGACCTGTGCTGCCTCGGACTTGTGGATTCTTCTCTCCTTGAAAGCCAGCTTCACAGGGAGCTGGTTTCCGGGGTGTCGTATCCCTGCGGGTTCCAGATCACAGAGTGCGACAGCTACAAGATCGGCAAGGGCGTCGAGGCAATGTATGCGTCCAGCTTCCCGCACAGTTTTCTCACAATCACCAAAAACGGGTCTGTGGCACAGGTCGAGACGACGGGAAACCATGATACATTTCTTGTGCTACAGATGGCGGACGATATTGCAGATTCCAACTTTTTCAAGCTGCTTGCTGCCGCAGACGAGGATTGTGCGAACGGTAGCAGGCTCCGGGTTGTAGTTGACGTGGGCAAGCTGCATCTAGCAAACTATCAAAGGAAAACTGCATTGGTGCTACAATTGATCCAGACGCAGAGCTACTATTCAAAATTGCTCGGGTTCATTATCGACTCCGGCAATGTGTACTTACCGGAGGAGGCGCAACTCGAGGAAATAAATCCGATGGTGTACGACCAGCAAGAGTTCGTGCAATACAGCAACCTAGGACAGAGGCTGATCAACAAGAGCGACAAGCCAGTAAGCCGGAGCCAGAAAGAGGACTACGTGCACTTCATCCTTGCACACAGTCTCATACGCACGATTGTCGGAGTAAACAGTTGATCACGAGATTCGCGACGGGACGAATATTACGCAACGCAGCATTTGCTCCGGGGAGGCGGTAAAATAGTCTACAAAGTAGTGTGAGTCGGCACGCAAATTCCTAACAGGTTCGCGAACATGTGGACCGGTTTTTTTATATGGCAAGCCGTAACTTCCCCTGCGCTTGGCAGCGACCCGGAGTTTTTGCTCTGGTCAGGCATTTTCCCAAAAAAACCCCAGCTCGTCCAAACTATATAAAGACACTTATTGCAACTTATTTACAACTAAAATATATAATAACAATGGGATTGGACTTCTTGAAGAGAAAAACTGGTGTGATCGTTGGTGACGACGTCAGAAACCTGTTTCTGTACGCACAGGAAAAGGGCTTCGCCATTCCCGCCATCAATGTGACCTCCTCCTCTACCGTGGTTGCTGCTTTGGAGGCTGCCAGAGACAACAACTCGCCAATCATCCTGCAAACCTCCAATGGTGGTGCCGCTTACTTTGCCGGTAAGGGTGTCAAGAACGACGGCCAGAAAGCTTCGATTGCCGGTGCCATTGCTGCTGCTCACTACATCAGATCCATTGCCCCAACTTACGGCATCCCAGTTATCTTGCACACCGATCACTGCGCCAAGAAGCTTTTGCCTTGGTTCGACGGTATGCTCGATGCCGATGAGGAGTACTACAAAATCCACGGTGAGCCATTGTTCTCCTCGCACATGTTGGACCTCTCGGAAGAGACCGACGACGAGAACATTGCTACTTGTGTGAAGTACTTCACCAGAATGTCCAAGATGGGCCAGTGGCTCGAGATGGAGATCGGTATCACTGGTGGTGAGGAAGACGGTGTCAACAACGAGAATGCCGACAAGGAGTTGCTCTACACAAAGTCAGAGACCGTCTTTGCTGTGCACAAGGCTCTGGCTCCAATCGCTCCAAACTTCTCGATCGCTGCCGCCTTCGGTAACGTGCACGGTGTCTACAAGCCAGGAAACGTTGTCCTGAGACCGGAGATTTTGGGAGAACACCAGGCCTACGCAGCCAAGCAGCTTGGCTCCAAAACCAACAAGCCACTCTTCCTAGTTTTCCATGGTGGATCTGGCTCTACGCAACACGAGTTCGACACTGCCATCTCCAATGGTGTCGTCAAGGTCAACCTTGACACCGACTGTCAATATGCTTACTTGACTGGTATCAGAGACTACGTTCTGAAGAAGAAGGACTACATCATGAGTCCTGTTGGAAACCCAGAAGGGGCCGACAAGCCAAACAAGAAATACTTTGACCCAAGAGTTTGGGTTAGAGAGGGAGAGAAGACCATGTCTGCTCGTATCACCGAGGCATTGGAGATCTTCCACACCAAAAACCAGCTTTAATGGTGGTATTTAAATAGGTAAATCTTCAATACCAAAGATTATGTCATATAACCGATGCAAAGATGTTTTTCCTTTTAGTCGCAGGATGACGGGGGCACACATTCATCTTTTGGTGTAACTCAGCTAGGTCGTGCACCACACATCTCAGGTTTTCGTCGAATTTTTCAAAAAAAGATGATGGCAACTACCATTTATTTGAAGTGACTTTGTGATTGAAATTATTGGGAACAAGAAAGGGGCCTTCTATTAACCGTTTAAAGGTTGCTTCATACTACAAATTTCATCATTCGGTCCAGTCATCACGATCTAAATTTGTAAACATATATAGCCATGTCGGAACAGCAGGACACCACATCGGAACACACATCGAAACGGGGCAACAACCCCAAGCACAGAGGCGGCTCTAAGAAGAATAGCAATACAGCCAATGGCGGTGGGCTCTCGCATGAGCTTAAACAGAAATTCCAAACTTTGACAGAGTTCTTCCCAGATTGGTCGTTTCAAGATTTTGTGACGATTCAAGAAGAGATTGCGAACGTCGACATAACTGAAATATCTGAAGGCATACTGACAGGGAAAATCCAAAAATGGGACCAGGTGGTGAAAAAGGACGAAAAAAAGAAGTCTCAACATACTGAAGAGCACCACGACGAGCCATCGGCTCCTGCTCCTGTGCAGATAGGTAAAAAGGCTCATCAACAAAATAGATTTGTCGGTTCGAAGCCAAGACCAGCGCATAAACAGAAAGACTCGACACCACCCGCATCTAAAGTGTCAAAACAGCCTGCTTCGTCTGCAACTAGCGCCGCTCCAGCTCCTCATACCGCCTCTTCTCTACCTTCCCAAGGCTCTTCGTGGGCCAGTGCGCTAGCACAGAAGCCTGCGAAGGCTGCCAAGGTGCCTGTGAAGGAAGAAGTACCATCTGAGCCCAAGCCCACCGATAAACCTGTGGTGAAGAAAGAGACTACCAAAGAACCAGTCAAGAAGAAAGAGCATGTTCCAGCTCCGGTTTCCGAGTCCAAGCCTTTGAGCTGGGCTGCTGCCGTGGCGCCAAAGCCAAAGATTGCAAAGAGACCGGCTCCGGAGCCCAAGAAGGAAGAACCTGCTGTCCCAGCACCGGAGTCTGTGGTTGGTCAGAAACAAGCTTCTCCTGAAATCGCTAAGGAAACTTCTGCCCTCAAGAACACTAAGAAACCCATTCAGGGCGCTCCAGTGGTTCTTCCATCTTCGGCTACCCAGGTGGGTTCGGTGGATGGCATTTCTTTCGGATCGATGACTTTGAACGATAAAGAGGAGGAAGTCGCGGAGCAACCAGCCCAGCCAGCACAGCCAGCCCAACAGGTTCAACAAGCACAGCCAGCTCAACCCTCTCAGCCTTCCCAAAGCCCTCAAAACGCACAGTCCGAATACAACAAGAACTACAGAAACAACAGCCATTACAACAACTACCAACAACCACAACAGCTCCCACAGCAGCAACCACAGCAGCAGCAGCAAAAAGCTTACGACCCATCCAACTACTACGGCGGACTCTCGGACCTCAACAAATACCTGCGTTCTCCAGCAGCCAACGGCCAGTCATACGATCAACAGCAGTACCAGCAATTATTCAACCAGCAACAACAGCTTCTGCAACAGCAGCAGGCTCTTGCTGGTGCCAATCCTGCCGAGATCAATCCACAGTCCTCGGTCGCTAACTCTATGAACCCGCCCTCGTCACAGGTCCAGGCGCAGCCTCAGGCTCAAGCACACGCTGCTGCCGCTGCCTCTCCAATGGCCCCAGGAATGAGCAACCCTATGATGGGAATGCCAGCCTCCTACTACCCTTACTTCAACTACTACCTTCCATTCTATTCCCAGCCTAATCCTGCTGCCAACCAGTTCTACATGAATTACCAGGGCCAGCAGTCTCCATCCCAGGCTGCTCCTCCACAGCAGAATAGTTTTGGAAACAGCTTCCAGAACAAGGTTTACGGCCACCAGCAGGCTGCTGCCAATGGTGGCGAGGACGAGAGCTCGAAGACAGCTGCCGGGGCACAGGGTGCTCAACAACAGATGAATTCAGCCATGTTGATGCAACAGCAGTATGCCCAATACCAGCCACCAGCTCCAGGATCGCAAGCAGGTGCTCCAGGTTTGGCTGGGTCTCAGATTGGTGGTGTGGCAGGCGCAGCTACCGGAGCGGGCGTGTCAAACACTCAGGCTTACCCATACTACCAAAATCAGTACCAGTATCCGGGAGCTGGTGATTATGGAAACAACACCAAGGGCTGGTTTTAATGATGAAACAAACTCATATAGGTCACTGACTGTGAGTGTATATAAATGGTAAACAGAGTTGGTGTAGAGATGCACAGCCTTCCTCTCAGCGTGATCCGCGACGACAGGGTAACTGTTTCCTTTTCCAGCCAAAAACCATCGCTTACAATTTTGCAAGCAATTTTCACTATATAGACTTACTCCTACTATAGAGTGTCTATATTTTTCCTCCTTACAAATTTATTAGTGCGTTTACTCCATACTAAGGGAATTGACGCTACACTATAGTAAGTAATATTATTATGGCATGCCATACCAGCAAACACATGTCTGCGCTTGCGAACGATGGCCAATTGACCATTCCGCTCCGCTGGATTGCTGTTTTGAAGTTCGCCACAGGACATTGGGCCTTGTGTTGGGGGTAATAGTGCCGATGGGGGCAGGGAGCAAGGATGTCGAAAGGTCTTCGACTCGAAAAATAAGACTTCCCTGCGAGTAAAGACTGATTTCCCGAACCGCCTGAATGCGTTGTGTCGCCTCCGATACGCTGTTTCGTGGCCTTGAGGGGACGGCTGAGCTTCTGCAAATTCATGGCTGTGCTACGCTTTTACGGGTTATTGACCCTGTAGAAGCTGCCCCGAGAAAAAAACTCTATTTGCTGGGCGGCACATATTTCTAAGTGGCAGATACGCGGTGGAGCAGAATTCGCGGGGGTGCAGGAATATGTGTTTATTTATATGCGGAGCCAGGTGCCGTGTTTGTTACTAGTCAGAAAAACTAACCATTAGACTATGGCTGCTGCTACTACTAAGAAGACCGCAAGAAAGAAGAAGGACCCAAATGCCCCAAAGAGATCTCTCTCGGCTTACATGTTCTTCGCTAACGAGCAGAGAGACATCGTGAGGGCCGAAAACCCAGGTATCGCATTCGGACAAATTGGAAAGCTGCTAGGCGAGAAGTGGAAGGCGTTGGACGAAGCTGGAAAGGCTCCATACGAGGCCAAGGCAGAGGCAGACAAGAAGAGATACGAGCTCGAGAAGAGCGAGTACACTAAGTCCCAGGCTTAGGAAAAACTGTATCTTTTCTGTATGCTATCGAATCAGCATGCCTGGTTCTCAGCTGTATATTAGTTCCGTTGTTGTGATAGCTTTGGGAATTTATCGGATGAGTATCTACACTGTTCTCTATCTACTTTCAGGTTTTATTATCGCTCTGAATACTGCATTAATTCGTAGCACGGCTCAGAACTGCGACGCCTTCGACGTGGTGTGTCTGCGGAAAAAAGTCGAACCCAATGATGCTTTCAAGTTTATAGTCCTTGCCCTTTTCCGTTTCCGTGAGGAAGTATTCCACATCTCTGGCTTGCGAGTGAACATTGCAAGAAACATAAACAATTCTTTTCGGATAGAACTCTGCGAGCTGCTTCAGGAAAACCTCATCGCACCCTTTTCGTGGAGGATCTAAAATCACAGATGTTCTGTCCTTAGGGAAATCGATCTTCTCAAAAAGCTTTTCAGCTTTGCCCTCAATGAACTCGCAATTGTGAATATCGTTCAGTTCCACATTTCTCTTGGCGAATTTGATCGAATGAGCAGAAATCTCCACGCCTAACGATTGGCGAACAGACGATGCACACGAAATGCTGAACAGACCTGATCCGCAGTACGCGTCGACAAGGTAATTATCGCCGGACTCGTCGAATGCAAGGTTAGACTTGACGTACTCTAAAACTTTTGGCAAGATAGAGTTATTGTTCTGAAAGAACTCGTTGGCCACGAAGTCAAACCGCAAGCCATTCACGTACTCACTCACAATGGCGTTGTTGTCAGTGACACAGGTCTTGAACATGTCATCTTTCTCCACAACTGAAAGCGTTCCATCCTCTGTTGTAGATCCCTTCAGCTCCTCACGACTGCGTCGAGTGTCTTCTCTGAGCAAGACTGTCGCTCCCTTGTGTTTCACTTGTCCAGCTTCGATTAGCTTCTCAAGCCGCGCGCGCTCATTCTTCAATCCCTGTCTCACAATGTCTGTTCCTATTATGCAATCCTCGATATCCATCACTTCACCGGGGTAATCTCTTTTTGGCACGTCTCTCCAAGATGGACGGCCCTTAGAGCCAAATCCAAAATTGGGACGCAGTGACGGATCCTGGTGGCGGCTGAATTGGTAATGAGGAGTCAGTTTTGTGCGGTAACCATACTGGAGCGGACTAGCAACAGTTGCTCCAACCTCAGGCAATTTTCCCAAAGATGTCAGACGTGGAGCAAAGTATCTATAGGCGTTGATTATAGTTTGGCGTTTGAAATTGAGCTGGTCGTCATATTCGATCGGCTGGTACTGACACCCAGAACAGGCTCCAAAATACTTGCATCTGATAAGTTCCTGTTTCCTCAGGGGTGAGGGTTTCTCGATTTCGAGCAGATCGGCGTCCACATGGGTCTCTTTGGTCATGAAAACTCGGATTGTAACAATGTCCTCTGGCATCGCGAACGGAACCAATGCGATCTGCTTCCCATCTGGAATTTCAGGGTGTGGTAGCAACGCCAGTCCTTCGCCGTTGGAGGAGTACTTCAGAATTTCGACAGACTCAACCACTCTGTTGTATTTTGCACGCAAGTCTGTATTATTTAAAACCTTGTTTAAGGGGTTAGACACCTGTGCAAGGGTCAGATTGTGCTCTCTGCATATTTCTGGGATCTCATGATTCAGTAGCACTCCCAACGGCGTAGTAGGTTCTGGGTTCTGTTTTTTGGCCCTGTGTCTTTTAATATTACGGTTCCCGCTCGAGACAGGTGGCATGGCGACTTTGGACGGCATAGGGATACGTTTCAGTACTGAGCGACCCAATGCAGAGGACATAAAAATTTACGGTATAAAATTTTTCGGAATGGGCCAAGGCGGTGCATAAATTTTGTAGCCAACTACAGGCCACGGGACTGTAATTACCATCTCAAGAAGAGAAGTCGAGGATATCAACTAGAAAAGTACAATTAGAAGACGTGTACAAATATACATCGACAAATGATGCACAAAACTGTCTGTCTTCGCGCCATTCTTCGAATTGTAGACCCTGCACAGTCAGACGATCACGCAGCAGCCACCCTTGTCTTGGAATGCGGTTTTGGATGACTTGTTCACAGCAGGCTTGCTTGCGGCAGGCTGTGCGGCGACAGGAGCGACGTTTGAGAGCTTTTCGGCCATTACACTTGCACAAACGTCAAACACTTTCTTGACGTTCTCTCCCGTGATGGCTGATGCTTGAAGATGTCCCATCACGGTGTGTCCAATCTGGGAACTGATCTCAAGCTCCTCTTGCTCTGTCACAAGCTGGTCGTGACTCAGCTGGTTTTTCAGATCGCATTTTGTTCCAACAAGAACTATGGGGACATCTGGCTGATAGTTTTGCACTTCGGGAATCCATGTTTCTATGATATTCGAGAGCGACGGCTGAGAATCCACAGAGTAGCATGCGACCACCACATCGACATCGGAGTAGATGGGTGTCCGAAGTCCTTCGAAATCTTCTTGTCCGGCAGTATCGTGCAGAGAGAGCTTGAATGTCGAGGACCCATTTGAAATGAGACAATTGTACGTCTCAAATATTGTTGGGATGTAGTCCTTGTGATTGGCCGGCTTGCCATCTTTGTAATTAATCAATAGCGATGTCTTACCACATCCCGAGTCTCCAATGACAACTATTTTAATCTCCTTGGCTGGAGTCTGGCCATTGTCTACCTGCTTAAAAGATTCCAGGCTCGAGGGTAGTTTATAGACAGAGGCGGACATCAATGTTTATTGCGAACAAACAAAGAATTCTCCCACAGCTATTATTGGTTTGAATGTGATTTTACTCTAGTGACTCGATGTGCCAGGTAGCACAACTCAACATCCTTACACAGATAACGCGCACATGATGCGATTTTGTTTCTCGAAAGAGGTAGCCCGGCGACTTGTCACCAAATACGCTGTCGCACAGCGTTTCCTGCATTGCCATGCCTCCAGGTCGCCACTTTCAGGGTTTGCCCTGTTCATTTGCTCTGTATTCTTCACGGCTAACGATTTTCATAGACTGATCGTGACCCGTGCACGACTTTTATCTATATTTGGAAGCATATAAACACAAATTTCACTGCGATAAACACTCCGTAAACAACATGGACCCTTTCTTTGTGGAGCCCATAGCGCGGGGAGGCGAGTACAGACTGCTTACGCAGTCCGATCTGCCCATTCCTGACCCAGATCTGCAATTCAAAATAGTCATCGTTGGAGACTCAGGATGCGGTAAGACGTCCCTATTGTCATCCTATATTCGAGGATCCTTCCCATCGGAGTACGAGCCGACCATCTTTGAGAACCATAGAGCCTTTCTTCAGGACAGCTCACAGCAACACATACTAACCGTCGATCTTTGGGACACAGCAGGGCAGGAAGACTACGAGAGACTGAGACGGTTGAGCTATCAGGACTCAAATCTGATCATTCTAGCATACTCGCTGGCCGCTAAGGACTCGCTGCTTAACATTCCAGAGGTGTGGGCTCCTGAGATCCTTGGGTTCTGTGTCAAGACCCCAATTGTGCTTGTAGGCCTGAAGGCTGATGTTTCCAAAAAGGAGGTACATCCGGAGCAGGCATATAACGTGGCCAAATCGATCGGTGCTGTTGCGCATGTCGAATGCTCGGCGAAACAGATGTACAACGTTGATCAGCTGTTCAATGCGTGCGTGAACGTCGTCTACAATCAGCACCAGGCAGCTGCCAGAGAAGCTGCGAGGGACTCGAAGCGGTTCAGCAAAGGACATTTCAGAATTGCCAGCAATAGCAACAATCTTGCGACTGTTGGTTCAGAGATCTCCAAGGAGTCTCGCAGCGACTCCTGTTGTACAGTAATGTGATACCCTAGCAACAGATTTACGTAATCAATAATAACACGGCGAAAACCAGCGTACGTGCATTGTGCAAAAAAGTTTATTGATACTTGCAATGATTCGTACTTTCTGAAATGCTTACAGACGATCTTACAAGCACCTCCAAATACGATGCAGGCCTTCAGTCTGAAGCGTACTATCGCACTCGGATGAGTGCGTTTCAGTTCAAACTCAGATCAAAGCTTTTGCGACTCGTCCAACGTGAAACGCCTCTTCTTTCCAAAATACAGAAAACATGCTACACAGACTGGCTAGACATCTACTTCACATATTCAGCAAACCTCGGGTCACACACATTCTATGTGCTATGTCTGCCGCTCCCTGTGTGGTTTGGGTTCACCTATCGTGACTTGGTCTACGTTCTGGGACTAGGCATTTTTTTTACGGGCGCAGTCAAGGATTACCTCTGTCTTCCTAGACCACGCTGTCCGCCCCTCGTCCGCAAAACTATGAGCCACTATACGTCGCAGGAGTACGGGTGTCCCTCGAGCCACTCAGCCAACGCGTCTGCGGTCTTTAGTCTGTTTTCATACTACATACTAGCCAATGTTGACTCGTATACGGTCACGACGGCTACGCTCCTCATGCTTGCTCTATTTTTGTACTTCGCCTCAATGGTCTTTGGAAGGATTTATTGCGGCATGCATGGCATTGTGGATGTCATGGTGGGCATATTGATAGGCACATCGACGGTAATTCTGAGACTGATTACCAAAACCAACTGGGATTCTTTTCTGACCAGCAACTCGGTGCTGGCACCCATTATCGCCGTGGGAGTGTATTACGCGTTACTATACTTCCACCCTCTTCCTATTGACCACTGTCCGTGCTTCGAAGACACTGTCGCGTTTATCGGTGTGCTGATGGGCCTCGATATGGGATTTTGGTTGCTCGCCAACTCTTCTTACAAGGCCGCAGATATGGAGTACCACGGTTCGTGCAAATACTCTCTGGAGCAACTGGGATACATAAAAACCGCTCTTAGACTGGCCTTAGGAATTTCGATTCTGGCCTTGTGGAAGACCCTTGCTAAGCCACTGCTCACGCGAATGTTTAAACCTATACACTCACGGGTATTCGCAAGTCACGCTACCAAACTCCGCAACCCGAGCGATTGTGCTGCATTAAGGCCACGTTACGAACTACCACTTCTTGTGAGGCTCGGTGTCTACAGCGGCATTGCCTTCATTGCAATTTGGATGGACGCTATTTACAAATATGTAGGATTAGCTTTGGACTAGAGCTGCATTTCTGATAGAGATAGATAATAGATAATGCTCGCGAGCTACGTAAAATTAGTGTGACTGTGAAAGTCCACATCTCACACCATATAACTTTTTTTTTCGCGTGGAAAGTTTTCATCTAGTGTGCGGTGTGATTTTCGTCTAGCTGGAGCTGAAATTTTTAAAGGAAACTAAACCTCGAAATATATCTATAGCAAAATGGAAAACGACAAAGGTGAACTCGTAAGTACCAAATGAACCAGGGGAGACGCACAAGCAGAAGCCGAACATATGGAACTAGGAGTCTCAGTGCCCGTTGACTTTGAGATAGCTGAATCAGAAGGTCAAAATTACCAGAGGTTAGCGAAGACCTCCATATCTCAGTTCGGTTACGTCCGCCCATGTATTTGGAAAATCTAACATATTAGGTTGAATTGTACATTCCAAGAAAGTGCTCCGCTACCAACAGAATCATCAAGGCTAAGGACCACGCTTCTGTCCAAATCAACATTGCCAACGTTGATGAGGAAGGAAGAGCTATCCCAGGCTCCAACACCACCTACGCTTTGTGTGGATACATCAGAGGAAGAGGCGAGGCTGACGACTCTTTGAACAGACTCGCTCAACAGGATGGTTTGCTCAAGAACGTTTGGTCTTACTCTCGTTAAGAAGACTGTATAAACTAATAAGAAAGAGATAGGAAATCAAGGAAGTTGTATGTCGAGGCGATAAGTCAAGTAGCTGTCTTGGGAACTAATCGTAATTTTGCCCCTGATGCTGCATTCGAAGGCGAAAGATGGTGGCCTTAGTAGTCCTTTTCGCCATTGTTACCCTGCTTAAAAAAATTTTCCTCCAGCAAATGGATCTGGTGTGCGTAAAGTTGGAAAAAATTTACTCCTTCAATTAAACTACAGTCCAATATGGCATCTGAAAATATCCAGGAAGTTGACTCCAATTTGATCGAATCCAACTACGACAATGTCGTCTACACCTTCGACGAACTGAACCTCAAACCAGAAATCATCAGAGGTAAGTAAATCCTGTTCCTCTTTGTTCTTTTCTAACCCCTTAGGTATTTTCGCTTACGGTTACGAACAGCCTTCTGCAATTCAACAGAGAGCTATCTTGCCAATCACTGAGGGTAGAGATGTTCTTGCCCAGGCCCAATCTGGTACCGGTAAGACCGCTACTTTCACCATTTCCGCATTGCAAAGAATCGACGAGAAGCTGAAGAAGACCCAAGCATTGATTCTCGCCCCAACAAGAGAATTGGCTTTGCAAATTCAAAAGGTCGTTCTGGCCATTGGTATGCACTTGGATCTGACCGTTCATGCTTCTATCGGTGGTAAGGCTGTCCAAGAGGATATGGAGGCCCTTAGAAACGGTGCACAAATTGTCGTTGGTACCCCAGGTAGAGTTTACGACATGATCGAGAGAGGTTACTTCAAGACTGATGCCATCAAGATGTTCATCATGGATGAGGCTGATGAGATGTTATCGTCTGGTTTCAAAGAGCAAATCTACAACGTGTTCCGTTTCCTGCCAACCACTACCCAGGTTGTGCTGCTTTCCGCTACCATGCCTCAAGATGTTCTGGAGGTCACTACCAAGTTCATGAGAAACCCAGTCAGAATTCTTGTCAAGAAGGATGAGCTGACTCTGGAAGGTATCAAGCAGTTCTACATCGATGTCGATGAGGAACAATACAAATTCGACTGTCTGTGTGACTTGTACGACTCTATCTCTGTCACCCAGGCCGTTATATTCTGTAACACCAGAAGAAAGGTCGAAACCCTCACCCAACAGTTGACTGAGAACAACTTCACTGTTTCTGCTATCCACTCCGACTTGAGTCAGCAAGATAGAGACACCATCATGAACGAGTTCAGAACCGGCTCTTCCAGAATTCTGATTTCTACCGACTTGCTGGCCAGAGGTATTGATGTTCAGCAGGTTTCGTTGGTTATCAACTACGACTTGCCATCCAACAAAGAAAACTACATCCACAGAATCGGTAGAGGTGGTAGATTTGGTAGAAAGGGTGTTGCCATCAACTTGATCACCAGAGAGGACACTGAGATGCTCAGAGAAATCGAGATGTTCTACTCCACTCAAATTGTTGAAATGCCTTCAAGCATTAATGACTTGTTCGACTGAACTAATAAGACTTGAACTATCAGGTTTGCGCCTTTACATGTGAATTTATATAACTTGTGTAAGACTCAAGCATGCACAAGATTAGTGATTTATTTACTTGTTTCTTTTATTTTCTCCGATTCTTTCGACTCATCTTCTGTCTTCTCTTTCGACGTTGGAGTCTCTGGCTCTTTCAGTCTCTTCGGTTCTTCCGATTCTCTCTTTTCCTCGAATTCATCCAAATTTATATCATCTTTCAAACCAGTCTTGACATTCTTGCTTCGTAAATTCTCTTCCTTGATCAACTCGTCTTGCTCTTTGAGGATACTGAGCTTCAGCGCATCATCATCTTGGAACATTTCGAGCTTAGCGACATTGTATAATTCATCTGGAATAGAGGATAGAACTGCCAAAAGTGCGTCATAATAGCTCTCAAAGTCGTCCGCATGTTCTCCGTATGTGAACGTGGAGGAGAGAATAAGCAAAGAGGACGGAATCTTCTGTCTCAATGTAAGGTCCAACCAAATTCTCAGGTCATCCCGCAAACGCGCTGGAGACGTTCCAGTGGTTTTAATTCCGCGCGAGGCACATGCAGTTTTTAGCTCCGGAACAGTTAAACTTTCGACACCTTCGTAGTCTATGGCACGGTCGTCTTTAATGATCTGCATCAGCTTGTGTCTAATTTGGTATCTCAAGATCTCATCTGTTCCGTATGCAGACATTCCCATATATCTCGACATCGCCACCAATTGAGGACGTGAGAGGTTATCTAGAACCTGGTCGTTCTTAAAACATCTTGCTATTTTTATCAGTTCTTCGTGGCTGGGCTTGGCTCCTCTGTGAATGGTTTTAAAGAACTTCACGAACAGCTCTTTATCAGCCTCATCTATCTTGGTGGGCAAAATTAATCCACTTTCACGGAAAGTCTTCTGGATAAACTCCGATGCTTTTTGTCTGGTATTGGCCAAGTTGGATGTCTTCCGTTTTCGGTCCTTCTCTGATTCGTATGTGGAAGGAAGCATGTTAGGGAACAATTTGAGAGCCACCGGTAGCAAAAGCTCTGCAAAAGGCACCAGAATGAATACAGAGAAAGGCACTAGTCTAAGGATATCTGACGTCGTTCTAGTCAATTGTTTGGTCTCTCTTCTGGTCAATTCGTAGCCCGCTAGCATTTTGATAAGCAATTTTGACGACACCTTGATTTCATAGCCTAGAAGTTTCGTTCCATGCCAATAATGTTGCACTTCCTTCATGATCTTCTGACCCAGAGTGAGCTTTGGTGGCGAGCCGTCCGTCTTCGTCAACTGTTCGCCGTTGCCCTCCTGATCAGTGTTCGAGTACATGCGAATATTCTGATATTTCTGTACTCTGTACGATATAATGTGTGGGTTGAAAGCACGCACGGGCCGAAGCCCGAGTGGTCGTCCAATCTTGAGCATGATAAAATAATGATAAATAAATTTGATATATTTTTTTTGTCACTCTAACCCCGGATCTCTTGATGTAGGCCGAATGATTCTGCGAATCTCTACCAGCACGAAGTTCCTTTGCCCATCACAGAGTTAGCCTGCATGCTCAGTTCCATGCCTGGATTGCAGCTTAAGCCACAAACAGCTTGTCTAATAGTGTCCTGCTCTTCTGCCCCGGTTGCTCTACGGTGCAAGGAGGTGGTAGAATTGCTACATAATATTTCCTCTCTTCCTTTGTCATGAACTCTAGCATGCCTGGGTCTTTTCCTGGGTCCTATAACTCTGTCTCAGAACGGCAAGACTCCTCTTTGATCGTGACACAACTCATCAAGGTGCGAAATAGTCTCAAGCAAGAATTTATGGACACACTGAACATACTTCTATTATTGGAGCTGATAGTCATCTACCTCCAAGATCAATCATTTTTCAAGATGATGATCAGAATCTCGCTGCAATTGTTTCTTGCGGGCGTTAACTCGCATACCTTGCGCCAATGGATCGAGTACAATCTCTTATCGACAGGACAAATCATCACTGAAGAGGCAATAACGACCCAGTTAATCTATTTCCAGAGAGCAGTTCTGGTGGAGGTGATCTTGATGAACAGCATAGCGCTTGCGGATCATCTTTTCTTTTACCGCGATCATAGCCACCTACCAGAAATTCCGCATAATTCGCTAGTGTCTTATCTGAATCTACACACACAATATAGCATCGAGTTTTACGATTCCAAAGACACATTTCGCTACAACTCTATCTTCATAAACATCATAGGAGAGGCTAGACCTACTACCAAAACCGGACTACTTATTTTAGACGTTCTAGTCTTTTTAGGGCAGTACGTTACATACAGTCTGATTTATTGGCCCGAAAAATCAGAGCCTCCAAAATCGACTACAGAGCAGTCTCTCTTGCTACGCGGAAACGAAAATCCAATACAGGGGGCTGTGACGATATTCAACGTGGAGCTGTTCCCAGCAACCACGTTTTCAGGTCTTTGGAACGGTTTGACGATGTAAATATTGCATTCGTAATTAGCCCTATGGTGTGAGGGGGCAACTTCCTTTGCGTTCTAAATTTTGTAGTCCTGCGAGGCATTCTTTCTAGATCGGAATTCAAGGGACCATTCTTCTTTAGCAAATTGAACAAGCCGTCTCTCCACTAAATTCCATCTGTTCGTGCTCCTCGACTGTGACTATTGTGATTGTACATCCGCTCCATTAGACGAGAATCAGGAACGGGGTACGTTAGATCGGGTGTCAACAACTATGAGCTACTCAACGGCATCAACACCTGAGGGTGCTGCGCAGAGTGTGTACGAGGCATCAATCGACGGACAAAGCGACTACTTTGGTCAAGCTGATTTGTACGATGTCTCCAACAGGCTTCTTCAGTTCCATACTAAGGTCCTTCCGGCAGATAACTACAATTCGCCTTACTATAATCCACTAAACTCTGCTGACGAGCCGAAACCAGTGGACAAACTGATCAATCGGTTTTCAATCTGGAAAATGATTATCAAGCAGTTGATATTCTACTTCAAAGAGATCAGCATATTCAAGAAGCAGACATATCTCGGTAATAAGGCCATGCTAGAAAATTTAGAGCTTTTGAAGAAACAAACCAGTGGCAAATTGAAGTTCAAGGGATCTGCATCAAAGAACCTTCGGCAATCCTTGAGTTCGACGAATTTGAACCAGCTGGATCAACACAACACTCACCAAGAAGCCATGCTGAACAAGTTTGTTCAAACAGCATTCCTCCCTGTAGGCGATCTCTCTGTTCTTTCGATCTCCAGCACATTGTCCAATTATCACAGTAGCTTGGCTGAAAAGGAGCTGATAACACATAACCAACTCACTTTGAAAATCATTCCGCGCTTGGAAAACTTGAAAGAAAGTCTGAACGAGACGATAAAACAAATTGCGTCACTAAAAGGCTCCAGTGATTTCAAAACTTCTGACCTTAAATACGAGATAGCAAAGACAGGAGCAATTTTGGCTGATTATATAACCTCTGTGGAGCTACTCACGAAGGGCGAAACAACCACCTGTCTTGGCACGCATCTTAAATTCACCAAACTGGAGCCCAAAAAGGACCCTTATTTGCTGCGGCTGAAACTGGACCTACAACTCAAAGACCAACTCTACACTGAAGCACATTTGAAAGAAAGCTATTATGATTTACAACATAAGAGCGTTCAGCTGGAAAGTATTCTGTACACTGAGGTCCAGAACTGTGTTCGCAACTTTGTCAATCTGATTAATGCTGAGCTTGATGCTGCAAAGGATAATATGGTGAGCGAGTTCATGAATGGATTTCTAAAAAACGATTTTGGCATCGATTGGGACTACTTTATCATGAACGACAACGCAAAAAATCTTCTGAAACTCACTGCAAAAGAATCAATGCTGAACGTTAAACAGATCAGAAAGAAGTCAGATATTCATTATCCTTACCAGAAAGAGAGGATTAGCTCAAGTTTGATATCAGGATTCCTGGAAAAGAAATCAAAGTATCTGAAAAACTATTCGAGATTCTACTATGTACTCACGTTCAATTTTATGCATGAATTCAAGACTGAGGACCGAAAGAAGGAAAGACATCCTGTGAACTCCTATAGTTTGGACGATATGAAAGTGAGTGCATCGCCAAATGATCCAAGAAAATTCATTGTCCGGATGAATTCGAGTAAACCAATTGAATCCAAAACCAAGTACACTTTTAGATGTCCTTCCCCAGAAATTGCATCAAGATGGCTTGAAGAGCTTACAGAACTGTGCTCGTTGAGTAATCCACTAGAAAGAAACAACCCGGCTAACACCGCATACCTCATTCCATATTCGAATACCTCCTCCGTCGTCAACATGAACGCGGGCGACGCTAGTTCGTCCAAAGATGATGGCACATTTGTCTCTGGAGATCCCAGTACTTCACAAAGTCAGTTGTTTCAGAACAACCACTCTTCCTCATCCTTGCATCTCCCATCCTTCCATTCGGTCAAGAAATCGAACTCGCCCGACATGCCTGCTCAGCCTGGACACAAGAAAAGCAACAGCTTATCATCACTTCCAGTTACTAGTGCAAGCGCACCATCTTTGCATAGAAATACTTCATCGGGAAGCTCAACTACTCAAGCTTCCGAAGGCGTATCATTACACTCTACCACTCCAACCTCCCCACCAAATGTTTCTGGAAGTGCAGCCAAAATCATAATAAACTCTCCGGACTCCAATACATCTGATGAGCCCGCAGATTATTTCAATTACACTGCACCGCGTCCAAGGCTAGGTAAAAGCACCTCTACCGGAAGAGTCACTCCTCCTGCTCTCCAGGGATCACAGATTCTGAGGCCATCATCCCCTTCCCATCTGTCTCAGATAAGACAGCCAATTCAGCGGTCATCCTCTCCACATCTCCACAACAAGCAAAACATTCCCAGCTTCCTAGGAGGCCAACAAAATGCATCCGTTTCACAAAGTTCCTCATACCCTTCAATGTCTTCCCTGGGTAACAACTCTCTACCTTCGACCAAAGGCCTGGTTAGAGGCCGCGAAAGATTACAGGCTCAACTTAAGAAAGCTGCTTCTACTAACCAATCCAACCTGAACGGCGCATTCTTGCAATTTGAAAATTCATCTAGCGACTCCGCTAACCTGATGATACCCCAATCGGCTTCGAACCTGCCCCAAACTCCAGGCATCCTTCCTTCCAATTCAATTGGTGACGTTTTTCCCGGAAGCGAATCACGTCTTAGATCGACCCCGTCGTCGTCAGAGCCCGTGAAGTCCCCTGGTGCTCAGTCCCCGGAAGGATACTTTTAACGTCAGGGTGAGGAAAAATATGTTTCTGCCAACATTTTATAGTGTCAGTAAGCCTCACTCAGGACGATACGAAAAAAAGTAGACAAGCAAGAGGATATAAAGATATATATCCTGTTGATAATTGATCGCGTGTTAGTGGATCGTTTGCATGTTCAATTGATTTCTGGCAATTGGTGAAAGCGATTTGCAGCTTTCGAGCATAGAAAACGCGACACTACAGAATTTAATCTGCATCGTGGATTGTTTATATATTTTTTGAGACAAGCATGTCCGCGAAACAGCGACCTAGGCAGGAGGAGACAACGTCTGGTCAAATCAACTCTTCCACCACATTGGAGAAAGGCGGCTCTGGAAGACTAGGGAAGTTTCTATCCCAGGAATCGGTTGACAAATCAACTCTTACACAAGCGAACGGAGATTTTGAGGAAGAAGACGATGGTTTTATTTTCAAAAGGGCGTCTCAACAGCAAGTAAAAAAGAAGGTGCCGGGTAAACGCGGACGTCCCCCTGGGTCGAAGAATAAGCCAAAGCCTGCTGTGAATAAAGAGCCCCGAAAAAGACAAAAAGTTACTCAAAAAGCACCCGAGCCCAAACCGCCCAAAACCAGCCTTCTGGATGAGCTCGAACAAGACTCGATAGTGGAGTCTGAAGAAGAGGAAGAAGATAAGATATTCTCCATGGATTCTTCTTTCCAGCCACCAAAAGCCGCAAAGAAATCAAACATCATTCCGAAGAGCAAGACATCAGAAAAACGCACGCGTAAACCACGAAACACAAAAACACCCGCGAAGGAGCATGATGTTGAGACACAACTTGAGATAGCAACTGTCCACGATTTGATACCCGAAGATCCCAAACCCGCTCTTCCAAAACAGTCTACTCTCTCCAAAATTTTATCTCAGGCGCGAACTAAAGAAGTCAAACCAGAGTACGAGGTTAAAAAACGCAGATCGTCGCTGAGCAATAGAGGCAAGCGATTATCGTCAGTTGGCAATGGTTTTGTTGCTGAGCCGGACCGCGAAATACCTGTCGAGGAACTATATAGACATGTGTCACAAGACCTACCGGATCCCCATAAGATGAGACAATTGATGGTTTGGTGTGCCAAAAGAGGAGCGAGTAAAGGTCCCAAAAAGAAAATCAGTACCGCAGAGAGCATAGCCAATGTGATCGAAGATGAAGTAATCAGAGACCTAGCCGACGGGAAAATAAATACCAGTTGGTGGCTGGCAGAAGACGACGACAACGAAGTCGACCACGGCAGTACCGCAAACCTTAATAAGCCAATCATAGTTTTGCCCAACAAAGCCAACGAGGAAAACATGCACACGCTTGAGCTGTATGAGAAGAAGCTCGCAGAGCTTAATAAAGAAGAAGCCCAGTGGATGGAAGTCAGAAAAATAGCAAAACTGCCCAAAATCCAGGTCGATGCACACCTGCAAAGTGATAGTCTAATACAAGAAAAGCTGGGCGAAATTGTGGACCAATTGGCGTCATTGGAGTCTTACAAAGCGCGCCTGGACAAACTTCGCTTACTGCGCATTCTGGAAAACATTAAGCTGATGGTGCATAAACTAAAGCAATCTAAAAATGCAGTCAACACGTTGACCGAAGCTACAATCCGTGAGATATCGCGCAAGATGACTCAACTGATTGACCACGATAACGACGGCAATAAAGTGTCGCCGCTGGATCTACTCAAAGGGTTTTCTGAACTGGGGTAATTGTATATTAGTTGTCAGGACTATAATGTATTATAGGTATTTTTTAGCGAGAAGACACACTCTAGAGTCGAATCCAACACTGCGTATTGGATCGTTGATGTTGTAGAACGGGTTCAGTAGGTTTTTCACATACAATTCGTTGACCTCTATGAAAAACTGTCGTATACTTTCGTCTTGGTTTTTCACGTTTGTTGATATGATGAATTTAATGTTTCCCTGTGTAAGATAGCTGTACACTTGATAGCCATAGAATGCGTCGAGGTTTTTGAAGAATATCTGGTTGTTTTTGAACTGTTGATCTTGAAGTATATCGAGTGAAGCGTTCACAATAAATTGCTGTAGCTCTCTGATTTCCAGTGGAAAATTGGGTTTTCCATCTCCAGACTGCTTGTAGGTACCTATTTCTAACTCGTATAGCGGGCCATCGTTGGTTCCAATTATGGCGAAGTAGTAAGACATAAGGTGAAACAAGTAATTCGTTTCTGGGTTTGGGGTGTGAATAAAAGATAGAACCACTATTAAATTTAAAATGCAATGACTGTTGTACTGGATACGCAGCTCAACCTCAAGAAATACAAGCCGATAAAGGTACCCACGGAGCCTAATGGGTTTACCTCACATAACAGTCTTCTCAGCTCCACTCTGACAAACGATTCTGATAAGCATGACAGTCTGGTAGAAGAAACACAGGAGCTTCTGGACGCTCGGAAGTCGCTTGTCCACGATCTCAAGCTAAGTAGAGATCAGGTTCATGATCCCATGATTTCTATTGACCCTCGCGCTAAGATCAGTCCAAACCTCCGCCAGAATAGATCGTTTCAAATCTGCAGGAAGCGAGCAGAGAAAGTGAAGACAATCATTCAAAGCTACTATGAGTTCATCGAACTTTACCAGAACACAGTGCATTACGATGATAGTGATCCTCAGCGTCCGCTATACGAAGGAGTTGAGGGAGTATTTAACCCGTTGCAAATTATACGAAACCGACGTATCAGAAAGAAATACGATGAAAAGCTCACTACCTTTCCTCTAGGGGACTACAAACCCCCCTCACGAGTGTTTAGCAAGTACAACAGACAACACCTTATCTGGCAGGTGAACCTGAACGAATACTATACCGATATCACTTGGAGAGAAAAGCACTGGCATGAGTTGAAGAGGCCAAACGGGGAGCTTTGGTTTCCCAAGCTAGACAGCACGAAGCAGAGTCCACAGAAAAATAGGCGGCTGAAGAGTCTTCATGAGCAACTGTTTGTTGGATTTGATGGCGAGTTTCAGAAGGAGGACGATGACAGCTCCCTGGACGATCGACGACTCAGTTCGCTTGCCCGTGTGAACGAAAGCTCTGCGTCTCTTGCTCGACTAGAGCACTATCGACTGAACAGTTTAAAACGCACTCCTGGCCATACTAGGTCTTTGAAGAGTGACGAGGATTTTGATACCCCTTATACCCCTTCTTCGCGCAATTCAAGTATAGATAAGCTGAGTTTCCTTTCTCAAGGTGGAAAATCGAGCGAATCGCTATCGCCAGCGCATCGGACAGATAGCGAAGAAACAGGAAATTGCGATGATTTTGCGGACCAAAAAAAGATGTTCAAGGGTCTCCAAAGCAAGCTTGCTCTTGCACAGTCGAGGATCCGCATCGCAGACTATAATCGCGAGGACATAATTGCCTCCAGAGGCCGTGAAATTAAAAGGCAGCTCGAACTATTCAAATCTACGCGAGCGCAAACTAGTCAGATATCACAATCGCTGCAAACGACCATTAATAAAGTTGACGCAATTCTGGACAAATTCAACCAGTTCAACAACGCCAAGTCGTACAAAATCGAAGAGTTACTGGGGTATTGTGACAGAACGAACGGTGAAATTAATACATCTATCACTTTGAGGATAAGAAATATACAGGAGAAGAAAGATCAGCTCTCAAACACCAACGATGAATGGCTGTTCCAGCTCGTGTACTCATTTTTGGAAAACTTGATTGTGTTAGCACTCTGGATCGTCTGGATCATCGTCGAGTTTTGGAGACTCATCAAACGCATCTTCTTAATTTTGATGAAACTTTTAAAATTCATATTTCTATAGCAGACTATTAATTATATCTTTCCAAATCCTCCAGTAGATCCAAATCCCCCTTCACCTCTCTCAGTGGTCTCTTCCTCCCACTGCTCCGTGGTCAGCTCATTAACCTCAGTCATCACAATTTTTTCGAGAACAAGCTGTGCAATACGGTCACCTTCCTTGATTTCAAAGTCCTTGCTAGAGTGGTTGAAAAGAACAACTTTCACTTCTCCACGATAATCAGCATCAATAACTCCTGCGCCTGTCGAGATTCCATGTTTGACCGCAAGTCCAGAACGAGGAGCAACGCGTCCGTAAGTGCCTTCGGGGACGATAATGCTGATGTCAGTAGCCACCAGTCCTTGGCCATGTCCAGGAATGACGGCCTTCTCAGAGGCGTACAAGTCATACCCAGCAGCCAACGCAGAGCCTCTGGTTGGGGCTTTGGCCTTCGAGGAACGGAGATACACTTTCAGGGGCTGCATTGTTGGTTCCAGTTTCTTTTTTTTGTCTAAGTGCTGATCTGAAGACATAACGCGAAAAACTTGGAAGTGCTGACCTTGACGCGTGCTTGGAAACTGTCTGTATTATAATTTTATAAGTAGCGGCTGTTGGAATTTAACCGTTCCAGGTTCCTTGGCCCAGTTGGTTAAGGCATCGTGCTAATAACGCGGGGATCAGCAGTTCGATCCTGCTAGGAACCAATTTTTTTACTGCTCAGCTGAATACAGCCTAGCATAAGTATTAAACTATTTCTTATGTCCATGGAACCGATGAGACAGATACTTATAGGCTTCCTTCTGACTGAGAACCTTGCCCTTGTCATCTCTATAAACCAAGTTGATTCTGGACCCATCTGACTTTGGGGCGAGCTCTGATCTGTCTTTCAAAAGCTTAAGGGTACGGGACAATCCCATATTCGCATCGACTTCGTCATGAAGCACAGCGAGTTTTTCAGAAACATGAGTGAGGCTAGCTTTGGACTCCGTCGTGTCAGCAGCGTCACGTCCCATTACTGTGTCCTCAACAGCGTCGTCACCGTTGAGCTTCTCCAAGAAATCTGCGTCTTCGTCTAACACCACTGCTCCAATTTCCGGGCGTTCTTCTTCAATCGCTATAGGGCGTGATTCCTGTCTTCGTCGTCTTGAGGCAGACAAAAATCTGTTCAACTCAATGTCGTCATCTTTTTCCAAATCCTCATTAATGAGCTTCAATTGCTGAAAATTAGCCTCCTTCAGCTCTTCTTTATCACGCCGTTTGTTTCTAACCCCACATTTTAACTTCTTGATTACTGGGGCACTGTAGTCAGATGGCTGAGACTCCTGCTCATCATCATCCAAGTCCAATAAAACGAGCTTCTTTGTTTGCTTCTTAGGAATTATTTTCTCCCCGATTTTAAATCCATTATCCTGTCCATTATTATCGTCGGTTTTTTTCTCTTTCACCTGACCCTCCAGAACTTCTTTGACTCGTTTACGTTTAACAAGCTCGTGGTTTTCAAGTTCGTCTTCTTCTTCGTCGAACACGCTCTTGTCTTTCAGCGTGAACACGACTTCTTGGCTTTCTCCCAATAGCTCTGCATAATCTTCTTTGCTGTGAGCAACATTTACACCCTGTAGATCATCGTCCTCGATAGTTGACTTTCTCTTGCGTGTTATATTTCGTTCCCGTGGGGTTCCCAATTTAGCCAACCATTCATCGTCGTTGATCTCTTCCTTGTCTAATCTCGCTAAAAGGGTTTCCCCTGATTCCAGCTTTCGCCGTTGCAGATCGCTCTTCGTTTTGGATATTCGCTGCTGCAGCTCATCCAATCGTTCTTGCTTTATGCGCGCATCCTCCACTTTTTTATAATTCTCGTACTCCGGGTCATTATCTGTTTTTTCTGATGTGATCAACGAAAGTCCTAACTGTGATCTTAGTTTGTTCGTTTCATCCGGGCTATTCCCCTTTTTTTGAGCAGCCAAAGGTTTATCAACAGTAGAAATCAGTGGAAGACCCAGCTTTGCCCGTAATTGGTTCGTTTCCTCAACGGAAAGAGACACCTCCATGGCTGAAGTCACTAGGCCAAATACGAAAAAATACGTAGGAGTCGATCGACGCGACTCACGCATGCTTACTAAGATGGCTCAAACAGCAATATTTGTATGCATGCCATAGTCTACGAGAAAAGGCAGTTCCCTAAATTGGTCACACATCTACGTTTTCTTCTCAATTGACTTCACAAAGAATGGTTCACTACATTATTGACGAAAGCGATCCTAAGGAATCTGGTCTGGAGGCTCCTTACATCAAATTGTATTCTCTGGCTACTCCAAATGGCCAGAAGGTGTCAATTTTGCTGGAGTTACTAGGTCTGGATTACCATGTCCGCAAAATCGATATCATGAGAGGCGAATGTAAGGAGGATTGGTATCTCCAATTCAACCCTAATGGAAGAATACCTTCTCTTACCGATGTTTCCGCCAATGGAAAAGTGACCCATGTCAATGAGAGTGCTGCCATTATGATGTACCTTTGCGACAAATACGACAAGGACAGAAAATACAGTTATGAGTACGGCACTGATTTGTATTACGAACAATTGGAGTGGGTCTTCTTCCAAATGGCTGGTCTGGGTCCAATGAAGGGCCAGTACCACCACTTTGCTTACTTCGCTCCCGAGAAGATTCCATACGCAATTGAGAGATACAAAAAGGAGACAATCAGATTGTTCTCTGTTTTGGAGGAGAGACTAGCTCGCAACAAGACAGGATATCTAGTGGGCGACCACCTGTCAATTGCCGATCTTTGCTCTTGGCCTTGGGTCAACTCTGGCAGATTTGAGGAAATCGATAATTTCCCAAGACTCTCTCAATGGCTCAAGAACATCGGAGAGATCGAGGCGGTCAAGCGTGGATCCAAGATCCCTGAGTAGTTTGAAGATCTTTTTATTTTTGATTGCGTACAATTGTATTTGCAAATGCCTTCCAGTCGAGTCCGGATAACAGTGCTTGTGCTATCGGGTTGCAGTAGAAGCTTTCGGCTCTGCCTTTGATGTAATTTTCGGCCTTGTATGGGTCCAAACCTGGGGACTTGAGCTCCGGTACGCTGAACTTGACGAATATCATGGGAACCACGCTTGAGTCGAAATCTGCGAACCCGACTTTTGTGGCACCTGTAGGAGTGACAAACATGACCAGCGCCCTATTTTGTAACTTTTCTCTAGCGAAGAAGTCTGCAAATGTACCTGTGAGCTCGCGAACCATTTTAGCGTCCATTTTGCTTCGCTTCCAGCATTTGCATTGCACGTACAGATGCACCTTGAAGGCATCATTCTGTTTTTGTTCGACAAAGGGAACGACGTGCTTGAGAGCTGGGCCCAAGAAGACATCTGCAGGGTTCTCAGGTACCCGTTTCAGTTGCTTCAGGTTCCAGGTGGCTTGCATATCGATACCTTTATCGTTCGCACCTCCTTGGAGTACCATTCGTCTCAGATTCAAGTGATCAACAAGGAACTCTGCAAATGAGATTTCGTACAAAGATCCCCTGAACACCGTTGATTTCGGAGACGTTCCCGCGACCTGCGCGTAGCTAAGGTACGACTCTACCGAGTTGAAGCCTGGATTGGAGATGACCTTCGTGCTGAGCCTTCGCACAGGTAGTGAAAATAACATGAAAGATTTTCAGCACGGCTCAATCTAAGTTATAAATGCTATTTACTGTTTGGCTAGTTGGCCGATCTTGTGTTCGATGCTGTCGTATGTTCTGTTGAGAGCCTTATCTATTTTTGCCAGTTCGTCCAGCGCGCCGTTCAGTTCGGAGCTCAATTTCTGTGTAATCTCGCTCACAGACAGCTGGGCTTTGGGTGCGTCGTTCATGCCCACACGTAGACTTGATTCACTGGAGACCGGCTCGTCGGACGCAGGTCTGTTTGCATTATCACTTGTCTCAGACATGTTCCAAAAAGCACAGCCGAAGATTATTTTTTTATTCAGATGGTTCACAAAACAAAAAACCAGCTCCGAAGGGAACGTGCGAAGCAGAAGAAGAGCTTGTCTGAGACCGTCCAGAAGCAGCCCTCTGATATTCAAAATGATGTGAATGGGGCAGAAACACCGGAATCGCCCGTAGACGTGGTCGTTGAAGACGCCCCTCTAGACGGTTTTGCTGATTACCAGGCTATCCTTGATAAATTCAATAGGCCGAGGGAATCGCCAAGAGAGGACGCACATCACGATGAACAGAAACCAGAAGAGGCTAAGTCGGAGTACGAGGGGTTTGAAAAAGATGATCTTCCGGAGCAGCTATCAAAACGTCAGTTCAAGAAAAAGTACCAAATTCCGTTGGCATACTTGAAAGCCGAGTCGGACAGACCTGAACTCTTGGAGATGGCCGACGTCAACTCACCGGATCCGCGACTTCTCGTGTATCTAAAAACACTTCATAATGCGATTCCTGTGCCGCAACACTGGGGTGCTGCCAAAGGATTTCTAATGGGCAGAAGAAACTACGACAGGCCTCCTTACCAGTTGCCTAAATTCATTGCAGATACGGGAATCATACAGATGAGGAGCTCGATGAACGATAAAGAAACAACCTTGAAACAGCGAATGAGAGAAAGAGTGCAACCACGTATGGGTCAACTAGACATCGATTTCAACAAATTGTACGACGCATTTTTCAAAAACCAGACAAAGCCGGATCTCCTGCGCTATGGAGAAGTCTATTTTGAAGGCTTGGAGAGCATCGAGCTCCTTGGACCCTTCAAAGTCAGCAAGTATCGCCCAGGTGTCATGAGTCATCGCCTCCGTGAAGCTCTGGGCATGATTGGTCCCAAATCGAAATTGCCACCATGGTATGAAAAATTCCAGAAACTTGGACCACCGCCAGCTTATCCTTATATGCGCATCAACTCAGACGGAACCGTCTCTTTTGACAAAGACCAAAGGACTGTGATCAACAGAGCAGAGCCTGTGGATCGCACGAGGTGGGGAGAATTGGAAGAAGTATACGAGAGCGAGAGTGAAGAGGAAGCAAATCAAAGAGCAGAGGAAGAAGAAGACCAGCGGCCCTCGCGAACTGAGCAAGAGCCGGGCACACAGTACGTCGCTTCTGCAGGGGATGTGTTTATTGATAGCCTCGAAGCTGAGAGCGCTCCATCAAAGAACTCCCAAGCGCAGCGAGATGCCGACGAAACGGACGATGGTCGTCCCAAGAAGCTCTACACAGTTCTGAAGGAGAAAAAAGGCGGACATCACGAAAGCATCTACGGTTCCGAAACTCTCGCTTACGATCTGAAACGCACCGGAGACGACGAATCTGTGCCGCCTTCGAAGAGGCGCAAGGGACTACACAATCACGAAAAGAAAGAAGAGAAATTTAGATTTTGATTCCAGTGTATAATACAGATAGCCGTCATATATATTAAAGGCTGTGCCAGGTATTTTTTTCCACGAATATTGATGAAGTCCAAACGCAAGAGGACAGAAGACGTGGATACGACACCAGATACGAAGGCCCCTGATACGGGAGCCTCTTCAGAAAACGATCTAACCTCCAGAAGGGCAGTGGCAATAGAGTACGCTGTCACCCAATTACAGCATAGCATCCGTCAGATAATCAAAGAGTCGTTAAATTCTGAGCAGCTGCGCAACTCTTTGGCTAACATACAGAAGCAGAAAGATGGAAATGAGGTTTTGCTGGCTCTTCAAAGAAATCAGAAGCTTCAGCTCGCTGCGAGGCTGAAGGATCTCTATGAGAGTGGAAAGCTAAAAATATTTGACCAAATAGCAGATTTTGACGAGAGCACAAAGTTGAAGGGATCAAGCAAAATGAGACTCAAAGTCAAACGACACAAGAGCAATACACATCTGAAAAATGATATACTCAACACAGGCATTCCTCCACTTCCCCGAATTGAGGACCCGGTTACAGAAGCGAGAGTCTTCACACATCGGTCTGCAGTCAGTAACAGCAACCATCTTTCTAAGAAAGAGATTTTGGAGTCGAACAACGAGCGATTAGAGTTTTTAGGAGATTCGATCATCAACGCCCTCGTTACACAAATACTGTTTGAGCGATATCCGAGCTACGACGAAGGAGAATTATCCATTTTACGCTCTCAGCTAGTCTGTAACAGCTCTCTTGGCCAATTCTCTGAAAAGTACGGCTTTCCCGAGAAACTGGTTGTGAATTTTGCCAAGGATGCTGCATTCCAGAAGGGTAAGCACAAAATCTACTCAGATGTCTTTGAAGCTTATGTTGGCGGGTTGTACGTTGACAGCAACTATTCTAACTTGGACACGATAAAAAAATGGTTAGATCAGCTTATCACACCGCAACTTTCCAAGCTAACGGAGAGGTTCAATCAGAAGAATCTCAATAATGATGCAAAGGCACGACTGTACGCTCTTATAGGATCAGCAGCACTACCCCCACGCTATATCACCAAACAAACTGGAAACGGTTTTGATGTCTCTTTTATTGTTCAGTGCATGATTGGTGATGAAGTAATTGGAGAAGGAGAAGGATCGAATTTGAAACAGGCCGGGCTCAAAGCTGCAGAGGATGCGTTGAGCAAGAGAGAGGTCATTGAAAAGTATATCAAGCTGCGGGAAGCCACCCCGAAGGAAGTTTCGGTTATTCCAAACGCCATCGAGGAAAAACCTAACATGAATACAAGACGGCTGAAAGCAAACCCTGAAGACTTCGATATACCTCTGCCAGCATTAATGCCCCAGTCAGAGGTGGATGAAACCTCGTCTGACAAGCTCTACGCTATATTGTCCAAAAATAAGGTTTTGCCGGTCTACAAAACTGTTACCAAAGGTAAAGAATTTGAGACTACTCTACTGATCAATGACGTGGCAGCCTGCATATCATCTGCTCCGAGCAAAAAAAGGTCGCGAAATCAATGTGCCGCATTTGTTCTCGCCCATCCTGGAATTCTGCCCCGCTGTCACGTCTTTGTTGATTGAAAAGATTGATGTCATAGTAATAAATAATAATAATAAATAGAGACACTGGTGGGCTCAGGTTATACCTAAGTAAAGATGAGCATTCTCGTCGTGGATCTTCTCAATCTTCGGTCCAAAGCTTCCCACACATTGGGCCATAGTTTTGGAGTTTCTAGAAATGACGTCCGTGAAGTAAAAGTTCTCTATTGGATTCTTCAATGTCTCGCCTTTGATAGCACCCACTTTGAATGTGGCTGCGATATTCAAGCTCAAGGTATAAAGTTCAGTAGATGTAGGTTCAACGACGTCGTAGTTCACCAAATGTGGAGCGATGTTCAACATTCTAGACCTCAATTGCATTTCATGTTCATATGGTAAACCCAGACCAACATATTCGCTTATGGCTTTTATGATTTGCCAATCATGTCTAGCAGAACCTGGAGGTCCAAGGGCAGCACGAGTAAGCTGAGCACGACCTTCAGTATTGACGTAAGTCGCGCTCTTTTCGGTGAATGCTGCTCCTGGAAGAATCACATCTGCCAGCGAAGCACCAACATCTCCGTGAGAGCCAATGTAAATAACAAATGACTCTTTAGGGATGGCTGTGGGAGCAATCTCATCTGCGCCCAACAAAAAGACAATCTTTGGACTGGCTGCTTTGACCTTGGCACTTTCATTGTAGAACCCGATATCCAAGGCACCAGCTCTGGCTGCTTCTCTGTGAAGCAGGTTGATTGCCTTCCAATCACTGTTATTGAAGTTTGGTTTTCCGGCAGCGAACAAGGCAAGGATCTTCTGAATTGCAAGCGAGTCCCCGTTCTCCAATACACCGGAACCGACGATAACCATTGGTTTTTGTGCATTCGCTAGCTTATCTCCAAGTTTGCCTTTCAATGCCTTGACCAAATCGTTTGCAGAGGAGCCAAAATACTCATATTCAAAGGTCGAATCAAATTCTTCACCAATCAGAGAAGCCTCCATGTTAGAGTTGAGCCATCTATTTCTCAGCTTTGCGTTCAGGCAAGGAGCCTCGTGCCTTGGGTTAGTGCCAACTAAAAGCAACTGATCACATTCATCGATGCGCTCGATGGTCGAATTGAACAGATAGTTGGAGCGGAAGTCAATCGAAGGAATGTTGGTGATCGGAACATCAAGACTAAGGTTTTCAGAATTCATTCTATTGATCAAGTCTTTCAAAGCAACCATACTCTCAACGTCTGCCAGAGCTCCAGCTATGCCCTTGACTTCATTTTCTGCTGGTTTCAGCTCTTCGTATTTCTCCTTGATCAAGCTTAAGACATCGTGCCAGGTCGCGTCAGCAAACGTGTGATCCACCTTTATCATTGGCTTGGTCAGTCTTTGAACTGCAAGCCCGTCATAGCTAAATCTGGTCTTATCACTGATCCACTCCTCGTTGATCTCGTCGTTAAGTCTAGGAAGAACTCTCATGATTTCAGAACCTCTGCTGTCAACGCGAATAGCAGACCCAAGAGCATCCATGACATCTAGTGTCTCAGTCCGCTTCAGCTCCCAAGGACGGGCCTTAAAGGCGTAAGGTTTCGAAGTCAGAGCTCCGACCGGGCACAGATCAATCACATTTCCACTCATCTCGGAATTCACGTTTCTCTCCACGTAAGTACCAATCTGGAGATCATTACCCCTACCAGTGCTTCCCATTTCAGGAGCCCCAGCAACATCATTCAAGAATCTCACACATCGAGTACAGTGAATACACCTGTTCATCGACGTTTTGATCAAGGGCCCAAGTGCCTTATTCTCGACGGCTCGTTTGCCGGAAATCTCATGAAACCTACCCCTATCCGAACCATACCGAAGTGTTTGTTCTTGAAGATCACATTCCCCACCTTGGTCGCACACAGGACAATCAAGAGGATGATTGTACAGCAAGAATTCTGTAATTCCTTCTCTAGCTTTCTTCACTTTTTCAGAATTCGTGAGCACTGACATTCCGTTCATCACTGGCATGGCACAAGCGGCTGCCATCTTGGGAGACTTTTCAATTTCAACAAGACACATGCGACAATTTCCCGCAATGGCTAGTTTGTCATGGTAGCAATATCTTGGAATCATGATACCAGCTTTATCTGCCGCTTGAATGATTGAAGACCCTGCCTCAATTTTCACACTAACACCGTCCACCTTGATTTCGACGTCCTGAAAACGGAAACTGCTAGTGCTGAATCTTCGATTACCTGCTTCCCCACATTTCCTGAGGAAGAATGCGCAAGACCGTGAGCCCAGCATTGTTCGCTCCCGAAATATGGCCTGATATGATTGAAAAACAAAATAGAGCACTATTGACCAGAGCTCTTTTAAAGATCAGCCGAAATAAATTAACCAGCACTAATCACGAAGCTGTTTGATACCCTTTTTACTCCTCATTTTTATTTCGAGCACAACGTTTTAGGGAGATATAAAATCGACGCGACTATCGGCGTTCACGATACATACTCTATTTTTTGGTTTTCTTGAGGTCTCGCTCCTCTGAGTCTGTCAGTTCGATCGACACCTGACGGCTATCATTTTCCGTACCAGCCGCCTTTTTGTGAGCAGGTTTGCGTTTCAGTGAAGCAGGATTTTCGGCCTCCCTTGTGATAGCCAAGAGAAGCGTTGCAACCCTTCTGCTGAGTTCGATGCTCGATCTGGACTTGAAGTAAAACGCGCAACGGAATTCATTCTCCCTCATGATGTCAGCCTTGATCAGATCATACAAGTTTTTCCTGCTCAGCCCGTATTCGTTAACCTTCATCAACAAAAAGCGGTCCTCTGTTTCTGTATAAAGTCTCTTCGAATTGTTTGGAGGATAAATTATGTTCATTTCTTGCAGTGGGGCATCATATTGTCCCACTTTTTCGGAAAGAATCTCCTGCTGCATCAAAACTTTCTGTATTTTCTTCTCTCCCTGCTCAATTTGGTTGACATATTTCTCCCATCCGTCAATTTCCTTGTAGCGTTGCCAGAAAACCTCACTGTAAGCCTTGACGTCGTCCACGGACTTAGTTCGCAGATCTGCAGCAATGGCAGCATAGCTTTTGGACCCATGCCTAGCACAACTGTGAACAAACGACAAGAAGTCCCGCTTATTCCAGTTCGCAAACCCTTTAGTTAGCAACTCTTCTTTCTGTTTCTGCTCTTCTTCGGTTAACTCTTGCGCAGTGTCGATCTTTTGCTGTTCTTCCTGCTGTCGTTGCTTACTTTTCTCCATGCGCTCCCGGTGATCAGTCTTTGTTTCGTCATCACTAGCCACAAACTCATCTTCACTGTCTAATCCATCTAAAAGAGGGGCCTGGTAGCCAATCTTTTTCTTATAAGCAAGCTGCTCTTTCTCCAGCAAGTCCTTTAACTGAGGAGGGTAGAATTGGAAGTCTTGAATATTGTATTGCTTTGGTCCTTTATAGGGTGAGGGACGACCGTTTTGCAACACATCCTTATAATAGTTATCGATAGAATACTGATGCTCTTTTCTCTGTCTCCTGCTTGGGTTCACCCACAGATTCAAGGTGGAATGTTCCTTTTTAGCAAAATTCTCTCCATTCCATTCATATGCCGAGGAGTCAGATGTGAAATTTTGCAGATCGTCTAACCCGAGCTTTGCGTACTTGTGATTCAGGCTCTCCGTTTTTTGCTTTCCTTTATTCAAAATGGCCTCGATATCCGTGTCTAAACCAGCAGAGTTGACCTTATTCTTGAAAACGTCCTCCGCGCCGTGCTGAATCATTCCGAGCAGATCGTCTTTGGTGTTACCGATAGTCTGCGAAGTGACCTTGTTATTAGTACGACCCTGCTGGATAACTAATTGATCCAGGCGCAGCTTCTGTGCTGCTCTTTCTAAGACTTTCTCTTCTATAGCATTCTCGGTCACGAAACGGAACACCTTGACTTGCTTTTTCTGTCCAATTCTGTGAGCTCTATCCATAGCCTGCAAATCCGCCTGAGGATTCCAGTCCGAATCGTAAAGTATAACAGAATCGGCGGTGGTCAGATTAATGCCCAAGCCACCAGCCCTTGTCGTCAGCAAAAAGATGAATTTGTCAGAACCTGGCTTGTTAAAATCATCAATTGACTGGATACGCTCCTCGTGTGCAGTGGACCCGTCAATTCGACAATATTTGTAACCTCTAAGATAGCAGTAGTCTTCTAGGATATCCAGCAATCGGCTCATTTGTGAGAAGATCAACACCCTGGAGCCCTCGTTTTGTAGCTTCTTAAGCAACTTATCTAACACGATCATCTTGCCACTGTTGTAAACTAGGTGCTCATCTGTTGTATAGGGTGGGCCTGGTTCAGCACCCTCAAACAAATAAGGATGGTTACAACACTTACGGAGCTGCATCACAATGTTAAGTAGCCTCGTCTTTCCTTCTCTCTTTCCAATAGCGCCATTGACAGCATCAATATCCTTTTCCAGCAAGTTTCTGTACCACTTAATTTGCATGTCAGTCATACCGACATACACGTTGGTCTCAATTTTCGGTAGCAAGGACTTTTCCACGTCACTCTTCACCCTTCGCAAGAGGAAAGGAGAAAGAACTTTGTGCAATTTTTGCACGACTTGGTCCTGATCTTCTTCTCCCTGGCTCTCAAACCATTCGTTAAACACCTCGTCGTCGCCGAAAACATCCGGCAGTATGAAATTCAAAAGCGCCCAAAGCTCGTGCAGATTGTTCTGCAACGGCGTACCTGTGATTAAAAGTCTATGCTTGGAATAGAATACACGGATGATTTGGGACAACGCGCTTTCCTCATTTTTGATTCTATGGGCTTCGTCAATAACGATGTATTCCCATCTAATCTTGCCGAGTTTTGATTTTTCTCTTATGACCATCTCAAACGAGGTGATGCAGACATCGAAATCAGCCTGCATCAATCTATCATTTATCAGCTCTGCACGCTCTTCTTTCGTTCCCTGAAGAACAAGCACGTTGACCTCCGGTGTCCATCTGGCAAATTCTCGTCTCCAATTATCCAGAGTAGATTTCGGGACCACCACAATAAATGGTCCATCAATTCCCTTGTAATAGCGTAAAAATCCCAGAAACGAAATCGTCTGCAATGTTTTTCCCAGCCCCATCTCATCGGCAAGAATTCCCGAAAGTCGGTTTTCATACAACGATATGAGCCAGTTTAAACCTTGAATTTGGTAATCCCGTAGTTTGCCCTGGATGTAGCTTGGTGACTCGGTCAGAACAGTGGTCTCTTCCTCGTATTCCTCATCGTGGATCAGCTCTGCGTCCTCTTCTTTCTCTGATTTGCGTCTTCGTCCCGAGGAGGTCTTCTTGTTCGGTTTCCCGCTGCCTTTCTGCGAATCGATCTGGCGAATCAGATTCATTAGCTGTTTGTCCTTGGACGCGTTTAAATCAATGAAGTGCCGGAACAGATGTGTAAGATTCAAAAGATATTTGAACCTCTTGGTGCTGTCTTTGACATCTTTAAGCCGTTCTGTCTTAGCATCTTCTTGGAGAAAGTACCTCTTTTTCCGTTCTTCCAGAGTCTCCGTTTTGTCCGGCATGGTTTGTTTTATTCGCCTACAAAGAACAACTAGACTTTTCACTCTTAATTTATTGCTTTCAGGCTGTGCACTCTCAATCTTACCATGCGACAGCCAACTGGGGAGCAGCTTGTTTTCCACCATTCCGTGTTTATGGAGACCTCTAAGATACCTTATGGTAGGGTAACGTCTTATGGTCAGATTGCGCGTCGAATATACCGGCCCCAGAATGCTAGACAGGTGGGAATGTCACTCAAAAACCTCACGACATACACTCGGTTTTTTGACGATCCTGAGTTCCAGAACCTACCCTGGTGGCGGGTTGTGAACTCCCAGGGGATGATTTCCAAACGAGAACGGGCAGATGCAGTTACAGAGCAGGCAGACCTCTTAAGAAGAGAGGGTGTGATAGTTTCTGAGCGTGGTGGTGAATATTTCATAGATCTCAACGAGTTCGGCTGGTTCGAGGATGCCAGCGACGACGGCGAAAGTGGCTACGAGAGTGACTATTAGAGTTCCTGGTATTCAACTAAATACAAATAATATATCATTTAACCTCAATTTTCGCATCAGCTCGGCGCTGATGGTGCTTTCTGGGTATATTTTTGGAGCCGTCTCTTTGACTACTGTCTTTAGAGTTGGAGGACTTGCGACTGTTTCGGCGATTCTGACGCGGCCTATCCGCCTCCTGAGCCCGCTGGAGCTCTCGTTGGACTCGCTCGCTTTCCTGGGCCCACCATTGCTCAAATCGCTCCTCGTTTTGTATATCTTCGAATGATCTCACCGGCTGAGGGTTCTGCTTCTCCTGAAGCATCTTCTCCTCCAACAAAACGCTCTCAAAAGACGGCACAGATGCAAGAACAGCAGTATGGTTCACCAGGGTGTAAGGCTTTGAAGGAGTATCCGGAGAAGAAGTCCCCCATACATTAGCATTGTTCATGATACTGAAGCCTGTAGGCGAAGACTGTTGCTGCTTGCCTCTCTTGATCCGTTCCCTTTGCGATAGACGAGGCATACTTTTCGAGCTTGCCTTGACAACAGGAGGAACAGGGTTGTTGAGTTTGAACCCAGGATTTCCAGGAGAACCGTAAGATTCGGCTAGCGTTAAGAAACTTCCCGCACTGGTGTTTGGGGTATCCTGGTGAATGGTGACTGATGCTTGGCCTGAACTGTTTGGCGACGCTGGCGGAGGCGAAGCCTTTTTCGGATTGCTGATGGACCCGCTTTTCTGCATAGGAATCGGACTCGATACAGAGAAGCTGGACCTTGCAGACGACTTCCTGCTTGCCACCAAAACAAGATCATGATCTGCGTCATCATCGGCGATGGCATTTTCATCTAGTTCTTCAGTGCTTTGCGAAACAATTCTTTGAGAATAAAGAGCCTTGGACAAAGTGCGCGGTTTCACCGTTGCACCGGGAACGTTGGCCTTATTTTCCTCAATACGTCTTGCAGAAGACCGTCTTCTGCGCTCCGCCGAACTTATCTTTGGCACTGGTGCCTGGTCCTCGAATACAGGTGTAAACACATCCCAAAGCAAAGGATGAATAAAGTGTGCATTATAACTGTCCATGTCATCAATCATCTCGCGAATAAGCTCCGGATGGTCTTGCAGATAGAGAACAGGTGCCTCACGGTGGTGGTTTTTGAGGGTTGCAAACCATTTCAAAGCATCATTGACGGTATTTAAAAATGCATTATCTTCTTCTTCAACCATCTCACCAAACCATGGGTCAAGTAAAAGAACATCCAAGTTGTTGTAGATGAACCACAAGCAGTTAGCAAACAGTTTGTAGGCCTTCATGTTGTATGAGTGGCGGAGAAGGTGTTGCACATTGTCCAAGCTAATGAAATCCTTTATCAACAGTTGGCAAATATCACTCAGCTCCGCCAAAATGAGCTGCTCAGCAGCATCCATAACATCAAGTGCGAAGTTAATAAACGACGTGACGTCGACAATTTGTTCCACATCATTGAATAACTCATCATATTCCACGCCGTAAAGATACTTGACAATCACCCCAAACACAATCGAGTTGATGTCAGGTAACGATGCAAAGTCTGAATTCCACCTGCTGGAGAACAGCGTCTCAAAATACGCACTTCTGGCAACTACCAGCGGCTTGAAAACAGTGACAGTGGCGTCTTGCAATTTAATCAAACATTCACCTCGCAAATTCTCCAAATCGCTGCGTAATGAGTTTGTACATTCAACACGGCCCATAGGAGAAACAATACGTAGCATTTTGGATATATTCTCAAAAGCTGTCTTGCTCTCCTGCAGGTGCTTGGGAGTTTTTCCCAGCGGATAGTCTGTCCACACATCGACGAGCTGGTCAGTGTATAAAAAGTGTAGGACCACCAGCACCGAACACAGGGTCACCTTCCCGGAGCATTTCAGTTTTCCTGCGGTACTGGTCAGTATAACCCCATTACGTTCCAAAGTGCCATTTTGATTAATCAAGATCCGGAGAACCTCGCTTCGCAACTCCAGAACTTCTCGGTGCACGTCTATATCGACACCGTCAACAGACACCGTGTAATCGTAGTGTTTTCCTTTGGCAAGATCCTTCATGGTCAACCAATAGTCAATGTTGTCCGATTTCAGAATCTCGCGAACAACGCCATCATCGTTGATACTCGCGACCGTATCAATGCTCTCCTTCTCGTGTGTCCACCTGGAGTCTTTGAAATTGGCGATCACGTCATGTGATGCCGCTTTCGAATCCTCTTCAACGACTTGGTGCCTGAAAAAAGTCTCTTCTTCTCCAACCTCTAAAGCTTTCGTTTTATACACAAAGTTGATTTTGAAGCTGGTATCCAATGACATATACGATTCGTCCACCTTGTTGACTATGGCCCGACGTTGAACAGGTCTATCATCCTGGATTTCGCTCAACGGCGACAGCCTATAGAAATCCTGTAGAATAGACGACTTCGCTAGTCTATGAGGAATGAGATCAGTATCATCCCGGATAAAGGCAAACCTGGAAAACAGAGGATCAGAAACCACCCTGACAACCTTATTGAGACCCACGATCTTGGAAAACTTGAACTTCTTTGAGATGTAGCCGTGCGACGACTTGGAGTCTTTCACGATAGCACGCTTGATACGTTTATATGCGGAGCCGTCCTGCACAGAGATGATTATAGAGCCATCATTGCCCATGTCGACGTCTGTGCATCGCAAGTGTTCTTTTGAGGCCTTCCAGATGGTAGTAAAACGCACACTTTTTTGGAACAAAGCATTATCTAGGCTTTTCACATCCATATTGAGCTGCATGATATCTCCGTTATCGAGCAAAAGAAGACACGAATCGCATCCTTTCTGCGCCACCATTTTAGAGATTGACTTCCTCTGCGAAAGAACACGCGGACGGAAAGTGTTGAAAGACTCCGAGTCGATTTTGTTGAGCAGCGGTGGTATCACTTTCGAATGGAAACCGTTGAGATAAAAGTGCAGCTCGTTGCTATTGGTCAGAACAACCGTGAAACTGTCTGCAGCATAAACAATCCTAATGTCTCCATAGGTGAAAGCCAATTTTCTTGGGTAGATTTGGATTAGACCAACGCCATTTCTGCCAGGTACTTTGTTTAAATTTCCCGAAGGACTGAACCCAAATTGGCCAACGTTCAAACCCCAAAGATAAATCTCGCTTTTTGTATAAACCAAGGAATGGAATTTCGAGCAACTGACTCCGAGAATCTGGGAATTAGTCTGCTTCTTCAGGTCTCCAGTGTTGACCAGCTTTGGAATGGACACACAGGCTTCTGTTTGATGAGGAAGCAAGTCAACTTGATAGCCCAACTGACCGTATGAGTTCAAACCCCAAGTATACACGTTGCCGTCCGCAGTCAAACATATTGAATGATCATTGCTCACATCTGCAAACAAGATTCGCTCCTTTTCAAACGCAGGAATTCCAACAAAAGCGTCTTGCGGCTGTCCATTTCCCAACCCCAAACGACCGCGGGTGCCCAGTCCCTTGACAAATATATTGGCTTGAGGCTCTGTAGTAAGAACAATTGAATGGTGTTTGGACATTTTGACGTCTCGAATCCTCGGAAATGAAATTCTCTCTGAAAGGCTCGAGTACGTTTCCCTGTCACCATATTTGTACTTGAGTCTCCTCATGTCCACAAGCACCAAATGATCTGTGTTTTCACCGACATCCTTCAGAGAGTCAATCATCACAATATTCGACCCTCCCCTGCTAAGCTGAAATGATCTCGGAGTGTTGTTTGCTCTAAACGACTGATGTCCCGTAAACCTTTTCTCAAGATTGATCTCCCTAGTGCCACATCTGGCTTCTTCCACAGTCATTTTGGGCTTAGGCAGTTGCAGTCTGCCAATACTTTCAGGCACCCACTTCAGTTTCCAGATGTCGATTTCGCTACTCATAAGGTCTAAGGGTGTGAATCCTTCGCGGTCTTTTGCTTGAAGCAAACTCTGCTTGGTAGAAATGAGGATTTGAGCAATGATGAAGTTCTTGTAGAAAATCGCATAGTGCAGGCAATTCCAGTGGTTTTCGAGGTCTGTAATGGATATGTTTAGGTTGGGGTTTTTCAAAAGTTTCTCCAGTAAATATCTTTTGTTTGCCAAGCAAACGACATGTAGTAAGGCTCTCCCGTATATATCACGCTTTTCTAAGTCTTTTTTGGGAAGAGTACTCAAAGAATTAATGAATCTTTTTGGCAGAATGTGTGTGTCTCGATTGATTAAAGAGGGCTCAGGAGAAGGTGAGCTTCCTTCCCGAGCAGATTTACCAGCTGCGGCAGTGAACTGGACGTTAGGGGGACGGGCACACATGCAAACACCAATACTTACCTTTAAAACATATTGAGGTCGTCCTTGCACACAAATATAGTAGTTAATATAAGAATGGTAAGTTGCTCAAGAGACACACACGAGTTAAAGAAATTGATAACCCATGTGTAATATTTTATTGCATCTAAAGCTAACATCCGTACACCACAAATAGACCAACGCGGTTGCGGAGAGAATTGTCTCAATCCAGCGTCACAGTACTCCGGTAAGGACGCCCCATAGTGCTGAAACAATGAACAAGCAAATCAGTGTTTTCGGTAATGGTAGTCTGAGAAAACGTATCTCACCTTCATGGCCGTTCAATGCGTACGAGTCGCGCGGGCTGAAAAATATTTTACTATGTCGTTTTTCCTAAATCAGCCCCAGCTCAGCGGCCTGGAGGTGAATCCTGAGCGCATGAGGCTGGCTGAGCTTCACTATGATGCCATGAACACGACACTGAATACTATAAAGAAAGAATGCCTGATCAAGTGCGTTCCGGACGAGTATGGCGAGGCAGAACTAAATAAGGGTGAATCGTCTTGTACAGACCGGTGCGTAGCGAAGTTCATGCAAGCGAACCGGATCCTCGGGGAATTTGCGCAAGCTGTGAGATTCAACGAGAAAGACCTACGACATTACGAAGAAATCAAGCGGAAATTGGTCAAAGATTAGCGACTCTATGCAGTGCTCATATCCCGCATTTCGATGCTAGTGTCATCGAACAGCACGTCGTCGTCCACATCGAGATCGTCTTCGATGAGAAAGCTGTTGTCTGTGACCAACGGATCTTCCTTTATCGGGTCGAACAGATCTAATTGATCGTAAGACCATCGGCAGAATTTATTGTTAATCGCGAGTTTTCCGGCAAGCTTTGCCGAGTAGAATGCGGCGATTGCAAGCGAGCACCCAAAGGTGAGATCGAAGAAATAGTGGTGCGTCAGGTACATTGTACTGAACCATAACCAGCACACATATACACACCACAAGGGTGCGAATCGGGGGAATAGATAGCATAGCCAAAGAGCGTCCAAGCTCGCGCAAGCAGAGTGCAGAGATGGCAACGCACCAAAGATTAATGGCGAATTTGTGAATGCGGAGGTATACATGTCTATCCCCAGAATTTTGTCAATCCTTGCGAGCCCTCCAGGGCTTCCTTTCATCGAATAATTGGCTTTCTCCAGTCCATGCAACACTTTATACCATGGAGGAGCACACGCAAACAAAAGGTTCTGGATTATAACTCCGACCAGGTTCATGTACCCGAAGGTGAACGAGTACAGCCTGAGTGTTTTGGGTGGTGCGAACAAGAAGATCAAGGCAGCAACCACGAACGGTAATGAGAAATGTAAAATTCCGTAGGGAATCCAAGCCAGCACGTCTAAAAATGTGGAAATGTAGGATGCAAGTAGCTGGGATAGGTTCTCGCCGTAAAGGATTGTTTCCATGCCCGGTAGCACTTTCACCGTAATTGGTGGCCGAAGTTGCAGCGGGATGAATTTTGAAGAGAAAAAAAGGGCCACCCAGCCGAGAACAGGTAGAGCGTAGTTGAAGAACTGGGACGTGATGGGCACTATCACCAGAACTAGAAGGACCGCCGGGATGGCAAGCTTGACCACAGCCGGAACCGGAATAAGATAGAGCACAAATGCAAACACTATGAATATGATGGCATAATGGATGTATTGGATGGGATTCTTCTCTGACTCACGAATGGCCTTGAAGGTGACCATTGGATTCCAGTCATGATTCAGCAATGTGAGTGTACTCCCGGATTCTCTGGACCTACGGTATTCTTGTATAAGTTTGTACAAGACCATGGCCAGGATACTTTGGAATTCACGGAACAAGTAAAATAAACAAATTATCGTCCCGTCGGCAGGTCTGGAGATAAATTACCCTTCTAAAAAGATGACACCACAAATAACTTCATGAATTTAGACTTGAAAGAGGAACCAGGGGAGAGCAACCCGATCATCTGTAAGTATCGGGCACAGCAATACACTAACATGCAGTTGCACCAAAAACTTACCAGTACGAAAAGTTCCAACTGGATGTCTCTGATCTCGAACGAGACCCTATTGCGCAATTTACCAAATGGTTTAAAGAAGCCAGTGAGGGTGGGTCCACAGACCCGATTCCAGAGTCTGCCGTTCTGTCGACTGCTCAGCTGCCTTCCGGCAGAGTTTCGTCTCGCGTGGTGCTCTTCAAGGAGCTAGACCACCGGGGTTTCATTATCTACTCCAACTTCGACACCTCCAAGAAAAACAAGGATATACGCAGCAATCCGCACGCAGCTCTCAATTTCTTCTGGAAGGACCTGCAAAGACAAGTGCGTGTTGAGGGCATCGTGGAATTTGTCGATTACGAAACGTCTTCCCGGTATTTCAACACTCGTCCTAGAGGCTCAAAAATCGGCGCACATGCATCGCCTCAATCATCTGTGCTCAAGGATAGAGATGAGCTGGAGGAAAAATACAAGGAGGCCGAGCAAAAGTTCTCCGCTGCTAAGGACGAGGAGATCCCTTGTCCTCCCAAATGGGGTGGGATTAGAATTGTTCCGCTGGAAATTGAGTTCTGGCAAGGCAGAAAGAGCAGACTACACGATAGATTTACCTACACCCGCTCCTCTCCAAATGAGCCTTGGGAGCTTTCGAGACTAGCACCTTAATAAATTTAAATCGTCTATTTAGAGAGTTTCTCCGTGGCTGTAGCAAATTCCTGTCCCTGGATGCGAGCGATCTTGAGTTCGAGCTCCGATGGAGTTCTAGATCCGTCGGGACCAGCAATGGTACCGGCACCCCAAGCGGAACCACCATGGACTTCGCTCAGGTTGGTGAGCTCACCAAATGCCTTGGCGTAGCCCAATGGCACGTAGATCATACCATGGTGGGCAAAGGTGGACAAGGCGTTGACTGCTGTGACCTCGTTACCTCCACCGGTACCGGTAGAGACGAAGACACCAGCAGTCTTGTGGTACAGAGCACCGGTAGCCCACAGTCTACCAGTAGCATCAATGAAAGCCTTCAGTTGAGCTGGGAAGTTACCGTATCTGGTTGGAATACCGAAGATGATACCATCGTACTCCTTCAGAGCATCGACGGTGGCGATTGGGAAGTCTGGTCTCTCAGGAGCGTGGAGCACCTTGAGGAGTTCAGGACTCAGAGTTTCTGGAACCTGCATGATGTCGGCGGTGGAGCCAGCGGCCTCGACACCCTTGGCAACCTCCTTAGCGAGAGTGGCAATGTGGTGGTAGAGAGAGTAGATAACGATTGCAATTTTAGCCATGATGAGTTAGTTACTACTGGTTGGAAGATAGGTGAAATGCTGGCCGGCGACTTTATATATTTCTGAGCCCCAGCTGCGCGAAATTTCTGAAAACCGTCTAAGCACCGTGGCCACAAGATCATGTAAGCATTACTAAAATAACGGTAAAATGCACTAGAAATTTCTGTATGGCGTGGTGCACCTTAGTAAGCATTACAAACAATAGGTGATCCAACTAAAAATGGTGGCTGGGGTTACTAAGATTGTCTAAAGAGAGATCGCACCTATACTCGACCTGTTCAGCCATATTTATTTACAATATAACCACAATTTGTGATTGAAATTTTGCACCATGGCCAAGTTTGCGATCATCACGTACTCCACGTACGGCCACGTCACCACGCTGGCCAAAGAAGTTGCCAAGGGTATCCAAGCCGCGGGCGCTGAGGCTGAGGTGTACAGAGTTCCAGAGACTTTACCCAAGGATGTGCTCGAGCTAATTCATGCACCTGAAAAGCCAGACGACATCCCAGAGATCAACGCTGAGGATCTCACCAAGTTCGATGGCTTTGTTTTCGGGTTCCCAACCAGATTCGGTGCGGTTCCTTCGCAAATCACCTCATTGTTTGACGCTGCCGGTTCTTTGTGGGCTACCGGCGCGCTGTACCACAAGCCAGCCGCCTTCTTCACCTCTACCGGCAGTGGTGGAGGCAAGGAGACTACCATCAGAAGCGCGCTGAGCTTCCTGTCTCATCAGGGTATGATCTACGTGCCATTGGGCTACGCCAAGACCTTCCCTGAGATCACCAACGTGGAAGAAATCCAAGGAAGCTCGCCGTGGGGTGCTGGTACTGTTGCTGGTAGCGATGGAAGCAGACAACCCACACCACTCGAGTTGAAGACAGCCTACATACAGGGTCAGGAATTCGCGGAGGTGGCCACCAAACTCACTGCTCCAGCCGAGACTGATGCTACGAAGGAATCTGCAACAGCAGGCGAGACCTCAACTTCTGCTCCTGCTAAAGAACAGAAAGCGACTGCCACCGAGTCCGAAGACACTAAAAAGCCAGAGACCAGCGCATCGGCCGCAAAGTCGAGCGAAAAATCCGGCTGTTGCGTGATCGTTTAGAACATTAATTTAATACAAAATCCTGCTATGTTTTCGCACACACCACTGTCTGCTTACCCACACGTCTGACCTTTGCGTACTTGAGGAGGAATTTATCGGTTTTTATTTTCTTAGTGTTGATTCTTGCCACAAACGGTTCGATCTCCTCCAGCTTCCACTCTTTCTTTAGCTTGAACAGCTCCGAAATGCGCTCGATCGGATTCTCGCTCAAATCCGATTCCGCAAAGTACCTGATGAATCCGTTTTCGGTAATAAAGTTTCCGTCGAGATACTCCAATTTGATGTCCGGATGATAGTTGAATGGCATTGTAAGTTTGAGGTTGAGAGCAAAGTCGTCTTCCTTCATCTTTTCCGCGTTGGTTTTGAGCAGCAAAACGCCGTAGAGTCGCACTACTTTTTCGTTGAGAAATGCCAGTCCCCTGTCTGATTCCCTGGTAAATTTTGCAAGTACCGTTTGCACGATCTCTGGAGGGTACGACTCGTCCTGGCGCTTCTCGACGACGTCTAAAACCCATTGTTTATTAAGCTTCTGCAGCCGCGTCATTATGTTCATCTCGTCGCCGGACTCCACCAGCTCTTCAATAACGGCTCTCAGTATGCTGCTGAGACAATCTCGCACAAGTTCCTCGTGTAGAACGTAGGCATTTCCTTCTAGCTCGACGAGGTTGAGCTCAGGACGCAGACGCGCAAACTCCTCCTCGGACACTGGGGAGTTCTCAAATACGCTCGCCAAGGAGACACGATTCTTGTTTGTCAGCTCTGACAGTTTTGTCAGAATTGAAATTCCGTGTAGATTTATCGTCGGCTCTGTAGTCGCTAAAACGAGCTCATTTGAGAACCTCGCGTATGAGGAGGCAGCACCGTTATGCTCGCTGAGAAGCAGAACACAATTAGAGTGGTTCTTCTGCCGGATCTTGAACGTCTTTGATGCAGTGACTAGCACTGGATAGTCTTTAGTGGTCGCGGACTTTAAACGCAGCTCGGCCTTTTTTTCTATGGCTTGCAAGACCTCAGAGTTCAGTTCAACAAGCTTTAACGACTTGGTGTCCGTTAGCTGCTGATTGGGCTCGAGGACCGAGTAGAGATCCATGCTGACTAAAAAACGCGAACGCGAAAAATATATATACTTATTACAGTTTTTTTAAAGCTACTTATGCCTTTCTGGATTTTTGCTTGACGGATTCGGCTTGGGCAGCCTTCTGAGCCTTGGCAGCCTGTGCTTTCTTGTTGCCAGATCTGTAGGCCTGGACATAGAAACTGATAAAGAGGAATAAGTAAGAGGTCAACAGGAGATATCCGCATGCAGCAGCAGTCTGGGTGCCATAGCAGTCACCCATGGACGGGAGGATACCGCCAAAGAAGTGGTATGCGTAGAAAGAGTAGGTAGCAAAGTAGACAAAAACCAAGTCGACCAAGAACTGAATGATTTGGAATCTGGTAACCCACTCTTTCCACCAGACTTTGATTCCACGGGCCGCGAGGAAGTAGTACCAGTACATCAGGACATGCACTGCCAGGTTCAAAGAGATTGGAACCCATTCGACGGAGGTGTGCCCGACCAGCTGAGTGTAGCAGAGCAGGGCTGTGGCTCCGTGGTGGTAGGTGTGAAGGAATCTCAACGGCTTTCTTCTGAGCACCAAGAAGACGGTATCGATGAGCTCCAAATATTTGGTAAGGTAGTTGAGGTAGTACAAGGTCACGAGCTTGTGGGTGAAAGCGCCTTCAGCACAGATAGACCAGAAAAGTCCGTTAAAATAAATCATCGGGATTAACTGTTCCAAAAGAACGACCAGCAGAATAAAAGAAATGACTGTCAACAGAACGTTGTGGATCTGGAACAGCCAGTTGAGTCTGATGGGCCTGATATTAAGCTTGTTCATTATGAACTGCCCACCAAAAATCACGGCGTAGTAAACAACGATGACAGAGATGGCGTGAATCCAGTTCGACATAAACGTGACATTCTTGACGAATCTGAAGTCCTCTGCGGAATATCCGGCAACCTTGGTGAAGAAGTGGTCGAAGATAGGCCACAGATAGACACCAAACGGTCTCGAAATGGTCGGCTCTGCATATTGGATGTAGGAAGGCAGCTCAAATGGAACTCCCATACTGAAAAACAAAAATTCAGGGTTTTCTATTGGAGGTGTTTATTTTTTTTCATCTCTGTGAAGTGCAGCTAGTCTTCCGGTGCACGTGACTAAGCTCATATGTGGGGATCGCCTGGTATAGTCGAGAAAAAAAAAAAATACGGTTCGGCTCGGCACCTTTTCGGGAGGGTCGGAAGGTTAACCGGTTCATGCACGGCTATTGCAAAATTCCCTTTAATTACCTCACATAAGTGCGCGGCTTGAAACGCTTGGACGCTAACATGCAGCATGGGGCTGAAACCGCGACCGAGAATAGCTCGTAGCCATGAACAGCTGTTCTGGATTCAGGACTCGGATCTGCTCCGGCTGCAAAACCCAGTGACGCTGCTAACAGCGCAGCATTCCTGCTGTTGGTCCGGTTATTAGTGGAGTCCGATATGCCGATATTCAGATTTCCTAAGCCGCACAACGTAGGTCTGATGTCTCGGTAAGGAAAAAAAAGATTGCCGGGATTCAGACGAGGTTATATATACAAGTAAAAAGAACACGGAATTACCCATTTGACATTAGAGGCGATCTTCGGCAAGCAGTACAACATAATTCCTATGGTTTGATGCCTGACAAGACAAACATGAACGCCCTTCCTATACTACCTCCAGCGTCGTCTTTGATTCTGCCCAACCGAAGCTCACACAGTCAGTATCCGGCCACTCCGCCGCTGGTGAGTCTTCCTCCGTTGACAAGGTACCACTACCCGGGTGCTCCAGATCAGAATGCGCTCCCGCCTCTTTTCAAGCTAAGCTTGGATACACCGCTACCTCTGCCAGGGGTATCACCCGTCAATTCCGAGTCTTCGCAACACTCGTCCCAACTTGCCACGCAAGCTCACAGATCACAGCGCAAACGGTCCTCGTCGTCCGGGGCCTCGCAGCCGCGCAAGAAAAGAGAGTGTCCAGTCTGTCACAACTATTTCAGCAACCTGACCACGCACCGCGCGATCCACATCCAAAACTCCAAACCGTTCACCTGCCAGACCTGCTCGCGATCCTTCAAGCGCCTCAACGACCTGCTGCGCCACGAAAAGTGTCATCTGTCGAAGCTTGGCGAATGGGAATTCCGGTGTCCGTTCTTCAACACCGATCCAAAGGACAAGTCAGAGAACTGCCACCACTCGGGCCACTTCACCAGATGCGACACATACAAGAACCATTTGAAGGCTATACATTTCAAATACCCGCCCAACACGCCTAAGAGCGAGCGCTCAAAGGTGAACGGGCTTTGCAGAGAGTGCGGCATGTACTTCAACAACGTGCAGGAGTGGCTTGCAAACCACATCGAGACAAACCAGTGCACCAAGCAGACGCCCGCCAACACGAACCTTACGACATAGTACATTAATAGACACTGTATGGCACCCATGGGACGTCAGTCTTCCTTGTAATCGTCCGGGTTCAGCTGCCGCACAAACTCCACGTAGTCGGCAATGTACTCAGAGCTGAAAACAGCGTAATCCGAGCCTTCAAGCTCGCCGGCCTCGTCGAGACGGAGTCTGCAACCAGGCAGGCGGACCAGGATAGCCAGAATTACGAACGAGACGCCTGCGACGTACATTGTCACCACCAGCGAGCTGATAAACTGTTGTAGCAGCTGAATGAAATGCCGGTTGATCCAGCCTCCTTTAATCGACAGGCCGCCCAGGGCCGCAACGTTCTTGTCGGCAAAGAGGCCGACTAGCAGGTTCCCCACAATACCCCCGAATAGGTGAATTCCGATGTCCAGCGAGTCGTCAATTTTCAGCCAGAACTTGAGCCGGGTCCCGACATTGCAAAGTACACCACTCAGTAAGCCTACCACAAAGCTGGACCAAAAATTTATGTACGCAGTGCATGGGGTCATTGCTGTCAACCCTGCTATGCAGCCGGAACACAGCCCCACAGCCGAGATCCGTCCATTTCTATGATATAAGTAGTCCAGCCCCATCCAGCTAAGCCCGCCAACAGCCATGCTTGTTATGGTGTTGGACAGAATAACACCAGTGAGTGGATTCACGGTGTAAAGTGCGCCACAATTGAAGCCTAACCATCCGACGGCGATAAATATCGCTCCGCAAATAACCATGCCCAAGTTGCTTGACCTATATTCGACAAGACTGGTCTCGTTTCTGTACCCCAAAAACCACGAATAAACAAGTGCTGTGGTTCCAGAAACGATGTGGACTGCGTTTCCTCCAGCAAAGTCCAGAACGTCCAGCTTTTTGTGCATCCATCCGTTAGGGTTCCACACCCAGTATGCTATAGGACAATATATAAGGAACATCCAAGGTATGAGAAAAATTAAGGCTGGTTTCAGTCGCCCACGTTCACACAGACACCCCATAGCTATCACTGCAGTGATACTTGCAAATAATCCATTGTAAACTGCATAAACCTGGCCAAAGACTTGAGTCGTATAATCTTTGTATCGGTAATTTGGGTAAACCACCAGAGCACCCATATCTTTCAAACCCACATGTGCGAAATCGCTAAGATAACCCGTTTTGCCTGTATCTGAGAAACTCAGAGTATACCCAAAACATAACCAGAGGATCATCACTTCTAGCGTGACAAGCAACGGGAAACTTAGCTGCTGGAACGCAGCCTTACGCTGCGTAAGTCCTGAATAGAATAGTGCCATACCAAGAATCAAGAAGAGCAGAAGACTGGAGTTGAGCAGTGTGAATAGCGAGTTCAACGCTAGCCCTACCTCAACTCCTCCCTCTTGCATTAGCCAAAATCTTGAAAAAAGATACCGATCGTTAAAGCTCAAATAAATTTTTTTTCTTGCCAAAAAAATGGTTCCTAGCAGGATCGAACTGCTGATCCCCGCGTTATTAGCACGATGCCTTAACCAACTGGGCCAAGGAACCTGGAACACTTAGCAATTCAGAACAATGTTATTGAGCCGGTCGCTAAAAACCCCGCACTCTTTGTTTTTTACCGGCCTTATTGTTATGAGGGGCTGGAGTTCCGGGGAACAATAAAGAATAATCGAATGCAATAATACTGCGTATCTTTATCTTTTGAAGGGGCTCCGTCCAACAATCTTGAGCGCAAATTTTGATTTTCCAACGTGTAAAATATCCCAGCTAAACGGGATTAATAACCAATAGCGTGATAACTTGCGTGCACACTTTGCTCTCCCTACACTCCAGTCATACAGTGGATGATCAAAAATTCTTGTTGGACAACCCACAGCTAAAGTCACGACCATGAATCCGCCTCCTCACTATGATTGCCATGGTGGCGATGGCACTTGCCGACCCCCAGAGTACACACCGGCAGTGCATCACGTGTCTTTGAACTTCATGTACCAGGAGAAAACCAGGGGCAAGAGGAAACTTGCCTCTTATGAACCCGTCATTTTTGAGATAAATTCCACACAGTTGAATATTTATGACATTCACCCTTTGTACAGAAAATATGCCAGCTTTTACTTAGATAAGCTTCGTCCTGAATACATCGATCCAGAACTAAACATCAAAGTGGAGCCCTTGGGATCTGATGCGGGGGAGATGTGCTCTCGGGGAAACGGGCGCGTCGACTCTTCAGGTGCGAGACAGTTCTTTCGAAGACTATCCGCTTGCAGAAAGGAAAAGCCCGTGGTTCTTTCTGATGCTCAACTGGCATCCAAAAATTGCCATAGAATACACCAGTTGTTACTGCATCGCCCTGATTTTGGTAAGCTGACCTTAGTGGATAAAGGTGAGACGGACAAGACACTGCAACTTGTTAAAAGAGCAAGGCTGTTTACCTTCTCTCTGCAGGAACTGATAGACTTTGGCAATGCAGCAGATTACCCACACAAACCGTTCACTCTTCGTCTTCTGTTTCCACAGGACCAGTTCCTCCTAACCTCATACAATTCTGCAACATTTGTGGGCATATACTACAAGCTCAACATTGCCAGAGAGCTATCGCTTGATCTTGATATGCGTGCTGAAATGCCTATCGACCACTCTGTGCCTCATAGAAGGTCATCAGGCAGAGCAAGTCGGTCCAGCAGCGTTGCAACCAATGAGTCTTCGGTCGCTAGCGTTGACAGCTACGATGAGGACAAAGAATCTTTTTTTTCCGAGCCCCTTGTCCTCGAAGCTACAAATGTGTCGGAGACCTTTTCTGAAAAAGGTTCTGTCGCTCTAAAGCAGCCAACCAATAGTGCCAGGAAAGATGTCGAGCGGTACAAAGAGTTAGTGTACACAATTAGATGCATCAAAATATTCAAGAGTTCAAATTAGTTATTCGTTCGATCCCCTACACAATATTCGAAGACCGATGTCAGTGACCGAAGGTCTATGCTTGCTTTTATGTTTTTCAATTCTTCAAATGTCGTTTTCAGCAATTCAAGATGTTTGTTGTTTCCGTCCAAAAATAATACATCCAGCGAGAGATCTGTTTCGAGCAAGAAAGTGGAGTCTTTCGCAGCACTTGAGATCTTTTGCAATGTATCTTTATATTTATCTAAGTTCAGAACTTTGCTAACGCTAAGTCGAATATCAGGGTATTTTTTCATCCACAGTTTAAACTGATCGTAGGAACCACTATAGCTATGTAGGGTTACCAAGCCGGGAGATTTCATGATTTTCTGGACACTATCAAGCAGCTTGCCATGGCATCCAACACAGTGAATGCTCACAGGCCTGTTCTTTGCTTGTGCGATCCATAAGAACGTCTCAAATATTTTGATCTGATGATCCATTGACACTCGGCAAGGACTCAGTCCGGAATTCTCTGAAAGTCCCATGAATCCAGAATTGGGGACGCGAAACGCTTTGTCCAGTCCAATTTCTCCAATTGCTCCGCCTGCTTCCAAATACTGTTCGACGGTTTTTGTGTGATCTTCCAGGTAAATAGGCATAGGTAAATTTGCCAAGAGCTCTTCCGACGGGGCAGGATTGAGGATTTCGTGATAGTGGTTTCGTTTTTCTTCTTCTGTATTGACTGGGACAGTGGAAAAGAGATGTGAGTACCATGGGTGGATACCATAAGACGGAAAGACAGCGGGAATTTCCAATGCTAACTGGTAAATAAAGTGCAAATCTATGTGGTTTGTGGACATCAAGTTTACCAGAGGCTTATCTATATGGCAAAATGCGTGAGAAATCACGTCTCTAAACCTTTCAAATGTTTCCGCGTTGATTGAAGGCGACAGATGGCAATGGCCGTCATGAAAGCGACCGCTATCTGAATAATAGTTCATCTGACATTATATATTGAATCTAATTTTTAACCTCAGCTCGCGAAATGTATTTCCCGAGAATATCCACAAACATCTCTGCACGCGCTTTAGCGTCGACCACGTCTGTGCACACGAGTTCCACGTCCAAGATGTTTGGCTGCCGGGTTTCCTGGTAAGGCTCAAAATCAAAGTCATCATCAGGCTCAGCCACGGAGGTTTGGAAGCTGGTGTTGATTTTGAAACGTTCAGCATTTCTTGGTGGGGCGATAATGTCTTCGAAGAGCGGATCGATCAAGTCAGATGGAGCATAAAGAGGCTTGCCGTAGGCCTTTTGTTCAGCTTTCGACACCAACTTGACAACTTCGTCCTTCGAAATGTTGTCTGGTAAAATGTATTGATGAGTGATTTTGACCGGTTCTTTCTTTGGCTTGTCTTTTGTGGCAGGAGCTTTCTCTTGAGCAGCGGCAGGACGAAGCTCGATGTTTGAAAGATCAAGATGCGACTTCGAATCCAAGTAGGCAGCAATCTTTGAGTTGTTAGAGGAATCGATTTCGCCTAAGTATGCCTTCACATCACCTCTCAATATCCGCCCCTTAGGCCCCGTTGCTGTAATCTTTGACAGTGCTTCGTCTCTGGATATTCCGTTCGCCTCCAGCAGAAGCTCGACCGATGGCAAGAACACCTGGTTAGGGTCTGCCTTACCAGATGACACGGGAGTGCTAGTTTTCTTCGCTTGAGCAGGCTCAGCTGGCGGGGATGGCTGTGCTGGTTCTGGCGTCTTTGGTGCCTCTTTCTTAGGTTCTTGCTTCTTCTCTTCCACTTCTGGGAACTCGAGTTCAGCCAAGTTATCGCCGACCTCTGCCAAAAATGCAATTGGAGTTCCAACCTTGATCTCCTTCTCTCCCTCCTGTTTAAGGATCTTGGCCATGACACCGTCATCCTGAGCCTCGACAGCAATATTGGCCTTGTCAGTTTCCACCTCGAGCAAGACGTCACCCGCATCAAACTTATCTCCTTCCTTCACTTTCCAAGAAACAATGCCACCTTCCTCCATCGTGGGGGACATTGCAGGCATGTCCAATGGCGTGACTCCAAAGTTGAGGGGAGTACGATGGAATGCTGTGATGTTAATATGCTGTAAGAAGCTCACTTACCTCTTGCGCTTGCACGAAGCAGCTGGACGTGCGGTTTATACAATCTCAGTGACGTTCTCAACATTTTACGATGAGGGCTTGAGAACAAAGTTACCGTTATAATTATGATACTTGATGCCGGGCATGAAAAATCCGCCTGCCACGGGGTCGGCGTCGCGTCGACCACGTAAACACAGCCATGAAAAAAATATAACTTTAGTGGAAAAAAACTTTCAACTATGGCTAAGAGAAAGGTTAAGCGATCTGTTGAGAAGAGACTGGTCAAGCGTCGAAAAGATGAGGATGCCAAGCTTGATGCCGGCGTTTTCAAGGACTATGACGAAGAGGACAATGTCTCATTTGATGAGGACGAAGAACAGGACTATGAGCTCCGTCCTAGACAGTTCAAAGAGGATCAAGAGCTTGAGGAAGGTTTGCCTGTGAAAATGCCAGATGGAACATTCAAGAGAGTTTTGAAGAAGAAGCAGGTGGAAGCAGAGGAGCCGTCGGAGTCTGAAGATGTGGAACCAGAACAGCACTCCTCCGAGAAATCTGAATCTGAATCTGACGAAGAATTGACTCCACAGGAAAAGCTGGTCAAGACCAAGGAGGAAATCGCACACATTGCAGAACAAATCATGGAAGATCCAGAGGAACATGTAAAACTTTTAGCCAGGTTGCGAAGGATGGCCAACTCGAAGAATCCCAACACGTCCAAACTGTCTCTTCTTGCCGCTGTTCCAATATTCAAGAGTATTGCCCCAGCATACCGTATACGGCCTCTCACAGAAATTGAAAAGAAACAGAAAGTTAGCAAGGATGTGGCCAAGCTGCGATACTTTGAGGAAACACTTGTTTTTGAGTACAAACATTACATTGATCTGTTGACTCAAAAAGCGAGGGTGGTTTCCACCACGCCTAAAGCCACTGAACTGGACAAGCAATTGGGGATCCTGGCTAATAATGCAGCATGCGAATTAGCGCTAGCCTTACGATTTTTCAACTATCGGAAGGAACTTTTCCAAATCGTGGTCAAAAGGGCAGTCAGAAAGCCTGCTTCCGAGTCTGAGTTCAAAGTCTACGAGAAAAGTATCCAGACCATGGAAGAGCTTTTCAAGGAGGATGCTGACCGCGGTGACATCTCAGTGGAGCTGGCAATTCTCTTGAGTCGCGCCATTCGCACGAGAGAATACAAAGTTGACGAGAGTGTCGTGAACGTCTTCCTGGCACTGAGCATTTTGGATGACTACGATCCAAACTCGACCGAGGAAGAAAAAAAACTAAAACTCAGGAAGAAAGATAGAGTGCATCTGTCCAAAAAGGAACGCAAACAACGTAAAGAACGCAAGCAGATCGAAAAAGAGCTCAGAGCAGCCGAGCAAGCAGTCAGTGCAGAAGAAAGAGAAAGAAACCAGGCACAGGTACTGAAGATACTGGTTACGCTATATCTCGAAATTCTTAGAGCCAGACCTGATAAACTGATGGCCCCGGTTCTGGAAGGTCTCGCCAAGTACGGACACCAAGTCAACATTGACCTTATTGGCGACTTCCTCCAGATCCTGCGCGAGATCTGTGAGAATTTGCTGCACGATATCAATGAAGAAGGCAACTTTTCTAGCACCAGTATCAGACAGGTCCTGCTCGCAATCGTCACGTCTTTCTCGCTGACCGCAAACCTGCCAACCAAACGAATGTCTGTGGATTTGAACAAGTTTGTGCAGTATCTGTACACGCTGTTGCCGACGCTTGCGCTCGACTCAGATATAGAGTTCTCGCACAAGACGCTCCGTCTGGTTGACCCTCTCGCCGCAACACAGTATCGTCCAAACGTCAATATAGCCACTAAGTCAGAGCTGCTCCTCAGGTGTCTAGACTACGTGTTTTTCAACTCCAGGTCAGGCTCAGGCAAAAGATCTATAGCATTCACCAAGCGCATCTATTCTCTTCTGCTGCAGGCTCCAGAGAAAACTGGTATTGCAGGGCTGAAGTTTGTGGACAAGCTGATGGCCAGATACGAGGACATTAAAGGACTCTACACAACAGAAGACCGCATTCAAAACGGAGTTTACCATGCTGAACAGGATAATATTGCACTTGCAAACGCTGACGTCGCTGTCATTTGGGAAAATGTGCTTCTCGAGTCTCACTACTGTCCAGCATTGGCTGATGGTGTCAAAGCACTGATGAAGAAGGCTAAATAAAATGGATCAAGTCTGAACCTTCGAGGGTTCGCCAACTTCAAAAACCTTGACATGCTGATCGCTCTTCAGTCCAGTATCAGAAAATTCGACAGTACCCAGTTCGTAAGACACGCCCTCATCCTCAAATAAAAACCCAACATCGTTCTGTTTTTCAGGATCAAAAACTTCTGATTGCTTGTAGTCATAATGCTGATGGTTGTGGAACCAGTTCGTTTTCTTCGTAGGGACAGAAGTTGATATGATCGGAGTCATCACACGTATAGGTTTATTCCCGGCAGAGTGCGTGTGGACGTATTTTCCGTTCTCAGGCTTCTTCAAATTAACCCCGGCTTGCAAAACAGACGAGTGGGAGTTGCGGCGCTGGTGCGGAGGAATGTACTTGTCATACGTGGTAGTACTGGTTATGTTTGAACCGAAGGACGAGAAGTTGCTGGAGAAAGTTGTTGTCAAAGAAGTGTTTCTTGAATTTTGCCGCTCTGCATTGTCAGTCAACGACACTTCACCAAGTTGCTTTGACAAAAAACCCAGTTGACCACTCAACACAGAAGGATAGCTCGAAACCTCCTTTTTCGCACTGGAGTATTTGCGAACATTCTTGGAAGGTCTGGCTTTATGCTCGCCGTCTTCAAAAAGAAATAAATCATCATCACCACTGGTTTTCTCATCTTCTGACTCAAACACATTTTCTTCAATTTCGGCTTTCGGAGATGGCCGCAGATTTGGTGGGACGTATTTGCCCGAATGGCTCACAAAGCTTCGAGGTCTGACGGCACCAGTCGATTTTGCAGATGTGGGGTAATTATCTCCTTGACTAGTCGGAGTGACAGGTGTCCGTCCCAAAGACTTGCTTCCCCTATAATAAGTATCAGAGCTTCTTCTAGACTTATAGTGAGCTTTCCTGGTATTGTGGTTGTCCTTCGCATGATAGTTCCTGTGCTTTCTTTTCTTCCAGGCCCTGTTCTTCTGGTTGGGGTTGCGCCGATAAAATCTGTTGTTCTCCGAAGGCGTTCTTTGTTGAGTATGTCTGGGTTTCTGTGCCTTTTCCATATAGTGGTTGAAAACGGTCCTCGGGGTAAAGAAGTCAGCACGTCTAAATGAATCATCCAGGTAGTGATTATTGTTAGCATCGTGCTGGATGTTAACCCGCTTGTTTATCCGACCATTATGAGACTTGTGTCTGACATTCCGCATGCTTGGGATCTTGAGCGGCTTCCGTGGATGACCTGCCTTGTGCTTAGGTCTAGGAACTGATAAATGTTTATTGCCAGCCTTGGCAGCAGTCTCCTTCTGGTTCTCCTTGTCTGAAGTCCTGTCAGTAATTTCTTCTTCCGTAGGCTTCTCTTCAATAACTTCGGACTCCTCCTCTTCAAACTCAAAGTCACAAGTCAGATGCTCGACTTTAAGCAGAGAATCCTTCATAGTTTCCAGATTGCGGTTTTCGGGATCAATAGTCAAACTTGATCTCAAAACCGAAAATAAGTCGTAACTCATTGCAGGAAATATGTCAAACAAAGTTTCTCTGTTTGCCGCAAAATGCAGGAACAAGCGGTCCTTGGAGCTTGCAGAGTTGAAAGGCGACTTGCCGAACACAATATTCAGCAAACAAATTCCCAAGGACCATATGTCAACCTTGTCTGCGCTGTATGTGTCGATGTCCTTATGGTCCAACAGCTCTGGAGCCATGTACCTCTCGGAACCAACATCGAAATCGGTACAGTACTTCTCGTCTGTAGCCAAACCGAAATCAGTGAGCTTGATGGACCAATCTTCACAGATCAAAATGTTCTCGGGTTTGATGTCTCGGTGATAAACTCCCATGCTATGACAGTATTCCACAGCACTCAAGAGTTGCAGTGAAACATCAACCACGTCTCTAGTACAAGCTGGTGCAACTCCCATTTGGATCGAATCATGCAGGTCTCCGCGTGAAGCGTACTCGAGAACGATGTAGCTGTCAAAGCAATCCAGCAACTCGGTGATGTTTGGATGGCCCGAAACCCGTCTCAACATGTTGATTTCCTGCTGGGTTTCCTTCAAAACCACAGACTTGCTGACTGTCTTTTCATCTTCCTGTTCCGCGAATGTGAAATCGCTGATACATGTGGTATTATATTTCAGTGCCACAAGCCTATCATGGTCCTTTACGTCCTTCGCTAGTGAAACAATTCCAAATGATCCTTCACTGATGTCTCTGACCTTCAAATATCTACCGTTCAGTAATCCGCCGTCGACGTATGCCCTGTAATCGAAACTCATTGTAACCGTAAACCCAATAATCCCGACCGATCAAAAAATTAAATGCAATAAATATCCCATAAGCAGCGGCAATAGTGGAAAAGGTGTCGGTATCAGTAGCTTTGGCTCCGATCTATGAAAAACTGTTGTTATCTAAGTTGTAATAAACCTTGTCGTTGCCAGACAAATATTACTATCTGAACGCTTTTATTTCAAACGTAGTGAGCTTTTTTGCTGAGATTGAACTTTGCGATCACAATTCCACAGTACAAAAATAGCTGTTATCTGTCTGTATTGCCAGTTTGTCACACTTTTAACTCAGTTTTCATAAGATCAAAGCTACCGATTTGTTTAAATTTGGAACTTTTTAGAATGTGCCCTTGTTCGTTTAATTACACCCGTGCACCATGCTGCACAACACATTTTCTTTTTCGCCATCACCCCATTTCATCCACAATTTGCCTATTTGGGATAATACCATGATCCGAGAAAAGAATCTACGAATGTCAGTCAGTCTCGCTTTTCCCCACCTACTTAGAAAAACAAACTGTACGATGTATATGTAGCAAAAGTCCTTTAAAGTACTGGTCGTTCGTCGTTCTCATCCGAGTTCTGGCTGTCGGCAGGTCCAAAACCGATGGATCCCCTCGTTTCCGGCGAACTTCTCGAGCCGGTCTCGGAGGTGGACACATTCATTCCGTTTTCTACATGACTCTTTGGAGTCAACGATGCTGCATCATGATCGATGCGAGACTTCCAGTTTTCCTCACTAACCTTCTCGTCTTCTTCCTCCATTTTGACAATGTTTTTAGTGTCCAATTCCTCGCTCAAGTCACTATAGGCCTCCCCGTTCTCATCATACAGACTGTCAAGGTCAAGATGTTGCAAAGACGGGTTCATGAGCTTCTGCTTGCCCCTGACCTTGACGTTTTTCGTGATCCGTCCTCCCCTTGAAGCTGTATTCCTGTCTCTCACAAGGATACTCTTCGGCTGACGGCCCGCTTTGGAAGGATGTAACCCCGAATACGCTGCAGCTGAGGCCAGTTTGTCCTTCACTTTCGCACTCCTAGGATGCTGGTGTGAAGACGGCGCCTCCATTGAAGCATATCCTTTAGCAGATCCGAATGACTGGTAAATCGGAGATTGGTAAAAGGCTGCCGAGAGGGGCTGGTTATATGGAAGTAATGGGAAGTCCGAGTAGTACGGCGATGGACCATAGATTCCATACGGGAAATGCCCCCCAGACGGAAGAGAGACCACTTGCTGGTGTTGGAAAGGATCGAACTCCATGTCCAACGTGTGACTTCCATTTGTAGGGTGCGAAGGATAGCTCAGCAAAACCTGAGGTGAGGAATTCGGATCTTCTTTGTCACTGTTTCCTGAACGTGACTGAGATCTGGATTCTCCAGCAGGGTTGTTACCGTTCGCAAGAGTAGTTGGCGATGGAACCAGCTGTAGCGTCTGTTGTTGAGCGTAAGTATGCGCGTAAGCAGAGGTGTGGCCTGCGTGTGCAAATGTGGCACTTTTGGGTGTTGCAGTACGCAGCGAATTGGTAACTCTTGGTGTCATGCGTAGGTTCAAAGGATTTGTGGCTGACGGCGGGCCTCCGGATTGGAGTCGATGCTGTTGTGTGCTGTACATCACAGGAACAACCGGTGTAGCCTGATCCAGCAAATAATCGTCCATAAATAATGCTCTCCCAGGAGAGCCTGCGTACATTGTAGGGTCCATGTATAAGGACGGATGGTGACCGTAGCTGATGTAGCCGGCGTCATATGATGAGCCCATGATATGGTCTGAGAGTCCTGCTGATTCAGCTGGCAAGAAGTCCAACGGGAAGTCATCGTCATCAGTGGTGATGCTATTGATCTCCTCCTTGACGGACGGATGACTTGCCATGGTCTTCTGGTCGCTGGATGGGGGTCTCACAACCTGTTCAATATTTGCTTCTGTGTCACCATCATAGATATCGCCTCTTCTCATGCCACTGTCTTTCTCCAGGTGTTTCAGGATCTGGTCCGCAAGCGGCATCGAGTGATCAAACTTAAGCGATAAGGAAGGCTCGCTCATAGCCCGGGTGGTGGCCGGCTGATTGGCATATTCTTTCTTCAAATCTCTCTCCAGTGCTTCGGCAAACAACTTGTCATGGGGCACACTAAACCAAAAGAACACCTTCTGTTTCTTTTGTGTTCTTAGACATTGGTTTTTGTGTAAAAATTTGAGGAATGGCGACCGCGGATTCTCCAACACTGCGTCCGTACCGCACTTAAGGGCTCGGAGATCACTGAAGATCCCTTCCTCAAATTTCTTTCTATCAACGATGGTTCGTCCAAAGTGATGGATCTTATACGCAATACAGCGCACAATGTCTGTTCCTGTGATGAAGTACAGGTTGTTCCAGTACACACAGGAGACGAACCCTTCTTCCTTGTTCAGAAAGTATCTTCTGATGACTTGGTTTTCATGCCAGTTTACTGGAGCGGTGGCCAAAAAGAACTTCAGGTCATCAATCAATCTGAGCGAGGTTTCCACAGAACTGACTGGGGTTTCAGGAGGATTTCGGCCGCGATCTGTGGGGAAGTCATTCAAAACTGATCCATTGCTTGTCTCTGCCATGACAATTTGAGTACGGTGTGAAGTATAGTCTAACAACGGCTTCAGGCCCACCGAGATGTAACAGAATGATTGAGATTAGAATTGGATTGTTTTTTGTAACTCAGAGAGCACCATCAGGATGTCTCAGATACTTATATATTTGTTTCAAGAAATGTTTCTTAATTATGTGCCAGTTTTCGCGACGGTTACTATTATATATACTGGGAGAAAGATAATGCATTATAAAGAATCGCAGATTAAGTGTTTGCAGTGTGGAGTTACGCGGTAGCTTTTGTGGCAGCATCATGCAAACAATTACAACAATCCTGATGCATTGTGTTCTGGCCATGCCTTTGTAGTCGGACATACGACATAATCCGAAACGTTTCATCTCGTTTGTCTCAGCTCCTCATCCGATCTCTCCAGATCAGTATTACTATTTCAGACATATCCTGCCGCATACATGTATATTGTATCTAATCTTATGTCCGAAATTGGGGCTGCCTTTTTCACATGAAGTCATGCAGTCACGTCTGCTTTGGCTGCATTGTGATCCCGCAAAGCAGCAATGTATCAAAGCAATGCCCATTTTAGGAATAATGAACTACTAATGCCGGTGGACCATATGGACTTCATCACATTAAGCAACCTCAATATCGCTCATGCAGCTTTCAATTACTCTTTTCTATCAATTTTCAGAAGGCCTACTTGTCGCATTCAGCACACGTTTCATTCCTAAGTTTAATCTTCCAACCATAGGGCCCTACCTTGACTTGGACTTGTGTTTTTTCTCTTCTTCGAGTTCCTGCTCGCGCACCAGTTCGTCTTTGATTATCCTCTTCCAGTCAGCATACCGTCTAGAGTACAGCTCCATGTGCCAGTTCTTCCACACTTGGCGGCCGTAGCCGCTGTTTTTCAGCATCTCGTGATTGTCAAACAGGATTTTCGCAACCCTGTCTTTATACATATTGAGCCCAAACGTAAATCCCCATAGACAATCCACGATGTGTGATCCAGTTGCATGGCATGCCAGCTCTGCGATGGTTTCTGTCAGCTTGTTGAGTAATTTCTTGCGGCTAATTGTGTCGACGCTTTTGTTCAAACACTTTTCCACAACGTGCGAAAAGACACCGTGCTTGCACATGGCCTTCAGTCTCTCGAGATCCATGGCGATCAACGCATCAACACACTCTTGCAAGAACTTTGAGTCGTACGCGACAAGCTTCTCCAAAAAAAGTGCTCGCCGACGCTCGTCTGCCGTGGGCCAGTCGTCCCTCGTGTTCCCGAGCGTGGACGTCGAGAGTCTGAGAACGCTCTCAAATATGTCTGAATTCTCGCCAAGACGAAAAAAGTGGACAAACTTCTCCACTATCTCTGGCTTCAGATAGTCTCCGCGTTCTTGCGAGCTATCCATGACGCTCTGGCCAAAGTCGAACCCGTTGACGATGAGCTCGTTGAGATGCGGGACAAGTTGGTCCAGTAGGAACTTCTGGTCCGCAGGCTTGAGCTTCTTCAACAATGCGCGAATCACGTATGCTCCCGTGGTTTCACGCTTAGCGAGCTTTAGAACGCGGTCTTTCATGTACAGCTCAAACAGACGTTCGACGTTCTTGTGACGCTGTGTGGAGATCACTGTCTCCAGAAAATGGGAGCCAACGGCATCCGACAGCAGGTACTCGACAAAAGCTTCCTCTTTCGGATCTTTTTCGTGCGAAACCACGTTGAACGTTTTGCACCACAGCGTACGGTCTTTGTCAACTATTCCTTCAAGCTGGATCAGGAGCTGGGTCACCGGAGACCCGATCTTGTCTATTGCAAGCTCCCTGAGCGACTTTGTGTCGTACTGGTCATTTAGAAGACGCAGAATGTCTGCTAGTTCATCCTTGAACGAGGACGGAGTCAGGTAGGAGCGTTTATAGTCTTCGTTGTCCTTAATATCGATCATCTTGCGCGCAATCTTGGACTTCTTGGACCGGAGCACGGAGTTAGACTCTACCGTTGAAGGAAGCTGTTTGCCTCCTAAAATAAGTAAGATCACACGCAGCACATGTGATGCATACCTGTGGACAACTAGATTATCCAGCTGTGGTTTGATCTCGGCCAAGATAAAGAGAAACATGTTTTCCATCGAAACGTACTCTTCGTCAGCAGCCGGCTCCTCTGGCTCGGACGTCATTTGTTTCTCCACATACATAGCCAATCTGACCAGATACGTCTCCATCACATGTGAGGAATACTTCTGGCAGCACAGCTGAACGATATGGCCATTGAATGCGGTGAACAGCTGTTTCATCTGACGGTCCGTAGCTACCAGAACGAGTCTTTCCATCAGCTTCGAGCATATTTGGTTTGTAACCAGCTTCAACTCTTTGCCCTTTGATTCCTCGTAGACACCTGCAACGAAGTACTCCCGTTCCTCGCTGCTACTAAAAGCATTCACATTGAGGGTGGACTCGGCCTGCTTGAAGTATTCTAGTTCCGTGGAGTCCAGCAGCCCAAAAAATGGAGTTCCTTCCTTGTTGCCGGGCTCTGGACTCTCAACAATGCTCTCATCGAGCTTTTCCTTCCTCTTTTCTCGTCTGCCTCTAGGTTTACCCATCAGATCTATTTTCCTGAATTTTTTTTTTGAACTTTTCAGAATAACGTAATCGTCAAAAAATATCACAAAAAAGCTTTCTTGCATTTGCTTCCAGATGGACTTAGATCCTGAATTCGCTCCCTCGCCTGAACACTCGGAAGACGAAAACAATGACGACGGCAAAAAGGCGCCAGACGCACTAAAAGGCGCCAACGGTGCCTACGCCTGGGAAGACCAGTACAGGCGTTCATGGGATATAGTGCAGGAGGATGAGAGCGGAAGTATAGAATCTATCGTGTCTGGCTTGGTCGAATCGCAGAAAAAACGATATATGAAAAACATCACGCCCTTTCAGCGTGGAATCATCCGTACGATGGTGTTGGTGCTGGACTTTTCAAACGTCATGATGGAAAAAGATTTCAGACCTAATCGAGTGTCTGTGATGATCTCTAACGCGATCGAATTTGTCGGGGAGTTTTTCGATCAAAACCCAATTTCACAGCTAAGCATAGTCATCATGCGCAACGGTATTGCCCAGCTTGTTTCTGAAGTGAGCGGCAATCCTCACGACCACATCGAAGCACTAAAGAATATTCGCAAACTCGAACCTCAGGGGTATCCTTCTCTACAGAACGCTTTGGAAATGTGCCGAGGCCTTTTGTTGCACGTTGCTTCGCACTGCACGCGAGAGGTGCTGGTAATATTCGGTGCCCTATTTACTTCAGATCCAGGGAATATACACAAAACGATTCAGGACCTGGTGCGAGAAAAAATCACTGTGCGTGTGATTGGGCTAACCGCACAGGTGGCTGTTTGCCAGGAGCTCTGCCGCATGACTAATTACGGAGACCTAAAAAACTCGTACCATGTGGTGTTGTACGAGCAGCATTTCAAAGAGCTTTTTATGGACGCTGTCACGCCATTGGCGGTGACAAAAGTTGAATCGCAAAAGAAAGACGGCGTCACCCTTGTGAAGATGGGCTTTCCGTCGCGAGTGAGCGACAATCAGCCGACGTTCTGCTCCTGCCATTCGAAGGCGGTGTATGGAGGCTATATCTGTCCAAACTGCAAAAGCAAGGTGTGCGTGCTGCCAACAGTGTGTCCGTGCTGCGATCTAATGCTGATTCTGTCAACACACCTTGCGCGGTCGTACCACCACCTGTTTCCGCTGAAATTGTTCCAGGAAGTGCCCGTCAGCGAGGAGTATAGCTCGAGTCAGTGCTTTGGCTGCCAAGCGCAGTTTCCGCCCGGCGTGGCTCCATCGACGCGACGAGAGTACCACACGAGCTCGCGGTACCGCTGCCAGGATTGCACGAAGGATTTTTGCATAGACTGCGACGTGTTTATTCACGAGGTCTTGCACAACTGCCCCGGATGCGAGGCCGATAGCAGAAAGCTATAAAATATTCTATGTGTGCGCTCGTAACCGTTTTTTTTCAGTAAAACGTACACCTTTAACTTTTATATTCGCTAATTGCAGTACCAAAACAGATGTCTACCACGAAGTCGGTAATAAGAACCATCAAAAATGTGGCCAACGGCTACTCCGACGTGCAGGTGATGGTCCGAAAGGCCACCAGTAACGATCCGACAGGTCCCACGACAGCGCAGATGGCAGATGTGGCCAACCACACGTACGAAAACGGAGAGTTTTTGGAGGTGATGGATATCATCGACCGTCGGCTGAACGACAAGGGAAAGAATTGGCGGCATATAGCCAAGTCGCTCACTCTCTTGGACTATCTCGTGCGATACGGGTCAGAGGACGTGGTTGCTTGGGCAAAGAACAATATCTACATTATCAAGACCCTGAGAGAATTCCAAGCGAACGACGTGCTGAACACAGACCAAGGAGCTATCATCCGTGTGAAGGCGAAAGAATTGACGGCGCTGTTGCGCGATGACGAAAGACTGAAGCAGGAGCGAGAGCTGGCCAGACAGAAAATGACCGATAGACGGACCAGGAGGAAGAACCGGATGTCACCTGACGAGGACGAGTACGACGAGGCTTTACAGAAGGCGCTGGAGGAAAGCCGCTTGACGGCCGAGGAGGAGGCCCGCAGACGCAGAAACCAAAGCGACGAGAGTTTGGAGAAGGCCATCCAGCTCAGCCTCGAGGAGGAAGAGATGCGGAAGCGCAACAACAATCTGCTGGATCTGGACGACAACAACACGCAGCCGCCTCAGGTGTTTGGCTACTATCCACAGGGACAAGACATGGGTCAGATCATTGGCTACGATATGTACGGCAACCCGGTGTACGCCAACCAGCAGATGAACACCGGGTATCTCCAGAACGTGTACCAGGACATGGCTATGCAGCAGCAGCAGCAGCAGATGTATCAACAGCAGCTATACGAGCAGCAACTGGCGCAGCAGCAGGCACAGCAGATGGCTGCATACCAGCAACAACAGGCGCAACAACAGCTTCTTTTGCAACAACAGCAACAGCAGCTCCTTTTGCAACAGCAGCAGCAGCAACAGGCTCCGCTCAAGACGGGATCGAACAACCCGTTCGCCCATCTGCAGCAGCAGTCTTCGCAGCCGGCAAAGCCTGCTGAGCAAGGCCAACAGCAGGAGCCTCTTAAGCAGACACCGACAGGTATTCAGAAGATGAACGAGCAGTACTCGAAATTGAACGCTTTGCTGGCCACGGGTACGGGCGTGGACACGTTCGGAAACATCGGCGACACAAGAATCCCAGCACAGCACACAAAAACCGGAACCTTTATCAACTCGTACGGAACAGGAATCAAGCAGGAGACTGGCTCCAACTCGGCCAATCCTTTTTTCGATACACAATATACAGGTATCCCATCCACAGGAATCACGCCTTCATACACGGGATACGGTTTCGGAAACCAGCAGGCGCAGAAGTCTGGCTCCAATGCCAACGGAACCAGTCTTATTGACCTCTAGAGTTTCTTAGACTCATACATTCTCAGTAAGTCCTGCAACCGCCTTTTCTCCACCCGTTCGGCTTCGAGCTCCTGCTCAAATCTTTCGTTCATGCCTGCTACCAATTTCTTGAACTCGAGTCTCAAAATCGACGCGCTGATGTTGTTCTTGGTAGGGGACGGGGTGGCCGCAAAAGATTGGTCCTCGTGGTACGATGTGAGAGGTGTAGATGGCGAAGACGACTGATATGCGCCCTGACTAAACGAGAGCGGTCTCTCCGCCGTCGTGTCGCCCAGACGGTCGACCTTCAGAATGTTCAATTGCTTGGCTTGGTCAATAGTTTCCCGCTGTTTGTTGGCCAATTGCATTTGTAATTCACTGTTTTGTAGCTCCAATTTCAATAATTGAGCCGTTTGTTTGGAAAGCTCACTGTTCGATTTATTGAGCAGCTCCTGTGATTGGCTGAGCTTCTGCCGCAGCTCGCTAAGTACAGTGTTGTGGAGCTCGCGCTCGTCCTCAAATTTGCGGGTCAGGTAGTTGTGAGCGAACTGCAAGTCGCTCAGTGCCGTTCTTAACTCCTCCACGTCGGTTGACTCCTGCTTGCTGCCGATATCTTTCGTGAATTGGTGCGTCTCAGAGATTGGCGTGGTTTTTGCGCCGTTCACAAGAGCAACAATGCAATTAGAACACCACTCGATGCGGCCAGTCAGACTGCGCATCTTCTCGATGTTCGGCTCCGGAAGTTCGACGTTGTTCTGCACAAACATCGACACCACCTTAGACACAAGCCCCTCCAGCGACCGCTCCACGTCGCTGGCCACGAAAGCAGGGTTCTGATCTAGGAATATGTCCTGCACGTATCCCAGCTGCGCGACGAGGATCTCGTGGCTAGTCAGCTTTGCCTGCAAAAAGTCCAAGTCCTTGTCAATCCGGACAAAACGTTCAAACAGCTGCGACTGCTTGTTCTCTGCCAGTTCTTTGAGTAATTGTAGTTTCGATGCGGTAAGCTCCTCGATCTGGTTCTGGACCTGTTTCGCTCCCTCCAGCGTCAGAATCTCCTTTCCCTCCGAACCCTCGTGTAATTTGGCTAGAGTCCACTCAATCAGAACGTTTAGCTCGACAGGATCGATATTCTCGCGCTGAAGCTTGAACGATCGCGCACTTGGATCACTGATTATCTGTTTAAGACGTTGACTCAGAACATTACTTGGCTGTCTGCTGCTTTGTTCCTTGTGGTCGCGAAGCTGCATTGCCAGCTTCCAAGGGTCCTGTAGATCAAAGGCGGGGTTTTGTTGACATGTTTGACGCGTCTCTAACAGCTTCAAAGCAAGCGAGCTCATTATTGTTTATTTATTTTTTTTCCCACCTTCGCATCTGATCTAATATTCGAAATATTGATTACGAGAAAAATGAATTTCTGATCATAATGCAATCTATTTAGCACTTGTCGTAAGCCTGCACCTGGCACTTGATAACACAAAGTCGACAAACTCAAGAACTGTACTTAGAACACACTTCTTCGATACGCTGCAGCAGCTCGTCCTTACGAGACTGAGGAATGTAAGAGCCTTTGACTCCATTCTGGGCAATCAGTTTCCATGTCGGGACGTCCAGTCCGAACTTCGATTGAACGGCAAGGTAATTGTCTAGAATATAACCCCCGAAGTAGGCAGGGTCGTCAGAGTTGATCGAGAATGGAACACCAGCTTCAATCCATTCCCTGATGGGTAGCTCTGCAATGTCTTGCACGACGCGGAGCTTCAGATTCGATATCGGACATAATGACAGCATTGTTTGGCTGTCAGCAAGCCTCTTAATCAACTGTGGGTCTTTAATGGAGTTGACGCCATGATCGATACGTGTGACTTTCAGGAAATCCAAAGAATTGTGAATATACTCAGGACCTCCTTCCTCACCAGCATGGGCTGTCAAAAGTACTCCAGGATGGTTGGTGGCCATATGCTCATAGCATTCTTTGAAAAGCTCTGGCGGGAAAGGCTTTTCAGAGGAGTCCAGACCAAGTCCGTGTATCAACCCTTGTTCATAGTATGGCTTGGCCAAGGCAATGGTGTCCAACCCGTCTTGAGATGGCAAATGCCTCAGAAGGCACATGATAAGCTTAGTCGTGATCCCCAATTCTGCCTCAGCTTTGTCGCACGCCTTTCTAAATCCCTTCACAACGGTCTCCATACTAATGCCTCTCTCAAGATGGCCCTGGGGATCAAAAAACGTCTCGGCATGATGTAGGCCATCCGCATGTGCTTTTCTAAAGTACGCCCACGCGAGTTCAAAGAAATCGTCCTCAGTAATCAAAACACTCATTCCCACATAGTAAAGGTCCAGAAAGTCCTGCAAATCTTTGAAGTTGTCATACTTGTATTGTAAATCATCCACAGTTTTAGGGAAATGATCCGGGAGTTGTATGTTGTTTCTAGCAGCCAAAGGGAAAAGAAGTTCAGGACCCAGTGTACCTTCCAAGTGGACATGATGCTCACACTTTGGAAGTTCATGGAGGAACTGGCGCATCTCTGGGGTAACTGTGTGCGTCATGATTGCAAAGTCTTGGTAAGATAAATTTTTTAGTGAACAATAGAACCGTTTTTGCGTTTCTTTTTTAGCCCGCCGTGTGAGATATGCCAAGCACGGCAGTCTAAAAAGATAAAGCTCAGATCTTGGATTCGATAGCTTCAGGTCAAGAGTTTTTGTCGTTTTTGAGCTAGCGTATGCCAGGCACCGAATCAAAACTCAGTTCTGCCTTCCTTGTAATACTTTGCAGCCAAGAGAGCTCCACCAATTTGATTAGTGAAATAGAAAAACGAGCCAAGCAACGGAACACTCTCCAATAGAGTAGCCACAAAACCAAAACTCCAGTAATCTCCCTCCCTTTCTTTGATAAGATACCTCACCTGGCGATCTCTGAGTCTGGTCAATCTGTAGTACCGCTTTTCAAAACTATTGCCCTTTGCAACCGCACTGTTAAAGCTTAAAGCCATTGGCCCAATAATGGGGATAGAACTCAGAACAACCGGTCTCAAGGTGGAATAAAGAGTTCCTGGAAAAGTCAAGGGAGCCCATAACGAGTTTTCCCAAAGCTTGTCGCCAAAAGTGGGACCAACAACTCTTTTCAGTTTTCCCGGTATGACAACTTTTTCCAGCCCTTCGCGGCATAAGATGTCATCAAAAAGCGAATCCATAGGCCGGGGAATCAAATAGTTGTCCAAGATGTAGCTCGTGATAAAATTGGCCTCCTGCGCAGTCACGCCTGTCCCCACGAATAATCCAAACGGACCGCAACAGCACATCGCCACCGAGATGTTGAGCAGAAACAGCATACTAAATACTGATACAAAAACAGAAATATGAACAATCAAGATAGGTGGTATCAGCCTTAGGTAAATGGGCCATAAAGAAGGGTTCTCAAAAAAATAAATCACGCCCTGGATAGGATACTGCGCTGCTCCAGATTGTAGGATTCCACGTGCAATTGTAATCGGACGGGTCAGTTCCATAAGAACCCGCGCGTTGATGGCGTCGGTCAACGAAGACATAAAGGGTAATGTAAGGCGCTAAGGATATTGGCCCCTTTTTTTTCCCCCTAAATAAAGCTGTGTTTTAGTTTAAAAGATGTCTGATTTTTTCCCGATTACATAAGCAGATGTGAATTAGTCTAATCGAAGAGACCGAAGCCCATGTCGTCGTCCTCCTCTTCTTCTTCTTCAGCAGCAGCCTCCTCAGCAGCAGCCTCGGAAGTACTGGCAGCAGCACCAGAAGCAGCTGCTGCTGCTGGGGCACCAGTTGGGACGCTGGACATCTTTTCGGTACCTTCAGCGATGAGCTCTTCAACGGATTTGCCTTCAACTTCGGCAATCAGCTTGTCCAGCTTCTCAGATTCCACTTCGACACCAACAGACTCGAGCACCTTGGTGACGTCGGCAGCAGATGGGGCGGTGTTTCCAGCTTGAACAAGCAAAAGGTAAGCAGCGATGTATTTCACTTAACGTTAGTATTGGGGAATTTGTGGAGACTGTATAGAATGTGGGAGGCTGTGTGATTTAGGTGTCCCCGTTATAGGGCCCGATCAAGTCTCCTTAACCTATTCGTCCATTCGTGATACTCACTTTTTGTGCTATGTTGAAGATGTCGAATTTCTTCAATATTTCTGATTGACACCTTGCACCGCACTGGAAAATTTTCAGGACCCGCGCACGACGTACGCAGTCACAAATTTTTTTCCCGGCACCAGTATTATTTTGGTCTGAGGTGTGCAATAGTGAGCTCTGGCCGCAGAGTGCAAAGATTTTTCATACACTTTTGCAAATCTAATCATTCAACACCACACCATGTCTCAAGTCGAACAAAGAAAGAAGAGAACTTTCAAGACTTTCTCTTTCAAGGGAGTTGAACTTGCTGACCTACTTGAGTTGTCCACCGAGGACTTCGCCAAATTGTGCCATGCCAGAGTTAGAAGAAGATTTTCCAGAGGTCTCGGTTCCAAGCCAATGGGTTTGATCAAGAAGTTGAGAGCTGCCAAGCTTGCTGCTGGTCCAAACGAGAAGCCAGCCATCGTCAAGACCCACCTCAGAAACATGATCGTCATGCCAGAAATGATCGGCTCTCTTATTGGAATCTACAACGGTAAGGTGTTCAACACCATCGAAGTCAAGCCAGAGATGGTTGGCCACTACCTTGGAGAGTTCTCCATCACTTACAACCCTGTCCAGCACGGAAAAGCATCCTCTGGTTCTAAGTTGAAACTTTATTAGAACAGCTAATGAAATACAATAAGTACCTATTTCATCATACCAGGTTCATTTCCTTGAGGTCCTGCTGGACCTCCTCGCCCGTACAGCTTTTCAGGTCGTTCAGCGAGCTTGGGAATCCCCCAGTGTATTTTTCTATGCCCTTCAAGCTGCTGAGCTCATGGTATAGTGCGTTTCTTTGAACCACCAGCCGGTTGATTGCGCTCTGCGAGTTCACGTTTGCAGCAGTAATGTCTCCGTTGTATTGGTAATAGTCCGGTAGGTTCAAAGTGACGTTATCCAGGGCCCGTCGTTCCTTGTTGATCTCGTACCAGTTCGACGTTATGTTTGTAATCTCTTCGCTCTTCAGGTCCTGGCAGCACTTGATGAACTGCTGATGTATCGCCACTCGTGTAGCTCGCGTCTGGTTGTCCAGGCATTTCAGTTTGTATTTTTGCAGGTTCACGTATCGCGCAACTTTGGCCTGGAAGTTATTTTCAATCATGTTGGAGTAATTGATGAAGTCCGGATGCCTGTTCGAATTGCAGAGCTCCAGCTCAAACAACAGCTTGTTCATCTGTGTCTCATACAGTTTGTCCTTCAGCAGCGCGAATTCAATCTCAATATTCTTCATCTCTTCCAAGGCAGCCAACCTGAGGTGTTCTCTGGCTTTCTCCTCTTCCCCTTCTTTTTGGTTATTGCGCTCCTCCTTGTCCTCGCCTGTGTCCTGGTCTTCTTCCATTCCCGACTCCTCCTCGGCCTGTTCTCCCGCATCTTCCTCCTCGCCGCTCAGTTTATCGTCTTCTTCCGGCTTGTTTGTTTCAGCAAGCTTGGCGAGCCTGCTCTCTTCGACGCTTTCCATCCTGTCTGTCTCCGCCTCTGACGAATTGATCTCGCTCGCCTCGCTGGATGGATTCTTCCTGTCCTTCACTTCCGTTGATGCTGTGTCCTCGACCTCTATGGCTTCCCCCATAGAAAACACACCTCTACTAAAGATTAAGAAAATATAGGGTAGTGCGACACTAAAAGGCTATCAAAAAATTTATTCTCCTGAACTATAAATGTCTGATTCGCTGGCCACGCTGTTTGCTCAGCCTTCCAGGATCGACAACAAGGAGCTGGTTGCTCGCAAACGGACTCTGGTTGAGCTTCCCAAGACCGAGGAGGAGGAACGGGCTCTGGAGACCGGACAGCAGCCAAATAAAAGAGCGAAAAGAGCTGCAGATTTTGCGAAGTCTCGTAAAGAGGAGTCATCAGCCACCACCTCGGCCTCTAAATATGATCCTGTTGCTGAGAAGGAGAAGAATAAGCGCACGATATTTATCGGAAATCTTCCTGCAGCCATCATGGCCTCCAAAAAATCTACCAAGGATCTAAAGGCTCTGTTCAAGCCCTTTGGAAAGATCGAGTCCATGAGATTCAGGTCTTTCGCAGTCCAGTCCAATCTTCCTCGAAAGGCTGCTTACATTCTGCATAACGTGAAAGACGACGATACCACCAACTGCTACATGGTCTTTGAAAAAGAGGCAGATTCGCTTAAAGCTGTGGAGCTGAACGGAACCGTGTTCATGGATCACCATTTGAGGGTTGATCATGTTGCCCAGCCCTTGAAGCATGACAACAAACTCTCTGTTTTTGTTGGAAATCTTGATTTTGAGGAGACAGAGGAGTCCTTGTGGAGATTTTTCAACGAGACATGTTCACCAGATAAGTCAAATGTCATCGCGAATGTGCGTTTGGTTAGGGATTCTAAGACTAACTATGGTAAAGGGTTTGCAATTGTCCAATTCATAGATACAAACTACGTTTCGAAAGCATTGCTACAAAACAAAAAAGAACTCACGACATCAAAAAAGCCGAGAGAGCTGCGCATCACGCGCTGCAGGAACCAGGCTGTGGCTCCAGTAAAGGATAGACTGCTGGGATCGGCCGTGAAAGCGGGAAAAGTGGTCTTGGAAGGTGAGAGGGCCAAAAGTGGTACTCGTGTCAAGGGTATCAAGAACGGCGGTCGTGCTGGCGGTAAAAAGAAGCCAAGAAACCCTGAGGGAAGAGCTGCAAGAAGGAGTAAGGAATTCAGGCGAAAGCTGGGTGTTGAGTAACTTGATGTAAAATAGACCGACTAAGATTGTATCAAATTTAAAAAAAGGCCTTATATAAATAAGCGTGCGTATTTTTGGTAGCTGGGCGTGTTGTCCTCCAATTTTGTGATCGGCTGCTTCCAAGTCAGGTTGGAAATAATATCACTTGACAGCTCGGGACAAGGCCGGATCATTTCAGGATAAAGGTGCTCAGCGTTGCGGTGTTTCAAGGCGGTCCGGATCATGTGGCGGAAAGCTTCGTGCTGCTGACTGTTGTGGTACAGAAATCTGAGCACGTTGTAGTAATTTTCGTGAGCACCGAGTGAACGTAGATGTAACTTCAAGAGCTGGTTGTACACGAGTTGCCTCTTTGATAAGGAAATAGGACATTTGGAGTGAAAATATTCAAGCATAGAGATCGACTTGTACATCTCGCCCTTATAGGCTGGCTGAACAATAAGTTGTTGCAGGTGGCTAAACTTGAGAGGACGTCTCATTTGGAAAACGTCTACACTTTTGATCAGACAGTCCAGGTTGTAATAGAAAGAGTAAATCCGGATGTAGTTGACTGGGTGAATACTACCGGAAAGCTGACAGAAAGAGTCCGGGTACTGCCTCAAAAACTCAACGGCCTGCTGGGACGTGCGCAGCTCATTCTCCTTAATCTTGAGTACCTGCCAGATGGTTCTCTGAAGAGGGATCTTGAGTTGCAGCATGCTCTGCAGGTAGTGTTTGGCCGACTCCTTGGGGAGCAGCATCAACAGGCTCGTCCACGAAGCCAAGGTCGGGTCTAGGTCGTACTCAATGATCTTGTCCACGCACGCGTCGAGAACTCGCTCCTTTGATCGTCTGTCCAGATGGATAGCTGAGTTGAGTACGAGATTCACCCATTTTATTTGGGGCTCAATACCTACTGCGGGAGCCATGTTGAAGATCAGGTTGAGCATTGTTGCACAATGATTGTAGCTGTGAAGGAATACGAGCAGCTGATCAATAGTACGCTCAGTTAATAGGGGCAGATTCTCGTCCGTGAGGACGTCGCGATACAAAATGTTCAAGACAGTGGACTCCTCGTTGGGAGACGGCCTAGCACAGGTCAGATACGTAGTGTAACTGGCTAATGCTGTCGTGTCTGTAAATTGTGTAGGAGGCTGAATTCTGCGGGGCCGCCGAGGAAGCAAGGAACTGTCAGGCTTTGTCAGGAACTGCAATTTGTGGTCCCAGAAAGCATCTGTCAGGGAGCTCTTCAGTTCAAACTTGGGTCCGGCAAAATCGACATAACGGGAAACGTAATTGGGCAGAGGAGAACGTACTAGTGCTAACTCTTCTCTGGCAACATTTCTAGAAACCCCAATGGACGAAAACCTTGCGAACACTGTTGATTGAGTACGCAGCATGAACTAGAAAATGGTGGGGTAGCTTTTAAAATTCAGATTACCTAAAAAAAAGCTTATCATCGCGATAATATGGGTTCGCAGACATCCAAGATAGCGGAACCAAAATTTACGCCAGTGAGAAGCGCCAATGACGACGACGAGCTTCTGCTGAAGCTACAGACAAGGCTAGGCCAGCAGGACAGCTCAAAAGATGCCCCATTGAGCCTGAGCAACCTCTCCAAGTGGGAGGCAAATCTGCTGGCAGACCCAAAGAATAGACTAGCTCTGAGCTGTTTCACCAGCCATGACATCACAGAGATAGTTGCGCAGACCGCAGTCATTAATTTAGACAACGTCGATTTGTTCAATGTGAATGTCAAGTTTGAAGGCGCGCCCATCACCAACCAGAAGTCATCTGGCAGATGCTGGCTTTTTGCATCCACGAACGTGTTTAAGGAGTTTATCAAGGCGAAGCACCAACTAGAAAACTTCGAGTTCTCGCAGAACTACCTCTTTTTCTACGACAAGTTGGAGAAGTCGAACTGGTTCCTCAACAGGATTATTGAGTCGGCTGATGAGGAGATCGACTCTAGATTGGTCCAGTACCTCATGCAGACTCCAGAGAACGACGGTGGCCAGTGGGATATGGTGGTCAACCTGGTGAAGACATACGGGCTTGTTCCAAAATCTGTTTATCCAGACTCGGCTTCGTCCATTAGCTCCAGCGGTCTGAACTACTTGGTGAACAACAAGCTACGGGAATTTGCGCTCGTTTTACGTAAGCTGAGCACCAGCGAGAAGAGCGAGGACATTGAAGGTGCCAAGACTTCGATGCTGAATGAGATCTTCAACATTTTGGCCTTGACTCTGGGAATACCTCCAAAGCCTGACGATGAGATCACTTGGGAGTACAAGGACAAGTTTGGCAAGTTCCATTCGGTCAAGACTACCCCCTTGGGAATGTACAGCGACCTTTTGGGCTTCGACGCTGCCAAGTACTTCTCGCTGATCCATGACCCGAGAAACACCGAGGGACTGTACACCGTGGACAAGTTGGGCAACATCGAAGGTGGAAAGCCTATCGAGTACGTCAATACGTCTATTGACAACCTCAAGCAGGCTGCCATTGCAATGCTGCAAGCCAACCATCCTGTGTTCTTTGGGTGTGACGTTGGGAAGTTCGGCAAGACTGACTTGGGCCTCCTGGACGTTGACTCATGGGACTACCAGCTTGGCTTTGGCACCGACATGCACCTAACCAAGAAGCAGCGTCTGATGACAGGCTCATCGCAAATGACGCACGCTATGGTGCTTGTGGGTGTTCATCTTATTGATGGAAAGCCTGTTCGCTGGAAGGTGGAGAACTCCTGGGGCGAGTACGGAGCACACAAGGGCTACTTCGTTATGAGCGACAAGTGGTTCGACGAATACGTTTTCCAGGTTGTCACGAGCGAGAGATTTGCTCCTGCCAAGCTGACAGATATTTGGAAGAGCAAGGACTACAAAGTTTTACCATACTATGATCCTATGGGTGCTCTGGCCTAAGTTTTTTTAGAAATATTTTTTTTACATGTAATATGGATGTCTTTACTTTCACGGTTTGGTAAGTCGATGCGAGGCGCCTTGCCCGACCAAGTCCTTGTGGCGGTTTCGGGTGGTGTTGATTCCATGGTGCTGCTGGACTTGACTCGCAAATGGGCTAAGATTACCGGCAGTCCGTGCCGTATCCATGCCATGACTGTGGATCACGGATTACGACCCGAGAGCACAAAAGAAGCGGAGAACGTTCATGAGATCGTGCGCAGCATGTGTCTGGATCACGAGATTGTTCGTGTTTCAGAAAAGATCGACCCCAAACAGCTGGAAAAAAGTGCCAGGACATGGAGATATAAATTAATGTACAAGAAACTGGAGTTGCTGCACATAGACAATCTGATGGTGGCACACCATTTCAACGACCAGCTAGAAACGTTTTTGATTCGCTTAGCCACTAACTCGACGCTTTTCGGTCTCTGTGGAATGCGGCACGTGTCCTCGTATCCCATTCTCGATCCATTTGGCAGCAAGCGTATATTGCGGCCCATGTTAGACTTTCGCAAAGAAGAGCTCTACGCATATGCGCGCGAGCATAATCTGGAGTGGTTTGAGGATTCTACGAATTATCAGCCCATCACGCTGCGAAATAGAGTCCGCAGGTACTTGCAAACGGGACAGATAGATGAGAATACCGTTGAGCAGCTGGTATTAAGCGTACGTGGGGCAGTGGACGACGTTGAGAGCGATTTGCGACAACTGGACAAGGAGATTTCAGTGAGGTTCAACTCGCGTCTTCTGAAGATGTCGATCGTCATACCGTTAGCGGTTTTCGAACGCTTCCCGCTGCTGTCTCTTGACAGGTTCATATTCGAAACGCTCCACTGTGTGTCGGCCATTTCTAACTATCACCATCGCTATACGACGATCGACTCAAAACATGCTACAGTCAACACAAACGAGTGGTCGCTTTCGGAGGCGATCTTGGACAGGACGGTGCCTGAAAAATTCAATCTCCTCAAGTGTCTGGTGAGGGTGGTGCGCTCTGAAAATAATATCCATCTTCTGATCACCAGGGCGACTGAAAAATTCAAACAGCCCGTCGAACGCGTGGTGAACATCGCCTCCTCTTGGTCTGAGTGGGAGTTGTTTGATAACAGAATATGGTTTCGCGCGAGGGGCAAGCCAGGGTCCTATACCCTTAAATTGGAAGCCAACGGACTGCCGGCCTTTTATCATGAAGGGCAATTTTTGTGCTATCCTACCATTAGTGGCTGTGGCTTTTTGGAAGTTCAGACTATGACGAAACCAATGCGTATAATGCAAATGTAATATATTGTACAATTATTCCTCGAAACTCTCGTCTTCGCTTTCGCTCTGCTCATCCAGCTGGTAGGTGATCGAAAGACTAAATTGAGTTTCGATAAAGCGTAGTAGTGATGCATATCGAAATTGGACGGAGTACGGGAAAACCTCCATGTTGGTGAGAAATACCTTGAGACTGGTCTTGAGCCGCGAAACCTTGACAAATTCCTCGGTATGTGAGGCAATCTGTTCTAGCTGGCTCTGTAAATTCTCAATGAAACGCTCAAAGAAAGCAGCTTGTTCGGCCACCAAATCAACACATTCAAGGGCAAGCATGGTGAGGCTGTACCACTGCTCCAAACAACAGAAATTGTTGAGCACCAGCAAACCAACAAAACAGAAATTGTGCTCGTTGGTGAACCTGTCGGTCGTGAAGAGGGCAGTAAAATAGTCAGACTTGTCTCTGCTGTACTTTGAGAGATCCAGCTTCACCGCTTTTAAGACTGCCTTTGGGTTTGTCTGTGTCAACCGGAGCTCGCCGTTCTGCCTGTTCATGTCGAACTCAATGACTTTTCGCAATTCGAGCAATTCCGCCGTCGACGAGTCGGACGTTGTGACAAGCTCGCTCGTCCAGTCACTCTCGACACTCACAATCTGACTGTAGTCAAGGTGAAGCCCGAATTGAGGCCATTTATTATTTTCGATATTGGAGTAGTTCACCATGTACGGTAGCAGGGCCTCGAACTGGAAGGTGCGTCCTCTACCAAAAACAAGCTGATTTTCAACGCTGATACTTTCAACCGTCAGCTCGCCTTCTACTACGTCTATCGAAATGACCTCGCGATCTTGGCACTTGACGAATTTGGCGGTCCTCGTGTTACTCAGTTGATTGGTAAGATGGACAAGATGGACGCCATTCGTGACCTGCTTGATGCCCTGGAAACTGACTTCATTGGAGAAGTCAAAAAAGAAAAAGTCAATTCCAAAGCTCAGACCTTCAGGAAGTTTCTTGGCGAACACAATGGTAGTTCCAACCCATGTCATGAACAAAAAAAATCAAGAAAATAAATTTATTGATGTTGAAGATAGGACTCGAAATACATGCCCAGCTGAAGTCTAGCGGAAAGCTGTTTTCGCTCTCAAAAAACACAACGTCGCTTCTGGACGTTCGTCCAAACACCACCACCTCGTTTTTCGACGTGAGTCTGCCTGGAACGCAGCCCAAGCTCAACAAAGAGCCGTTACTTCTGGCCCTCAGAACGGCCCTCGCTCTCAACTGCTCAATAAGCGAGGTCTCGACTTTCGATCGGAAACATTACTTTTATGGAGATCAGCCACTTGGCTACCAGATCACGCAGCACTACCAACCGATCGCTAGAAACGGCTACCTTAATCTGACCAAGTATGATCTCCCGGAAGAAAAAACTATCCGCATAGAACAGATTCAGATTGAACAGGACACCGCACGAACTTTGTACAAAGAAAAAGGCCACAGCAATGTGGACTTCAATAGATCCAATATCCCTTTGATAGAGATGGTGACAAAACCGGACTTTTCCAGTGTCGAGGAGGTCAGAGCCTTCATCAAAAAATTTCAGCAGACTTTGGTAAATCTAGGAGTTTGCACAGGAGAATTGGAAACAGGCGCAATCAGAGTGGACGTGAACTTGTCTGTGGACGATAACAGCAGGATTGAAATTAAAAACTTGCCCACGACGTCGGCTATCGCCGCGGCAATCCGCTACGAATATAAAAGACAGTGTCGTTTAATCGAAAAGGGTGAACCAATTACGGAGGTCGAGACGCGAGGCTGGGATGGAAAGAAAACACAGAAACTGCGTTCAAAGGAGGACGCAATTGATTACCGCTACATGCCGGACCCTGAGCTTCCAGCAATCAGACTGAAACTCGACGACATTGTGCCCAAGATTCGCGCCACGCTGCCACCATCTGTGGACGAACGATTGGAGGAAATTCTTCGAGAGTACGACATTCAGCTTAGAGATGCCAACATCCTGTTGGCTAACCACAAACTGATGGAGTACTACAAAGAGCTTTACAATAAATGTGTTCAATCAGGCGTGCCTAACCCTATTAACTGGCTCACACACGAGCTTCTCGGAAGTTTGAGCAAATCCAACATGGAGTTTGAAAAGTCGGTCCTTGATGTCGATAAATTCGTGGAACTCCTGGTGGCATTGGAGAATGGCCTGATGACCAAGACGAACGCAAAGCTGCTGCTCCTGCATCTTATCAACAACCCACAAGATCAGGAAGAGCCAATTTCTCAGCTCTTGGAAGAATTCAATCTTGCCAAGACAAACGAAACAGAGCTATTGGACCAGGTGACCGATAAAGTCATTTTTGAGAACCCCAGCGTGGTGGAACAAGTCAAAGGAGGAAAGCCCAAAAAGCTAAACTACCTTATTGGACTTTGTATGAGAGCCAGTGAAGGGAAGTTCGACCCAAAACTGATTGAAGATAAACTGAAAGAGAAGCTGTCAACCTTGCCAAATACTACCAAAACATGAAAACCAATATTCGTTAACTGCGATGCAATTAAACCTTACCTGTTAGTCCCGCTAAAGCATTTCCTCGACGCCTTCCAACTGTCCAAACGTGTTCTCTCCGCTGTATAGAATATACAAAAATCCGTCTTCATCTTTGTATTGTTCATAGATTGTGCTCATCAACGACGCTGTTGGGGGTAGTATATCATTCACAAAGATGAAGATGGCTTTTTCTGATGGCAGCTGAATTCTCTTTCTAATCACGTAAACAAACTGGCCCACGGTCAAATCGGACGGGACCAGGTATTTGCGCTTGTCAATTTCAGGGATGTCACTCTCTTCGACTTTCTCACAAATGACTGGAATTCTGTCTAGAAACTTGCCTCTGATCCTGGAAGCCTCTGCCTTTCTACGCTCTAGCGATGTTAGTATTGGTATGCGCCATAGAAACTTACCAAATGGGTGTTCGTCTTTGAATTGCGATCTCATCTTGTATACGGTGATTGACTCCGAATGAGATATACGTAGTGATTTCTCGATTGTTTACACTTGCTGTAGTATTGCAAAGAAAGGAAGTTTGTTTCCCCTCGATAAGGGCAAATTAATTTTGACACACGATAAGAGTGGCACGGGCGGCAGATGGCAGTACAAAAAAACACAAATCGGCGCGACGATCGTCCATCTATCTTAATATACATTACATCAATCGGAAAGCAGGTACGAGAGAACCGTCAGCAGAGTCAAACAGAGCAGAAACCAATAACCGTGGTAGTGATATGACGGTTTGGGTTTTATGCTGGGAAGCTCCGGGGTTTCATTGTCCATCATGCTTTGCGACGGGTAGGGGGCAGGCTCAGAAATTTCAGAGGCACCACTCTGCTCTGTTTTTGCCTCTATATGGCCTTCAGATTGTATGTGCTTGCTTTCGTTTCCCAGCAGGATCTGGCGTAGCCGTCTGAGGCGCATTTCTCTGGCTGACAAAGCGGTCTCTTGGGCAGTCAATTGGCTCTCTGGAGACCCAGTTTGCTCAATGTGGTGCTTCGGTTTCTCGTGGAGAGTGTCATAGAGCCTTGCGCGATTCGAAAGACGAGATTTCAGCGTTCGCGGGGGTGGGCTGAGAGAGCTGTCCAGTTTTATAAAAGACGCGTCGTTTTTGGTTATGAGACGCGGCGCTCGTCTGACTTCCGGCTGCACAGCATCATATTCTAGCGGGAGCGGTTTGCCAAGGTCTATTTTCACGCGTTCTGCTTTGGAGGACGGGTTTATCGAGGTCGTTTTCTCGTCACTCACCAGTGGCTGTCGCACTAAGGACTCGTGGGGCGTACCGAAAGCGCGAAGCTTTATTTGACGGGAGTCAGGACGCGGTCTGGATTGCCTCTCTGTCTTAGAAACCCAGTGCGCAGATTTCATCGGCCATTCTACTTCGATTCCAGCTGGTAAAATAATTCGACTACTTATTAAATAAGTTGGAGTTCATCGACGCGCGTCGATAGTCCATCGGCGTACGGCCTGACATTTTTTTTGGGCCCGCCCAGTCAATTGATTGGCTTGTCCTCCGTCAAAAGTGAAGTGATGCTAATAGAGGTGGGCGTTGTCTTCGGCTTGCTGAACGTGGCCGTGAAGTCTATGGCAATTGCCGCAGGCGCTCTATCATGGTTCTGGGGCTCCTGCACGGTCTTGCTCTGAGAATCGGGCGGTAAAAATTTCGGCTTATCCGTTTCTCGAGCTACCGCTAGTTTCTTTCGTCTTCTAATCGTACTCTTTTTGAGTTTCACTGGCCGATGCTTCCCATGCAATTTGTAGTACAGCCCACAGGCGTTGCAAATAGTTTGTCCGTATTCGTTGCGGCGCCATAAGGGGGTCACCGTGGTGGAGCAGTTGGTACATGCCACCACAAGGGGCTGTTCTTCGTTGTTTTCGGACTTGACCGTAGCACCTCTCGCATCCTCATGAGAGATCAGTACTCGGTTATTGTATGACGGACACCCATCGCATGAGCTGGAGCCGCCAGTACCGTTACAATGGCCGCCTCCCTTGCAGGATCCTTTTCCAATTGACTCGGGGTTCACTGGAACTAGGTTGGGCGGTTTTTTCAAATCCACAGGCCTGGAGGCGTTGTTCGCTCGGTAGTAGAGACCGCAAGCGTTGCATGCCAGCGCCCCGTTTGAAATCCGTCGCCACAGGGGAGTCTTGGTTGTTCCGCAATTAGCACAGACGTGGTCCGTCATTGTAGGTGCAAAATTCGCCCAAGATTATTAATAAATCATGGATCTCTGCGACCAGACTAATCTATGCTATCACTGTTCCGAACGCCGGCCGATGCTGCTATTTTCAGCCGAGTGCTTTGCTTTATAATAATAGCCTCGCGTACACCACGATACGGCCGAATATCCTATTTGGGAAAACTTGCTAGATGGGCACGCCCTGGCCAATCAGATCGCTTCTGTTTGTCAGCAACGAGTTTTTTCTAGCATTACGTTATATCTTACGTGTGTATATCTCTCATGCCTGTGGCTGGTCTTTCAACGACGAGCGTCCTGCCTTAAGAAGTTCGTCACACAAGAGCAGGTTCGACGCAATTCCCGTGGCAGACGAGATCGCGTTTCTGATCACGCGGAAGGAGTCCCATATTCCGTCCACGGTAGGGTCCATCGGCTCGCCTGAGTTGAGGTCGATTCCGACCGTCTGGCCCTCCTCGATCTCGTCCTGGCACGCGGAAATGGCCTCAAGCGCGTCCAGGCCGGAGTTCTTGGCCAGTGTCTTGGGTATCACCAGCAACGCGTCGGAGAAGGCCTTGGTACCAGGCTTCAGCTTGCCCTTGTTGGCCTTGGTCTCTAGAATGTGTTTGGAGGCAGACATGTAGAAAGCCCCAGCTCCTGGGACGAGCATCTGGTCCTTGATCACGTTGGCGACCGCACGCAATCCGTCGCGGATGGCGTCCTTGGTCTGCTGGACCACATGGTTATGGGCACCCTTGATCAGGATGGTGCAGGATTTAGGATCAGCGTTCTCGGTGACAAACGTAAATTTCTCCTCGCCGATGGTCTGCTCGTACACCAGGCCCGAGAACCCGAGAATGGCCGGAGTAAGGTCGTCGACCGAGTTCTGCGCCTCTCCTCCACAAACAAGCTGCAATCTCTCCATGTTTCTTCTCTTGGCTCTTCTGAGCGCGAGGATGTTGTTTTTGGCCAGCACGTCCAGCGACATTGGGTCGATACCCTTTTGGTTGATCACCACGAATCCTTTGCTTGGGTCGTTTCCACACACCTCTTTCTTGAGCTCCACGATTTTGCGGAGCTTGTCGTCCACGAACTTCCTCTCGCTCGCAACAAGCTTCTCTCTCTGTTCTGCCGACGAGTAGTAGAACCCAGAGTTCACCTCTGTTTTCTCGTACTCTAGCGACACGTTCAGAATCAAAATGTATGCATTTTCCACCCGCTTTGGCATGTCTGGGTGTCTGGCTCCATGATCCAGCACAAGGCCCTTGATAAACTTTGTGTCCTTCGCTGTCTCGTGCATCATCGCCATGATCTCGATCATGTGCAGGTCCAAACTCTCGTTGTCCTTCACGCTGAGCACCGCGTCCGTCACAATTGGCGTCAGCACGTCTGTGAGTTCCTGGTTCACCTTGGTCGCCAACGACGACCGTGCAACTTGCAACAGCAGCTCTCTGTCCAAAGCTTCTGGTTTGACCACGAACGAGTTCAAATATTCAAGCGTCTCCTCTCTGGCGGCCTCAAACCCGTCTGTCAGCACGCGAGGATGGATGCCCTCGTTCAAAAACCTCTCTGCCTGTCGCAGTAACTCGCCAACAAGGAGAACCACGGTGGTGGTGCCGTCGCCGGTAATCTCGTCCTGCGCCGACGCAGCCCGCGCAATCATGACCGCGGTCGGCGACTGGATCTGCATCTCGTTCAGCAGAACCTTGCCATCCTTGGTAATCTTGATGCTGCCGGCGCCGTCCACCAGCATCTTGAGGGTTCCTTTAGGACCGAGGTTCGTGCTCAACACATCCTGCAGGCCTTGCGCAGCAGTAATGTTCACCTGCAGAGCCTGCTGTCTGCGGATAGATTCGGCCTTGGGGTTCAAAAGCTGAATTGCAGAAGACATGGTGTTTGATTTAGGTTTTCGTGTCTGCAATTTTTTTTCTCGACAGTGTTAGTGGCACGTCTCCTGCGATGGCAGCTCGATAAGGGAAACATAGAGGCCATCAGCTTTGCAATTAAAGGCAATATGACCGAGCCTCAGGTTTCCAACACTTTTAGCGCCCATCGCTTTCTCTCTGGTCAAGCAATTGAGAAGCCTGTCTCTGCAAATGGAACGGCAAGTTTTCTGTGGTCCAAGGTGAGGGGCCGCGTGGAGTTAGACAGCAAGACGGAACAGAAGACAAGTGCCTACAATATTCGGGAGTTTGGTGACGAGGGAGAAGTGTACATGGTTCATGACGACTGCATTGAAGTCTGGGATTGGGTGATTCCGGGAAAAATGCAGTCAGATCGCCGTCTATGGATGGTAGCCAAAGTGACCGACCTTGTGCCAAGGGGCTTTGTGCTCAAGGTGTTCCCTATATGTTCACGGAGACATCTGGGTGGATATTTTGCGTTGGTACTTGTGCGGAATGCGTATAAGGAGCTCCAGTTTCTAGTTGTCGACTTCAGCGCAGGGAACGTGACTGGTCTCACGTATGCTTTTACGGGTCATGATGTCAACTTCGTTGTTAAAGGTTTGAAATCTACACATCATTTTGCAATAGGCTCTTCGAATGGCACCGTCGTGGTCTATAATGTGCGTTCCAGGAAACGGCGTGCCACCTATAGCTGCATAGTGGTCAATAACGAGCCCGTGTTTGATCTGTGTGGAGATTGGCTGATCTATAACGCGCCCTCGCAGTCTAAATCCTTGAACAAATGGCGAGCAGAGCACGATCTTACACCGCTTAAGCTGTCCAGACACGTTTCGCTGCTAAATAAGCTCTGGAAAGGCTTGTCGAAAACAGCCTTGGACTCGGTGCTGATGTTTTCTGAAATTTCGCACTCAAAATTCAGGAAATTCTTCAGTCGAGAGGGCCTTGCACAGAGCGGCGAGCAAGCTTCGGGACTGTCTACTGACGACGACGAGCTACTTCGAAGCCACAACTTTCGCGAAATGCTCGCCGCCATTCTCAACACTCTCAACGTGAACTCAAATTATCTACTGATGGTTGACCTTGCGCGCAATCAAACGATGTTTTGTTTTTCTCCGCCAGATGGCTGTTCAGCAGTCTCTCTCTCGCCCTTTGACCTGAGTGTTGCCACCGTGACAAATAGGGGTGACGATGTCTATTTGTGGGATTATTCTAAGTTCGACAAAGACATCACGCTGCTTGATAAATACAAGCGTGGCAAGACTTCTGCCGTGATATCTGATATCTTGTGGACCAGCAACAACCAGTCGCTGGTACTTCTGAGCAAGCCTAACGGCTCAGTACACTTGTTTGTTAATGAGAGCTTGACCGGCATGCTCCAAAGCCGTCCGTCTAGCCGGCAATTGTCCGACAATCAGAACGCCGAACAGACACCTTTCGACTGGTGCATCTCCAACGCAAATATCAAGAAAATTTCGATTCCCACGCTGCCGATGCCGTTGGACTATCAGCGATACCATACCGAGATCAGTGCTCTCACAGATGCGGGCAATGTAGTGCGAATAGACCAGGAGACAGGGAGGATGGTTTGGAAGTACACACCGCCCGCGGCCCCATCCACTACCAGCATGACAGGAATGAAGGAGGTGGCGCCTGTTCCGCTGGAGCTGCAGCCCGTTGATCCTATCGCCGAAGCGGAGGTGGAGACGTGCAAGCCGTTCCCGTTTGTCTACAACAATAGACGCATACAATATGCCAAATTCAAGAACGCCAGCGAAAGCCTGCGGCTCGATGGTTTTGGCAGTGTGGTGGCAGACTTCGAGGACGTCAAGTTTGGACGCTTTAACGGTAGCGTAAAGTTCCACAGCACGAGAAGCGAGGAAGAGCTAGCTATGGCTGCGAGCGACAACTGTGGCTCTGGCGTGGCAGAGAATGCTGACCAGCCAGCTCAGACCACGGAAGCACCGCTACAGTGACTCAAGATGGAGACATAATTAATGAAATACACAGCTTAACCATTGTTGGTGAAGAGACAGTGATCAAAGTTCTCGTTCTTGCCGGTTGCTCCGTTCAGGTTGCCCCACCATCTTGGGAAGTTGTGAGTGGTGTTGGGACCGCCGGCACCGAAGATGGTAAACGATAGGATGAAGATGGCGACCTGGCAGCCACCGATCAGCGCAGCAGCAACAATGTAGTTGTACTTCTTGAAGTAGAGAGGCTTGTACTTTCTGAGGTAGAACTGCGAGACGAAGGCTGCGATAAAGAAGGTGGTGATCGAGGAGTTGACACCGACACAGAGCCAGCCGATGTACCAGACCAGGACAGGAGTCTTGATGTTGTCGAATCCCCAGGTTGGTCTCAGGCGGTGGGCAAAGTAGAATGGCAATGGAAGACCTAGTCCAATGACCAGGGACAAAGGCACCATGTAGTAAGTTTTTCCAATGGTGAACATCTCCTTGGCCAGAACACCCCAAGCGATACCCTGGGTGTTGTACTGTTGGACGTTTTGACCGGACCAGATAACGGAGGTGGCTTCGATGTCTTTAAGGAGATCGAACTGCGAGTCGACAATAGAGTTCATCATGATGTAGTTGAAGATGGCCCCGATCACCGTTCCGATCATCTGCGCAGCAAATGTGTCTCTAGGAGGAAGCTTGACGTAGTAGCCGAGCTTCAAGTCGTTCAGCAGAGCGAAGGCCTGGCCGACAGAGTTGTAGCCAAACAGCGTGAAGTACATGTTTGCCAGAGGAGATGGCTTTGGCATGGAGAAGCCACCAATCATCTGGACCACGGTCTGCATCTGGGTGCCACCAAAACCGAAAATGGCCACAAGACCACCCAAGAACAGCGTCAATGGGTACGACAGCGCCATGGCAAAAATCAGCATGTACCACGGCAACCCGGAGTCAGATTTGTACAGACACACAAGAGCCACCATGAAGGACAGGACGAACGTGACCACGTACCACCAGGCAGGCACCTCCTTGTATCTGAGCATGGCTCTCATGTGGGCGTCGTTGTACACGTCAGGAAGGACGCCGTCGGAGTTGAGTCTTGGGTCCTTGTCCATGTTCTTCCAGAACTTGAGCGTCTCGAGTGTGAACACGCTCTTAATGTTGCGGAGGTAGTTCTTGAGCGAGGTGACCCAGTAGAAAGCAGGAGCCAGTTCTGTGCGGTTGAACAGCAGCATGTGCGTGACGGTGGCACCGACAGAGAGGTTGGTGGCAATGAGATAGACGACGTAGGTACCAGTCATGTAAGGAACGCCCTCTTGAGCAAGCTTTTCTTTGTCCAGGATGTTGTTGGTGAGAATGGCGGTCTGGTTGTACACGAGATAGTTTCCTGGCTCAGAGTCTTCGTAGTAAAGAGACTGCGACAGGAATGGGAAGTTCTTGGATTTCCACACGTTTCCGTAGTAGACACCGCAGAACACGATGATACAGAGGAAGTAGCCAATCAGGTTGTTGACCGTGGCGGTCAGCGGAATGGTCAGCGGCGAAGCAGTCGAGGCAATGTAGTTCCAGTCGAAGCAGAAGGAGAGCAGCCCCAGACCCTCGTTACCGTTGGTGCCACCAAAAATTCTCGAGACAACAGACGACTTTGGCGCAGCGAGACATGGGATCGAGACGCCGATGAGCCAAGGGAAAATCCACTCTGGAATGATCTCGTACAGGAACATCGCCAGGAAGCACCAGTAGAAAACCTTGAGCTGCTTCTTGGTCTTCTCCTTGTTGTTGTGGAGCGTGTGGATCGTGGTCACCAGCGGGATCGAGTTCGGATAGAACATCTCTGACGGATACAGCAGCGCCTTCTTGAGGCCAAGCCCAACGAGAGAGTAGCCGATCAACTGAGACGAGAAAGTGATGAAAATACCAACACCAGCGTTGATGGACGAGTTGTACCAAAGCTTTTGCACAGCAAGCACTTCGATAGCAAGAGCACAGGAGGAGGCAGACCCAGCCATGATGGTGGCGAACGTGAGCTCTTTCTTGTTCCAAGGGCCTGGATTAATGTATCTGAGCCAGCCCTTGGAAGGAATAAATTTGTACCAGAGCTCTCCAAGCACGTGAGCGATAAGCATGAGGAAAACACCGCTCACAAGAATTGTCTGGGGCTTGAAGTAGAACATGCACTGCAGAACACCACCAAAGATGGCCAGTCCTCCACCGATAACGACGGAGCGCACGGTCCAAACCTGCATCGTTGGGTCGTCGGAGGAGTCGACGATCTTGTCGACGATATCCCTGTTGGTCTTGAACTCGTTCTTGTCGAGCACCAGCTCGCCAAACTGGATGTCGACCTCCTGCAGGTCGTCACTTTTGTACGCGATCTCGCTCTCCTTGCCAAGACTTTTCTCTTTGTTCGTATTGTTGGACTTGAGAGATTTTAGTTCAGCTTCATAGTCGATAACACCGCTCGCTCCTTGGATAGGCATGTTGGAAACTGGACTGTCAAAATGGACACTTGGACACGGCTATATATATCTGGCACAGACACCAAACTTGATGGCAGAACAGCATTAGACCTTATCACCAACAAAAGACACACGGCACCCAAAACCATTGAACTGCATGCATTTACGATAACCGCCGCGGCTACAATAGCAAAAACAATAAGAAAGCGGCACAGATAAAGAGTACCGAGGAAATCGAAGGAGAAGAAAATAGCCAAACGGCAGTCGCTATTGTGTCAAGTCATGAGATCTACAGATTCTCTAGGGCACTTAGGCTACGGCTACGTGAGATTTCGTGATAAACGGTGCGACACCATTAGCTTCTAGTTTGTTTTACGTAAGCGAACATGATACTTCAGTGAAGATCTAACTCATGCAGTATGTCAAAACTTGATGGACTTGTTCTTTTTTCTGGTGTGATTTTTCTTGTACAGGTTGTTTCTCGAGCTCCTCCACCCCGACGTGCTCACCTTCTTGTCGACCTCCATCGCTGGTGCTTCCGTGCCATCGGGCTTCTGTTTCTGTAAGTTCTCCTGCAGCTTCTGTGCGAGTCTTTCTTTGCGTTCCTCGTTGATCTTTGCGTAGTCGGATCCTCTCTTGGAGACCTTCTCCTTCTTTGCCCTGAGCTTGGACTTAGATCTTGCGGAATGCGCCATTTAGAAGAGTGGAAGGACGGCAGCTAGTATGTAAAACTCTTATATTTTTTGGGAAAAAATTTTTGAGGTGCACGGATGTGCCTAGGAAGCAGCCGAGCCACATGCGGCTATGCAGGAAAAACCGACGCGGAGAGAGCAAATAATTTTTGTATCTTGCTTCACGTGACCAGGGCAAGGGCAGGCGGACGAGGTTTGCGGAACAAAAATTGAAAATTTTATATAAACTTATTCAGACATCATTGAGTATCATTAAAATGTGAGTGCCAACCTAAGCGACAACAATAACTAACATTATAGGGCTAACCTACGTACTCAAAAGAGACTCGCAGCATCTGTGTTGGGCTGTGGTAAGAGAAAGGTCTGGCTGGACCCTAACGAGACCACCGAGCTCGCTCAGGCCAACTCCAGACAAGCCATTAGAAAACTGTTCAGAAATGGTACCATTGTCAAGAAGCCAGTGACTGTCCACTCTAGATCTCACGCCAGAGCACTGGCCGAGTCCAGAAGAAACGGTAGACACATGGGTTACGGTAAGAGAAAGGGTACTGCAGAGGCTAGAATGCCATCTCAGGTCCTGTGGATGAGAAGACTGAGAGTCTTGAGACGTCTCTTGGCCAAATACAGAGCTGCTGGAAAGATCGACAGACACCTTTACCACTCCTTGTACAAGGCTGCCAAGGGTAACACTTTCAAACACAAGAGAGCTTTGGTCGAGCACATCATCCAGGCTAAGGCTGAGGCCGCCAGAGAGAAGGTCCTGAAGGAGGAGGCAGAGGCTAGAAGACTGAGAAACAGAGCTGCTAGAGAGAGAAGACAGCAGAGAATTTCTGAGAAGAGAGAGGGAACTGTCAAGGAGGAGTAAGATCAGGTTAATATGTATGAACCGTAAATTTCCACTACAAATTATTTTGTTGTTTATGTAATCGCCCCTTTTTGGTAGCAGCGCTTAAACCAGGGATCCCGCTGCCCCCTCAAATAAATATTCCTCTCTCGCCCTCGTTTCCACTTCTACACTTTAATCCACGGACGTTCTATCAACTTTGCCATGAAATTCTCATTGTTCTTGCTTGCGCCAGCCATTCTGAGCTGGTTCTCTGCCGCCGCCAGTGCCGAAAAAGCCAAAATCTTCAACTTTGACGTTCTGGAAGAAAATGCTCTCAATCCTGATTCTGGGCAGGACACCAAGAACCCGCTAGAGGGTATTGATTTGGACCAGCTAGTCAACGTCGTTTACATAACGCTCGAGCCATCAACCGTCTTTGTCACTGTCACGAGAACTCTCCATCAAGTAGTCACCACTGCCACCACTACTGTGACCGCTGAAACCGACGAAACGCCGTTGTACCCCTTCACAGGCCCTAACTCTAAAACAACGCTGCCTACACTGAACACAACTGCTCCTTTAGTGTCAGTGCCAGCCACGTCCACGTTGCCTGCATCTGGCAACGACACGGTTATCACTAAAACCAGCACAGAGCTCCTCAGCTCGTTCCACATCACGCCGTCCTCTAGTCTGCCACTTTCGACGACTACATACACCGAGGGCAAGCTCGACTTCGTCATCGGAAAGGGGAAAAAGGAATCGACAGATGCGGAAACTGCGTCCTACTACGATGAACTGGCGCAATTTGTTTCCTCAGTATTCTCTCCGCCAACTTCGGAGCTACCATCTTCCACTGGACCTATCATCAGCACGCCGACAGCCAGCTCTTCCTTAACTGCTTGGACCAGTTCTACGAAGTCCAAAACGCACACGTCCACACGGTCGGTGTCCATTGGATTTAGCACTTCAGTGCTGCACAACACGACACACAATTCGACGAGAAACGATCACGACGACTACAGCGACGTTCTCGACGGATTCAACCCTTACAAGGACCTGCCCCTGTCAGACATCGACGTGAACTTCAGCAACGACTCCCCGCGGGTGAGTGCACGAGGTGTTATCATTGGCATGTCTGCAACATTTTTCATTTTCGGTGTTTTTGCTTTATGAGAGCTACACCAGTTTTTACAAAAGGAGATTATTAATTTGTAGTTTAGACAAAAGTTAAAAAAATCAGAAAAAGCAGCTTAACAGTTCTATGAAGTTAAGCACCGACGCCAATGCCGTTGGTGTTTCTATACATGTAAACTCCGTTGCTACCATCGACAAACTGGCACGATCTCAAACACTTCCACAAGGATTTCCACATGTTTTCGTCCGAGTGTCTATAGTGTTTGCCGAGCACCTTCTTGATGGCGTCGGTCGCATCTCTCGCATGGTAGAACGGGACCCGGGAAACGTAGTGATGGAGAACGTGAGTTTCAATGATGTCGTGGAAGATGTGTTGTCCTATGAAGCCAAACTCTCTGTCGATGGTGGCAGCAGCTCCCTTGGCAAAGTTCCACTCTGAATCGTCGTAATGAGGAAGGGTAGGGTCTGTGTGTTGGAGGAATGTCACAAACACAAGCCAGTGGTTCACCCAGAGCCATGGGACAAACCAGTTGACCGCCATGTTAAGCAAACCAAACTGCTTGTACCAGAAGTAGACACCCGTGGCTACCAGACCCAAGCCGAGATCGGAGAGCAGAATGTACCAGTAGTGTTCTGGATCGAAGACGGGCGAGTTGGGATTGTAGTGGCTCTTGCCCAGTTTCGACCAGCCTGGGTGTGGCTGTCCGGTGGCATTGGTTGCAAGATAGAGCTGCAGACCACCGAGCTGCTGGCCAATAAGCTTGATGATCGAGTAGATAGGGGTGTCGTGGACGATTTCAAAGATGTCGTCGTGCTCTGACTGCTCGAGCAGCTCGGCTTTTTTCCACGGGATGAAGACCGTGTCCTTCTGCAGGTTGCCCGTGTGCTGGTGGTGTTTGGCGTGAGAGAACTTCCACGAGAAGTACGGCACGCCGCAGTAGGAGTGCAGCACCCAGCCCACAAAGTCGTTGACCCGCGGATAGTTGCTGAAGGCGCCGTGACCACACTCGTGGGCCAGGATCCACAGGCCAAATCCGAACAGACCAATACCAAACGACTGCAGGCTGTACAGCACGAACCTCAGGGCCTGCGACTGCACGAGCGGGATGTACGTGGTGCCCACCCAGCCGATCGCAGCCATAGCCAGGATGTCTCTGGCGACGAAATGGAGCGAGTACGGCAACGACTTCTGAAAGCAGTGTTTTGGAATGGCATCCAGCACCTGCTTGAAAGTGTAATCGGGCACCGTGAAGACGTCTCCGTAGGTGTTGATGGCTGTCTTCTGCTCAGAGACCTGGCTCAGGGAGCCGATGTTTTTGGACCTCGCAACGGTGGTCGATTCCAGTGCCAGACCGGTAGTGATAGCAGACATGTTGGAAGAAAAGAAATGTTGGGAGCGAAAAAAAAAGGGAGAAAATCCTGCGGCAGGGCCGATGAGAGGCCGAAGAGATGGAGTACAGATCTGGGGCTGGCGAAGCTAGTCATTCTACGTCCTGCGCCCGCGCTACTGCGGACAATTAAGCGCGCGTGCGGATTTACTGGGTGTTTGGGCTGGGCTGAGTGAGCATGGTCGCTGCCAGATCTCGTGGCACTGAAATTTTTTTAGCCAGATCGACACTGCACGGGTCGACGCGTCTGTAGGAGAGGTCCTTAGTGGCAAATTGCTCGACGTCGACGGGCGTACGTGGGGGGTTGGGAGCATGCGAACACCAGCAGACAGGCGCCGCCGAGCGGCAGACCGCTGGATGGCGGACTGCGGTGAGCTCCTTGCCGCTGCCACCAGCAACGACGCCACGCAGATAAAGTGGACGCGCCGGAGTGCCAGAAGACCGGCGTGCGGCCATGTGTGCTCAGGAGACCCGCCAGCAGCTTCTGCAATCCGTCCTCCCCGCCTGCTGGCAAACAGAGACCCGCCACATGGCTTTTATTTGGCTTCACAGTGTGAAAAAAATTTTGTTGTCGCAATTGCCATGGTTGAAGTGAAGAGAACTGTCAGAGTGACGACTACACAGCAGATCCTCAAGGATATTCCCCCCGTGCAGGAAGGCTTCCCGATGCGGGAGTGGGCCATCCAGATCTCGCTCGTGGACGACAAGGGCGTGGAACAGCCGGCGACCTTGTTCGAGAAGGTGACCTACCATCTGCATCCCACGTTTGCGAATCCGGTGCGGTCGTTCAAGAAGCCGCCTTTCAGGATTGAGGAGCAGGGGTGGGGCGGGTTTGACATCCCCATCACGCTGACCCTGATCGAGAAGGGCGGCGAGAAGAAGATCAACCACGACCTCAATTTCATGAAGGAGAAGTACGTTATCGACACGCCCATCACGATCAACACCAACAAGCCTGCGTTGCTGAGCGAGCTGGCCAAGACGGGGTATGTTCCGAGCGCGAACGAGGCGTCTGCGACGCCGGGGGCTGCAACTCCGGGAGCGACTCCTGCTCCAGCCCAGGCGGCGGGCGCCGCGGCAGCAGCGAAAAGAAAGGCGGGCGCGGTTTCCGACTCGAAAATGACGAAAAAACTCAAGGGCGCGGCAACCAAGGGCGGCGTCGACCTCGAGCAGCTGGCGGAGTACCTCACGAAGCTGTCCGAGGACGATCTTCTCGGCGTCGTGCAGATGATCAACGATAATAAGACCCCCGAGATGAGCGTCAAGAACGACGTGGAGAACGGCGAGTTCACCATGGACCTGTTCACTCTGCCAGACACCCTGCTCAAGAGTCTTTGGGATTACGTCAAAAAGCGGGCCGAGTAGATGTAGATGTATTTTACGAGTGTATACAATACATGCGCTTATCCAGTAATTTGCCAGAACCTAGACCGTCCAGACGCGGCTGGTGTGGTCGCGTGAGGCCGTCGCTATGCCCAGTCCGTCCGGCGACACCCTGACCGCACTGACGGCGTCGCGGTGGCCGTCCATCGTGCCCACAACGGTGCCCATCACACTGTCCCAGACCACAATTGACGAGTACTCTGCGTACGAAGCGAACAGCAGACGGCCGCTTCGCGAAAAGTCTATGGACAGCACCCCCGGGTTGTCCAGCGCCGCAACCATTGAGGACTTGTGGCTCAGACGCAGCGACGACGCAGAGTCGCTGATCGAGATCTCCTCTGTCTTGTGCGGCCGCACGTGCTGGTGGACCATCTTGACCGGGTAGTTGGCCAGCTCGCAGTCGGAGCGGATGTCAAATAGTTTCAGCTCGCCGTCGTCGGTGCCGCAGGCAAACGAGTAGCCGTCGGGGAAAAACTTGACGGCGGACGAGTCGTGGGTGAGCGAGATCTGGAACTGTCTTCTATCGAGCGGACATCGGATATCCCAGAGGTTGGACAGCCGGTCCGACGAGCACGACGCAAAAAGATTGCTGTTTGTCGGACACACAGACAGCCCCAACACGTCGCCGAGATGGCCGTTAAAGGTGACGGCCTTGGTGCCTTTCTCCATGTCCCACAGAAATATGGACTTGTCGCCGGAGCTGGTGAGGATCTGGGAGTTCCCCACAAAGCTGAGGTCGCTGATGTACTCCTTGTGGCCCTTGAAAATGGAGACAATCGAGCTTCCTTGCTGGATCTCTGCGTTCTGGGAAGAATGCAGCTTGTACACTATGCACGCGTTCTCGAGGCCGCCGATGGCCACCATGTGACCGTTCGGCGAGATGTCGCTGCAAATCACGTACGGGTCGTCCAGCCGGATCAGCCCCTTCTTCAGCCCCGTGACGGAGTCCCAGTAGAGTAGAAACCCGTCCTGCGCCGCGGTCGCCAGGTGTCTGCTGTCGGGATGCCAGCTGAGCGCGAGCACCTTGTTGAAATGGCCTCTCAGCGTCCGGTAGGGGCGGAACTGGACGCGATCGATGGTGGTGCAATTGCCACTCATGGTCTGGAGAGTTGCATCTTTCACTTGCTGCTTCACTTTTGCCAGATGGTGCATCAGCTGCTTGGACTCCGCTTGCACAGACTGGATCTTCACGCTCAGCATATTGCTCAGTTCCAGCTGTCTCGCGTAGGCGTCTCCCGAACCAAGATCCATGATAACCCTTCAAGACACAACAATTCTCCATCTTGTGCTACCTCACCGCTGCACAGCCACATGTTTCAGATTTTAATATTAACAATAGCGGTGTCTGCGTGATGCCGCTTACAACCACAAATCCAGCTCCTTCACGCTGTAGTCCGTTTTGTCGAAGCACACACGCGGCTCCTCCGCCTTGAGCTCCTTTCCAACCCGATCCAGCCGAGGATAGTACGGCACCAGAGCGTCGCTGTTGTTCAGATACATGCTGTTGTGGACCTGCCAGTACGCGTGCCGCACCTTGCTGGCAGGATGGAACAGCCCGGCGACCACGTAGTTCATCACTATCCCGTATCCGATGGCAACTCGGATGGCTTCCACACTTTCCAGGATCCGAACAATAACGTGCGGCGAGGTTTCCAGCACGTTTGGCCAGATCAGGTTCAAGTAGTGGACAAACGCGTCCTCGTACCCCAACCCCGCACACCCAAGGGCCATGTGTTTCACCACTGTCGCTGCGATCTGTCTATGCACAAGGTCGCGGTCGGTGAAGGCGTCTTGCAGCAGCGTCAAAACCGCATAGACGTAATCTGCCCCCATGTCGCCAATGTACTCGAACATGAACGACATGGACTTCAAAATTCCGTTCTGTACATTGCGGTCGAAGTAGCGGTACTCGTTCATCATCGCAGGCAGCACCGTGTACGGTGAGCACGTTTCTGCCACTATTCCAATGGCCACGGCAGTGCACACGCGAAGCTGTCTCTCCTGGACCCGTAGGTTGTTGAGTAGGGTCACCAGCACGTCTGCCGGCCCAATTGCGCGCGCAATGAGCCCGAACGTGGTGTTTGCGCTCTTGCGGATCTGCTTCTTGCGCGCTTTGAGCATCTCCAGAAGCTCAAAGCTGATCCGCATCCACTCCCGGTGGTTGATGTACTCCTTGCCCCGGTCGGCAATGTCTCCGATCAGGTTGATGGTAGTCTCCTGCACCTTTTCGTGTCTGTTCCGTAGGATCGGAGTCAACGTGGCCAGGATCTGCGATATCGGCGGGTTCGTCATCTCAACACCCAGATTCCGGATAACGCTGCGCAGGGCAGTCAAAATAGAGCCCAGAACGTCAGGATACACCTCACCGAGCGCCTCGTACAAAATCGACGACAGCCGAACAAGCAAGTCCTCCTCGCCGCATATCTTCAAAACAACGCTGCTACGCGCAATCAGATCAGCAGCCTGCTGCCGAACCTCGGGCGTTTTATTTTTCAGGCGATAGAGCAGCGCGCTCATGATGATCATGATGTGCGGCTTGACACGAACGCCCAGCGATACAAGAATGCTGCCAAACCCGTTCAGAACAACGCGGTCGTCGGTGGTCTGCCTCTGGAAAGTGAAAAGTAAACCGTCCAGCAGTCTTTGCACGGTTCTGTCGTCCAGGTCAAAAGAACCTAGGGATGTGACCACCTTACTAGCGGTCTCAACAGCCATCCGCCGGAACGCTTCTGACTCGTCCTTCATGGGCACCAGAATGTGCTCAATCACACCGTTGGGGCCGATCTTGTTTGCAAGCGAAACGGAAGCATCCACACACATCCTCTCAATTCGAGTGTCCAGGGCCGTGCGCCGCTTCCAGAAATTGGAAAAGAACTCGTCAATAATCTTGCCTTCTCTGAACAGACGACCGTCCACGAGCTCCATCGAGCAACACTGCTTGACGATCCGCAAAACCGTCCTCTTCATCTCGTCTTCCGGAGACGAAAATTCTCTCGTGAGCACCCTGAACACCTCCCGAGTATAGTAATTGCTGTATTCCTCATCCATGAGCGGAATAATATACCCAATAGCACGCAAGAACGCAGCGAGTCCACGACCCCTGTGTCTGCGCACACCTTGCCAGAGGGGATCAAGAACCTTTTCGAAAACATCAAACCCATAAGGCGCAGAAGCCTCAGCTAGATTGCTGATGGCCGTGGCTGCCAACGTGCGGACACTGAGGTTCTCGTCTGTGATCGCTTTGGAAACACAGCCCACCAGGCCATTGAGGTATGGAAGTATGCTCGACCCCATCAGAATGGCGATCTGTTGCACAATTTTCACACCCGTGTGTCTAGCGAGCCAGCTTTTCTTGGATCCGCAGACGGCACGCAAAAATGGTAGCAGTGATTGAATTCCCAAAGACGACGCAATCACAGCAAACGTACGCGCAACCGTGTTTCGCACGTAGTCGTCTGAGTGATCGATATCCGGACGCAGGACAGAGATCATGTGCGCCAGACCAGCTGCCTTGGATAAATTTGAAATGATCTCTCGCCCTTCTAACCGTGTGACCATGTCCTCGTCGATCAGCAGCGGCATGATAACTACCAGAATTTTGTGTGCATAGGGTCTTATTAGCTCATCGAGGCGGAAAAGCACTCTGCCAACAACTTTCACCAACAAATGGCGCTCCTGATCTTCGAGAGACTTGCTCATTAGCAGGGGAAGAATAACATTGAATATGTGGTCTGCTCCGAAATAGCGCGCGTTCTCCTGAAGCTGCCGCAATGACACCTTCCGGACTTGAGGGGAGCCGTTTTTGATCATTAGAATGAGTTTCATGCATTGGATCTCTTTCCTTTCATCATTGCTTAGAGTGTCGAGGTTTGTGTCCTTCGTGGTGATCAGTTTACCAAAGACCTTCATGTCGGTCTCTTTGAAAAACTGGATCTCCTTCAGGCCAGGAACATCGTGGATGAGCTGTGGATTGAAAAACTTGAACTCTTGTCGCAGCGTGCTTTCGTCTGGAATCATATACTGGTCGACATTTGTTAAAGAGTTAAACGACGTCAAATCGGGAGGAATGCTAGGGTCCGGCTTATAATCTGCAGGCGGCTGTATCTTGCGAAAACCGCTGGGAAGGAGAATATTCAAATTCTCCTCCGTCAATGGAATGCCGTCAATAACTGGTGTTGGGGGCGATTTCTCTTCAGGCTCGTCTTCCCATCTAGACTTACGTTTTGGCTCCTCTGCTTCCGCATCAGGGTCTTTGACGTCCCATCGACGTTTTCTTTCGCGTCGAGGAGGAGTTCTGTCTCTCTTTCGTAGCTGCTGCGATTCTTCGGTTGTTATTTCGCCCTCTTGTTCCTGTTTTTGCCTATCCTTGAACCGATTAGTCATCGCTTCCCGATAGCTCGAAGGCTTCGAGCCATTGCTGACATCTTCCAGTTCGTGCAAAGTGTCGTACATACGTTGCTGATATGAATTTTCGCGGGCAGAAATCGCCTTCTTCTGGACCTGCCTTGTTAGAGGGTCTTCATAAGATTCTGCTTCCTCGGTCAATTCACGCCGGAACTGTTCCGGAATTGAGTAGGCTCCAGTAAGCTTTGTTCGCTGTCCATTTTCTGACGACGGATCATCAAGTTGAATCACCTTTTGCGACATGCCTTTTGCAGAGCTATGAAGGAATATTTTTTTATTTTTCAACTGTTTAATTTTCATATCGTATCTTGCCACGGCTGGTGGCGTGGCTGAGCTGATGTGTTTAAGAATAGAAAAAACAGAATGTGGAAGGAGAAAAATCCCAAAATTCTAAAAAACATACAGAAAGAGACTTTTTTTTCTTTAGTATGAGCTGGTGCAAACTGCTTACGTTGGTCGCGATTTCCACGTCATACGTTCTCGCAGACGACCCGAACCTTTCGCTTAACGGTACCTGGTCATCCAAGTCAAACACCGTGTTCACAGGACCAGGATTCTATGACCCTATTGATGAACTCTTGATTGAACCGGCCCTGCCTGGTATCAGCTACTCATTCCACGAAGACGGCTACTTCGAAGAAGCCATCTATCAAGTTACTCCAAACCCTAGAAACCACTCTTGTGCAGTGGCCGCGCTCATTTTCCAACATGGTACCTATGAAGTCAATTCGACCGGTTCGATCATCCTTACACCATTTGAAGTCGACGGAAGACAACTTTTGAGCGATCCTTGCAACGACAATGGTGTGTCTTCATATACCAGATACTCGCAAAAGGAGGTATTCCAAAGCTACGAGGTGTCTCTGGATACGTATCACGGAAGATACAAATTGAGACTCTACGAGAGCGATGGATCACCAATGCAGCCGTTGTACTTGGCCTACAGACCGCCTCAAATGCTACCAACTATCACCATGAACCCTACAGCCGACGCCAGTGGCGCATCAAAAACAGAAGCGGGGGCCTCATCCTCCACAGGACTGTCAAAAAAGGTCAAGAGAGCTTTAGAGAATAGATACAGAACCAACGCTGTGAGGAAGTCCAAGTACAACTATGATCTGCTGTGGTATGTGTCGATAGCAATGATCCTTGTGGGAGGATTGATGGTTTGGAGAGGATGATTATTAACTAGCAATGTGAACTATCTGTATAAGAATCAGAAACCTATTTTTTGACCTCGTAGATTCTTCTGAACTTTTCATCGATCTCGACCAAGTAGAAGGAGCCCTTTGGGATGTACTCGATGTCTCCAGATGGCTTAAAGGACTTTTGAAGGTGGATTTTCTCTCTCAAGCCCAAACAAGCCGTGAACTCTTCTGGGGTCTTTTGTATTCTGCTGTCAAGCTTCGGTTGAATATCAAGAACCTTGATTATGTGAGAGAGGTCTCCAGTAACCTTCACGGAGAACAAAGAGGCAGCAAGTCCAGATCCGTAGGAGAAAAGACCAATTCTTTTGCCCTGGAGAGCATCGTTGCCCACGTAGTATAACAAAGAAGCGAGCGATCCGTAAACGGATCCAGTGTACATGTTGCCAACGTTCGTTCCCACCTCCAGAGATGGTGCAACTCTCTCCTTGTGAAGAGGCTTGGCGACATTGACAAATGTCTTCTCCAAAGCCTTGTCAGTCAAAGAAGCTTCGTAGTCAATGGAAGCGAGCCCGACATCGACATCTGGGAAACCAGACTGGTCTTCTCTGAAGTCGTTATACAGCATTCTTCCGTAAGATTTGGCCACCAACTTGCAGTTTGGAACGTGGAACACGTTATAATCAAAGAACTTCACACCAACAAACTTGGACTTGCTCAAACCTTTGGCAGCAGCTTTCTTGGAGTAGTTGGCGTAACACTCATCAACTGCTTTGATGTAGCATGTTTGCGAGAAGTGACCATTGACGACAGGATACTCAGAAGTGAAGTCTGGCTTGTAGAAGTCGTAAGCATGCTGCATGTAGGAACCTCTAATAGGCTCAAATGTGAGAGGAGCGTCCGGGCCAATCAGCATAGCAACGGTGCCTGCACCACCAGTTGGTCTGGCTGTACCCTCCTCGTAGATGGCGATGTCTCCACAAACAACAATCGCGTCTCTGCCATCCCAAGCAGAGGACTCAACCCAGTTAATTGCATTGAAAACAGCGTTGGTACCACCATAACATGCATTCAGAGTGTCGACACCCTCAATGTCGGTGTTGTCACCAAAGAGCTGCATCAACACGGATTTGGCACTCTTGCTCTTGTCAAGAAGCGTCTCAGTTCCCACCTCCAGTCTGCCGATAGAATTAGGGTCGATATTGTAATTTTTCAACAGGTTGTTGCAGACAGTCAATGCCATGGAGTAAATGTCTTCTCTGTCATTGACAAACGCCATCTTGGTCTGTCCCAAGCCAATAGTATACTTTCCTGGGGAGACCTTATCAAAGGACTCCAGGTCAGCCTGGCTGACATACTGGCCAGGAACGTAGAGTTCGATGGCCTTGATTCCAACGTTTTGAGGGCGAGTCATTATAATGATGAAGAGATTCTATTCAATTAAGCAGTGGGTTTTCAATATATCGAAAGAGGGAAAATATTGATAAATCAGCTATTTTTTTTCACCACTACCCGACACGCTAAACGAATATGCGAGCACCACCAGTGAAATAAATAAAAAAAAACTTTACACCATGCTTTTGTCGAAATCATCCATTAGTCATTAAAACCGGTATATAGCAATGCGAGTATCTAAAAAACCGTTCATTTGATGCGAGAGAGCCACAGTTGGTAGTTGCGAGTCGCGGAGTCAGCCTGTGTCTCCTTGACGGTGTTCGGCTTCTGTTTCGAAAGCTGATATCCCCACGAGTCAGGCGGCAACTTAGGCGTATCGTAAAGCCACTTCTCGTCTAAACCGGCAACCTCCGGTTGCTCACAGTCCTGTAGATCGCAATGGTGGATTTCCACGGTATCGTCGTTGTCGTAGTAATCCAGCGAGGGAGAATCCTCCAAAAGAGAGGGCAAGGATCCCATGTACGTCGATCGGCGCGTCGATGAAATGCTAGGTCTGTATGAGTTTGTGTGCAGGTCTTCCAGAGCAAAGAAGTCTTCCTCGTCGTCGTGGTGCGCTTCCGGAGTCGCTGCTCTAAAGTTCGTGGTGGAGTATGTTACCAGCTTGCTGGTCTTTGACGGCTTGATAGCGGATGAGTCGTACAAAGAATCCTTCAATTGGCACTCCTTGGAGCAGTAGATGCTTCCAGAGTAATCGTCGAGTTGCTTGTTGTCCACGATGCAGAACTGGTCGTGAAGGAACATCATCCCAAAGTTTGTCTTAATGGGTTTCAGAAGGATATAAGGATATATTTATATTGGGACTTGGTGATGCGGAGACACCAGCCACAAGGTGCCACAAAAAAACACAGGTGAACATTTTATCTTGACTGTTTGTGTACCTTGGTGGGGCTTTCCGCAATAGATCACGCGCATTTTAACAATAATTTTCGGCCACTAGGGTTATTTGCTATGTACAGATGCGTGGGAAAAAATTTTCACCAGCCACATGACTCAGTAGGACGCGACACGATGCCACAGCCAAGTCCGATATAACAGAAAACTCCACAATGCCGTGGTCAGGGGTCCCGCAAATTGTGGAAAATGTCGAACTAAGAGCTTTCAAATGAGTAATTTAGCAAAGATGACACATTGCGTAATCGTTTATCAAGCGCATCCTCGGTGTTTAGTGCGGCGCCAATGTCCAGCTCTGTTTGTAGTTCTGTGAGAGCGCGTGTTGTCACGTCATCGTTTGGCAGCTCCCCCGTCTGCACAAAATGGTGGCCAAGCTTTACCACCAGCTCGACCATCTGAGGATTGCTGATCAGGTACAGCGTCTTTTCCTGTGTGGAGCCGAGCAGCTCGTCGGTCACGTTCCTGAGAAGATCCATTCTCAGGCGGTTTCGGTCTTGGTAAAACAGTTCCATGTATTTGGTAGCCACGGGAATGGAAATCCCGATAGAATTCGCGTGCACGTTCTGCACCACCTCCTGAATATCCTTGAATGACTCAGCGTGCTCTGCAAACACGTCGAACGTCCATTCAGGGATGACAGGGTAGAACATGAACAGCCTCTGATCTCTGGTCAGGAAGTCAAACATGTCCAGCGGAGAATGGTACGGAATCATGTGTAGCTGGTCTTCCAGCGAGTTTTCGTCGTACGAGGAGACGTCCAGCTCATTGTGGTGGATGCACAGGTCTCTCACGAGCAGCGGAACGCCCACCATGTCTTTGGCCAGCTGCTTCTCTCCACAGTTTAGCAAGGCATTCGCAAACGTAGCAATCTCGTTGGGGTCCAAAAAGAGCGGGATTTGGACCAGCCGCATCTCCAGCAAATTCAGCAGTCTGTTGGTGTCTCTTGTGTTCCCGCAATGATCCGCCATCAGCTGGAACGTTGTTCTATTTGGCTGCACTCCAGCCTCGTTCATATCGGCCAGAATTTTGTCAAACAGCGCGGAGTTGCGAGCAACAACGCACGCCGTCAACAGCATGTTGTATGCCTCCACGTTCAGCTCAAACCCAGAACCCGTAAACACCTGCTTATACTGTCTATACGTGTTCTCGTCGAAATCCTCGCTGCTGGCAAGTGTGCAACTCAGACTCCGCACCAGCTCTTCCTGTGTGATCATCATGCCGGAGTCAATTACATCCTGGAAAACCAGATTGACCAGCTCAGGACTTAAATAAAGGCAGTACATTTTGAAACGCTCGAGAAACGTTTCCAGATGCTCTGGCTGGATATGCTTTGCTCGAGGAACGGGGAATTTCGCGTACTCCTCTAAAACAGTGCGGATGTTGAACTTATCGTCCTCTTCGCTAATGGAGGCCACAAAGCGGCTGTAAAGACCTTCCTCCACCTCTTCGCGAGGGGTCTGCAACCGCATGTTCAAAATCTGTATATCTGTCTGGCCTTTCAACAACCCCACAACAGCCTGATAGTAGGCAGTCTCCTTACCCTCCTGTTCGGCAATCATGTGCAACGTCTCGTCCTCAGCAACCGCATCCTGCAAAAACCGGTCGCCAAACTCCGAGAGACTGTTGTTGAAGGCGGTGAGAAAGTCGGGAACAAGTTTCTCGATACTCTCCATCGAAGTGTACTTAAGCAGTTCGGATTGCAGATTCTTAACACGTTCTGGAGCCGGAAGCTTCTTAGGTTCGGTTGGAGGAGAATTGAGTACCTTGAACCAGTCAAACGATTGAAACTGGGGCAATCCGTCTTCGTCTGAGCTGGGCCGTTTCAGGATGTCCACGGCATCAAAGTTCAGATCGTCATCATCCTCAAGCTTGCCTTTGGTGGAGTAGGGACGCACAGTACGGATACCTGAAAACAGGGCGGGTCTCCTCAAACACCTAAGCAACATGATCTGCTAGTATTTTTTCCAGTTTTTTTTTTCGGCTAGATCAGCGATTACGTCAGCATGTACTCGCCGAGCTCGTATGGAGCAGTGATGGTTATCATGACGATCGTGCATAACCGCAGGCTACAATTAACCAGTGCCTTTTGAACGCTAATGCATGGTTAGCAATCATGGCAGTTCATCCAGGGTCTGCGTCGGAATGTCAGAGCTACGCATTGCAGTGATAAATCTTACATTATAATTTGGTAGAGCTCAAAGTCTAAGCATTGGTGCCAACCTGGAGCGCACCTGCTATGTACACACTGGGATAGACTTCTCCGGGGCTGCCCTTTTTCTCCCAACGTTTATGGATTGTTGATTCTAGCGATATATGACTTGGAAATCAAATTCCACGATCTCATGAACTTGGACGCGCAGTCGTTGATGCAGTTCTCCTCAACAGAAGTCAAGCTAGACGATGGCTGTAGAATACACTTGTCAAAACAATTTTCAGTCAATGAGTTCACAAGCGACGTAGCGTAAGCTGTGGCCATTTCTGTGGCGATCGAAGACTTGACTTGGTCCTTGACCTGCTGAGTCTGCTCAGAGCTCAACGAGGAGCCCGCGCTTGTGTTGCTTTTGGAGCCTCCTAAACCGAGAAAGGACGACATTGGATTAAATTTTAAACTTGTGAAATGCACTAAAAAATAGTTTTTCAGCTCGATTTTTCAGATTCGGAATCGTACGCATCGTCGTCAGCGTCGGCCGATTCGTCCGCCTCGTCTTCCTCTTCTTCCTGTCCGGATTCGTCTCCGCCGCCTCCGAACACGTTCGTTTTACCCTTCTCCTTCAGAAAATCGTCCAGGGTCTGCAGCTTGTACTTTCTTGCGCTCTGTCGCGGTTCGGTATTTATCGTGGTGGCAGAGTTAACCACTAGTGGCGGCTTTTCAGCGTGTGAAATTGACTTGTGCTGGCTGTAGTCCTTCAGCTGAAATTCCTGTGCGCGCAGCTCGTTGTAGTATTCGAGGAGCTCAGGGTTCAGCATCTGTGGCGTAGCTTGGTTGTATTTGCTTACACTGTTGTTGTTTGTCGACGAGTCAGTGGAAACAGGAGTGGGTTTTGAAGTCTGAAAAAGCAAAATAGAAAGCTCCACTTCATTAAGTTTCTCGGCACACTTCTCCAGAATATAAGCTTTCTGCCCGTAGTATTGCTGAAATTCAATAGCAGTGGTTGCATTGAGGTCTTCGTCCAGATACACCAGGTTGGGAAGAATTGATCCAATCATCCTTGACCTATCCCGTAGATCGACACTGGAGTCATACCTCGTAAACTGCAATACGAGGTTGAACAGCTTCCATATCATACTTTCGTAGTTATACTCTTCTCCTTGCTGCTTGCTGGCATACAATTCTTTGGACACCATTTTTGTCAGTGCAGTTAAGATCTCCACTTTCACCACGTACTCCTGTTCCCTAAAGCCCCGCACAAGGATTCGCATAAGATCGGGCAAGAAGTTGCCTAAAGCTAATGATTTGTCGTCGCGGTATTGCTGGTTCGAAAACTCTCCCACGAGCCATATGATCGAAGCTCTGGCAACTGGCGCAAGCTCGCTCTCATTGATCAGCTTTCCTGTGAGCTTTGTAAGCACGTCGATGTTTCCAAAGAGGTCATTTTGCACCATAATCCGCAGTCCTGTCACATACTCTGCGACCAGAGGCTCTTCAGTCTCGGAGTCAAGTCTCGAGAGGAACAACTGGCCGATCCTGGCTGTTTGTTCTGGCGTGCCGTGGTAATGATTGAGCAGCCTTACTACCGCTAGTTTGAGCTGTGTGGAGGCCGTGTTTAGCAGGAAAACCAATTCTGCGAAAATCTGATCGAAATTCTGCGCACTGAGAAGCTTGACCAAAATGCATACTTTCAATCCACTGATCTTAGGTAGCTCATTCGGAAGAGGCACAAAGTATGACAGCTGCGAGTTTGAAAAACTCACCAGCTTCCGGTCAAGCAAATACACGATCTCGTTGAGCACGTAGACAGTCACCTCGTCGTCACCCAAAAATTTGACAAGCGTTTTTGCCAGTGGAATTTCGTCTAACTTGAACGGCAGCACGTTGATATAAAAGCGCACTAGGCTAAGCACGACGTTTGCAGAGGAAGAGTAAATGAGCGAGCGCAGTTTGGAGTCCAAAAGAGCCAGTTCCACTGCAATACCATCCTCCATCGGCTTGGGAAGGTACAGGCGGGCGTAATCTGTGGCTAGATCAATCAAGATGACTTTCGAGTAATCTTCAAGCTCTGTGAGCTTGGACACCAAATGAGTGAATCTCGGATGAATTAAATCCATATATCCAGGGAAGATGGTGTAGAAGCAATTGAGCGCAGAACTTAGTACTCTCGGATCGGTGTCGCTCAAAAGAACTGCCAGGAAATTGTACAGTTGTGCTGGGATGCTTGATTCGTCTTTCAGGGCAGAAGTCACATCGCGGTGTCTGTTGAAGCCGGAATCTAGCAGAAAGCATTTGGTAATAGCCACGGCAGTAGCGGAGCGCACAAGAGGCGATGAATCAGAAATCGTCCGTTTTATCGACAAGACCAAGATCGGCAGGATTGCCGGGATACGGATTCCGCTCAGCGTCCTGATAGCTAGAGCTCTGTTGATGCAGTTTTTGTCTGTAAGCGATTTTTGGATAGCATTTATTGAAAGTAGAGCAATGTCCTGTTGCATATGGTTATATCGCAAAAGGATCATATAGACCAGGCGTTTGGTCCTGAGATTGTTGGAGGTGATATTTTTGATGACGTGGGGGAAGTATTGCAGCAGTTCAGGTTCTGAGTTCGGTTTAGTGGTCATCAATCGCACCAGGTACTTGAGGGATGTTTGGATTTCCTTGTCTGATGAAGAATTGAGCCCTTCGATAACTTGCGAGGATGTGAGCTCTAGATTTTGCGCGTGGCCATTGGAGAGAAAGGCGTTCAATCCCGAGGGCAGTTTCACATTCTTGTTCTGGATGGCCTCATTGACCGTTGACGAGAGGTTCTTTGTTGCATTTTCCAGCAGTACGCTAAGGTTTTTCCCGAGTTCAGCCATTAGCGATTTGCAGTATAATGTAGAGTGGAAAAAAACAAATGGTTTAGGGTGTAATTTTTCAACTTATTAACGTTCCACATTTCCTCCTTGCAACAATGGCTTCCGAGGATCAACCGGCCAGGTCAGCTTCACCGACCAGGGAGAATGCTCTTAAACGGACATTGTCGATGAACAGTCTCATCAAGACAGACTCGTTCACAAAACTCTTCAAGAAGAGTAACAAGCGTACAAGATCAGATGACTCTGATTTGGACGACATTGAAACAAAGCTCGACATTCAGCCATCGAAGAAGCCCCGGACGCGCTCTACCAAAGAGGAAGAAGAGTTTCGTAGAAGAGAAAAAGAGTACGACGAGCTGCTGCCTCCCGAGTATCGAAAGTTCCGGCCAAAGGGATTCAAGCTCAATCTGCCGCCAGAAGATCGGCCGGTCCGAATCTACGCAGATGGAGTGTTTGATCTGTTTCACCTGGGCCACATGAGACAGCTGGAGCAGTGCAAAAAAGCGTTTCCCAACGTGACTTTAGTGGTTGGAATTCCCAATGACGAAGAAACACATAAGAGAAAGGGGCTGACAGTTCTCACTGACAAGCAACGTTACGAAACATTGAGACACTGCAGGTGGGTTGACGAGGTGGTAGAGGACGCCCCTTGGATTCTGAGCATGAAATTCCTTAAAGATCACCAAATTGATTACTGTGCTCACGACGATCTTCCATACCAAGCACAGGGCATTGACGATATATATAGACCCATGAAAGAGGCCGGCATGTTCCTCGCCACACAGAGGACGGAAGGAATTAGCACAAGCGACATCATTACCAAGATTATCAGAGACTACGACAAGTACCTTATGCGCAATTTTGCCAGGGGAGCCACACGGAAAGAGCTGAATGTGTCCTGGCTCAAAAAGAACGAGCTGGATTTCAAGAAACAGATCAACGACTTCCGCTCCTACTGGAAGAAAACCAACGATAGTCTCAATAGTGCTTCTCGCGACCTCTACACGGAAGTGCGAGAGTTTCTCAAAAGAAGAAATGAGACATCACCTGCTCAGTCTCCTGCAGACTCATTTGCATCCAAATTCAACGGCAACGGCTTGGGACGCACCAACTCCCGTCGCAGCCTGATTGAGAATTTTAAAGAATGGGTGGCAAGGGACAGCCATTCGGAGTTTGAGAGTGACGAAGAAGAAAAGCCGGTCGTCACCAAAAGAGGACGCAAGGTGAAAAAGCCCGCCAGTAGTGAAAAAAAAGTACTAGAAAAAAAATAGTGCAAAATATATTATAGCTATGTTCTCTGTTGCTAACATAAAGTACCTAGAGCCGACGACGTTGTATCAATGGTTCTGCCAAAAATCGATCAACCACGGATCGCGGTTTGTCGTGGTAGATGTGAGAGATTATGACTATATTGGTGGCCATATCAAGTCCAGCATTCATATTCCGAGTTCCACCGTGGGGTCCCATTGCCAGACTATTTTCGACGAACTTACAAAGAACAATGCAGACAGTGTGGTATTTCATTGCGCATTATCGCAACAGCGCGGACCGTCCGCTGCCATGAAGTTCATGCGGTACCTTGAAGACCTTGAGTCTGTCCCGGACCTCAACATATACGTGCTCAGAGGAGGGTTCGCAAAGTGGCAAGAGCTTTATGGCAATGATTCAGAAGTGACAGAGGGCTACGAGCCGAGCTTGTGGTCCTAATCATTTTTTTTCTGCTGCCTACGTCGTTTGGAAGGCTGCTCCTCAGTCTCCGGAGAATTCTTACCAGAATTTCTTAATTTCGATGTGGCATTTTTTAATCGCTGTCCCATTTCCAGGTCACGGCGGCGCCTGATCATCTCAACAGGGAAGAACTCCTCAATGCTTGTCTGCGGCTTGTTCATGTTCTGGATGATTGGCAGCAGAATTGTGTCCACTTTCTCCTTGCCCCATCCAACATTGTACATCAGGAAAGTCCGCAGCTTATCGAGGTTAGGGTAGCCCCATTGGAACTCGGACTTGTCATGGTCGACCTCTGGATGCAGATATGCTTCAATAACCCGCTTATCAGGGAACTCGGGAGTCAGATACAGATCAGTTTTCTTCAACGACTTGCGCAGTTTGCGCTTGACTGGAGTTTCTTTGGACTCATCAATGATACCATTTTGGTAATCGAGCCACCACTGCTTGAAATTTTCCAGTGTTCGGAACTCGGCAAGAATCTCCATTGCTGCAACCTTTCCAACACCCTTAATACCTTCTGTATAGTCGCTTCCTAATAATAGAGCTAACTCAATCAACATTTTTCTGTCGAGTCCTAGATCGCGCGCTAGGTCCTCCATTTGGTAGCACTCCACAAAGTTCTTTTCGTTGAACATGTTCTTGTACACGCGGTCACCGCCAAACAGAAAACAGTCAGAATCGTCTGTGATAATGCCATCCACCAATCCTAGACGCAAAAGCTCAGCGCATTGGGCTTCTGCCTCCATCGGCGCGGTGATGTACGGCAAGCCAAACCGGGAAAGCATATCCTGGATGTCCAGGATCATCCGAACGGTCACCTCGTCTGCGTCTCGTTTTTGTTTCTTCATACTCTCTTGGAGTTGCACTTCGTCGTCCATCGACCAGAAACTCGAGGACAACGATGGCTTTTTTGTACCAACTTTATCCACAAACTTCTCGTAGGCTGCTTCCTCGCTCTCAAGTTTGTGCTCGAGCTCCTCCTCCTCCTCGTCCGAAAAGACGTAGTCCAGAGGCTCTGGCATTTTAGGGACTTGTTGTGTATTTTCGTCAGGATGTTCAGTATTTGTCTTCTTCTGCTGATCCACGGGAATGCGCTTATCTTCTTTTAAACTGGCCTTTTGGGCGCCGGGGTCTTCCGGGAAATCGTGACTCAGCTCTGGCTGGTCAACCACAGACTCCGGCTCCGGCACGTCGTAGATCCGGCCTGTTTTCTCTGGCTCCGGCTGTGGGTCGGGGTCCAGCTCGATGATCTCAGGCTCAGTGGCCTCTTGCTCCTTAGCCTCCACAGAACCCTCGCTCTCATTTTCTTCAAGGTACGGTTCGACGTCAGCATAATCGAACAGCCCGACTTTTTCGTCTTCGCTTTTTCCGCCCTCTGTCTTTTTGTGGTCTTGCATCTCGTGATACGCGTTTTCTGAAACTCGAGTCTGAAACCAGAGAGGAGTTTCTTCCACTTTTTTTGGTGGCTTCTTTGGTTCTGGCTTTGGGTCTGGTTGTGCGCTCCCGGGCTCCTCCGTTTTGCCTGCAGACAGTATGCTGTTTCTGAAATCAAATTTCGGCACAGACACAGGCTTTGACTTGGTGACCTTATCTATGTTCGAACCGAGTGATTCCTTGGTCAAAATTAATGGTGGAGCAGCCCCGTAATCAAAAGGAGCATCGTTTCGCAGCTCCTGCTCCATCATATTATAGTAATCCTGTTTTGACCGTTCGATGGCGTGTCGCAACTGCTCTTCCTCGCTCATTTCTGCAGCTTTTTGCAAATTCTTCTTGTTGTTGTTTGCGTATTCGTACAGCGACTGGATCATCGCCATGGTAGTGTCCTCGTTATTTTCTGACGTCACGACTTCGCCAACAAACATCGGCTCAGATGCAGCAGTCCCCATAGGGAGCACCGGCTTGGCAGGCTCTATAACGTCTTCCCATTCTTCGTCCTCTTCATCTTCGTCCTGCTCTCCTTCGCTGTTCAAATCAATGGGTTTCTCTACACTGTGGCCGTCGTCCTTGATCGACAAAGTATACCCGTTTTCGTTTCTCTGGAGCTCGTAAATACGATCACGATCACTAGCAATCCGCCGCGATTTGGCCTCATTCTCGTCCATTCCTGCCACATTCATCAGTTTCTGAGTGAGAAAATTGCGCTTCTGCACCATCTGGATTTGGAATTTGGAAAAATCCATGCTATTTGGGAACAATGTCTCGAGCTGCTGTTTTGTGTAGCCCATTCTCAGACGAGAACGTAACCGCAAGTGAGAAAGCACTATGTACTGAGTAGATAGCGGCAAACGGGCGAACTCCTCGGATTTCGGGTCGATGGTGTCAAGATCAATGCCTCCAAGCTCGTCTTGCAGATCAGAAGTAAGTCGGTCGTACTCATAGTCTGTGATCACCCGCTGGTCATTCTTCTCAACCTTGAAGCTCTCAATGTGCGGAAGATCGTACTCATCTTGCCTGCGGAATATGCGATTCTCTTTTTCTTTCTTGGGCGTCGGCTTTTCAAGCTTCTCCTCGTGCTTTCTGTCCCTGGTATCAAAATAATTAGTGTCTTCGTAGAATTCAGTAAACTGCAGCTGTTCAATGGGAACTTCTTTGGACTTGGCTTTGGGCTTGGCCTTCGTGGGCACATCGCGCTTGCCCTCGGCCCGGTTCTGAAGCTGTTTCGCTAGCAGTCTGCGCGCAACCTGCTCTGCGGTCTCCTTGCTGCCCTCTCGTTTCTCTCGCCGTTTGCTGATGGTCTGTCTTTTCAAAAGAGGTGCTCCGCCATCAAACACAAACACAGGCTTGATTCCAAAGTAGAGAAGCTTGCATATTCGGCGGAAGAAGCCAACTATATGGGAGTTGATCAGTTGATTGCCCTGCGCATCTCTCACAGCCTTGAGGAACTGATAGATCCAAATTGAGGCGTCAACCGCAAGCCTTTTTTTAGCCATCGCCTCCAGTCGCACAGGCCGCGCGGTGGGGCCGACAATCTCCCAAAGTCCGTGAACACCCATGGATCAGGAATATTGTGTATCAATATTCTTTTCTTCTATAAACGTCGATCGACGCCGCGGGCCCTTAAACTTTCTTCTCTAGGGATAAATCTCAAACCCTTATTTCTCTGGGCGATAACATCTCGTCGCCTATAACGATAACAGTTTCCCCCTTTCCTGCTCATGGCAGACTTTAAAGTATGTGTATCCTTTTTTCGAGAAAGCGCCAAAACTAACTGCTAAGTTGCAGACTCCTATCGCAAACAAGAGAAAATTAAAATCGGAGTTTACGATGGCTTACACGCCCGAGCATCCTCACTCTATGCCTAACCCAGCCACTCAGTCCAAACCACAATGCAAATTCGTACCTCAGTTTACAAACAACGAGCAGAAGAACTGTTACAACCTGTTCAAGGAACTTCAAGACACGCCGAAAACAAATGGAGAACTAGCGATGTCTGGGTCTCCAGTGCCAATTGGACAACTAACGCCGTTTTTGGTAACAAACCAGCATCCAAGGCAACTGAGCAATAACACGCCAATAAAGCAGCAACAGCATGACCACTCGCCGCTCTCTCCCTCAATACAGCCAATATTCATTCTTCCAAACGACCACGATAGAGATATGATGTCCTACACGGAAATTCAAAGGTTTCCGTCAGATTTCAAGCCGAGACAGGCTGCAAACATGCCTCACAAAGAGAAAGTGGACAAATGGATAGTCAACGTTCCCGCCTATCCACACCAGGGCAAGGAGACATGGTATAACGAGTGCTATCCGTCGGTGGTGGAGCTGTCCACAGCCTCAACGCCAGAAGAATCAGACGTTGACTTTACATGCCACCAAGACATTATTGAGTATCAATCGAGAATGATCACTTTTCTCGTGAACCGCTCGTATTACAACGACCCCACCGAAGACATCAATCGAGGCGAAGAGTTCGAAGAAGCGAACTTGGCTGAGTATTCATACGAGACCAACGAAGCAGACTTTAACTACCACGAAGGTATTTGTTAGGCATCATGACCCGCAAAAGAATAATCTTCCAGGGCCTTTTCTATACAGAGTTATGCTGATCGATATATATAAAAAAATCCAGGAAAGATCCAAAAATTTAACAAAAATAATGAGTTCTGTCAACTCGGCAACTGTTCTCCTAAACAGGGTGCTGTCACTCAAAGAGGTTTCACCACTGCTGCTGGTGTTGGATTCGGTCATCCAATCGAGCTACTACTTCCAGCAAGAGCTCATACACAAGGCGAAAAATGAGTCCGTTCCTATCACATACTTATCCTTCGAGACTCTCAATCGACCCGAAGTGGACGAGTTCGTGCTTTGCGACGAACTATCTCCCGAGCAGATTATTGCTAAAGTTGGTAAGAATTCGAAACAGTTAGTGATTGTCGATTCGATCAACTATATTCCTGAAAATCAGCTCAACAGTTTTCTACGTGGGATAATATCGCCTACTACAGTCCTCTGTGCGACTTACCATACCTCAATTCCACAGGTATCGGTGCCCGGTGCTCAGAACAAGCCTACCGCTGTTCAGCGGCTGCTGTTCATGGCAACAACAATTTTCGAGCTAAGGCCTGCAAACTCACCTCTTACAGACGAGGAACTGGAAGTTGCGTCTCACAAGTTAGAGCTTCCTATTGGGATATCAAACAAGCCCACTTTCGAGGCCAAGATGACCTATCGAAGGAAATCTGGCCGCGCTTTGGAGTATGCATTTACTATAAACACATTGACTCACGAATACCAGGTCAAGCAGGAAAACGTTGCCGAAGGAGACGATGCCGAGCTGCTGGAGAATCTCACAACTTTCAACTTGACTACCACGCAGAGACAGAAGCTGGCTCGCGAACAAGTGGAGCTCCCTTTCTTGCAGGCCCAGCAGTCTTTGGGAGCCGTGGGAGGCGCCATCGTTTACGAGTTCGAAAAAGATGACGATTACGATGAGGATGATCCTTATGAAGATCCATTCTAGCGTCTATATGTTTTCGTCTTCTTCGCCAGTGCTTGTTTGACGGGTTGTTTTCTTGCGGGGCCACAGACTAGGCAGTTTGATAAATTGGAAGCGGGGCTCGATGCATCTTTCTATGAACCAGTTCCTCAAGGTGTTTTCGATAATAGAACTAATGCGAGGAATGTTTTCTAGCTTTGTACGAGAGCCGATCAGCGACTTAATATCGAACTCGAGTCGGAAATCAGGGCTGAACGAGAACATGAGTCCTACAGAATTGTCTGCAGCGTCAGACTCATCAGCACTGCTGATCAAGGAGACCGTGAGACAGCCAGAGAACCTGACAATAGAGATCGAGAGCTTGACCGGAAGCGACGCTGCTAGCGGTTTGGGCTGGTTTATCAAAAGTTTGGTTTCGACTCCCAAAGTAAACGTGTCTGCCACATCGACATCGATTTTCGCTTCGAGCCGTCCGTCTGTATTCTTGATCCGACAATTGCTGAAGATCGGAAAATCGTTACCTATACTTATCTCTGTGATCACGATTTTGTCAAGAAAGTCTGGTATGATAGACGAACCAAAAACCTCATTCAGCGAGCGGTAAATATTGTTGTTGTTGAGCGCCTCATTCCTAAACTGCGAGATGAGCTGGGCAACCAGCACATTGAACCAGTCCAGGGATTCTGGCTGGTGACTGCGCACATCGTAGTATGTTTTTTCCAGAATAGTGTCTATCGTAGAGCCTTCATTTTCTTGGACCGCGTTCGGTGCGTTCAGTACAGGAACGTTCACTTTCTTCGAGTTGCCCGGCACTGTGGGCGCGCTTTCACTGAAAATGAAGAACCTGATGAACATAACGAATAGTACAATGACAGAAAGCTGTCCTAATATAAGACCGTGCGTAAACGTCCATGCGGACTGCGGCGTGACAATCACACGGTGCTCGGACGGCCACGATACTATTTGCTCTGCAATTTTCTGCGACAGCTCTTTGATAGATTGATCTGAATAATCAGGGGATTCGATGCTCATTTAATAATTTATAGATTATTTTTTACGTGCACTGAATATTTAGTTTATTTCAGTAGTCTGAAGAGGAAGTTGACAAACACAGACAACGCCAGGGCCGAGCAAACCAGCAGAGGGCCGAACTTATCGTCATAGCGCACAGCACGTTTGTTCCTGATATTCACAACACGGAAAATGTAGGCATACGTGGAGTAGACAATTGTTAGGATGGCCGTGAAGTAGAAGCAGGTGGAGGTGATCAACGAGATCAAATCGCCGTAATTCAGGAGGGTGTGCGCGGTGGCGCCAAATATAAGGGCGATGGACAGCCAAGAGAGGTAAGTTCTTTCCGTGGCAAAGTAAACTTTGGGTTCGACTCGCACCACAACCGCGATCTTCTTCCCTGGCGGAGCAGTGAACTTAGTGTCAAAAACAGTTCCTTCCGGCACCTTATTAAAGGAGTGGTCTGGTTTGGTGATCTCCTTGTACCAAGACAGCAACTTGCCTATTAGGGTATTATTTTCCTGGTCCTGAGTCTCCTCGATTCTATTATCGTTCTCATTGAAGGAGACAGAGCCGTACTGAGGAGCCGCAGAGCCTGAACCGAAGCTCGAGCCGGCGAGCTCTTCCTCGTCAAGCTCACCGTGGCCAGACTGCGTATGGCGTTGTCTCACAATACCGTAGTTTTCATCCTTCTTTGGTTTTTTGATGTCGACGTCCATCTGAGGCAGCCAAAACGGAATCAAGTCAACTCTGTCAGGAAGCAAGGTGGCACAGCCGTGAATGAATTTGGAGAACTTGGGAACAGCTTCCACCAGGTGTGAAGACACCATTTCCTTGACCCATTGCGGAGGCTCCTGTCCCATTTGGGTTTGAAGCTTGACCTCCAAAACGGCATACGGGAATCTCTCAACATCTTTAGGAGGCAGGTTAGCAAATGGATAATTCACGCCAATGTCCATTCTTCTCCAGTTTCCGTGGGTTCTGTCGATGCCGTCAAAATTATCTTCTCTCACCATTGTGAGCTCCGTATCGAGAGAGATTCTGACTCTCGCATCACCTGGAAGCTGGAACGCTGTTCTGTTGTAGAAAGACCTCATCACCGGTCTCAGCTTGTCCTTGATGACTCTATATTGTACTTCCTGCGCGAGTCTCTCAAGACTCTCAATTTCTTGCACACTTTTCTTTCCATCCTTACGCATTTTCTCAAATGCCTGCTTGACAGTGTACTGCCCCTTCATGAAATCATTCACGTTTTTCTCCTTGAGTGGGAATCTGGCCTTGACACTCTTCTCGCCTGTCCAGTCCTCTCGATGCGTTTTTCTTTCAACAAAAACAGTCTCTGCACCCATTCCTCCGTACCACCTGATTCTGATGGCCTCAGCTCCCTCAGTCTTGAGCAATCGTCCGTAATAGAGGTCCATGTCCTTATTGTCGTAGTAGATCGAGGTTATTGCCGAGTCTTCTGGCTCAAATTCTTTGTTCGAGTTGAACACGAGAACAGGAAGATGCTTCAGTATAATGAGCTTCAGTTCGGTGATGTTATCCGGATGCACCCAGTACTTTGTCGTTTGACGGACAAAGTTCTGCATCGACCCTCCGGCGGCAGAGTCGCCCTTTACAGGGTTTCCTCTAGTTCTGACGAGGTCGTAGAGCTTCGAAAGGTTTACAATCAAAGAGTCGTAATTGTCCTTGTAGAACGCCTTGGCGTTCAGCCGGGCCTGGAAAATAGGCTTGAGGATGAACTTGGTGAGCTTGTCGTGCTTCTTGAGGATCTTCTGGAAGCCGATGTAATTGAGCCTTGTGAACTTGTTGAGGTCGTGCACATCAGCAATGATGTCGCTGAGCTCCTCTTCGAGATCCTGGAAGTCTTGCTCGTAGAACTCCGCCTCTTCTTCGGTGGCATTCCTGGAGTTTTCAACGGTGTTGTTGACCAGCGTCTCCACCTCCTTCATGCGACGGAGGATTTCTTTATGCTTTAGGACCACAAAGTTGTACACCTTATCGAGCTCCCCTTCCATCTTATTAAGGAAATCCTCCTCGAGGGAATCCGACCACTTGTTGCCGTTCTTGCTGAGCCCCTTACCAATGGCGTATTTCAGCTCATCATACTGGATGTAATAGTAGGCATATTCCTTAATCAGCGAGGACTTGAGCGTTTCTCCAAACTTCATGATGCCAAAAAGCGAGCAGCTCTCAAAAAATTAAGTACCGACCCGCACGTGCGTGCACAGCCTGGAGAGAATATTTTATTTAGGGCAAGCTTCCAGAATGAGACCTTACACCGCCCCGTAGAGCTTTGCTTTGGAGGCTTGCTAAAATTCAAGAGTCTCTCGCTCAGGTTCATAAGGTTTGCCGAGCTGTGGCTAAGCAGGATACGTAGGGAAAAGCCTCGGCGCAACACTTGCCAAAAATCCAGAAAAATATCTACATTGATTATCTGCTACGCACTCTCATATTAATGCCCCTGTTGAAATATTTTGTTTTTTAGATTCTCCACTATGGCGGACCAGAGACGGAAATTAATGCGCCTCAAACGGTTCGTCAGAAGCAACCGCAGGTTGCTGCTACTGGCCATGACACTATTCACTATCAACCTTCTTTATAACCTGCGTACCTCAAATTCCATTGAGTTTGACCTGGGGGACGAGTACGCTGGCACCTTTAAGGAGAAATATCTCAGAACAATCAAATCTAGGGACCAGCTCTATACAGATGAGTTCTATCAAAAACTCACTGTCATGGGCCAAATTGACGACCTTGTGAACGAGCCCATCGAACGCGTGTCCTTTAATGAGACGTTAGACCCAATGAACGTTCTGAAAGAAAAATACCCCAATGCCGACGACTACGCCAGCCTTGCTACCGCTCAGCAGGCGCAGGTGTACCTGAATGATGTGCTTCCAAAAACGGGTTTCAAATTCAGACCTATCCAAGAGACCATATACCGAGATGTCTACAATCCCAAAAATTATTTGGAGTCCAGACTTTCAAAATGGGTGGCTCTGAAGGACATTCTTTCGCCGGAGGAAATGAGCAACCTGGGTTTGACAGATGAGCTTTTCAAGTCTAATCTGCTTAGGATAAAGGATCTCAAGCTTAAGATCAACGAGAATTCTTCCAGAGAGATCCTCAATACCCTGAACCACATGAGAATAGTCAATAAACTGTTCTTTCAGAACCCAGCTCTTTTTGAAACTCCTGAAATGAACGATCTTTGTCGTGAAGCAACAAAGGCAGTGTACCCATGGCTTTCCGGATACTATCCCACCTTTACGAAGTACAATAAGCGCATGGATGAAGTCAACACTGATGTATTTGGGGAGGACGATTCTACCTGCCTGCTGAAAAGAATTCAAACAAAACTGTCCGGGCGCGGAATTGTCATCACAGCCTCAGACAGCCAGGTGCCAGAGTTAAGCGGACTGATTGCCCTTCTCCGGGTCTCTGGAAACAAGCTGCCGATCGAAATCTTCCACAACAACGATCTTAGTCTGACATCCATCAAGAAGTTGATCGAAGTGGCCACGGATCCAATCATGAAACTGCCAAAGGGGACTAAGTTCACCAAGCAGCCGATCCAAGACCTCACCTTTGTAGACGTCTCCAAAACTGTCATCTTCCGCTACAAGCACTTCTTCCAAAGGTGGTATATGAAGCTGCTAGCCTGCCTGTTCAGCTCTTTCGGGGAAATCATTGTTCTGGACACAGATACCGTTCCGCTACTAGCAATTGAAGAATATTTGCAATTGCCTGCTTACAGAGACACACACACACTGTTCTTCAGGGACAGGGAAGCAAATTCGTTCCTTTACGAGGGAATCATGAAATTCTTCATTGAATTTTTGAATACTGACGCAGAGCGTGACTATCTCCAGTTGAAGATGCCTACAGATGAGATTTTACACAATAGATTTTTTGGAGAGAAGGCAAGACACTACATGGAGGCCGGCCTATTTGCACTCAACAAAAAAGAAAAATTCGATGGTCTTTTGGTGGCTGCATCAATGCCTTTCTTCAAACTCATCTCCAATTCGGTCCATGGAGAGAAGGAATTCATCTGGCTCGGTCAAGAAATTATGGGCAGGACCTATAGATTTAATTCCCATCCAGCTGTCGCCGTAGGTTCATTGACGGACAAAAAACGTCGACTGGTCGCAAATGAGCTGTGCTCGACCCATCCCGGACACATTTCAGACGACGCCAAGAGCTTGCTATGGTTCAACTCAGGATTCTTAACCTGTAAACGTCCAGATTCCTATTATAAGGACATCAACTACGAAAGGAACGAAGGAAAGGACCTGCTGCAATTGAAGAAAGAGTACATTTCTCCACTGCACATCACCAGTGCGGTCATTCCTCCTCCAGCAGAATACAATTTCGATACCGGAGATGGAGAGCCAACACGTGGATGGGTGATGACGTCGCAGTGTGAGAACTACCTTTGGTGTGCCTACGATGTTATTGGCGGAGGAAAAAACGAGAAGATTCCTAAAGGGCAAGTTATTTCGTTCCGTGCCCAGGACACAGAGAAATGGGACAACCTGGGAGAAATCTGGGTGACGTACTTCAAGATTGCCAGTAAAGGTACAAAGACCGACTTGGGTTACGTTGAGGACGACGCATTCGATGAGTTGGGACTGGACAAAATGCCTTTTGGAGAGGAGGAAGACACAGGGAATACACACCAGAGAGGTGGGTTTGCATCATCCAGTGGCTCTTTTGGAGGAGCCACCAAAGCAGGCGAGAAGAACAGCAATGCTTCAGAGAAGGGTGCGGGTATGAAGATCAAGAAGCCAGTCAAAGGACAGGACTCCAATGACGCTTCCGATTACGAGGAGTACGATGATTCTAGAAGACTAGCGGCCGCAGGCACAAAGAAAAAAGCCGGTAGTTCCAGCAAGAGTACACTGAACGATGATGATGCGGATTATTTCGAAAGTGATGGCTCTGAAATGAGCAAAGGCTATAAAGAAACTGACGATTTCGATTCGGTGGTGATCGATGACGAGTTGTCTCGAGAGGCGGCTGAGGAGTCCAGCTCATTGTCTAAGGCCGGAAAGAACATAAATGAGTTCTTTAACGCGTTTGGGTTTGGGTCACGGAACAAAATTGATTCTTCAAAACTTTCTTCCTATGCTGATGACTCGGAGATAGACCTGGACTCTTATGCAGCCCAGAAAGAGGAATCAAGCTCAGAAAGGGATGTTTTCAGTGAAGAGCTTCTAAAGGAACTGCAGTCCGAGAGCGCTCAAGATTAAAAATATAGCTATCATGAATTTAGTCGATTTTCCACAGTTCCAATCCGAGGATTTTGAATTTTTCCGTAGTCAGTGGCTCATTGCCAAACGTCTCGACACTGTCGGTGGCCCCATTTTCCAGATCGCCATTGATATACAGACCGAACCGGCCGCCTCCGGAGCCTATGCTGACAAAGTTGTGGTTTGAGTAGATTATGTAATCGTTCATCGAAGTGTACGGGAACACCTTCAGTCTCAATTGTTCCCCGGAAGCCTCTAGCGTGTGCATGTTTTTTATACTATCGCGCTCTGCCTTCCAAAGAAAACAGTCCCCGTTCCCGTAATACTGTTTCTTCTCTAGCGGTCTCAAATAGTCGTTCAGATACGCCCCAAACAGCCGGTGTTGGGTGTCCATCACGACCAGTAGGTATCCTTTTCTTCGGGCCGTTGACTCTCCGGGCTGCGGCCGCGTCCTGCTGTAGAAAGTGTTTAGTGATGTTCCGTCCTGTTCCAAAGAGTACTGGAGAGTCCAGGAATGCGATATCTGGAGGATGGGAGGGATATGGAGACGAAGTTCCTCTGCCAGTTCGGTCGGCAACAGTTTGTGGTGGGTGGTGGCTTTGTAGCCGTTCAATTGAAGCGGAGTTAATGGAGGATCATCGTCGTCCTGCAACGTGCGCGGAGAGTCCATAGCTGGAGGCGTTTTAGGACTGCCGAAAACTGATTTTATCTTAAAGCGAGGCATAAGTCAAGACTGAGATAAATAAAAATCTTGTGGCGAACCGGTGGCTGGTGAAACGCTAGATTGGGCCTAGGGATATATTTTATCCCTGTTGGCAATTGTTACCGATGGACGCTACCATAGAGAACACAGAATTTTTGGATTTCTTAAACACTACCCAATCAGGAGCGGCACATAACTCTGTGGGAATCTCTTTTGAGTCATTTCTGTCGTCCCTGATCTTTTCTCTTGTGTATTGTTCCCTGCAGGTGTTCATATTTACCTACCTGAGAACCAGATTCAAGGAATTTTACCAGCCGCTCTGCTATTGCCTGCCAGAAAGCATCCGGACGCCGCCATTGTCAGACCATCTTTTAGCATGGGCGAAACCTATCGTCTACACCCCGATTGGCACCTTTTACCGACTAGGACTGGACTCGTACTATTTTCTGAGATTCATGTACACGCTACTGATACTTTTTGTCGGAATGGCCTGTCTCAATATTCCAGTGCTCATTCCAGTGAACTTCTGTGGCGGAGATGAGCTAACTAAAGGGATTGTAAGAGGGCTCGACAGAATATCCACCTCCAACATCTCATCACGAAACACCAATAAGTACATGTTCCATTTCGGCATGGCTATTTTTGTGATCCTATGGTTTCATTATGTGCTCATTTACGAGATGAAAAGCTGCGTTGAAGAGCGTCAGAAACATCTGGTGCTGAGCTCCAAAGTCCAGTATAAACGGGCTTCTTTGTCGACTGTGCTGCTCGAAAATATCCCGCACGACCTGATGGACGAGAGTGCCATTGAGCAATTTTTTGCTACTCTCCCCGGAGGGGTCAAAAAAGTGTGGCCAATCTTAGACTATCGCAATGTGGAGGCACTAGTCCAAAAGTATGAAAAATATAGAAGCCTCTTAGAAGAGCTGGAACTGAATATCATCAAAGATAAAACGCAGAATCGAGTCAATCACGCTACCAAATACTTCTACGAGCCCTTTGAGCTATTTGGGTTTGAATGCACAGTTCCCGGCATATGCAAAGTTGTGGATCCATACGACCATACTGCGGGACAGATGCTGCTCCTGGGGGAGCTAATTTTGGCCAAACAGCGCGAGCTCAAGTCCGTAAAGTTACGAAGCTCAAAAATCAACAAAGCGTTTGTGCAGTTCAACAAGATCAGCACCGCATACCTTGCGCGCCAGCTCTTACTAACGAGAAACCCAAAAGGCATGACGGTCACTCTCATGGAAATGACTCCGGATGACGTTATCTGGAAGAACATTGTGCGCTCGGACCAAACAGCTTCAAACGTGATATGGAACGCAGCAATGTTTTTCGTTTCAATTTTGATCATTGTCTGCTGGGTAGTCCCAGTGGCCTTTGTGGGGTCAATATCGCAACTCCCTTATCTCACTGCGCTCATTCCAACCATCAGCTGGCTAAACGGACTCCCAGATTTTCTAACAGCATTCATTGCAGGAATTTTGCCTACAATAGTGCTCACGTTGCTGACGTCTGTTGCGCTGCAAATATTCAAGGTTGTCGGATGCAAGCGAGGGAAGATAGTGGGTTCTTCCTTGGAGCTGAGTCTTCAGAGCTGGGTATTTGTGTTCTTATTTTTCCACCTTTTCATTGTGATCACCATCTCCTCAGGGTTCATTGTGGTGCTGGAACGGTTTCTTCTCAATCCAAGCGCCATCCCGGCAATGGTGGCACAAGACTTCCCCAAGGCCTCCAACTTCTTCTTCTCGTTCTTCATTTTGAAAGGCTTGACATGTTTCGGGAATAGTCTCCTGCAGTTCGGAAGGTTCTCGTCAGATCTATGCATGGACAAACTGATCGACAAGACTCCGCGAGAAAAGCTTCACCGTCGCATGAGCATTCCTCAGCCCAGCTGGGGACTCACATACCCGACCTACTCCGTGTACGGCTCGATCGGTCTGGTGTACTCTGTGATATCTCCTTTGATTCTTGTATTCTGCTGCATCAACTTCCTTTTGGACCTGTTGTCATACAAGTACTGTCTCCTCTATGTTTACAACTACAAGAACAGTTCGGAGACAGGAGGGAAAATTTACTCGATCGCGCTTCGTCAACTGTACGCGGGAGTCTACAGTCTCGAGGTGTTTCTTATCGGATTGTTCTTCATTGTGAAAGACGACAAGGGCGAAAACACCTGCTTCCTTCTGGGCATCATGATGGTTATAGTTTTGGTGTTGACTATATGTGTCCACATTTCTATCAATAACCAGTACGACAAGTCACTGAGCGTTGTTCCGCTGGAACTGTTCGAAGAGCTGGATCGAGAAATAAAGTTTGAACATGACTTTGACACAGCCTCCATTTTCTGTCATCCTTCGTTACGGTTCGATCCGCGCAAGCAGGTGGTCTGGATCCCCAAAGATCCACACGGACACAGCGACAGAGAACGCCAGAAACTGGAACTGCTTGGACTCAAGGTCTTTGACCAGGGCTGCACGATCAGCAGCAGGGGGAGACTGGAAATCCTGATGTCTCCGCCAGACTATGTTTTTTGATGGACCAGCCACCTGAAAAAATTACCATATTCGGAGAATTATAAACACACAAGCGTGTTTCAGGTGTTTGCTCATATGGTGAAACAGAAGCTCTCATCTGTATCCTATACCACTAACAACACATGAATGCTCCTATAAGGGCTATTGGGCGCTTTCCCGTACTTTTTTCCGTCCTCCTAGGGCATTTTGGCGCCAACTTAAAATAGTTCAACGATGTATCTAATTTACCGTTTTTGGAACTGGGCGTTCTCGAGTCCGGATTGTGCAGGTGCTATATATAGGAAGCTTGGGGCGCAATATTTCCAACGCCACCGCGAATCCATGAGATCTCCACTAGTTTCGCACGCTCTGTTGGGCAGCCTTGTGTCGGGGCTTGCCGCCGCTGTCACAGGAACCAGCAGCGCGTCCTTAGCGACTGCCACCTGCAACCCGCTCAAAAACACAGGCTGTCCCGCTGACACGGCGTTGGCAGGATCGATTTCCGAGGATTTCAAGTCCCCCAGCGAGCACTTCTCTGTCTATTCCACCCCAGACCAGATTTTCTATAGCGACGACGGCCTGCAACTCACATTGGCCAAAAGATTCGACAACCCTGCGCTCAGATCCAACTTTTACCTCATGTTTGGGAAAGTGGAGGTCCTTCTAAAGGCAGCGAACGGAACAGGAATCATTTCGTCCTTCTATCTTCAGTCCGACGACCTCGACGAGATCGATCTGGAGTGGTTTGGAGGTGACGGCTACGAGGTCCAAACCAATTACTTCTCCAAGGGAAACACAGCTACGTACGACAGAGGCGGATATCACAACATGGAAGACCCAAGAGCTGCTTTCCACAACTACACAATCGACTGGACAGCAGAGGCTCTGACGTGGTACGTCGACGGAAAGGCTATCAGAACACTTACCAATGACTCGTCCCAGGGCTATCCGCAGAGCCCTATGTACTTGATGATGGGAATTTGGGCTGGAGGAGACAGCACAAATGCTCAGGGGACGATCGAATGGGCTGGTGGACTAACAAACTATGATGACGCTCCGTTCTCGATGTACATTAAGAAACTGGTTGCTGTTGACTACTCGAGCGGCTCAGAGTACCGTTACGAGGACACCAGTGGTGAATGGACGTCGATCGAGGCAGTTGGCGGACAAGTTAATGGCCGTATCGGCTTGGCTGAGGAGGAGTTTGACGTTCTGGTTGCCGGAGGAAACTTAGACTCTGAGGTCTTTAAGTCCCAAACGGCCAGCTCCAGCAGCAATGTTGCCACTTCAAGCCACTATGTGTATCAGTCCTCCACAAAGGCCGCAGGCAGCTCATACAATCCAACTGCCACTACATCTGGTTCGCATGACTCCGTCTCCACTAGTAAAAGGTCCATCACCTCAGACAGAGCTGCCTACCAGAGCTCTACGACTCTCGAGACTTTGGCCAGTTCCTCCGCGACCGTTTCTAGCAACTCCTCGCTGCAATCGATTTCGTCCACGAGCGGCTCGGGATCAGGCCATCGTTTCAACAGCCTGAGCGTTTTTGCGTCTTTTGCGTCTACTATACTGTTTGGATTGGCACTGATCTAGAACCCGTACACCGCATTTTAATGGTTTTTTTTTTGCATATAAAAATTTTATACTTATAAAATGGCTAAGGACAAAAGAGCTAGAGAAGACAAGGAGGCAGAGAGTGCCGAGAAGCGCCAGAAGAAGGACAAGAAGGAGAAGAAACTCAAGGATCACAAGGAGAAAAAGAGCAAGGCCAGCAAAAAAGAAAAGAAGGACAAAAAGAGAGAAAAGCATCGGTCAACTGATAAACCTCAGATCGAGGTCGACAGCGCCGCTGTTGGTGAGTTCCTGAAGACCAACGAAGTTGAGATCGAGGATCCTAAGAAAACCAGCGTTTCTCCGACCCTTTCGTTTGACCATCTCAGACCCCTTGTTGACTCGCGCATCAGTAGCCATTTGGATAAGTATGCCAAGCCGACACCGATCCAGGCAGTGGTGTGGCCGTATCTGCTCACTGGCCGCGACATGGTGGGTGTCGCAGAGACTGGATCGGGAAAAACGATGGCTTTCGGTGTCCCGGCAGTGGAGCATCTGCTGAAATCGGACTCCAAGGCATTGCAAGTGCTGATTATTTCTCCGACGAGAGAACTCGCCAGCCAAATCTACGATAACCTTAACGAGCTGACCACCAAGGTGGGTCTAGAATGTGTTTGTGTCTATGGAGGTGTCTCTAAGGACGAGCAAAGAAGAGCTGTGAAACGATCGCAATGCGTGATAGCTACGCCAGGCCGTTTGATCGATTTAATAGAGGACGGCAGCATCAGCCTGGACAAGATCAACTATTTGGTTCTGGACGAGGCCGACAGAATGCTTGAGAAGGGATTCGAAGAAGACATAAAAAAGGTGATGAAGCTCACAAACGGCAACAGACAGACCCTCATGTTCACTGCTACCTGGCCGAAGGAAGTGCGCGAGCTCGCAATGAACTTCATGGACAAGCCTGTGAAAGTGACTATCGGACAGCGGGACGAGCTCTCAGCGAACAAACGGATCCAACAAGTCGTCGAGGTGGTCGATCCTCGTGAAAAAGAACAAAAATTGTTGCAAATGTTGCGCAAATACCAATCTGGTGCGAAAAAGGACGATAAACTTTTAATTTTCGCTTTGTACAAAAAGGAGGCCGCCAGGGTGGAGAAGACGCTCACTTACAAGGGATTCAGTGTGGCGGCCCTCCATGGTGACCTTAACCAAGCACAGAGAACACAAGCCTTGCAAGATTTCAAGGCTGGTAAGCACAACATCCTGCTTGCGACGGACGTCGCCGCAAGAGGTCTGGACATTCCAAACGTGAAGGTTGTCATCAACCTCACGTTTCCGCTCACCGTGGAGGACTACGTGCACAGAATTGGGCGTACAGGACGTGCGGGTCAAACTGGTATCTCTCACACGCTTTTCACAGAGCACGAGAAACACCTTGCGGGGGCCCTGATGAACGTGCTGCGTGGCGCTGGCCAGCCGGTGCCCGAGGAGCTGCTCAAGTATGGCTCGCATACGAAAAAGAAGACTCACGGGGCTTATGGCGCGTTCTTCAAAGACGTCGACATGACTAAGAAGGCGAAGAAGATAACGTTTGATTAGAACTCGGCTGTGTCTGCAACTCGTGCGGCTGAAGGATTATCAAAAATTTATTTTTAGTAGTCGTGGAGACGCTAAAAGGAGGCTGTATCTAATTCACCTCCTATATAAATAGAGGTATGCATTCCTGGTCCCGATCTATACAAATTAAATACCGATATTGCAGCCATGATTATTCCCCAGTTTATTGCTGAAAACATTCAGGCCATGATGGCCGTCTCCGACGTGTGTCCTACAGAGCTTGTTGGAAACTCTCTTTATAAGAGAGACATAAACCATACCTGGGACGATACCAAGAACGGATGGAACAAGTGCATGGACAAAAAATGGTGCAAAATCGTGGCCATTGTGGGGATAGTTATCGGTGCTCTACTTGCCTTCTGGTTGCTTTCGACCTTATTTCAGCTGATCTGCTGTGGAGTCAAATGTGTCGACGCGCTGTGCTGCTGCTTCTGCAGAGGGGGAAGGAGAACAAAAACTGAGGTGATAGACAAGGAACAGCCCGCGCCTACGTCACAAGGAAACGCCTATACGAATCCGAACATGTACTATCAGCAGAACTCCAATCCGTTTGGCGACCGACATGGGTACCAGCAGCATTACTAGGTTTATTTTATAGTTTAAAGAGCGATTCTTACGGATATGGAGTAGTTTCCCGGTTTCGAATGACGTCAGGATGGTGCTTTTACTACGGGAGTAGTAATAAAAATAAAAGCTCGCAAAAAAAATTGAAGATTGAGGCCAACAGGAATCGAACCTGCAACCCTTCGATCTGGAGTCGAAAGCTCTACCATTGAGCCATAGCCCCACCCTCGGATGGGTTTTCCATGAGCACCGCACACATGGTGCAAGTACTGGGCCTTCATAACGTCTCCCAGCCTCCAATATCGATCTGGCTCTCCAGCTTGCGGGCAATTTGATTAGGAATGTTATGCTGCAGCCAGACAGTTCTGGTAAATTCGTCGTACTTGGGCTGCGAAAGCGACAGGTCATGTCCCTTTTTGGAATCTTGATCTATCTCACCGTAGTCATCCAAATACGGACTTTCGAAAAACGATCCTTTACCCTTGTTCAACAGAAGAATAGAGTTGCTTTTTGGAATGAAAAATATGCCAAACTCTCCGTTTATGCACTCCCACTTTAGGTGGATGTTGCAAGCTCCTAGACGATCACCATAATTCTGAACCTGGAGATGGACCAACTTGGCACAGAATAGACATATAGCAGGATCAGAAGGTTTATCTGTAAGTTTGTTATAGTAAAGACTGAAGAATTTGTTCAAGCGCTGAGGCAAAGGAATCAGTCTCATTTGAGCGGGGAATTGGATTCTAGCATCTCGCAACTGCAATTTTCTTTCCATAGAAGTTCTGAATTGCTCTAGCGGAAAGGCTTCCAAGACATCATAAAGATTCGGAAGATTCATCACTGCACATAACTTGTCACATTCAAGAGAAAATTGAGTCAAGTCCGGAAGCTCACCTGGAAGGAGGACCGAAAAGCGCACAAAGGAATAGATCAGACATTTTCTAAGGAATGGCGTTACCAGCCTCACAAGCATCGAGTACAAAACTCGACTGGCCTGCGAATGTTCGTTTCCGCAAAACACCTGCCATATACGGTCAAGCTTGGGCGAGTCATACGGTATGTCGGCGAGATCATTGACCATATCCTCCGAGTCAAACTTCATAACCTCCAACTTGCTCATCAAACTCAACACTGATTGTCTCACGTGCTTGAGATAGCACAAATGAAGAAGCCTGCTGTAATCCAGACCCAGGCTAGGAACCTCCTCGGCTCCGACTAGGAGCTTGAAGTAGTCTTCACCCTCATGAAGAAGGTCTTCATCTTTGTATATGTTGTTCCATAGTCCCAAAAGTCTTTCGGGATATGTTAAGTAGCTGCGACTGTATTGATTTGTCGTTGATGTAGCTGTCTCTGTGTTTCTGATGAGCTCGCGAAATTGATTCCAAACACGCAATGAGGTCAGAGACTGGTTAGGAATTTCGTAAATCAAAAGCTGCAAGGCCCCTGGGTCATAGTAGAGCCCTCTTAGAGAGATTTCCACCGATTCAATTGTTTTTGTTATAAGCGAACTTATACCATCAAACGGTAAGGAAAGGACAGCGAGTGCGCTTAGCGAGTGATTCAGTGCCAAAAAAGACTTAGACGCTGTATCAACTGTCAAATTGTCATCCTTAATGAACCAGTATTGGGGTTTGACATTAGACTTCACGTAGCCAATCAGATCGTTCTTGATGACATCGAGGTGTGCGGAACTGTTCGCTAAAAAGTCCTCTAGTCCTGGGTCGAGAATTGATTCTGACTTGTTTCTGAGTTTGTTGACCAGACTTGTGCTGTTTGATGTATAGTATATCGGAACAAAAATGTTGTTAACAGCTTTGCACAATGGACACAGGAATTCCTGGCGAGATACGTCTTCCGGTATTGTCCTTGTAATCTGTGAAACTTGTCTCGCTTTAATCGATTTAAGAAAGCTTGTGTAACAGGAGAAGTGCATACCGTGACAACAGCTGTTGAAGACCGCGTGGTTTTCGTTACAAGCGTGCTCGTTACTTGGGAATCCGGGCCCAATGACGGCATCTTCTTCCACCTTATTTAGATAAGCCTGCAGTTTGGTATTCCTGGTGATTTCTGCCTCATCCAAATTTGCATTGCCAGTGAAGCTCTTGTAAAACCAATATCTATCATCAAACGGAATCGATCTAAATTCGTTGCTTTGCACAATGTAACTGATGATCCCAAACGGTTCATTTTCATAGTTCGCAGGCATTTGGCAAAGAATACATCTTTCATGAGGATATGTCCAGCTATTATCTTCCTCATTAGAGTCATAGTCATCGACGTCCATTAAATCGGTACCATCGATACTAAAGTTTTCCGCAAATTTCTGTTGCTGCTTCTTGAACTTGGCCAGGATTTGAGAGCGTTTTTTCTTTGCCAGACGTTTTTTCTTATCTGAAGTGGACTCTTCAGATGCGCTGGATGGCTTGATATTTGACGGGTTATATTCCGGCATCATTTGGGTCAACACGTCAAGATCGTTTTCAAAATGGTCGCACACAATTTTCAAAATGGCCTTGCATTTTGGAAAGAAAGCTCTAAATTTCTCTTTTAGAAGCAATGAGTAGAGCAATGATGGAACCTTGGAGTTCCGGATGTAGAGCGAGATAAATTCGGAGGCATTGGGCAAGCACACAGCGATATGTGTCAGATGCAATGTGAAATCAAGCAATGTGTCAATGGAAAACTCTGGCTTGACATGGTCCCAACAGTATTTGAGCGTGCTTTCGAGAATAGATATGAAATGGACAGAGCATGTAATCTTAGTCAGGCTTTTGAATGGACCATCATCCCAGTCAATTCTTTTTGGAGAAACGTAGACTTCTGCCATCGGTACTTTCGTGATGTGATGAATACGCTCCTTGAGTATCCTCATACAATCCTCCCTCTTATTTGAGCTATAGTGAATGTAGTAGGGATCTACTTCATCGTAAAGCTCCTCTTTCAATTTGTATGTTTTTGCATCCTTGAATGACTCGGAAGCTGCTTTCCGAGGAATCTCATCAACGCACTGATTGAACACAATAAAGAACCTCTTTTCTGAGGTTATGTGTTCTGATATTTCTGACGTTATTTTGCTATAGCTGACGGGCTTGAAGCATAGAGACTGGATAATTTCTTTCCTAATTCGCAAATCTGGAATTTCCGCTGCACTTTTCTTGTGCAGGTGCAAATCCTCAGTGAGCAAGTTGATCAAGAACAAGATAAATTCTTCGGCCATTTCATGAACATGCGCTGTGGTGTATGGAGAATTTTCATAATCTCCTTGACACCAATCAACAAGACTCCATCTATCAATCAACGTGGGTAGGCTTACATCAGTGCTTTGGAAGGCGCAAAACACCTGGACCAAAAACAGGTCTCTGAAATAACCAAACTCACGTATGCCAGAGTTCTTGTAAATGTTCATTTGATTTCTTATACTCAGACCGTTTCTAACCCAGAGTCCGACCTTGATTTGCGACAACAATACAATTGTCCTTAAAGGAATATCAAACACTGCTTTTGTATAGTCACCCGTGAGAAAGGCATCCGGCAAGCCAACGTCCAACATCCGAGGAATCTGATCAATGCAATCCATGAAAAATCCAAATATTGACTCTTTCGAAAGAGACGGGCTCATCTCAATACACCAAGAAAGGAAAGAGTGTAACGGGTGCAAAAAGCTCACCTTCTCACTCAACACGTCAAACTTGACGATACGAGTGGAAACATTGTTGATTTGTAATGTATGAAACTCAACCATGGGTTCTTGGTTCTCAATTATTTTGTTAACTCCCATCTCACTCTCTTTCGGAGATTCACGCTTGATGAACAAAGTACGTATAATTTGGCAAACAGTGAGCTTCAACAAATAGTGCGAAGAGTCTTCGGAAGAAGTTTTATTGAGTGCCTTGGAAATGTGTTCCAGAAAGTGAGATATCACCGACATTCCATTGAAATAGAGTCCGTAGTCTGTAAGTTCATATTCTACGTGAGTGGTAGCCTCACGCTTGATGGCTGGTCTCCCTTGAAACACTGATAAAACGTCTAACAGCTTGCTAAAGTATGGTAGATATGAAAATAGATTGCCGTTGATTTGATTTCTGCTAATGATGTAGGTCATGTCTAAAAAAATATGCCCCCACTTGCGATTCTTCAGTGAGAAGTACAGAAGTCCAGTCTTATTGGAGGTGTATTGCGAGTGACTTGCTTTGGTAAACCCTGTTCGCACATAGTAATCAACCATTTCTATCATTTTGCACATGTCTCCATGTTTCACTATGGCGGTACAGTTTGAAGGACATGTAAAAAGCTGAGGCGACAGTATCGGCAACAATGAATACTCTGGTTCCCGATCCAGCGACAGAAACATTGTCGTGAGATCTACGTATATGTCAACATATTGTGCGGTGAAAAGGAGTTTGTACTTTAAATCATTAATGATGACTGAAACGTAAATATCGTGCAGTTTCGTTCGAATGGTCTTGCAGAATCTAATGTCAAAATATGCTAGATATTGGAATCGGGAACCCTCAAAATGGACATAGTTCTTACCGCTCCCCAGAAGAGAGAGGTTGGAATACTGGCATTGTTTTAAAATATCCGAAGGAATCTCCCACTCATATTGCAATGGGGTGTAGTGTGTTTGAAACTTGTAGTATACCAGAGTGTCCCTTGGTAATGCGCCATCATAATTATCTCGATTGAGGTTATAGTCCTGAAGCTTCAATTCCTGGACAGACACTGGCAAGTCTTTGTATCCACGGTTGTATCTGCTGAGAAATGCCACACAAATGGCGTCTTGGTAGTTCAAATTGTTCTTCACAATCATTGAGTTGGTGAGGTCTGATATCCACATAATCAGCTCATCGCAAACGTTCTCCTTGAAAACATCTCTGCAACTTCGGATGCAAGCAGTCAGCCCTGTAGACGTGAGTATAGATTGCTTCTTCAGCAAAAAATCAATGTCTGTCGAGATCATCACCACTGCTTTACCGAAAGAATTGCACTTGGACACCACCATTTCTGCGAACTCGTTCACCTTACCGGTAGCAAACCTCACGCGCTGCACGGCGTCTCTATACTGGTGTATTTGGTCATTGTAGAGCACCAATGCGAACTTGTACGAGTTTTCGTCCTTGACTCCATAGAGATGGTAGTCCAATTCAGATAGCTCTGACCAGTGCAACACGTCCAGACGTGTTTTAGGGGGCAAAATGCACGCATAAGAGTGCATCATGACGTCCAAGATATAATCCAGAGCAATACTGATAGTGGCCTCGAACTCTGGGGTGCAAGGAGTCTGCTCCATTATTTGGTTCTTCGACAAGTCACACTTCAGTGAGCCATATGCCTCGGGGTCTCCACAGTCGCAGCAGCCGTTTGTCTCCCGCTGTATGATACTTTTATGGACCTGGTGGTTCTGGTGATGCTGAGGTTGGAAGCAGTAAGAGCACAGGGCACAAGTTTCGTCGAATCCACAGGTGAGACACCTATAGCAAGCTTCTCCACGCTGGAACTTGCGTCCACAGGGGCGATTGAAGTGATTGTGCACGTCAGGATCGACTTTCAGCTGATATTCATCAAGCCCTGCCGTTTTATTCAATGTCGACCGAATCAGCGATCTGACCTGATTCGTAAACTTGTAGTCATTGGAGCGCGGCAGTCCAGCAAGGAATCGCCTTAATGTCTGGGCGCCGTCTGGCTGTGCCATTTGTGGGATATTGAATGCGAAAAAAACAGAGCTTCTATCTTTTTTCGCCACAAAAGCAGTAATATTACAAATAATTTATTTCCTGACATTATGACGATTTCCTCCAAGGTGAACGAGCTCCTGGTCCGATTGCCGAGTCTTTTTGACTTTGCCTGCACGCCGGACCTTGACACCAGTCTGATGCGGATTCTCTACTTCGCCCTTTCGGGAAACGGAGAGCACTATCGGCTTTTGTTTCCGGATCTCGTCATAAACGGAGACTTCCCGTCCAGCTGGGATGACGCCATCATCCACGATTACCATGGCTTCCTAACAAAAGGCCGATTTTTTGACCAACAGCAAAAGAGTACCAGCAAAGCACACCACGGGCGTATTTGTGCTCGCAAAATCGAAAAGAACCAAATAGTCTACAACTGCTATGATTGCGGGATAGACGAGACATGTTGTCTGTGTGACGACTGTTTCAACAAAGAGCAGCACTCTGATCACAACGTCGGAACGCACATATCCACTGGGGATGCGATTTGCGATTGCGGAGATCAGGACTCGTGGAAATGCGAGCTCAACTGCGTGGCCAACAGCACCATGGAGCCGGAGCCAGAGGATCTGCCCGACGATTTGGTGCAGAATATATATGAGGTGGTGCAGACAATCCTCGACTACTTTATCGATGTGCAGTCGCTAAACACGCAGATCGTGCCAGGTACCCGCAGTTACCTGTACTCGAAACACGACCCTGGCCTGTTCAAGCAGCATTCCGACGCAGCAAAACTTTCGTTCGAAAAATACGGGGTGGACGATGTCAATTCTGATGCTTTCTGTTTGGTTGTCTGGAACGATGAGTTCCATGACTGGGCCACTTCTCAGCAAAGTATTGCACTCGCACTGCCGAATATTAGCACCGATAAGAAGCAGCTGCTCACACAAGAGATAGACAAGGTAGGCAAGTGCACGATATCTGTGAGCACGCATGTGGACATTCTGCTGGACGAATTCTACAAAGTTCAGACACACGGGTTGACGGCTACGATCGTGTCTTCAAGAGACGTTTGTAGAGATTTTCTGTGCGAGATCATCATCAGGTGGCTGTCCACAATGACCGAGCACCCGAACTCTAAAATTGCAGAAACTGTCAAGACCGCAATTGCCACAAGCATGTTTAGCCAGTATCACAGTGTCCACGAAAGGCAGACAGTTCCAGAGAAGTTTTACGATTTTGAGCGGAAATCAATGTTTGGCAATCTTCTCCCTGACTACAAAATACCTAATATACCTGGAAGTCGATTGAAGAAGGACGTTACCATCTCGTTACTGCGCTCCAATGGGATACATTGCACTCATGAAGCGCTAAACGCAGGGGAGCCTGTAGCTGCGTCAACATCAAGAATACAACTCTTCTTCTTTCTTGAAATGAGACTTTGGAAAAAGCTCCGTAAAGTTCTACGGAGTTTATTGATGCCCACTTTAACGACATCGTACAAGTATAGACAGACACTCGCAGACCAGATAGTGGAGATCTTGCCGGCTCTTGAGTTGACACAGGCAATGTATGACCGCGAATGGAACCTGTCGCTGCTAGACCACTTCCGCCTTCAAATTTACTTGGATCCAAATATTGGGACGCATTTACTGAAAGCTGGAAAGCTAGACAGAATATTTCAGAGCGCTCTGCAGGTTTTCAAGAACAATGTGGATCCAACTACCGGTGTTTATGCACCTCAACAGAATGTCCATGATTGGAAGATACAAAGACTGTTAAATGCCGAATCCGCGTCGCTCAGAGGATTAGAAACCCTTGCAAACTATATCAAGCCTGGAGTAGAGGAGATCATGAATGTCAACACTTTATGCTACATCCTTCTTATCCTCAAAATTTTCACTCAATCCTGGTCCCTGAAACGGAAAACCGATGTTCATGTTGAGCATGAAAGCGAGGAGAGCAAACTTTACTTCATCCGTGCTCATCAAGCATATAATCTCACCAAACACATTGGCAAAATTATTGCTGGCGTGGACCATAGATCGGAAACTGTCGAGAATGCAATTGCGATCATCGGGTTATATCTGAATTTCACCTGTGTTTATGATAATGATCTAGACATCATAAAGTATGATGTGGCCAGAGAAAAGACGTCATTTATTCATCCCATCCATTCTCTCCTCGCTGAAGTCTGCCGCAACTACAAGTTCTTCGAGCCCCAGATGTTAGAGCGAGAGAGCTCACAGGTCCATTTGGCAGGGTCTCTACTTGTTGCGGACAGACATGTTGATTATATCAATCTTTTTGCCATTGCGGACCAGGTTCTTCGCAGCCAGGTACTCTCGGCTCAAATTTCGTCTGGCTTCTGGGTGAGAAATGGACAAGAGGCTGTTTTTCAGGAACTGTCGTACAGATATATTTTCAACCCAGAAGGTGACTTGTATTTGAACCAGCTGAGTGTCCTAAAAGAGGCCTCGTTGAAGCGCTCGCTCCTTAACATCTTTGATAGATACGGGCTGTTAAACTGTGTTCTGGGCGACTTACATTTTGATCATACCGTCTATGAAGAGAAAATCTACGCCATCATTGGAGAGCTAGTGAATTTTTTGTACCGGATGCTCACCTATCGTGTCTTTTTTGATAAAAGTATCAGTCAAGAAGATATTGAGTACCTGAAGACTAAATATTCTATCTGCTACAGATTGAGCCTGAATCCGGTTCAGTATACAGAATTGAAACGATCCGTCGACAATCCTTCCTATTTTGACCGTGCATTGAACGAGGTTGGTGAATTCGTGCCTCCCACGGGTATCAGCGATTATGGGCATTACGTTTTGAAATCTGAAGTTTACCAAGAACTGGACCACATGAGCTTCTTCAACCGCAGCAATTCCCAGGATGACTTGGAGATGTCTTTGTTGAAAAGCCTAGCCAAATTGAAGAAGAAAAAGGTTGAAGATGTGATCATTGTGCCACAAATATACAAACTCAAGGATGGTGACTTGGCGGGATTCTCTCGGATCGGCTCACTCCTCAGGACACCCATCTTTGTGAAATTTCTTTATAAAGCGTTGTCTTTCGCAATTTCTTCGGATAATGACTATTACGTGCCCTCGCTGCTTCACCTCGTTCATGCCATTATCATTGACGATGGGTTATACCATACGGATGAGAACCATGGTCTTCAAAGTTTCATTGACATTCCCGTTTGCAACTTACTACTCACTATCATTCAGAAAGAGGACATTTCGAAGATTGTTGCAAAGAAGGCCTCTCATATCCTCGATTTGTTGCTGATGAAAGACGAAAGCGTTCTGCAGTCATTGGTCGACTGTTTCGGGCAGGCCCACATTGATGAATTCAAGAAGACAGCTAATGGCAGAGTTCTGGAGACCAAGAAAGAGCGCGCAAAAAGGCTAGCCTTGAAACGACAGCAAAAGATCATGAAGAAGATGAGCAAACAACAAGCCGCGTTTGTGGAGAAAAACAAGGAGTTCTTTGAGGAGCAGCCGGCCTCCAATGAGATGGATATGGACAATACCGAAACTGAGCTTCGAAGTTGCATCTACTGCCGGAATCCAGAAAACTACAATGAGTTATTTGGTATGCCCACTCTTATCTCGCACTCTTCTATTTTTTGGAACATTCCAATTCTGGATATGGATGCGCCATCATTTATGATCCCCGGTTTCCCTCAAGCGGAATCCAAGACTCGCAAGCGTAAGTGGAACGATCTGGTGAACGATATATCCTGTTTTGGCACTAAGTGTACGCGTTCAAAGTATGTCATCACAGGATGTTTGCATGGGATGCATTTCAGCTGTTTCCACAACTATCTGAAAGAAAACAGGTTTGACGTATCGCAGTATACATGTCCTCTATGTCAATCTTACTGCAATTCGTTCATTCCGACGTCCCCGTTTCCTGAGTTTGAGCTTGAAATTGCGTCAGAACTCAAGTCGCGCAACTGGCAAAATATATATCACGAGAATCATGGGGATAATTGTTCTGAGCTTAGCAGCTATGTGTTTGATAAGAAGATGTTCCGTGTGTTGTCTCACTCTGAAACTTCTGCTTATAAGACGATAATGAAGCAGCTGAAGACTTTGATGAAAGAAAACAAAATCATGCGAAAGGTGGCCAAAACTTCGTCTCATTTGCTTTCGATGAAGTTCTCGTTGCCTATTCTTTTGGGAAACACTCTGGAAATGTACGAAATTGCATCAAGGTTTGATTTTGACGAGCAGAAGGATGATTTGAGCTCAATGAACACCACTCTGTTGCAATCTCTGATTCAATTCCGCGTGCTTCTCAATTATTTACCTCCGGAGCCGGCAAGTGAACAAAAGAGGTCTGCCGAGTATAATACGTTGCTGAAGACCAATAACTTTGGATTTACCACCGAGATGATGATTCTGTATTTGGAAGGAAACGAGTCTTGTGATATTCTGATGAGGGTTGGAATGACCAAGTGGATCGTTAAGAGCTTTTTCTCGTTGATTTCGCGATTCAGCTTAAACCCAAATAACTTGAAAATTGATACCATTTTGGATCAAACGGGACCGGTTGACGAGTCGATCAAGGATATGTTTGTGACTCTTGCCAAGAAATGTGCTGCCAATTTGTTTAGAAAATTCATAAGTGAGATTGGGCCAACCTACTATGAGGACGAGCTAGTCAACAAAATTTACGCCATCATGATCAACATCTTTAATCGCTACTACCACCAATTGGAATTTGTCAAGCACACTTTCAAGCTCAGCGGTGGACATTTCCTTACTTTTAACGAGCTATTCCAGAATCTCAAAGACCCAAAAAGTCTAGAGTACTCTGTTTCGGTGCAAATGGCGACGCTGATGTCCCACTACCTGAGCTCACCCAACGCGCTGGTTCTGGACTTCCCAGGAAAGGTTCATCTATGCGATCTACCGGAAAAGCTCACAGATTTTCTAAAGAACGATCTGATCAGCAAGGAAAAGGCTTCAGAAAGAAAGTTTCTCTGTCTGTTCTGCGGAACGCTCGTGAAGAAAAAAGTCCAGCATTTGACCAGCTGCAAGCTCAACGATGCGAGCTACTCGCTGTTTTTTTCGCCGTTCAATAACAAGCTGGAATTTGAGCTTACGGCTACTAAAAGCAATTTTTTTGTGGACATCCAGATTCCCAACGGAGCCTCCGTGAACGTTGGTTCGCCATACTTCAACAAACACGGTGAGCCTGCAGGCGGTCTGCTAGGCGCGGGGGAGTCCGGAACACTGCATCTGCCCCGGTACAACTACATCAACAAAATCTGGCTTAACCAGTTCCTAATCTCGACCATTTACCGAGACCTCCACACGACTATTATGCGTCGGAGAAGAGCGGCGCCGTTCCAGTTTGGAATTCCTGCACGTGACCAACCACAGGCGTCGGAAGACGACGAGGAGATGAGCGAAGACGTGGACGACGACACTGAGGCAATGGACCCTGAAGAGTTTCTGACCGATCTATTAATGCGCCAGGGCTACTACGAGCTGCTATAAAGTTTTTCAAGGCGGTGTATAGTTGCTCGGCCAATAAAATTTTTTTGAATTATTCATTACTTTCTCAACTTTGTCAACATGTATTCCGCCATCTTCAACACCTTCTTCAAGAGAAACGCAGCATTTGTTGGAACCGTGTTTGCGGGTGCGTTTGTGTTTCAAGCGTACTTTGATGCTGCTGTGACCAGCTGGTACGAAAACAGAAATAAGGGCAAGCTATGGAAGGACGTCAAGCTCCAATTGCAAGCCGGTGATGATGAAGACGAAGACGACGAGTAAGCGTCTCGGGGTGTACAGCTAGATAGAACGCGGTCATATAAACTGAATGAAATAACTACATTAGGCAATGACCGATTGATGTGATTACAAAATCAATAGGTCCATAGTTCATTAGCGGCTCCAGGTCCGTTCTATTACACCATTAAATTATCTCCGTAATCTTTTCATCATCTGAGTCCTCATCCTGGTCCTCAGCAGCCTGGTCCTCCGGCGGCTCGTCCCGCATCAGCATCTGGACCACTTTGTCACAGAGCTCCTCCACCTTTTCGTCTTTGGCGACCTTATGTAGCTCTCTGATAAGTGGATACACGCTCTTTCCTCTCAGATGCTCTCTGCCTTCCTTGGTAACGCAGAGCAGCAAGACACTCTCCAGATGTGCCACCAACAGCTCCTTGAGAGGTTCAGTTTTCTTGTCTGGGCCGAGGAGCTGCAGCTCTTCTGGCAGATCAAAGATTTCATCGTCTTTTAGACCTCTATTCTCGGCCAAAGCAAACGGACCAATGATGTACGGTAAAATATTGATTTTCTCGTTCTCCAGCAGCTCCATGTGCCGATTGGTGTCGAAAAGCGAATTTTTGATAGTGTAGACGACACCTTCCCTCCTCGTCTTGGAATCGTATTTTTCTGTGAAGACCAGCAATTTGGCAATAGGAACGACGTGATCGTACTCCTGCTCGGTCACAAAGTACTCTCGACCGCGTGGGAAGCGGGAGATGTCAGCAAAGAAGTATGAGAGGTAGTCGTAAGTGGCATATTTGTTGATCTTGCGGTCTGCTCCCTTGACAAACAGATCCATCAAGCAGTCCATACAATGGCTGCTCTGGAAGACTTCCTTGTCTGTTTGGTCGAGATCCACCTTGAAATCAAATATTTTCACGATTTCGTCGCTTTTGGCGAGATTGGCAAGGAGTATACATATGAGATCTGAGTTTGTGTTCTTCAAGTTGACTAGCTGTTGCATGAGGTACTTGACAAAATCATCGTCCTCTACTATCAGTTTGCGGAATTCGAGGTCATCGCAGAGATTAGCCAAAATAGTTAGCGCATTCATTACTATTGCCGAGTCCTTCTCCCTGCTCAGGTTCTTGAGATCTCTGATAGGCTCGCAATTGTTGTGCTTGAAGAGCGCTGGGTTCCGTCCCGAGGGAGAGAATTGTACCAAGTTTTCCAGGGCTATCTCCCTGATTTTGTACGGAGCATGCAAAAATTCTACAAGCTGGGGGTTAGTTTGCGGTCGTAAACAACTTACTTCTTCGAGCTCCGAAACCATGATCAGCGAAACTGGTGGATTTTTTAGCAATTTTTTTCAATATTTTTTTTTACATTATATGCATATAATTTTTAGTTTATCCTCGCTTCATCACCATCTTATCCTTGACAATGAAGTTCTGTCTCAAAATTCTCTTTAGCTCGTCCTTGTAGTTTGGATCCAGACTGACCTTGTGCTTCAGCTGTCTCACAAGTGTCTGCAGCGGGATCGGACCGTTGGCAACCAGTGCATCCACGTCTGCCTTGGTGATAGGTCCCGAGTCGCCCTCCAGTTTGACCTCGATCTTCTTCGGAGAGACGCCTTCAGGAGACATGGAGCGTCTGATTGCTGTTTTTGGGTTCCACTCGCCTGCTGGGAACTCACTCAAAACGTCCTTACTCGCCTTCAAAACCACAAAGCCGTCGCGATAAGATTTGACTTTGATTTGCGGTGTTGTTCTGCGGATTGAAACGGCAGGTAACTCGCCTGTTTCCTCCTGTTTGATTTTTGTGTCTGCAGACTGCTGCGTTTCCACCTCCTCCATCTCGCTTTCTGAAAGATACGGGTCCTCCTCGTCGTCTGTATCATACACTTCGTTCATGGCGTTCTTTGCCAGAGCTCTTCTCAACTTCTTGCCCTCCTTGTCGATCTTTCGCGTCTCAAACAAATCGTCCAAATCGTCGCCCTCGTCTTTTTCAATCAGGTTGTTGGCGCGAAGCTGTTCACTCTTGATCTTTTTCTCCACAAGCTTGCTTTCCTCTTCGTTACCTTCCAGGATTGGAGCTTCCTCGTCGTCCTGGAACTCGTCATCAAAATCCAGAGTCTCGTCGTCCGACCGTTTCACGTCCTCGGCCCGCTGCGATGTGGCCCTCATTTTTCTGTACCGGAAATCGACCCGCTCTCCCCTCTCGACCTCGTCCTGCATCTTTCTCATAATCCACCTCGAAGTCTGACTGTTTTCCTTCATCTTCGCTTCAGCCTCCTCGAGCGTCAGCGTGGCGTACTTGTTGCGTGGCGTGAACTTGTAGAATTTTTCCACCGGGATCATCTTGAAACACTTGTTTTGATTGTCTAGCATCAGCAGACAATAATTGTCCGTATTCCCTGCCTCATAATTGCCGATCCACGCTTGTTTGGCGTCGTAGTCCTCCAAAACCCATGGATAATATTCCTCGTACCGCAGCTTCCTCTTGTTATCGTCGAAAACCTTGACTTGTCTTGTCTTGCGCTTGAAAAACGGCCTTCTGCTTTGACGAGCTCCGCCGTCCGGCGCGACCACAGACATCTCGAGCTCTCGCTTGGCCTCTCTAGCAGCTTCCTCCTCGCGACGCTGACGCTCCTCCTCCCGCCAGCGACGCTCCGCCTCAGGCAATTTCGACCAGTCAACGTCGTCGTCCAAAACCACCGTAGGCAGTTCCTCTGTCTTGATTCCCTGCTGGGCAAGCAGTTCCCGCTTTTTCTGTTCCTTGAGCAGCTCATTTTTGCGCTCCTCTACCCGTCTTTGCTCCAGCTCCTTCAAAGACAGCTGGAACTGCAGGTTCTTGGGATCTTTTCTGTGTAGTCTTGCGGGCTCCTCAAAATCCTTCTGCGGGTTTACTTTCTTCACCGAGTGGAATTTCAAAATATGGTAACGCGTGTCCTCGATCTCCTTCTCGGTGCACGCACGCAGCGGGAAATACTCGTACCGAGTACTGCCCTCGGATTTGACGTTAGACATTAGGTTTGTAAATTAATTTTTTTTGCCACGGAAAACCTTACACTGAAAATAATGCTCAAGTACGAACCCAACATCGCGTACAACAGGAAAGTCGTCGCCAAAGTGAAGGACATCACGTCGCTGTCGTTCGGCGTGTGCTGCGGCATTCTGCGGCTGCAGTCGGTCCACGGGCTGGCGTTTTTCCTGGCGACAAATCTATTAACAAGTGTGCTGTTCTATTTAGTGTTTGTGGGTGGGAAGAAACGACACGCTGGGCAGTTCTTCGAGAATCCGATCCAGGAGGTGTTCCTCAGTGAGCCAGGCCGCTATCTGGCCAGCTATGTCATGATGTGGTGTCTTTTTTACGCCTTGGTTTCCCCATGAACTGTTCCCGGAACCATCGATCAGTTTTCATGTACTCGAACGTCCACGGGTACGCCTGGAACTTGTTGACGGTGGTGCGGAACTTTGGAGCGAGCTCGTTCGCAGTTGTTGGCGGCACAGACTCGGGCAGGTCCCAGTTGAGCACGTGGAAAAGGCGACGAAGACCGCTCTGCGGCGAAAATGCATAGTCCCTGGCCGGATCACAAGCGCAGCGGTTGCGGACTCTCACGTTCTTGTCCAGCGGACACGTGTTGCGGTTGAGCAGGCCAGAGACACCGGTGTTGGGCAGCCAGAAGATCTTGGACGCCGGCACAAACAGCGCCACGGCCAGCGTCTTGACGTTGTAGTCGGTCCAGCGGTCAAGGAAAAAGCCGTTGGTGTTGTCCAGGTAGTGGAAGAGCCGCTCGTAGTCCCGCGAGCGGAAGAACTCGAGATCCACCACCTCGAAGTTGGAATCAAAATTGCAGTGCGTGTACTCTTTCTCGTAGACAAACGGCAACACGTCTGTCTGGTTGTAGGGCAACAGACCGAGGAACTCCTCGAACGCAGGCACCAGCGACTTGGTGAGCCGCCTGGACTCGACCGGCGCGCTCGCGAACCCGTACACCAGCTGGTTTGTGTGCATGTGCCGGAAAAAATCGTCCTCTACGTCGCACGCCAGCTGGGAGCCGACCTCGACGTTGCAGTAGTATCGGTAGTGGCGCATGATCGGCAGGAACTGAAACCCGTACGTCTGGAAGCGGTTTTTCAGCTTGTACTGTAGAAACTTGGAGCAGGGCGACGCCGACGCCGGCTGTCTGAGGGCCTGGTGCAGCTTTTCCTCGTCGATCGACTCGGGCACGCCGTAATGCGGCGACGATATCCGTTCGAAATGTACTTGCCCCGAACACAGCCTCTGCAGCCGTGCACGCAGTTCCGGCGACATCCCGTGGTCTGCGTAGTATGCAAACACCCAGTCATACTTGTATTTTTTGTTGAACGAGGACTCCACAGAGTGGACTGTCCGGAGCAGCGACTGTGCCACGTCGATGTTCGGGACGTACGTGTAGAACGTGGCGGGCACGCGCGGCTCCTGGGCAGGCTGTGGCTGTGGGCTGCAGAGCCAGAACGCCAGCACAAACACGAGGACCACCAACAAGCGCTTGCGTTTCAACATTCAGTGCCAGGACTGAAAAAATCACGGGGAAAGAATCCTGTCGCGCGAGTATGCGATTACGTAATACAGGGCGCTCTGGATTGCGGTCTATACATGCGAGCTGGCCTGTGCCGCTAGACATCGAGCTTCTTGACGGCGTGAAAGAGCAGCGTGAGACTGATGAGTCGGGGAGTCGGGTCGGGCTCGTTCTGCAGAAGGGCCAGCTGAGTGTTGAGCTCATTAATCTGGCGCAGCTTGCGGTACTCGTCGGGCGTGGGTCTGCGCGAAGCGAGCGAGCGCAGAAACGCCTGGATGTTCGCGATGTGCGCATGGAACCTGTCGAGGGCGGTTTTAGCGTCGCTGGCCAGCTGTGTCGCCGACTTCTGCGACGCGTCGGCAGCGGCGATCGTGTTGAGACCAATTTCTTCGAACGGGGTGGGCTTCACCTCGATCTTGATCTGTTCGCCCTGGACATATGCGCTGGGTGGTGTCGCGTCCACACGCAGCGTCACCGCTTCTACCTTTGTCGGGAGGTCTACTGTGCCGTGATCTGCCGTGTACGACCCCAGCAGCTCTAGATGCGGGTATACCTCGCGAAAGAGGGCCAGGCGATCGTCGAGGCCGTCGGTGGTGTCTATTTCGAATCCGAGGAACAGGGAGTATGTCTTCGACTCCGGCTCGTATATTCCCAGAACGCCGCCGCGGACGGGGCCTTTGACACGTGTCTGGTGGTCAGAGATGTGCAGTAGCAGTAGGGGGTGCAAGATGGCCAGCGACATGGAAAAACCCGAGTGGCGAGGCTGTAGATGTCGAGTATGAATTCTCTATCTGAATGAAGATTTAATTTGCTGTGAATATTAAATTTGTCCACGATTAGATGATGCACTTGCGCGAAAGTAATTTTTCTCGCACCCTTTTTTTCAGGACTGAAACACTGTCCAGAATCTTATCTTGGTGGAGAGAGTGTGCTTGGCATCCTCTGGTGGGCACGGCGGCCATAAAAACGTTTACCCGTCTTCAATACCCCAACCATGAGCACACCAACCACCATTCTCAACAACGGCGTTGTGATGCCGCTAGTCGGCCTCGGAACCTGGCAATCCAAGCCCAACGAGGTTGCCCTTGCGGTCGAGCACGCGCTGAAAAACGGGTACAAGCACATTGACACCGCTGCCATCTACGGAAACGAGGCCGAGGTCGGAGAAGGAATCAGCAAGAGCGGAGTTCCCAGAGAAGACATCTTTGTGACGACTAAGCTGTGGAACTCGCACCATGCGCCAGAAGACGTGGAATTAGCACTGGAGGAGAGTTTGGCAAAACTGCAATTGGACTATGTCGACCTCTACCTGATGCACTATCCGCTAGCGTGTGACAAGGCTGCGTTTTTGGAGTCGTTTGCGTCTGATCCCGTCGATATCGACTACGTGGACACCTGGAAAGCCATGGAGAAGCTTCTGGACACGGGTAAGGTCCGGGCCATTGGAATCTCCAACTTCTGTTTGAGCGAGACCAAACGGTTGTTGGAAAGCTGCACGGTCAAGCCCCAGGTCCACCAGATGGAAATGCATCCGTATCTCAAGCAGGACGAGTTTTTGGAGTTCCATAAGGCGAACGATATCCACGTGACTGCGTATTCTGCGTTTGGCAACCAGAACTCGACGTACGAAGTGGGTCAGGAGCCTAAGATCCTTGAACACCCGACCGTCGTGGCAGTGGCCGAGAAACTGGGGAAAACGCCAGCGCAGGTTTTGGTTGCATGGGCGGTCCAAAGAGGCACGTCTGTGATCCCCAAGAGCGTCACCCCCAAGCGGATCGACGAGAACCTGGGCGGCCAGTGTGTGAAGCTGTCGCCAGAGGACTTTGCTGCGATTTCTGGCCAGGACTTCCGGAAACGGTACTCTGATTTTGGCCCGCTAGTCGGGTATTGGTACTACAGAGACCTGGAGTGTCCGGGGAAAAAGCCGTAAGAAGGCGAGACTGTGTAATCGGGACTCCACCAGATAAGGTAAAAAATGCCGCACCGCCGTCCGCGGTGGAGATGGCTGCTTGCAGTCTCCGTGGGTGGAGGACAGATATTTAGGTCAGAATATAAACACCTTCCGTCTCCCATGTGCCCCACAATGGAGTCTAGCGTGCCTATTATTGATTTCGGTGCCTTCCACACGGGCTCTTTTGAAGAGCGTAGCAGGATCGGCCAGGAGGTCGTCAAGGCCATGTCGGAGGTCGGCTTCCTCTACATTGTGAACCACGGCATCTCGGCGGCCGACCAGGACCGCATGTTTGAGTGGAGCAAGGCTTTCTTTGAGCTCTCAGAGGAGCAGAAACTCAAATGCGAACACCCGAAAGACGGCGCACACCACCGTGGGTGGTCTCACGTGGGGAGAGAGAAAGTTGTGCAGATGGTGTTTGACCGCACACAGATCGAGCAGCTGCGAAAGATTCCGGACGTGAAGGAGTCGTTTGATCTCGGGAACGAGGAGACCAAGGAGCTCGAGAACTTCTGGCCGGACGAAACGGACATCCCGGCTTTCAAGGAGTACTGTCTCTACTACTACAAGTTATGCACGGAGCTGTCGAAAAAAATCCTGCGTGCAATCGCCCTGGGCATGGGGCTGGACGAGCACTTCTTGACCTCGTACCACACGCGGTCTAACAACCAGCTTAGACTGCTGCACTATCCGCCCACGCCGGTGGAGGACCTGAAGTCCGGCAAGGCCGAGCGCATAGCAGCGCACACGGACTTTGGCACGTTCACCATGCTGCTGCAGGACTCGTGTGGCGGGCTGCAGGTCGAGTCACCGCACAACAAGGGCCACTTCCTGCCAGCGCCGTACGTACCGGGCTCGCTGGTGATCAACACGGGCGACTTTCTGATGCGCTGGTCCAACGACAAGCTCAAGTCCACGCTGCACCGCGTCATTGCGCCGCCCGTGGACCAGGACACAGGGATGACGCAGGCGCGGTACTCGATCCCGTACTTCGTGTCTGCGGACAAGAATGAGGTTGTGGACGCTCTGCCCGGCACGTTTTCGGCAGAAAACCCCAAGAAGTACCCGCCAATCACCTCGGGAAACTATCTAGCTATGAGATTAAATGCTACATACACATAATCTATTGAGCGTACTCCTGAATCACAGAAACAGGCTTGCTGTACGTGGAGATCGGCTTGTACTCAAAGTCGAGGTCAAAGCCTGCAGGCCCGCCGATCTGAATGCCGCGCTCGGTGTCCGTCCACTTGTTGCTTGGGGCAATGCCGAGGACGAAGACGAGCAGCCCGTAGCGGTAGTCGCTGGTGCCGACGGCCTCGCCGGTGGCTGCGTCGATGACGGCAATGAGGTCTGGCACAGAGCAGACGATCTGCTCGTTGGAGCCGTCCGCGTCGGCCGTCTTGCAGTAGATGTTTTCGTTCTTGAACGGGATGGTCATCTTGCGGCGCGCGTTGTCGACCTCCTCGATGACGACTTCCCCCCACGCATGGCCCTTGAAGAGCTTGCGCTCGACGTCGATGATCTTGCCCGAGAACAGCAGCGCTCCCGTGTTATTGACGGACTCGAGGATACGCTGCGGCAGAAGGTCGATCTCTGCTTTCTGGCGCGCGATCTTGACCGCACGGCCGATCCGCCATGCAAGCGAGATCGAGCCGTGGATGTTCTTTTCCTCCACGTCCTTGAGGCTCATTGGCGGGTTCACCACACCCACCTTCGAGCCCAGCTCCGCAAGCGACGCCCGCATCGTCTTCTCCAGCAACAGGTCCGACTTCGAGCTCGCCAAGATCACCGAGTTTCCGTTGCCGTTCGCAAACACCATCGGTGCGTAGAAGCACTCGCCCTCCGGCGTGTACACCACCGGCGTGGTCTGCCAGTGCGTGGGGTACGCCCGGCCCATGGTGTCGCAGTCCACGACCGGCAGGTTCAGCCGCGACGACGACGAGATCTGGAACGTACACAGCCCGTTACCGCCGCCGATCTCGATCGGGAACAGCAGCTCGGGCTTCTTGTTGATGTACCTGGCCATGATGTCGTACGACTCCATCAGTGCGTCGCCCAGCATCTGCTCGTGCGACACCGTGGGTGACCCCGCGTAGCACACCCCCACAATGCTGCCCTCGCCCTTGATGTACTTGTGCGCGTCCTCCAGGTCCACCACAGTCACCGTGTCGCCCGCACGCAAGTAGTTTCTCACCTCCAGCATGTACGAGTACGGGTTGCCTCCCCCGCCACACCCCAGAATGTACGCTCCTATGGCCAGGAAGTCCAGGTCCACCTCCGACAGCACCCACTGCCTGTCCTTGTTGATCGTCGGCTTGTACTGCGTGTAGTCGACCTCCTCCTCCACCCTGGTCTCGGTCTCCTCGTACAGCGAGCTCTTGACAATGTCCCTCGTGCCAGACTCAAAACCTTTCTCCTCCACGTCCAGTTTTGGCGCCTTCGAGTAGTCCACGTCCGCCACGATCTTGATCACAAACTCAAACGTGTTCGGCACGTACGGAACCGCGTCCGTCGAAACAAAGACCGTCTCGATGGTGTCCTCGAGCCCGCCCTTGGCCACGATCTTGTCGACGGCCTTCTTCTTCAGCTGCTCCAGCACCTCCTCCTTCGAGGACGTTCCTGGTGGCAGCAGTCGGATCTCGCTGATCTCCGCCGAGACCTTGCCCATGGCTGCGCCGATCGCGTTGGCCACGCTGTAGAACGGAGGTCTGATCACAGCAGACGCGCCGTCGAGATGCTCAGGCACGATGAATGAGCCGCCGCCCACAGCGAGCACCGTGATATCGGCCGGGTTGGTCTTCATCCGGTCGATGGCCTTCTCCATCATGACCTTGGCCCTTTTTTTGAACGCAGCCAGGTACTCTGCGCTAAACTTGTCCTTGACCAGCGACGCAGCGCCGATCTCCAGACTGCCCCCGTCCTGCAGCTCGGCAGCCACCGCGCAGTCCGTGGCTGTGACCTCGCTGCCACCAAAAACAAGAGCCCGCTTGACGATCTCGGAGCCCGTGGAGTCCGGGCCGATTGTCAGCGTGTCGCCGTCGCCCCTAACGAGCGAGCCGCCGCCCAGTCCGATGCTCTCGACATGCGGCATGGAGAAGTTCATCTTCACGCCGCCCACGATCGAGTACGACGACGACTGCCGCGGGAAGCCCGTCGACAGCAGCAGCCCCACATCGGTTGTGGTTCCTCCCACGTCCAGCACAATTGCGCTTTTTCCGTGCGTCTTGGCGAGGAACGAGGCTCCTCGCATGGAGTTGGTGGCTCCCGACGAGAAGGTGCGGATTGGCAGACTCAGCGCCTCCGCTGCCGACAGGATGGTGCCGTCGTTCTGCGTCAGAAAAACAGGACAGTTCAGACCCAGTTTCTTGATCGCATTGGCAAACGACGAGATGATCTTCTCGGCAAAGTGCAGAATCGAGGCATTCAGAATGGTGGCATTTTCTCTCTCCAGATAGCCGATTCCAGAAACCTGGTGCGAGACACTCACCTTGGCATGCGGAATCTCCTTGAGAATGATGCTTTTGACAAGCTCCTCCTGCTGGGGCCTCATGTGGGAGAAGATGCCGATCACGGCGAAAGACGTGATGCCGAGCTCTTTGGCTTTGCGCACGTGCTCCAGAACTTCCTCGTCGTTCACCGGCTGGATCTCGTTTCCGTCCACGTGGAATCCGCCGTTCATGTAGCCGATGTAGCCCCTGATGACGGCAGTGAGGCCGTCAGGGAAGTCGGAAAACGGATAAACGTGTCTCGAGTAGGGGCCGCAGAGACGCAGCACGGCGACTTTGTCGAGGCGCGCACGGTCCTGCTCGACCACAGCGTTGATGAAGTGGGTGGTTCCAATAGTAACCGACGCAACGTCCTTTCGGTCCACGTCTTTGCACTCCTCGAACAGCTTGGAGATGCCCTTCTGGATACTGTCGGAAACCTCCGCCGAGGTGACCATCTTGTTCCAGGCCAGAACGCCGTGGGTATCCGAGTTAATCTTTGTAGGGTCAATGAGCACAGAGTCTGTGTTTGTGCCTCCAACGTCGACACCAATTAGCATTATAATGTTCACGAGAAGTTGTTTCGGGGCCAGATTGGCTATATAAAGGAATTTGTTATCGGAGCGCGCGTTTCCAAATTGAAATTTCCGCCGGGCGGAGTTTTTCTTGGCCTACCGAATTTGTCAATTTTCGATTAGATAGTTTTCATTCCTGATAATAGGGGTGTCAGGACGCTCCTGCGTCATTCTGGTGACTCAAACACGTCGCCTCCACCATGGACTGGCCGCCTTGCAATAAGCCCACCGAGTCGAGATTTTTTGATAAGAGGCCCGCGAAATCAGGATTACAAGATATGCCTATTGCTATAAAATAGACCTGTGTGTCCTATTGCGGCAGTTCAGTCATGTCTCAAGATTGGAAACTTCACGATCTGGGTATCCCCAACCCCTTCAACGACCCCTGGATAGTCAGGATGGTCAGAAACCCTGAGAAACTGCCCGCCTCTGAACTGTTCGCCGTTCCTAAAGACCAGGATTCCGAGTATGAAAACGACCGTTGGACCAACAGAGATCTGATCCCCATCCCGAGAGACCGCCAGACCTGGACGGCCATGTCCTACTTCGGGTACTGGGCTGTGGCGGGCATGGGAATTCCCACGTGGTCGATGGGCTCATCTGCCCTCGCGTACGGCCTGAACTGCAAACAGGCCCTTGGAGCCATTGCTGGCGGGGCGGTCATTGTTGGTGTCATTGCCGTGCTTATCGGAGTCATTGGCCAGAAATGCAGGATCGGCTACACCGTGTCTTCTCGTGCGACGTTTGGTTTCTACGGCTGCTTCCTGCCAATTGCAATCAAGTCCTTCATCGCCTGTATTTGGCAGGGCCAGCACTTCTACTACATGGGCCAGGCACTCGTGGGCACGCTTGGGGCTCTGTCGCCCGTCTTTATCACAGGAACAATGGGCGAGGCGTTTTCCGACTGGAGCCCGTTGACCAGAAACGAGCTGCTCGGCGTGTTCTTGGCCGTCATCCTGTTTTCGGTGACGATGCTCATTCCGCCAGAGAAAATGCAGCCCATGGTGCACATTTCTTTCGTTTTGCAGACGGGGTCTTTTTTCGGCCTCATGGGCTGGGCCATCCACGCGAACGGCGGCAAGCTCGGCCCGCTCTGGGACAGAGAGCAGACCACGGGTACCAACCCGGGCTGGGCCGCGTTCTTCATGATCACCAACATTTGCGGGTCAAATTCGGGTGTTCTGGGCCAAAGTGACTGGACAAGGTACGCAAAGACCAGATTTGCGCCAAACTTCAGTCAGGTCGTCACCGCCCCGGTGACGCTTTTTCTGACCGCCGCCATGGGCATTTTCGCCTCGGCCGCCATGGAACCCGTGCTCGGCGAGATTTATTGGAACCCGGTGACTTTACTCCCAAAACTGCTTACTCACTACCACTTCAGCCCTTCAGTGCGCGCAGGGGTGTTTTTCGCCTCTTTTGGAATTATCTCAGGACAACTATGGCAGGCAGTCCTGCTGACGGCGTGCAGTACCGGAATGGATATCTCAGGATTCGCTCCCAAATACATCAACATCCGCCGTGGGAGCTACGTTATGACAGTGATCGGGCTTCTGTGCCAGCCATGGAAGCTCCTCGCAACGTCCAACACGTTCCTAACCGTGCTCTCTGGGTTTTCCGTGTTTGTGGGCCCTCTCGTTGGCGGAGCGTTGGCAGATTTCTTCATTGTGAGAAGAATGAAGTACAGAATGCGCGATCTGTACAGATGCGAGGACTCTATCTACTGGACAAAGTGGGGGCTGAACTGGAGAGGCCTGTTCTCGTTTGCTGTTGGATTCATCCCAACGCTTCCTGGCCTGGTCTGCATGGCAGGCAATTACCACATGCCTTCCGGCTACGAGAAATTCTACAACCTAACCTATCTGGTGGGGCTGCTGGTCACGCTTGTCGTCCACTCGCTGATCTGCTACATTTTCCCTCCTCCTGGACTTGGGCTCGAGGCTCCGTACTACGAGAAACAGTCAGAAATCGAGACTATACCAGAATTCGAAAAAGCAAACTACGTCGCTGAGGTCACCGAGCAAGACAATTCCAGCTCTGTTTGAGACTTCGTCCGATAACTAAGACTGGTATTTCTTGAAAACCAGCCGTCTAAGTAGAGACCCGTTAATATCTAAGCTTTTCCACTCGTTCAAGTCCAGCAGAAGACTGAAGTAGCACAGTAGCCCCTGTATGCACTGTTGGCGGATTGTGAACTCGTATTCGGCGCCCATGAGCTCCTCCCGCTCAATAATCAAGTTCAGGTACTGCAGCGTGTCCTCCTTGGTGATGCTCTGGCTGATCATCCCGTGGTGCATGTACCTGATCGGGTTTGGAAACTGGTTTTTCTCTATTCCCAGGGGTATGTCTTCTCTGAACGTTTCGTAGCACCAGAGCACAAGGCACGACGTGGCCACATACTTGGCGAGATGCGGGATCGAGAATATCATCTTCGCGCTTAGAGACACCGTTCTCAGAAGCTTGCACGCGTTACTCAAAGATGCCTGCGAGCTCTGGCTCCGTATCCAGCTCTGGATCTTGGCCGAAGCACTAATTCGCGGGTGTGGATTCTCGGCTGACACGGCGTCCGCGTACTGGGAGGCAAGCTTGTACACGGCAATTGTGTCGACATGCAGCAGAAGGAGCCCAAACTGATACTGCGTGAGGTTGTTCCAAAAAATAGGCGACGTATCGTACCTGTTCAGGTAGGCCAGAGTCGTGCTCTTTAGATCGTTTTTGTTCATAAAAATATTATTGGTAGTGGTGATCTGGAAGTCAAAGTACTCTCGCCATTGGTTGTACGCATCCTGCAGTCTCAGTGTGAGCGTGTCCATTTTCCGCTTCGACACAATTCCAAGGTCCTGTAGGCCCTTCCACCTCAAATCCCACGTGATGCTGATCAGGCCCTGCAAAAATATGAGTCTTGAAAACTGCGAGAAACAGTTCATGTTGTACTCCTTCTGGTGCTCGCGGTACGGCTGCATCAGCCGCCGAAGCGAAAAAAGAAAGTTCGGCCAGCTGCCTTCTTCCTTCACGTGGGGCATAATATTGATCCAGTTCTCGAGCTGCAACAAGCCGAACTGTTTCCGTCTGGGAATCAACTCTCGTGGCTGCTTCAGATACTCGTCGGCAAACGTCTCGGCATCAGCGGCAGCCCAAACCGCATCCGTGTACGGAAGATCCAACTGTAGATCAAAGATTGATATCAAAGCGTGGCACTCATGTAGATATGCCAATTGCGAGTCACATATGTAAGCGAAAAAGGCGAGTCGTTTGAGAGACTCGTACTGAATCCAGTTTTTCCAGAGCTCCACAAGCCTGTCGGCAGGCAATGTCTGTGCGTCGTAGAGTGGCGGCTCGCGCAACGACCGTGTTAGGTTGGGAATATCCAGGACGCCGATAATAGTGCCGTGGAACAGTTTTGCCTGTTTCTGGAGGCCCACATCGCCCACGTTTGAGCTGAAGTAGCATGTCAGAAGAAAAGACTGCATCACATCTAGCCTTAGATCCGGAGAATCGCAGAGCGTGTCCATCTGCAATTTTAGCAGCTTGCGCTGGATCTGCACAGCTATATCTATATTGGTTGACGACTTGGAGTAAACCATACCAATCACGATGACCATGGTGAGCAGAAACGGATGGGAGCGACAGCTAAACAGCGGTTTGTGGATGATAGGGTAGTTGGCGTCGAAATGAGTCCAAAACAGGTCTGCGAAATACGAGACTGTCACAGGGCTGAGAGACAGCTTCAACTGAGGCATCTGCAGCAGGTCTAGAATTATAGCGATCGTCTCCTCATTGTAGACACCTGTATACAAGCTCTGAGAAGGCTCCGCCACATGAGTAGAGTCGGGGTATACGGGGTCTATTAGCGGCTCATCCAGTGAAGGTGTAGGAAGGTCGTAATTGTTGTAATGGCCGAAGAGCCAGTCGTAGCTGTCTGGTGACGTTTCCTGCAGCTTGTCCTCCTTGGCCACCTGAGGGGGTTGCTTTCTCGTTGCGTTCTGTGATCGAAGAAGCTCAATTGTTGTCTGATGACTCTTGGACTTCAAATGCTTATCGCGCAGATCGCGGCGAGCAAAGGATACATTGCACTGCTCACAGGAGTACGGGCGGACAGCAGCATGGTTTGCCAAATGTCGACTCAAGTAGTCGCTTCTGGAAAAATCCTTGTGGCAGAAGGTACAAGCAAAACGCTTCTTCGACATCACTGAGAAGTAGTTTCTGTGTCCGTGATAAATATGATAAGATTGGTGCGAGGAGTCAAAAAATATTCAAACGTATAAATTTTCATGGTGGTCCGGTTCACTCAAAATTTCGGGATCCAGGCCACCAGGCTTACTGCAACTAGAAACCAGTGCATAAGAAACTCAATTATTCTTTCTCAACAAACTTTTCAATGGCACGGTCAATGACCTCTGCCCTTTCGTGGGCTATCTCAGCAGACACTTGACTTTGAACGACATGCAGCTCCTCTGGATGTTCGTTTTGCCATTCTCTAAGTTTCCAGGTTTGTCCACTGAGATCCCAATAGATTCCTCTCATAGAAACGTAGATTCCGTGTCTACCTTCCCAAAGCGGGTAGATGATGACAATGAAGGCAGAGATGAACAGCCAGATGATACCGACGGTAACCCATCCGGTGAAGAACTTCTTGGAGAAAATGTACTTGCTGCCGTACATTGGCATTGGCCACAGCACAAGCAGCGAGATGGCCATGAAGAGACACGTGAACCCGGCAATCTTGGAAGCCTTTCTAAGCAGCTCTTCCTCCTCGGCAGCAGCGGTCGCCTTCCTCTGCTCGTAAATGTCGTGAGCAACAGCCGTCACGTGAGACTTGACCGGCTGGAACTCAGTGTCGGTCACTGGCTCGGTGGCTTCAATGATCTCCTCTGTCTCGTCGACTCTTTTGATAGTTTTCAGGATCTCCCAGTCGAAGTTCTGGGGGCCGAAAGCAAACGTCAAGATGGGCACAAAGATGAGCGGTGACAGCAAGGCAACAACGTTACCGGTCAGCATGGCGTCGTCCTCAAAGGTGGTATCGACCGTGATGCTTCCGAACTTCTTCTTGGTGCACACCAACCAACTCATAATGGCAAACGCGGTTCCGAGAATAGGAGACCACACCACAGCCTGGACGTTCTGCTTTCTAGAAAGCAGGGTCAAAGTGGCAGGAAAAACAGCGGAGGAAATGATGATGCCCATGAGCTCGTACAGGTATCCCATGGAAATTCCAGCGTAATACAGACCTGTAGCAAAGCCAGACATCACCAGCGAGAACACAATCACAGATGCGTGAGAGGTAAGGATCAGAGTTTTTCCTGAAGCCTGAGGGTTGATATAGCCCTTGTAGATATCGTAAGAGAAAATGGAAGAGACAGCAATAAACTCAGCAGACGAGGCAGAGGTGACGGCCATGAAAACCATGATCAATGCAGCGACAGCTCCACCTTTTCCCATCATGGCGACGGCTGCACTTGGTAAAACGAGTCCGGCGGAAACCTCATCGGCAGTGAGAGGGTTTGGATACGAAGGAAAAGCTGGAGTCTTCTCCAGAGCGACACAGGCCAATCCCATGCTAGTGGACACAAGCCAAGGAACGGCAAACCAGGCAAGACCACCAAAGATGTAGCCAGGCAGGGCGGCTGCTGGACTGGAAGCAATAGCCTTGTTCCAGTAGCCGTTATCAAGGAAGACGGTACCGAAGTTTCCGACGATGTTGATCACGAAGAAAATACCTCCGGAACGGGAGTTCATGGTAAAGTACGATCCGTGCGCATTCCCTTTGATAGGCTTCTCCTTGGCTGCCTCCATGACCAGGTCGTAGACCTTGCTCGTGGATCCCAGCACGTCACCAGAAACATAGGTGGTAAACGCAAAAGTCAGGATGATGACAATGATGGCAATTGTGTGAGCGTAGTCGGTCAAGAAGGTGGCCTTGATACCACCAAACAGAGTGTAGACCACGACACCAATGGGCAAAAGGAAGCAGGCGGCAACTGTGTTCATGCCGGTCAAGTCGCTGATGACGGCAGAGCCACCAGTCAGAAGCATGGCAGTCACCAGGATATTTGTAGCAATGGCAAAGAACATATAGACCGCGTGGGCGGCAGTTCCGTATCTCGCCTTGACAATTTCCAGGTACGTGTGGGCTTCTGGGGCTCTCTGTTTGGCCTTGATGGCAATGAATGCAAAAAGGATAATTTGGACAGTGGCACCCGAGGCATAATAGAATCCTAACAGTTAGTGAAAGTGAAATAAAGCGCGACACTTACCTCCAGAAACACCGTTCTTGTAGACCTGAGTAGAGGATTGAAGCAAAGTGGCAGCCCAAGTCCAGGAACTGACGACAGCTGCGGCAATCAGACCAGTTTTAACGGACCGTCCGGCGGCCACAAACTCTTCAGCAGTAATGATTTCCTTTTGATATCTGCGAAGGACAAAAGTGGTCATAATCATTCCAAGAGAAAAGACAAAACCGAGTCCAACGACAACGGCATATCCTGCGCCTTGAGGAAGAGGGGCTTCGAGAGTCATGACGACAAATGGTGATTGTCAACGGAGAATATTGAAGAGATTTATAGCAAGAAAATTTTGAAAGACATCATTCATTAAAGAGTAACTAGATTTTGGTTATCAAATGTGATGGAAAAATCCCCTGCCGTTTCTTGCATATAAGGGCATTGTTTGTGGATGCTACTGAAAATTTTTCGAAAGGCATTTCACTGAAGGCGAAAAATATATGACTATTCTGCATCCAAGTCTTACCTGGAAGGTAAAGTCTTTCAATGTTCGAATGACGCTTTGCAATAAAATAATCAGAAGATAACAATTTGCTGCAAAGACTATGTCGCCGCAGACAAAGCCGAGACATAGAACAATAGCGCCGGCTCTCGGCGACCGCAGATGCGCGAAAAGGGAAGTTCATGCTCAAAATACAATCGACACCGCCCTTTTTAACATGCTATCAGGCATAGATAAGGCCGAGAAAAAAGGCAATAAAAAATTCTGCGAGATGATAGATGGTTGCGTGCCCCGTGAAGGAATATTATTGGCTGTACCGACTCCATATCTAAATTCAATGAGTTTTTCGGATTTTGTGACCGAGCTTCCCAAATGCGAGCAACACCTTCATATAGAAGGCACTCTAACGGCTGAGCGGCGCTGGTTGTGTGCGCAAGCGAATAACATTGAAATCCCCGGCGTGAAGTCCCTTGAGCAGTTAAAAGGGCAGTATTTAACCGAATATCTGTATGAGGAGGGCCAGGATGCTACCAAGTACCTGCAGGAATTCTTAGAGATTTACTATGCCTCCATGAATGTGTTGCTCACCGAAGATGATTTTTACCATTTGGCACTCGACTATATCAAGGTTGCCCAAGCTCAAAACATTAGATACTTGGAGGCCTTTTTTGACCCGCAGGCTCACACTTCACGTGGAGTCAGCCTGGACACTGTGATGAATGGACTTTTGAAGGCTCAAGGCGAGGCTTCAAACTATGGCGTTCAGCTTCATTGGGTCCTCTGCATTCTGAGAGACATGTCTGCAGAGAGCGCGTTAGAAACGGTCCGCAGAGCGGAACCGTACAAAAACAAAATCATTGCTTTGGGTCTGGACTCAGATGAGCATGACAATCCTCCTAGTAAGTTTCAGGAATCATTTTTGATGGCTCGAAAGTATGGGTGGAAAATCACCTCTCATTGCGATGTTGATCAGAAAAACACGCACGAGCATATAAGATACGCAGTGACTGAGCTAGGTGGGAAAAGACTCTCACCAAAGCAGTGTGAGCTTGAAAATCCGGAGCTTTATCTGACTCCCCAATTGGAAAGCGGTGCAGATAGAATCGACCACGGAATGAACATTGCTGATAAAGAGGAATTGCTTCAATTGGTGAAAAAGGCAAATCTAGGATTGACTCTTTGTCCAATGGGCTACCAAAAACATCTGGGGCCACAGAACGTGTTCCCTAAAGTTAAAAAAATTCACCAATTTGGGATCCCAATCACTTTGAATAGCGACGATCCAGCTTATCTTGTTTATTCAAAAACGGAAACGATTCTGGGTGTTGCTGAAGGATGTCAATTCTCATTCAAAGAGATTTACGAGTTCGAGAAGAACGCTATAAAGATGGCCTGGACACTTGACGTCGACTTCAAACGCAAATTCATATCGGACTTGGATACTGTGTACTCTAAATATTGTTAGTACTACTAAAAGCTGTAACGGAAATGTCTGTTCTCCACGTCTGTCATATCGCTCTGATCGACTTCCTCTCCAATCTGAATGAGCTCCTCAACTGTTAGGGGTACACCGCCTTCCGCTGCGTACCTGCTATCTCTCCGTTTGTTCTCTGTGAAGCAGAGAATAGCGTACGAAATGATACAAAAAAACATAATGACACATGCTGCAAGCATTGCCTTTATACCTGTATGGTAGGTTGGTGATTCAGAATCAATAAAGAATTGAGGGCCAATAAGGTTTCCAAGAGCGTAGAACAGGCCAACACTAATAGAGTTGAAAGATTTTTTGGAGCCGCCACTATTGTTAGAGGCAATCAAAGAGAGCGTCAGCACATATGGAGCATTATAGAACCCACAGATATACACCGCTGCCAGACAGGTATTTCTGTGTTTTTCTGGTGATATTTTCCAGAGCATGATAATACCTGCCATTGTGACACCGGTAGTCATGCAGATGAGAATATACCTTATGTTCTTGATAAAATAGCATATTGCGGCCACTATGACACAAGCTCCCATGGCCACTGCTGCCTGAGGAGTGGCCAGAAGCATAGTTTTGTAATTTGAGTAACCAAAACCTTTTATGATGAACGTATTAAAATTGGTAATTCCTGCATTAATGAAATTCTGCACAATGATGAACACCACTAGCAGCCAGTACTTGGGGTCATATATGGATTCCAATATTTGCGACCACTTTATTTGTTTTCGTCCCAGGTGGATACCAGTATGGTTGGTTGCCGTCCGTGCAATCGCACATTGCCTCTCTTCCTTTGATAAGAACCAAGCGGACTCAATCTTATTTGGAATAACAAAATAGTAACATGCGCCAAAAGTGACAGTCACGGCACCATACACGAGAAAGATATATTTCCAGATTGCCAATGGTCCTCCCCAGTGACCAATTCCATACCCAAAAATACCATTAAAGACGCCCGCAAACGTGTTGGACCATAAAGCCATTCTAATTGGTTGCTCCTTTTTGGTGTACCAAGTCGTAGAGATCATGATGCAGGCTGGCTGGATCGCAGCCTCAAATATACCCAAAAACAAACGAATAGTAGCAAGGCCAGCAAAGTTGTGACAGGCAGACATACACATTAGCAGTGCACCCCAAACCATAATTAAAATACACATGAAGCGACCAAGGTTTCGAATTTTGGGTAGCAAAAAGAACACTGGTATTTCGGCAAATAGATATCCAAGATAAAAGATCGTGGCAAGCCAGCTGTATTCTTGACCTTTCAAATTGTTATCAGTTTTAAGCCCATAAATGGCTGCATACGAAAGGGAGTTCTTGTCAAGCAACTGCAAAAAGACGGTGCACACAAGAAATGGTAAAACAACGAGATCAATTTTTGTAACCACTCGTTTATTGAGTCTTAACTCTTCGGCAAGAGCTTGAGGGCTGCTGTCGTAACTGGGATTATTTTCCAAAACAGACTCAGTGTGTGTACCCTTTTCAGTCATATTTTCACAATCTCATGGAGCTGCAGAGGTATGAGATTAGGTTTATATAGTTTCCAAGAGAAAGCCATATTGAAGCCACAACTTTTAGCAACAAGTTTTTCAGAACTTTATTTCGGGCGTAGCGAGATTTTCTCCTAGGGTTCAGCGAGAAAATGCACAAAAGATAACAAATAGCTCTTATCTATGTATAATAAATCCGTTGTAACCAATTACGTCGTCGGGGTCAAGCCACCATTCTGTTCTACCAAGCAAGTGGGCCTGGCCCTGAATCTCGACAATACAGGCTGGCTTGCTATCTCTATTAGCTTTGACTGTTGTATTCACAATTCTAGCCTTGAACTTCGAACCTATGATGGATTCGTTGACGAAGTAATGCTCTGAGGAAATCTTTCCTTTTAAAAATAAGGAGCCTACTCTTCCAGCGGTCCCTGATCCACAAGGCGAACGATCAATTTGCTTACAGCCGAATACAAGAACAGATTTCTGATTTGGCTTTGAGTCGTCTGATGCATCTTTTTTTCTCAAGTTTATAAAATCAACACCATGGAGTCCCGTAATTTGGGGAAAGTCCTTATTCGATATTTCCAATCCCATACTTTGTATAGTTTGTTTAATCTCTCCACCAAGCTCCATGATACGAGCTGAGTTTTCAGGTTTCACTTGAAGCTGACCTGAGTCAAACTCTGCAAAAAAGTTGAATGCTCCATTAAAAACAATGTCTCCCGTAATTTGACCAAAGGAAGACTTGATGGTCAAATCTTTATAAAGTATCCACACAGGCGTGTTCTTAAATTTAACAAATTCGACTTTCTCACCATTCCAGCATGCCTCTGTCTCTAAAATGCCAACAGTTGTCTCCAGTCTAACTTGCATCAAATCTGGCTTCAACCGGTATCGTTCTTGGGGTAGTTTTCCAAGCTGAATCAAAAGAGTGACTATTGCAATCATGCCGTGGCCACACTGATCTGTATAGCCACTGGGGTTCATAAACAGGGCAGCGGCATCTCCGCCCTCGGTCGGATCTAAAAGAAATCCTCCAAACATGTCATAATGACCTCTTGGTTCTCTCATCAATGATAATCTGATGTAATCATGCTTAACCTCAAGATATGTTCTTTTATCCAAAAGAGTATGGCCAAGGAGTTTGGGAAGCCCGTCAGTAACAACCCTAAATGGCTCCCCACAAGTGTGTGTTTCTACCGTGGTGATTGTAAGCATATATTTTTCTAAGGACCTACAAGTTTTTGTATCTTCTGCATTGTCGGCTTCCCCGAGATTAACTATCACGAGGAAAAATGTGTTTCCTAATTAGTGTGAGCCTCACTTTTTTTTTGTAAAAATCATCTATCTTCAGATAAAATGATTACGCTTCCTAAGCCAGATTTTGAGAGACCTTGTTCGTATTGCAAGCTCAAAAAAGTGAAGGTACGTTCAACTTACGTGGAGCTAACCCAAGTGTTCAGGAGATGTGCCTAAATGCCACCGGTGTCTAAAAGCCAACGTTGAATGTAACATTGAAGACGAGATTGGATACAGCTACAAAACAGTTCAGGGTTTGCTTGAACAAATTGAACAAACTAGTAAAGATAAGTTGATTGAGAATGCTGCAAATGAGGTCGGCAGTCTAGTGGTAACAAATGGGATGAATGCCGGAAAGTACATAGGTGCAGCTACAGGCCTCAATTTTGCCCGGTTATTTCTCAAGCAGCTAAATCTTAATAACCAGTTGGTAAAATCAAAGGCTAACGACTTTGAGAACTTTGACTCAGAAGCGACGCAGTCTTGTGCTGCGCTACCCTCACAGCGATTGTCAAAACTACTATTATTAAAATATATTGATTCCCTACAAATGTATTACCCGATTCATGGTATCCCTCAGCTGCAATCGCTGCAACAAAAAATCTACAGCCAACCACAAAATATGTCACGCTACGACAAATATACCTTTTTCATGATCTTAGCTATTGCATCAAACAAGCTTACGCATAAGGACGCTATACGAAATCCTTTTACAGCTAACGAGTACTACAACACAGCCTCCAAGTACCTCGAGAATATTTTAGGCAACCGATCTGAAAATTCACTACAGGCACTACTTTTGCTGGTTGTGTGGAAGCTAGAGTCTGACGCTTTGGAAGACGATAATGGAGATCTTTGGTATTTGAGCCGTTTTTGTATGTCGCTTGCCATGGAACTTGGCGTACACCGATATAATCCTACTTGGAATTTTGGAGAGCAACGAAACGAACAACGAAACAGACTATTTTGGTGCTCATTTATTATTGACAGAACGGTTGCTATGAAGTTTGGAAGGGGTCTTTCTTTGCGAAATCAAGCAATTGACACACCTTTGCCAAAGCTTCTTAACGACGACTATAATGTGAGTGCGAACACTTCTTATCATCATGTGCAGTTGTTGCCAAGCATAATGCTCATCCGGATTTGTGAGATAGCTGGAGATATGCTTGAAACAGTTTATATATCCAGGAAATTGGGAGCTCAGCCACTTTTGAAAGATGACGAACTTCGATCTATTCGAACTAACTTACAAGAGCGACTGGATTCGTGGATGAGGCAAGTGAACGACGAGGTGCCTCTAAACTTGCCTTGCTATTATGAGTTAAAGGTGAGATACTGTGTCGTGTCGATCGTTTTGAATAGACCCTCGCCGTCGTTTCCTTATCCGGACGGCGCCACCATTGAATTATGTAAAGCAAAATGCATTGCGGGCATGGAATGCTATAAGCATTTGATAACCAATGGCTGGAAAGTAACGCCCACGTGTTTGCACGATATGCTTGCAATTGGTCTAACAATGATCTATTGTTGTTGGAGATTGGACTCTGATTCAAAAGAAATCAACGAATTTTCAGAAGGGTTATTGAATCTGATGCAGGAAGCCTGCTTATATTACTACAAATTTTCGCGATTCAAGTCACTGTATGAAACAGTGTCAGATGCCATCAAAGAACACTTGAGTATTGGCGAACAGCATAAAAGAAGGAAAAACCAAGAATCGTTTGTCAATGTAGAGGTTCAAGATCAATTTGACTGGAACGAATGGTTTTCACAGGAAGTCTTTCAAGACGGGTTTCGTCAATTTTACGATCTCAGTGGAAATCACTTGATCGAAGGATTGGGAGAATATTTCCAAAATAATTCTGGACGACAAGAAAATGAAGCTGAAAATATTCTCTAATCAGTAGTAATTTGTACGCTATCTTGCATGTGTAGGCTAATCAGTTTTATCCGTTAATTGAAAATCTAAATAGGAAGTTAAACACTGATCATATGAAAGAGCTGCGTTTCAAACGCAGCCCGTTTATGGTTCCTCAACTGTGTAATCATCGGCACCTTTTTTCTGGTGACTGTCGGCCCTGGGGTTGTACTGAAGAGCATCATGAGTAGCTTGGGCACAACATAGGGCATAGCAAACCAAAAAGTGCGTTAACACGTTTAGCTGCAGATACGACTTTGCGTACGCTTTGAATGAATTCGGAACTCCAATTATAGATGAACCAATAGCAGTACCCAAGCCCTTCCAAGCTATCAATAGTCTGACAGATATCCGACACACATTCTTGTAAATGCAACGGTGTTTATAGAAGAGTAAGAAAATAGACATGATACACCATATTACGTATAAACAAAGTAGCAACAAGACATTCTCGTACAGTCAGAGACTATGCTTGTTGTGATGATCAACATGAGCAGTTCATTGTGAGCATTGCCAGTCAAATGACTGCGCAGAAAATGGGCAAAATCTTGCTACCATTTTTTTTATATTTTCTTTTTTCTTTTTTCTTTTTTGAATCAAGGGCTGTAGAAAGCTAACTTCTTTCCGAGAAAGATGCCTACTGAAGTGTCAAATTGCGGAAAACTTTCACTGAAGCCATCCAGTTGAAAAGACGGAGAATGGAAGGAAATTTGTAATTTTAACCACTTAAACAGGGGAGAGGAAAAACAGTTTCGACTGATGTTTATTTGGTTTTGCTGGTTTTTTGATAATACAGACACATTTAAATATGAGCACGTAAAACATAACACCAGTCCCGATTTTGGTTGTGGTATGTATCTGAGGCAAACACCAGCTCACTTCCGCTTTGGCGAAGCCATGTATGACTTGAGTCGAACCAACAACAAGAAGAAACGCTCCTGATAATTTAGTTACTCTGAACTGATGATGTTATGTTCCATTCTTCTTTCCAGTGGGCACAACTAAGAAGAAGCCTGCAATTGAGCTGAAGAAACTGATGTGGAATCGGAGAAAAACAAACTATGTAGTCAAATGCTTGAGGGTGAAAACGCACCTCCAGGCACAGTTCTAATGAACTTGAAGCAGGTCAATGTATACAGTCAGCATCATCGGCGAGTTCAAAATAGATTGCTGGACAATTCTCTACAATTGACTTTATCACTATATTATCCAGACCCTACAGAAAAAAGACACAAATTTGGAATCTGTCTTCTTCCCGCGGAGAAAGCCTTGGTTTTGGTGAGAACGAAATATTAATATAATATCAATTTTGCGCACCCCTTTCACAACTAAAAGAAACGAAATCCAAGAATCCTTATTTGAATAATCGAGGGAGGCATTGAAAGGATGGACACAATCTTTTGCTTATTTCACGTTGGCGAAAACCTGATCCTCGTTTTCAAGGACAAGATTAGACCTGTCTGGGTCCAATGACAAGTGCATTCAACTCAGATAATGATGATTTTTCAGGAGCAAAGAAGGTTTTGAGGTAGATAAAATAAATCGATGTCTGTGGGCCATTTCTCTCAAGCTAAAACAAATCTAGGTCGAGCAGAGCAGCAAATATGGGAATACTAACGAAGGCTGGCAAGAAGGTATCACGTGCTATTAAAAAACCGTTGAAATGTTTACCGGAAACCATCCCAGTTTTAATAAATCTTGCATAGATGCTAACAAAAAAAAAAAAAGAAAAAAATCAATCCTTAAGGGGCCTACGACCTGATGTGCTAACTTTTATATATCTGCCGAGCTTTCCCGTAGCAGTGGTAGATTTTCTAGGTACAAATTATGAAGGCGGGAATGTCATAGCGGAGACGCTCTCTTTTGGAATTGGTTCCGTGCTGTGAGAGAAGCCCTGGTAAACCTATTTAGACTTTGCTCCTCGGCAAAAAATCTCCGAGATTTTGCTAGAACTCTGACAAATCGGCGATTTCATTCTAGAACACTATATATATCACCCTTCGCCTTTTTTGAGCTTTAACGATATGTCTGACTCTATACTCTTTCAACCGCTCAAAGTCGGGAGCGTCGAGCTGAAGCACCGTGTCGTCTTGGCACCATTGACCAGATGCAGAGCCACACCATCAAATGGGTACTATGTCCCGAACGACCTGCTTGTGGAATACTATTCTCAAAGGGCAACTTCAGGAGGTCTTCTGATTTCGGAAGCAAGCCCAATCTCTATCACCGCTTGTGGGTTCGCTGGTGTTCCTGGTATCTGGGCCGAAGACCAAATTGCGGGATGGAAAAAGGTCACCGATGCCGTTCATGCTAAGGGTGGATACATCAGTTGCCAACTGTGGCACGTTGGTAGAGCAGCAACCGCCCTTGATATACAAGGAGTGCAGCCTCTCTCTTCTACTTCGAAGCCTTTGGAAGGCGCTAGTGCAAGCACTGGGATGCTGTACAAAGATTTCCCTCCAAGGAAGATGGTCGGAGATGATTTCACAAACGTTATCAACGACTTCGTCCAAGCATCCAAGAATGCTATTGCTGCCGGCTTTGATTTTGTTGAGGTCCACTCGGCTAATGGATATCTGTTGGATCAGTTTTTGATGGATAATATTAACACACGCGATGATGAGTACGGTGGAAGCATCGAGAAGCGGGCCAAATTCCCGTTGCAGGTGATCAAGGCCGTTGTTGAAGCTGTTGGTGCTGAGAAAGTTGGTGTTCGTTTCAGCCCCTACGGAAACTTCCAGGACTGTTATGATTCTGATCCTAACGCACACTGGTCGTACGTCTGCGAACAACTCGTCAAATTCTCTAGTCCAATTGCATATGTTCACATGGTTGACCCTAGAAGTGACTTTGTTGTTCCAGAGGCTGAGAAGCTAAAGAACCTGGAGAGACAAGTTTCAATCAAACAGCAATTTAGTTTGAAGATCTTTAGAGATATCTTGAAACCTTCCGGTACCAAGTTCATTGCCGCAGGCGCGATCGATAGAGAAAGAGCTTTGTCCTACACTAAGGATGACGTTGCTGATATGATTGCATTTGGTCGTTATTTCATCTCGAACCCAGACTTGGTCGAGAGATTGAGACACAACTGGCCGCTGACTCACTATGACAGAAACACCTTTTACTGGGCACCAGATCCGGCACACGGATACACCGATTATGAGTTTTATAAGAGCACATAAAGCTGAATAGTTTTGGTTGTTTTTTTTTTTTTTTTTTTTTGGGACAAATTTTGGCGTTTGTACTACTACCGCATTTTGGCGGCTTGATACAAACTTGCTTTGAAGCGAAGATGAAAGCTGCTGCAATTCGCGACAGATCAACAAGTAATTCTTCAATCTTGTGGTGCTTATTTCACTTTTGAAACAGGTTTTCAACTTATAGATCAGCGATAAGAGATTAATATAATTTGATAAGCATTCAGCAAAAAGTTGCATCTCATTTCTGCATGGTGGATCTCGGCAGTAAACTATAAAAATCTTGCGCAAGATTTTGAGGCTACCAGGAGAGTAGCCGTTTATATATTACGTACCTGCAAGACAAACAGAAACCTGGTTTTGTTCTCTTTTCCGTATTCTCGAAGTTAGTACACATATATAAAGTTCTTGTTCTCACCATCAGTAACGTCCTTGTAATTTTCATCTTCTGCATTATGGAGGTCAACCACAATATCCACATCTTGGGCATTGGATGACCTTCGAGATCGATTTTCTAGGAATAAAGCACAGAAATAGAGAATCCCAGTGAAAGCCATTATTGCAAAGGAAGCAACCATTGCTTTGATTCCCATAGGATAAGAAGGAGCTTCACTATTTTTGAATAGATGAGGCCCAATAATATTTCCTACGGCATACCAGACGGCGACGGAAACAGACATAAATGTTTTTTTTGTGCTTCCAGACACATTCGAGGAGACGAGAGCTAGCATCAGAGTCCATGGAATATTGTAGAATCCCATTAAATAGACTCCCGCTAACGCAGTATCTCTATGACGCGCAGAATCAACTTTCATGACAATAAGTGCCCCTGATAAGCCTACCAAGGAACACAAGACCCAAAAAACGCAGCGGACATTCTTAACCAGGAAGCATATGACTGAGACTAATATTCCAGCCACCAAGGCAATAGCTGCCTGTGGGGTAGCCATCAACGTAGTTTTAAGTGCACTAAACCCAAACCCTTGGATAATCAGAGTGTTAAAATTTGTAATGCCAGCGTTTGTGATCGCCTGACAGATAATGAAGGCCAACAAGATATAATATTTTGGATCTAGGAGAGCTTCTCTGATTTGATAAAGTTTGAAATCACTGTGCAAAGAGCTCCCGGTATGATTCTTTATCACCCGCAGGTAAGCAACTTGTTTTTCATGTGGAGTCAAGAAGATCGCGTTTTCGATGTTGTCAGGGAATAAAAATACCAAAAAGCTGGCATACACGACTGTGACAGCACCATAAATCAAAAACAGAATTCTCCATGTAGCCAGCTTGCCGTGGATGAGGCCAATCAAATGCGCAAATATCCCTCCCAAGATACCTGCCAACGTGTTAAAATATAGCGTGCTCCTCAAAGGTTGCTCTTCTTTCTTCCACCACAACGAAGCAATGATCATAAATGCTGGAAGGATACAAGCCTCAAAAACACCAAGCAGAAATCTGACCGCGCACAGAGACCCAAAGCTTTGACAAGCTGCAAGGCACATCAACAGTGCTCCCCACACAAGAAGGCTGATGGACACAAATTTTCCAATCCTGACCTTCGGAATCAAGAAAAAGGAAATGAATTCTCCAAGAAGGTAGCCATAATAGAATATTGATGACAAGTTAGAGTAATCGTTTCCCGCCAAGTGTGTATCGGCTTTTAATCCAAGCACTGCAGCAAATCCCAGCGAGTTTTTGTCCAAGAATTCCAAGAAGACAATAAGGAACATATTAGTTGCAATAAATAAGTCCACTTTCCAAAGAACTCGTCTTGCAATAGATGGATTTTCCTTCATCAGAAGCGTAATTTCTTCTTGTTCAGCGAAGCTTTTGAATAGTTTGGCATTGTAATCCACAGCATTCTCTGTGTTGCTATCTATCTGATAGCACGTATCGTCCACATTCTTTTCTGTTAAGGAACCCATGCCAGCTGGTTTCGGTTGGCGTAGGTTGCCCTGATATAGAATCTTTATATGAAATCTTTATCTTCCAGATTTCGGCATGCGGTGCCGGGTGCCGAATCATTGAAAGCTTGTAATAAAACTTTTCCTCTCGCTACTTTACGCAGGAGTCCGAAAAAGATTAGCATTAGCACATAATATATATAAGTATCCTAAAGAATGATGAAATTTAGAACGATGACAAAAACAAGCCCAGATCACGCATTTGTGGATGACCCGAGAAATGAAAACATTAAAATTGGTATCCGAAATGGAATGTCTATGAAGTTCGAAATATTTCACAGAGCAGAGGCAAACATTTCAGTTTTTGATTCCTCTGTTCTCCTTGGAGATGGAATTTGGGAAGGAATGAGAGCAAAGTTGGGAAATATCCAGTTTGCAAAAGAGCATCTTAAAAGGTTGTACGAGAGCGCCAATGCGTTGTGGATTGACATCGGCATAACACCTAAAGAGATGCTCCAGCTGTTGTACGACACAATAGATGCCAATGAAGGAATGAGCGAGGACACTAATGTGCACATTAGATTGGTAGTCTCTAGGGGACTCAAAAAAACTCCGTATCAAGGTCTTTCAGCTAATATTGGCAAAGCTACGATTATCATCATTCCAGAGTACAAAAAAATTGACCCCGATTCTCAAAAGCAAGGGATTAGTCTTATCACAAGTTGGGTAAGAAGGGGTAACTCGGACACGAAAGACGAGCAGTGGAATCATTTGTCAAAAGCGACTGATGTATCAGCCAGTATATCTGCCAGTATGGTGGGTGCTGATGGCGCTCTGATGTTGGACAACAACGGTTTTGTGAAAACGTGCAACGCAACGAACTTCTTCATTGTGCGGGATGGTGAGCTTTGGACTGCCACGAAAGATAATATTATGCGTGGTATTACCCGACAAAAGACCATTGACTGCGCAAAGATAGAAGGTATTACGGTGAGAGAGACCAATTTCACCCTTACAGACGTATATAACGCTGAGGAAGCCTTTTGTACTGGCACCTTCGCAGGGCAAGTGCATGTGAAATCCGTCGATGGCCATTTAATTGGCAACGGCTGCTCTGGTCCATTGACCAAAAGGATCAATCTTAGATATGAACAAATGAGTCTGGAGAATACGTCTAGGTCTAGGCTCTCAACACTTAGTGAAATATAAATAGCATATATGTTGTGCAAAAACTGAATTCTATAAATTTTCTGCTTTGGGGAAATACGAGAATCATCGCGGAAAATATTAAAAACAAGATAGTCATATGAACGATATCCCCTATATTCAGCCCGCTACGATCAAGGCCTGTAGTAGGTGCAGAACTAAAAGAATTAAATGTGACATGAGCCTGCCGAGCTGTAGTGGCTGTTTAAAGCGAGGTGCCTCTTGTGATATCACGGATATGGCAAGCTATAGTTTCCAATCTTTTCGGGCTTTGCAAGAAGAAAACGATCGCTTGAAAGAGAGCATGCGTAGCGCAGAAGTATTAAGCGGTGCAGACCCACCAAAAAGGCGAAAACATGAGGTGCACCGGCAGGATACGGAGATAGACAAGATTGTCACTGAAGTTGGATCTCTTAATAACAACAGTAGCGGAACGTACAGCAGTTACCTGGGTAGTGCTACGGGTACAACACTGCTGCAGATATTTCTTAATCAGGTTGATGTGTCCACTCTCCACGGACTGAAGTCGTTGGATTTAAACAACGGAAATCTTAACGCCTTCCACGAGTCATCGTTTGCAAATGCTGTATATGCTACGTTGCCCAACCACACAATTATCGACTACCTGTGGATCTCTTATATTGATGAAGTGCATGTTCTCTACCCGATTATTGATATATCACGCGTCAGAAAAATTATCTCAGATCTCAAGAATAGATCTATGGCTTCCTTTGGTCCAGGTGAACGGTACGTATTGTTTATGGTTTTGGCAATTGCCTCATACTGCTCTCAGAACAAGAAAACTTATCAGCAGCTAAAGGATGACAATTTACCGCGGGAGTATTTTGCTTCTGCTTTCAAGTATTTTGAGGCCACTGGCTCTGGAAGCCAGGAGGAACTCATTGAGTCACTAGAAATGCTTACTCTTTGGTCTTTGATATCTAACGATTCCACTGGTAACCTCTGGAAGCTTACGAGACACGTTGTGACCTTATGCATCGAATTGGGGTGTCACCGATATAATCCAAACTGGGATATTGGTGAGTCGACTACAGAGCGTCGAAACAGGCTTTGGTGGTGTGCGTTCATGTTTGAACGTCAGGTGGCGGTCCAGACCGGACGAGTATTAAGCATTCGGAGTCAGGCTATTGATGCGGAGCTGCCCAAATTTAGTGACAGAGACGCGCTCACTGCAGAGGAGTCTCGCAAAAGTACTGTGTACAAACACATCAACTTTCAGCCTTTGTACCTCCTTACTAAGCTGCGGAGCATTGGAGGAGATATACTGGAGAGCATCTATATTGCTCGAGGAAAAGGGCGTCCCACGCTAGCGATAGAGGTGGTGAAGAACACAGCGAGACATTTGCGTGAGGAGCTTGACATTTGGCTTGAATCTGTGATGGATCTTTATGAGGCAAGATACGAACGTCTTTTTCTAGAGCTTAGGGTGCACTATGTTATGTACTCATTGCTATTGTCGCAGCCGTCTCCATCTTTTCCGCGAATCGCAGAGAGTGCGGCGCAGGTGTGCCTAACGGATGCCAAAGCCGGAATTGAGTCTTTTTGGGGGCTTGTTGAGAAGCATGATGCAGGCGGCTTTTGGGGTTGTGCACACATGGTGAGCTCGTTTGCGGTGTGCCTTTTATACTCTGCTTGGGTTGTTCGCATTGCACCTGAGGAAATTACGGTCTACGTGCACCGGGCCATCAGGTTATTGAGGGTACTGTCGACACAGCGGGTGGAAGCTCAATGCCGTGTGCTGGAACTTCTGTGTGCAATCACGACGCGATATTTGGCGTCTGAGCATGAAAATATTCCGCAAGCCTCAGTTGGATGTGGGATGGACTTGGGCAGTGAGGACACTGAGAGGCAGGAATTTGTGGAGCGGTATATTCAGAGTCTGACGCACGAGACACCATTCAAGCTTTTGCGAGACTTACGGACGTCTGCGACATTTCTAGAGGCCGGTGGACTGACCGATGGGTACATAGATGATCTACTGCGATTGGTGTCAGAGAACGAGACAATTTATCCGTGAATAGCGGGGCGGGAAATAGGGTATGAATATGAAGATATAGTTGCGAAAGTAAAAAGAGCAGAAGGTAAAAGTAGAAGGGGAGAGGAAGGGAGGAGGTGAGCAGGAGCTGGTGGCGGGGTGGCTCTTCAAGCCAAAAATATATCCTGATGCGTATAGCGAGACTCCAAAAACTTGGGAGTATTTGGTCGACACGAACGGGTTTTTTGAGGATGATGAGCCAATCAACGGCGTGGGCTACCCTGGAACAGTGATTGAAGAGGAGAAAGACGT